CCCAAAACCCAAACCTCGAAGGTCAAAAGTACATAATGTATATTGCTCCAATACATTTGAAATCGATTCAAATTTTGAATTATAGTTAATTTACGAATAAACTGTTTTTTTTTTTAAATTCTAAAAATTTATCAAAACAATATAAAATTAGAATTTTGTTAATTTTATTTTCAAATAAATATGAATTCATTTTATATAGAAGAAGTAGGTTAATATAATATAAATATATTAAGGATTTCATAATTAATAGATGAAGCATTTTCTTTGTGATATTTCTTTTGAAATTTATTACGTCTGTTTGCTGAGAATTATTTTTTGCCAAATAAATTTGTCTAGATTTCTACTTTTTATCTAATTAAAACTAATAAACAATTAGTTCTTATTCCTCGCCTACAATAAAATAATATAGAAATTTTAAATATAGTAGTGTTGTTGGAGAAGGATCTTTTTTAATGGTATTTAAAAATTGCTTAAGTTGGATCAATAAAAGATCAGAGTAAAGGATATTAGGATTTTAGAAATTATAAAAATATATAATTTCATGGAACTCAAAATATAACTCTAAGAAATATTAGACCTTATTCTAGAAGATTGTTTTAAAATAAAAATTCAAATTCTTAAAAATCCATTATTATTAAATTTGAGCCTAAGAGATGCTTTGATGTATTTCAATAAATTATTGGAAATATACAATTAAGATTTTTCCATAATGTCCCTCAACAGATTGATTTTTGCATTTAATTTTCTCAAAAGTAAACAACACATGATGAAAATTTCAAAAGAAATTATCAGAGAGAATACTATTTGAGAATGATTAACTGTTGATATGATAAAGATAATTTAATATAATAGGGGTGATAAGGGTGTACAACAATCAATTAGGAATTTTTGATTGTATTGTATTAAACGACAAAATACAATTAAGAGGAGGAGGTATTTGCTCTTCGTCATCAAAAATTATAAAAAATTAACAAAAAAGAGAGGAATTGAAGAACAAATTGTAATAACTTATGAATATCAATGGAGTGATTGATTTGCAACAACAAACATTAATCAAAGAGAGTTTAGATTTAATTGTGAGCATCTATAAGGATGAGAAAGAAAATCAAACCGTCTTTTTGGAGAATCAGTATCACCAATAATTTCATTTATATGTTAAATAGATAAATACTATATTGATAGAGAACAAAGGTTAAGTCGGAAAATGGTATTTAGAATAATACTTAGAATTGATTAGCATTTCTTTAGAAAATTTTTCAATATATGCATCTTAAAAGAAAAGCTTGAATATAATAGACTTATTTATATAAATTTCAAGGCAAAAAAATAATAATTAAATCATCCCATAATTGATTGAAGCTGCTAATATTTTACTTGTAGATGTATAATGTAGATATTACCATTAATTATAAAAATTTGAAACATTTTTTTTTTTTAAGACTTTGAATGTAGTAATAAAAGAAATGGTTGCTAAGGGTTTATAAGTTGAAGCCAAAAACAACTTTGACAAAATCAAACATTAATACATTTAAAATTCTTCAAATTGGACTCTCCATAATTTTTGGATTGAGTTTTTAGTGGATCTTCTTATTTTTTGTTACAAATTTAAGGAATAGAATACTTAAGCCTCTAAAGTATTAGGGATTAATGAGGCAAATAAGATTATATCATATATTTGGAATCAGGAAGGAGAAAACATATTTGAAATTTATATAAACAATTTCCATTATACAGAATTTAACAAAAAAAGATGGAAATGTATTGATAATCATGAATTTCATCGGTTGTAGAGAATATTAAGTATGTTTACAAGCTTAGTTAAATAAATTGAGACTTAATTCTAAGAATTACAATCATCTGAAGATTAGGCAAACATATTACAGATTTGTTAAATTTTCTATCATGATTTTCTAATTACTTAAATTTATCTCATAGAAATGTCATAATCCATATATAGGATATAAGAAATCATATAAAAGTCCAGTAAAATGATACCTCTCATTAATAATACAATAGCAGAAATAAAGAGTCATTTTAATATTGACAATATTTATATTTGTTATTGCTAACTTTACATGATGGAAAAGAATAAGTTTGATAGAAATAAATTTTTAACACATGGAAGTATAATTTAGTTGCGGAGCCAAATACAATAATTAAGTCAGCTAGTCTATTCAATTTAAACTCTAATTCTTTAAGAAAGATTATTAAAGTTAAGTATAGAATCTAAATGGAATCCTTCATAGTTTTAAATGAAATAGATATTTAAATCAGAAACTTTTAATTCAATTGAATAATCATCTTCAATCATTGAGAACTTAGACGATTTGTCATTATAAATTACCATTCATCTTTTATAATATAAGAATATCAAATTACTTTAGAAAATATATGATTTGAAAATGAAACGCATTAATTCTAGACTTCATTAGGATGATTATATAGTGTAAATCAAAGACAAAATTGCTGCATTAAAAAATTTGAGGCTAAATTTATACAAAATACAAGAACTTGGCCCTTTGTAAGATTAATTTAAAAGAATTACCGAAAATACCTACTTTCATGCAGAACAATATATAATTAGAGGATAAGAAGAGTCTGATTCTAATATTGGAGATTTATTTTTTTGGAATGAATTGGAATTCCCATTAATTTATAAATCATAATATTAAGAAATTGAATAAATTAGTGTCTAATCTTATGGGGATGAATACAAGGTAGGATAATGCTTAAAATTTCATTTTTAAGCAATCAAAGATTATCTAGAAAACCAGAAATCGAGTATAAATTCATTAAATACACAATCAAACTCCAATAATACAAATAGCTGTAAATTTTAAGAAATTTTGGAAATTTATTAATAAGTTGATTATGCTTGTAATAAATTAAATAAGGACGAAGAAACTGTTGAAAAAAAATTTGAGCTTGAAGAGTTGATTAAATAAAAAGCTGAAAAAATATTACAAAAAAACAAAATTTATATTGAATTGAAGGCCTAGCAAAGAAAGTTTACTGGGAATCAATTTGTTTAAGTAGATTAATCTAGAAAATTATTCATAGAAATCTAATCTGATTAAGATCCATATAATTTTTTAGATGCTGAAATTAATGACTTTATTTGGTCAAAAGAGAATCAAAATGTCGCGTTGGTAATATCTGGTCCAAATGGATGTGGTAAAACAAATACTTTGAGAAGATTAGAAAAATAATTGTTGTAACATTATAAAATCAATCTATGTGGTCATAATTGGATTCCAATATATTTCAATCTTTTGAAATATAACCCTTAAGAGAACCTATTAATATAAGCCATAAAATTTTAGTATATAGAACAAAATCAAATGCTTCAAAAATTTTACTAAGCAATTCTTAGAGGCCAAGAAAATGTTGTATTAATCTTGGATAATTATAATTCAAACGAAGATTTAATTTTATTAAATTAATTATAAAGAAAAATAAAGAATCTTAATTAAAATGTGACTTTAAAAATTATTATGGCAACAAGAAAAGACGTTAATTCTTTAAAGCATCTTAAGAAAAAAAACCTGCAATTTACAGAAGTATAACTTATTAATAGTGAATAATAGTAAGAATACATAAAGCAATCATATAAAATATTAATAATTAATTAAATAATTAAAGTATAGAAATAGTCTTAAAATGATAATAATTTAGACTTGGAAACAAAAATATAAATTGATTTACTGTTTTAATAAATTCCAATTTTTTATTTAATACCAGAAACTATTGAATGTAATTTAAGTTTGTAATTGAGGAAAATCATTAAAAATATAAAATTTGAAACATTGTTATATTAGAAAATGAAGAAAATGAAATACTTCTTAGAAAACCTTCTTATTCCATATTTGAAAGATATACTACTAACTCCTCTGTTGCTTAAAATCGCTATTAAACATTTGCAAAACACAGAAAATTTAGAATCCTTAAAATCTATAAATATAAATGGTAGAGTAAAGACTCTTAAAAAGGATCAGGAGCTAATTTTATTGCCAAGTAATGCATAAATTTTTTCTAAATACAAAGTTTTAGAATTTTTCATGAGTTAATGTCATACTAAGAGAAAATAAAAAAATGAAACCTCGGACTTGCAAATTTCTTTTGAAGAATTTTAGAACAATTTAAAATTAACTTGTTTAAATGATTTAAATGAACAATCATAATTATAATCCCTGATTCTGAAAAATAATTAGGAAGGCTTTAGTCTTGAAATTTCAGAATTAAGTTCCAGTACTAATAGTAAATTGATTACTTTCAATAATAACTAAGTTTAATTTCTTCATTAATAAATTCTAGATTTCTTTATTGCTTAAAAAATTCTAAAATATTTACAGGTGAAAAATGAGATAACTAACTTCTTGAATAATGAATAAGTTAATCTATCATAAAAACAGAATGAATAGGTTGTTGAATTATTAATTGATCGATTGAAAAATGATGAATTTAGAAAAAAAAATCTCAAAGAAGTCTTAAAGTTGTCAATAAATGACAAATCAAAAGTTAGAGCATCATCGAATGGAATATTTTTATTATCTAAAATGGGAGCTTGTTTAGAAAATGAGAATTTTAAAGGCATTATAATTGAAAATACTAGTATGATAGGATTGAATTCGATTAATTGTGACTTTACAGAATGTAAAATTAAAAACGTTGATATAGATTTCTGCAATCTTAATTGTTGCAAATTTATGAATTCGGAATTTTAAAATGCTTCATGTTGTGAATTTCCAGAAATATAAGAAAATGAAGAAGTCTTACAAGTTATCTCTTTTAAATAAGATCAACAGTTAGCTGTACTAAAACAGAATGGGAAGGTAAACATTTGGAATGTAGAAGCAGTAGAGAGGGATGTAGAAATTGAGAACATTATTAAGAACAAATATAAATAGATAATAATTTCAAAAGATGATTCTACATTGATTGCACTAACAGATTATTAGATAGAGTTCTGGAATTTAAATAAATATGTTTCGACAGCTCACATAAGCTTTATAAGTAAAAGTAAATATATGTTTCTATCGCCAGATAATACCTTATTAATATGCAATAGTTAGAATTAGGATATAGAAAAAGTAAAATACACTCAAAGTGATTAAATATGGAGAAAATAACAAATACCTTTATCACTTAAGTAAGATGCAGTATAAATGGCTATTAACCATTCGAATGAACTCTTAGTTGTTAGAAATACATCAAATTAAATAAAATTTTTCAACCTTTCCACATCTAATGAAATTATAATAACACAACAAATTTCTGGGAATGCATTTACATCTACAGCAGATGGAGAAAGATTAATAATATAACATAAAAATTAAATTGACTTCTATTAATTTGAAATATCTAATGGAACTTTAAATTATTTAAAGCATTTTAATATCTCTAAATTAGAAAATCCAAAAGGATTGTATATATGTCAAAATTCTGAGATTATATTAATTCAAGGTCAGAATCAAACTAAAATTTTCTATGAAAGGACACAGTAATTGTAATAACTCCCAAAAAGGTTTTATGGAGAAAATTCAGTTCTTTCTAGAAATGGAGAAATCTTCATTAATTGGAAGGATAACAAAGTGCAGTTATGGGATTTGAAATCTTTAAATAAAACAAAATAAAAAGAAGAAATAGATGATTATGTAAAATGTTGTTAATATTCTCCTGATGGTTAAAAATTATTGATAGTTTCATCTAAAAAGACTTTATTTTATAATATAGATTAGAAAATATACCATTGGATTTTTGAATCAATTTATTCTTTTTGTTTTCATCCAACAAAGGAAATTTTGGTGACTTTTTCAAAACAAGGATTAAAATTTTGGAGGATCAATACTGAACATTAACTTATATCATTGCCAAAATTTGATATATTTTAAGAATTTGAAGTACAAAAATTGATATTCTCATAAAATGGTGAATGGTTGGTTTTTTGTAATAAGAACATTGTAAGCATTATGAACGTATTAAAAGTTCTTAAGGTTAGTAATTAAATTGATTAACTCGAGAACATTATATAAATTCCTGGGTTTAATTACAATGAGAAAGACTAATTCAACTTTAGTAAAAATTTGTTGTAATATAGCTTCGATAATTAATAACTTCTTAAATTCAATCCTCAGGAACAGAAGTGCGAAATTTTATAAAATTTTGATTCAAATTGTGAAGCTTAAACCTTTTCTCCAACAGGTAAATATATTGCGTATGGAGAGAAAAGTGAAAAAAAAGTAATTATTTACAATATCTCTAATTAAAAGAATTTTATAACATATAAAGTTTAACATGAAATAAATGCAATATACTTTTCTAATAATGAAAAATAATTATATTTTGTGACATAAAAACATACTGAAATATAAATTTATTTTATTTTAGAAAGAAATAGTATACGAATGCTTTAATAAATGCAAGTAATTAAATCACATCGAATAATAAGATCTCTTTCGCTTCATCCTAAAAATGTTTAATTTTTAGTGGTAGGTAAAAGTGGAGAGATATTGTTTTATAATAAAAAATAGGATTAGAATGAATATGAAATGTGTGTAAAAATGGGTGAGTCAGATGAATTATGTTCTTTAAATAGTGATATATCTTTATTAAGAATTACTTCTAATATTAAACAACAGAATTTACGTTTATTATTATTATAAAAAGGAGCCAAAACTTAACCAATTAATGCCTGACCTTTCTATATTTATATTCAAAATTCTTTATTCTTAATCAATCAAAAATATTTTAACTTCCTATACATTCCTTATTTATGTAATTGCACATTTTCACCTTACTCCTGAATTAAATTCTATCTCTCTTTGAATTCAATTCAGAAGAACTAAATGGTGATTAAATACTGATGTACTTAAATTAAATTCATATATGATATCGTTTTGGCCATCAGAATATGCTGAAGTTCATTTTAAAAAGATAATTAATATTGATATAGCAATTTCAGATTCCTAGCTCAGGTTTTGAATGAATAATAATAAATTATTTCTTTAGAAATATTGATTTTCTCCTGAAAAAAATCTAATAGATTCAGTCTTTGAAAGATTCTCAAAATATTTAATGCTGTCAAAAAATTTTAATCATTTATTATTTTTGTCTTTTTTTCATATATATATCCCCATATTTTTCATTTAGGTTAAGCTTAAATTAATCATTTAAATAAAATTTTCAATTTTTTTAATCCAACTTCTTATTTTTAGGGATTTAAAATTCTTTTCGGTTTTTTCATTAGCACTAATACCTAAAGAGCATGGTTTAGAGAAATGACGATAAGAAAATTCAGTATTAATATTTTGGTAAAGTCTAAAATAGAAATAATATAAAGGGTTTATCTAATTTTTATAAATATATTATATTCTTTTAAATATGGGTTGCCTTACTTCCTCTTCAAAAGAAGAAGATATAAGCATGGCTTTGCAAAGTTCTAAGAAACTTAAAATTGTAATAGTTGGACTAGAAGGAAGTGGAAAAACCTCAATACTTCAATATTTGAAGAATGGAAAATTTATAGAAGCTTAGCCTACAATAGGTATTGCAAAATGAAATTAGGTTTGAATGTGGAAACAATTTAATTTAAGGCAAGACATTATTTAGTATTTGATGTTGGTGGGAAGGTTAGAACATTATGGTCTCATTACTATGAAAATTTAGATGGATTGGTATTTGTAATTGATACAACCGATCCAGAAAGAATAGAAATTGTTAAAAATGAATTAAAAAAATTGGGAAGCGAAATAAAGTAGAAAGTATGAAGTCATCTAAAATAGATAGTGTTGCTAATATATTTGAATAAAATAGATTTACCAAGATCAGCACCTATGGAATTATCTAAGGATATTCAATAGCAGGAATCAGATGTAATAATGCAGAGATGCAGTGCAAAAACAGGAGAAGGTATTTGGGAAGGTATCGATAAAATGAATAAATTATTGGATCATAAATTTTAATAGTGATATAATTTATTTAATGTTTGGATATGCTTTACGAAAGTTAAGTAATCTTAGATTCAACTTCTGTAATTAGAATAAGCAAAGTTAAGGGAAGCCAGGCAATAAAGCGGCATCTACTAATTATTCTTACACTTTCGATGTGATAAATCACTATGATCAAATCAGTAAAATCAAAGGAAAAGGAGCAATAGTTTCACTCATGCCTTGTTATGTAAGATAAAATATGATGTAGCCTCAATATCAAGTGACTAAATTTGGTTCTGTCGTTGCAAAGATGAAGTATTCAAGAAATTATATTTATTTATGGAGATTTTAACCTATAGCAGAAATAGGAAAAGAAGTATAAAAGAATCTATTCAATTCTAGGTTAATAATAAAGAATCTTTAAATTTTCCAATCAGCTATGAGAACTGTGGTTATATTATAGATTTATGCGATCATATGTCAACTAGCCCTGAAATCAAACTTGAAGAGTAGACCATCAAAGGCAATTTAACCTTCACAGTTTAAATTGACTATGCCAATAAAGCTGCTCGTATCTCATTATAAGCAATTGCTTAATAATAGTAATAATAGCAATAATCTTAATAATAACAATAAGATTAGAAATACGAGGTTCAAATAGCTTTGGCACAATTTAAATTAATGTGTGAATAAATGAAAGTAAGACTTTTTAATTTATTCTTAGTAAGGATTACCATTAGTGACTGGATGGATAATTCCTGAGAAATTTCTATTTTAAACAAACAAGGAACAAGCAGAATGATTAAAATAAATATTCACACCTCTTTAAAATAAATAGGTTTTGTTCAATATATTTACGCAATTCCTTAAATTCTAGTTAATACTTGGTTTAAATTGATATTATTTTCAATTTTATTCAAAGGTCCTTCAACAATATTCATATATTCATAAATGAGTCTAATATATTTAGTTTCATTTACATTTCCCTGATCATATATATTCTTATATTTATAGTCTCCTATATCTATTGATAATTAATTTGCTAATTTATGTTTTTTTCATGCTATATTTGATTAATAAGAGATCAGATATCCTAATCTTCGGTATTATTGTTACTTGGTTTGTTTATATGTCTTTTAACTACATAAATAATAATTTATTTATGTTAGATAGTGAAAGTTTTCCTATTAGAAATCCTCATAAATTATACATTTCAGGAAAGAATTATGAAGCTGTAATCTTAACCATCATCTCCACATAAACTTACTAGGATTAATGATTTAAAAAAACAAGTGGAAAACTATTTAGATATGTTAGAATCTAAAGTAACAATGGTAAAAGAGAAAGCGCTATCTGAGTCATCATAGCATATAACGGTTATATGAGATAGGTGAAGGAGGACTTGAAATATTTAGAGGAGAAAAGCGTAGAGATGGAGAGATACTATAAAGATAACAAACGAATTCAAAATATGGAGTAATAATTAGAATGGTTCAGAGAAGAAAGTGTTAAGCTATATACAAAAATAGAGGTAAAAAACAAAGATATCTTTGAATTGAAAATTAGATTACAAGAAGTTTAAAAAGAAAACGAGTTCCTTGAAGTATAAATTAAGTAATTGATGCGAAGGAATAAGAAATATGAAGTTATTAGACACGCAACAAGTGTGGCAACAGAATAAATAAAAGAACAATAATTATTCTGCACTTAACCAAAACCTAAAAGAATTATGTCAGGTTATGCATAACCAAAACATATTAAATAATTGCAAGATATCTTTGAGAGGATACCAAATGATGATCAAAATTAAATAATAAATGAAGTTGCTCAGTATGTTACATTTATTGAAAATCCTTAGACCAAGTAGATACAATTATTACGCTTCAGAATTAGTGGTATTATTACGACTATAGAAAATGAATTAGCCAATTTGTCAATCAACAAAGGCATTTGCAACTAGAAGCGAGTATGAGGAATTCTTTATTGATTGTGTTGAGGTAATGAATAGTAAGTAAAAAGTAAGTTCGTAAAGATATTGTGCGTCGCCGTCAAATGTTCAGTAGATAATAGGTTATCTGATTTAATGTTTTTTAGAAAAAAGATAAATTAAAAGTACTAGAACTTGTTTTAATGAATGAAAATTGCTATAAGTCTTGCATTAGAAATTATTCCCAAGAATACATGCTGGATAGTTCTTCGAACCTACGACAATATTGACTGAATATTAGGATATATTTCATTAAATTGATAAAAAGCGAAGTTTTTCAACAAAAGACAGAATGATTATGAAAAATAGGGAAATTGTTGTATAAGTGATATATTTCATTTGCAATTCTAATTTTAATTGAATTTTTAATTAAATATTAAAATGTATCCGTAACCCATAGCTAGTGCCCCAGTGTAATCTGTGGTCTTAGGAACCAGCGGTATTCAAAGACCACCTTTCCAACCTTATTAATCACCAATTAAGGTTCCAACAGGATAGTCGATTTACACTTAATAAGGAATTTAGAATTAATACATTCAAAATCAATAGGTGAAAACAGTTTAGACCCATCACATGTAATTCAATTAAAATAATGTAGGCATCACACACATGAATATAAGATACCCTAATATTAATATTAATAAAGATCGCCTTAATAGGTGCAACCTTAACAATTAGCTACTCCACCTCCTTAATAGCCAGAAATAAATGAACTATATCATGTGGAAAGAGAAATGCAAGTGCTTTCAGTTGAGGATGTCGAAGAGCCATGGAAGAAGAAATGTGTAGAATTAGAAGTCAAGATTTATGACTTATAAACAGAATTGGCACGATATAAGAATTAGGGTTAAGAATTAAAGGTCACTTCTAATGAAGAGTTTTAAGTTAGAGAATTGGAAGCTAAAATAAAGATGATGAAGGATATTGAAGATGGATTAAGAAAGGAAATATAAAATTAATAGAGTGAAATCGATTCATGGAGATAGAGATATTAAAAATTGTAATTAGAATATTAGTAATTGTTGCAAGGAGGAGATGAAGTAAGATAATTAAGAGATGCATTGGCAGATAAAGAAAGACAAATATTGAAATTAGAAGGAGCATTGAATCAACAATTAATGGAAATGCAAAATTAGAATAGAGTCATCTAGTATTTATATTATGTTATTACACATTAGAAATAAAGAATAAGAAATTGGATAATATAAATAAATGATTCGCCAACTAGAATCTGAAATGAGTGAATTCCAACAAACTAATGAAAAATTGAAATACTATTCAAATGAAGCAAATGTGTGGAAGGAAAAATTCATGAAAGCCAATTAAGATTATCACACTGCTTAAGAATAATGTATGATGGCTTAAGCAGAATTGGATTCATTGAAGAAACAAAAAACCATAACCACAACAGAGAAAACAACTTCAATCTAATAAAATAATGTAAGAAGACAATAATAATATTGATTCATATTAAAATAACAATATTTTTGTATAAATATTAATTAATGGTTTTCTACATCATTGGTTTAGGACTTGGGGATCATTTAGATATTACTGTCAAAGGACTTGAAGTATACCGTAAGTTTAAATTAGGCTGTAAAAACCTGCAAGGAAATTTATTTAGAAAGCTATACATCTATTCTTGGAATTAATAAATTAAAACTTCAAGAGTTTTATGGAAAAGAAGTCATCGAAGCTGATAGGGAATGTTGTGAAACCGGAATTGATAGAATACTTGAAAATGTTTCTGCAGATACTCAAAATAACTATGCATTCTTAGTAGTTGGAGATCCCTTTTGTGCAACTACACATACAGATCTCTTTTTAAGAGCAGTAAAATTGGGAATAAAAGTAGAAGTGATTCACAATGCTTCTATTATTAACGCTATTGGTTGCACAGGTTTACAAGTCTATAGGTTTGGGGAAACAGTATCTGTGCCATTCTTTACTGAAAAATGGAAGCCTTATAGTTTCTATCCTAAAATTAAGGCTAATTTAGATCATAATTTGCATACTCTAGTTCTTTTAGATATAAAAGTTAAGGAAATTTCTGAAGAAAATTTAGCTAGAGGCAAAAAGATTTATGAGGCTCCTAGATTTATGAGTACTCAAGTAGCTGTTGAATAAATTATAGAATCTGACAAATAATTGGGCTTAAATGCAATAGATGAAAAAACTAAATGCTTTGGAGTGGCTAGAGTTGGATTTGAGAGTTAAAAAGTAAATATTTATTGTATTTTGAGATTGTTTCTGGATTTTTACATGAGTTTTTAGAAATAGATATGGGGCTGCCTTTGCATTCATTTGTAATTTGTGCTAAAGAATTACATCCAATAGAAGAGGAAATGTTCTAGTTTTATAGAAATAATTAGCAAAAAATAGATTGATTAATTTATTTTCATTCTTTTTGCATTTGTTCAATTAAATATTAAGGGTTGATTTTCTTTAATTAGCTTTTTGGAACTTAGACAATAATAGGCTTATTCTTTGTATCTTCAATAGGAGGAAGTTTGCTTGATGCTGATTGATCTTTAAGAGAATGTTTTTTATAGTAGGCAATAATTTGTTCATTTAGATCCAATTTTTATTGCTCTTCTAAATATCTACAGTATTATAAATGTTGATTACTGTTTGTCTTTTTTTTTCCTCTCTTAATTATCATATTTATTAGTTTTTGCATCAGTTTTAGGTGCACTTAATGAATGCTCATGTTATTAATTCTCTTCATCTCTTTGCAGTAACTTTTTTCTTCATCATAATTAATTATTTACATTAATCCATTTAATTTAGTAGTCACAAAATCCTATTTGGCGATTAATTCTTCTAGTAACATAATTTAAGCAGCTCGTTCTTATTTTTCAATTTTATAAGTTTCCATTTACTCAGACAAATTTCTAATCAACTGAATTAATACTTATTTTATTTCTCCAATGCTTGTATTTTTTTTTAGAGAATGATTTTTTCTCTTTTCTACTCTAAAACTTGTTGCGAGAGTTGCAAATTTCGATCATCTGTTTTCAAGTTTTAATCAAAGTTTTCCATAAATTATTAATTAATATAAAATTATATAATAAGTGGAAGAAGCAATAAGGGAAAGAAAGTTCTCATAATTAAAAGAGTCTTAATTATTTAAAAATGCAAGTTTTCGTTATTATCCTATGATTTAAGTTTAAAAGAAGAGATTGAATTGAATTCAAAGAGAGATAGAATTTAATTCAGAAGTAAGGTGAAAATGTGCAATTACATAAATAAGGAATGTCTAGGTATTTAAATTATTTTTGATTGATTAAGAATACAAGAATTTTGAATATAAATATAGAAGGTTCAAGTATTAATTGGTTAAGTTTTGGCTCCTTTTTATAATAATAATAAACGTAAATTCTGTTGTTTAATATTAGAAGCAATTCTTAATAATTGGAATGTGCATCTGAAAGATACTGTTGATAGAAATATTAAATTTATTCTTTCTGCTTGTGAAATGGCAAAAGGCAGCATTTTCTTAAGGTTTCCCATCACTAATAATCAAAGCATTAAATCAACCTAATTAATTTATAGAAATGCTATTAACTCTATATAAAACATACTTGTGCATTGGTATAAATGATAAATACTCAGTTTTGGTTGAAAATCGAGATCAATTGGATTTTTTAATTAAAATCATAAAATGACTGTAAATAATTCACTGGAATTTGTAAAAACTTAAAGACCAATAGCATTTTCAAACAAGGGACTCATGAAGCAACTTCAGTAATATTATGATATAGTATTATCTCTTCTATTGTGTGTATAAATTATACAAGAATATTAATAAAGCAGTAAGAATGATTTATATTATTTTTATGATTTATCATACATATTTATTTTTCTACAGTAATGCTTGTTATGCCAACTCTAAAAATAATAGGCATAATTACTTTGTCTCTGGGCTTCAATATTATTTGTAACTCCTACTCTCTCATTAAGTAATTTTGTTTTTTGATCTAAATTATCAAGTTGCTCCTTAAATTTATCAGCTCTTTTGAGATTTTCATCAAATCTGACTTGCTTTTATCCATTCTGTATTTCTGATCTAGTTGGAGATCTATTATTTATTGTGGAAACAGATCCACCAGGACCTGAAAAAGGTTTCTTTTGTTGATTCAAAATTTATTCAATTTCTTCATCTTCGCTTCTTAATTTCTTTTTAGATCCTTTTTCTTTCTTTTCTTACTTCTTCCCTTTGAACCAGAATTAATACAAGAGCACAATGACAATTGCAATAATGATTATTGGGAATCTAAAATTTGAGAAGATGTCGGTATCCTTCTTCTAGGGCATAGTTATCTCATAATAACTGATCAATTCGTGATCATTCTATACTTCTCTAGTCAATAGATAATGAGAGGCACCATTTCCCTTAATAGACTACAATACAACTTATTGACCTTTGATTTACTTAAAGAATTCAAGATTAAACGGTTGATCATAATCAACTTCAGTCAAGATATCAGTAGTATTATATAATAGAGATTCCCTGTTTTCCTAATCATAAACAATTAGATAATGTCTTAGACTAAGTAATTTGGGATTGCTCAATGGGAATTATGGTTATTGATTGTTCACTAATTTCAATTTCATTTTGCATTGCTCATTTTGTTTGATTTCGAAAACATATACTTCACCTAAATCAGATAGAGCATAAACAATATTGGTTTGTTAAATATCAAGTGTCAAATGAACTATTTAAAATGGCAACTGTCAATAATATAAAATATTATACATTATCACAAATGGGTTACACTATTTCTAAGTTGGTAGGATTAATGTATCCAAATCCTGTTGATGTCAAATATAACATATTTGGATATGATTTAACTACTTGTAAAATGGGAGTATTAAAATTCCTCTCCCCTATTAATGTACCATTTCGATTGTACACACTTTTATTATATAAATATTAAAGTACTAGACACTTCCGTTGCTTGAACCAAAAAGGATATATTTAGTTCCTTTCACGATTGCATATATCATAGATGTGATTTATTGGTTCTCAATGTTCAATTCGAATTCTTTATTCAATTGAATCACTACTTTGGTTTTGGCCTTTTGTGAATCTTGAGTTTCAATAGGTACTCTGGAATTCTCTAATTTATATAGCGCAAATTGTCCATCTTTATCTAGAATAATGTAAGCTTAATGAGTACTTGCCAATGCTAATATGGGATCATCTGCACGATTACTTATTGATACATATTAAGGTTAGAAGTCTAAAATCAAATATTAATATACCCAATTAGGTATTTACTATCATAGTATTGGATAGATCGTAAATCTCAATTTCTTAAGTGTTTGTTACAACATATAGCATTTAAGTAAAGGAATTGTCAGTGGTGGGTGATTTGTATTAAAAACTATAATATGGGGAATCAATTACGTTTGAATCAATGATGCATCCAAAATGGAATTGGTAATATTAAATTAATATTTCTTGAGCATTCTATTTGTGAATGATCTCTCCTTATTTAAATTTTGCTTCTCACCACTCTAAGTCTTGTAAGGTTTCTTTTATACAATCTCTTAGAGTACTTATTAATCGATTGACTATCCTATATTAATCATTCAATACAGGAATGTTTTATTAATTGGCTATTGAAATTTCTCTCAATTCCTTTAAGTAATGTAGTTTCTCAGTATGCAATTATATTAAATGTTCCAATTATGCTATCTCAATTTCAATCAAATCAGCATCTCTCGCTACTATACAACTTAGTGCAATTAATATAATTAATAGCATTCAGATTTTTTATTTATTAATTATTCACATTTATTTGTTGCACTCAATCATTATTTATGATATAATCTAAAATAATATTTTATTTAATCAATGAATGACAACAACCTCAATTCATTTTCATAATACTAAACATATTCTACTTATTAATCTAGAACAGTATTGCCACAAAATAATCATCAATCACTCAAAATATAAGAGTATACAAGACCTGAAATTCAGAAAATCAACTTAAAATTGGATTAAATGCTTGAAACTTTAAATTAGTTCACTCCCTCCTTAATGAATCAATAAAAATAATAAGAGTCCCACTTAAATAATAGTCAACTTGAAACCTAACTTCCTCCTTCTTAATATAATTCGTTTATTGGAAAAGATAACATGTAATATTCATAATAATAATAAAAATAATTTACAAACTAACGATGTCAACCACTTCACTATTCTATCAGTCCTCAATAAACATAATACAATGCAAGTCTCAAATAAGAATTTGATGAATACCTTTAATTTAAAGACTTTGTTAAAGCCAAGAAACTTGTGCTCAATAGCAATGCTCCCCTGTCAGATTTATATAAATATTATCTAGAGAATGACGTTTACTAGAAAACTTAATACTATAGATACCAAGAAGAAAAAGTTAATAAAATCATCTTATAAAAATGAGCAATTAATTCTATTCCTACATTTTAGATATTAACAATCTCATAATTTCTTATATCTCTAATATATTAATATTGAACCTATAGATTCTAATCAAATGATGATTAAATCATATAAAAACAATAGAAACTCAAAAGTATTGTTACAAAATCAGTTTTAAGCAGCAGCCAATACTTCTTACCATGTTATCAGATTATCTATTCTCTCAATGAACGCTTTACGATTTTTTATTTCATTACTATTTATCTGATTGTTTTTGCTATCTGCCTTCAATATTTTCTTAAATAAAATCTAGAATTTAATGAAAAATCATTACTTATGTTGTGATTGGACATCGAAGAATCTAAGTAAGGAAAAATTCTGCAAAAGGGACATTTTCTACAGAAGATTTAATCTTTTGTTTGTCTAATGATCTCAAATCCCATTCCCCTTAGGAAGTTGGTAAATAAACTCCGATTTCTTGAGTTGTTTCAATGTTGAGTACAGAGAATTTGACTCCACACATCCTTCTATTAGCTCCAATCACTGAAATTGTAACTACTGATATTTTGGAATTATCGTATAAAATCATTCTAATATATTTAAAATTGAGAATACCTTTTGAAGGAACCACAGTCATAAGAATTCTGAATTATTGGATTTTTATCAAATTATTCTTGGCTTTATTCACAGGCTTTCTCAAATACGTTGAGATTGAACGAATATAAGAGTTATTAAAATATTACGATCTTCTCTTCAGATTATAATTTATCAAACATTATTGAGAATTCTCTTTGTATGGATGAATATGGAATGGTAGTTTATCCTTTTGCTTTAATTTTAGTTTTGTTGGGTCCAAATGTCTCAAAACAATTTTATAAACAAACTTAAATGCTCTATAGATCTTAATTATCTAATACGATTTGTAATTAATTTTTAGATCCAGTATTCCAACTTTTACATCTAAAATATTTCTATCCAAATAAAGTATTCGAGAATGAAATTCCTAAAGATTTCAGATATTCCTCAAATTATATGATAATGGTCTTTAAATACTTAAGAAATTCTTTAGGATTCTTGAAAATCAGATTCTCGGTCATAAAGGTTTAATTTAATGAGATTGATTAATGTACCTACTTTACTTTAGTTTTATCAAAGTGTTTCTCCTGTAATGCTTCAGCCACATCATCATCACCAAATTTTGGTGTTTTTTCAGTCATTTTTAGCAATGTAGTCTTACTAAAGAATGAATATTGATCTTTAATAGATTTAGCATCTTAAAAGAAAGCATCCATAGTTGAATAATCCATTTCTAAGTCTAATCTCAAAGTATCCTTACTTATGGGATCACAGATTGATATTCTGAATTGATCAGTTTCAATATGATGGATATAAATTAAACAATTTGTATCCATGAAATCGACTCTCAAAGTCAATCCATTTAATAATCCATATGGTTTTGGCCAGAACTGTAATTTCATCTCTTGTGTTATCTCATCTGGAACAACAGCAGTATATGGTAATACCAAAAATTTAAAGAATTAATGAGTTGTATTGATGCTTGGTTGATTGGTTGGTAACATTTCTTAGAAATCTACATATGTTATTAAACCTTTTAGCAATTCTAAATTGATGTTTTCTTAGCAAATCAATGAATTTTTTTGATCAAATGCTTTAAGGAGTATTGATTTACCTTCATCTCTGGTATCAACTACCGTAGCTTCTACTCTGTAGTTAGCAATGTTCTATACATCACTATTCCATTGATCATTTTCATCCTAGGATGCTGATTGATATCTAGTATACATTTTAGAAAAGACAATGTTGACATCAAGCATTTCTAATAACTGTGTGATATAGCTTTAGTTTTATTTATAAATATAAGGTGTGGTTTCATCCATTTATATAAAGTCGTCATCTGGCGAATGATAAAGGCTGTTCTATTTTTTTTAAACCTCTTTTAGTGGTATTTGAATACTCATAGGGGCTGTTTGTATGAGAGAATTTGATGGTTATTAATTTAATGATTAAATAGTTTGAGCAGCAGCTTATTATTATTATAAAAGGTTTTATTAGTATATTATCATTTATTATTATTAGGATTAGGATTGTAATAATTTCTCTAATTAAGATTATTTGGCAATCAAATCTTATAATTAAGACTTTAATTCAATGACTTCAGTTTATTTTTATTCTTTTTCTTTTTTATTGGTTGAATTCTCATTTTTAATTTAAAATAGGTTGTTCTCTAATAAATCTATCTTTTTCTTTAATTGCTCAGCTAATTGATTATTTTCTGGTTCTTGTTTTTTACTGTTTAGTGATTGAGTGTATAATTATTTTAATTCATCTAATTCTCTTTATTGGACAACTAATTTGTTTTGAATGATTTCAAATTCCTGTGAATCAAATTAATTAAGTTTGCCAGTGGAATGTAATGATCCAGATGACAATTATTGATTCAGAGGAGGTTTATTTGAATTTGGTTTATTGGTTGTGATAGCTTGTATTTGAGTTTATGAATTGTTATTGGAGAGAACATTAAAATTGTATGATTTGAATTTGCCTTGATTGGGACTGTTGATATCATTTTTAATTTGTTTGATTTAGAATTGCTTACCTGAACTTGGCCTGGCTTGATCATCACTGAAGATTGATAGCACTTTATCTTTTTTCTTGTTTTCAGGCAGGATTCTAAAATAATAACTATAGAGTTTCTTACTTCTCCATTATTATATAAACGTAAGGTGATGTTATAATGTTAGTGCTGATTCGATCAATATCAAACATATCCTTATAATTTTTGAGATAGAGCATGTCAAGTGAGTCTATAAGAAATTAGTGTATAAGTGTATCCTGAGAGACTACTTGTGATCGGTTTAAATCAGGACTCATTTTTCTATGCAATCCATTGATTTACTCAAAGATCATTTGGCCTAGATATTTTTGTGACAATTTGGATGCATTAAAGATGAACTTTCTCTTGAGATCAGTTATTGAGCCATCAATTGGCTTTCCAATGATTTCTAATGCCTATTTACTCAAGCCAAACCTATTACATAACTCTAATTGTTCACTCAATAATATGTATGCAATAACAAGTGTACTGATATCACTTTAATTAGGTATGGTATTGGCTTTAAATTGTTAAAATATAAAGCCTTCTAATTGTTCAAACAATGCCACTGCTCCTTTTAAAGATCGCAATATGTCATATTGATTAAGGAGGAACATACATCTTAATTGAATTCGATTGAATGAAACAGGAACAGAATCTAATTAATATTCCAATTGAAATGAAGTGAAATCAGGGTTAAGGGTAAGCATTTCTTAAAAGATCTCTAAGAGACGGGTTGTATTACCAGATTTACCAATTAGTTATTCATGGCAATGCAATATAATATATTTCAGAACATCTTTGTGTTATTTGTCGGAATAGGCATCATAAAGGATATTAATGAAATTGATTTCTTCATAGAGGTTGAGTTGGTATACTTTGAGGATGATGTTAAGTAGTTCTTGTTGAGAAAGATTTTCTATGTTGGAATCAGATTGACTGAATGTAGATATCAATCTCTAGATTTTTGTTATGTTATTTGTGTAGAGGATTTCTTATAAGAGATGCTGGGGAATTTGAGGATATAATTACTTATGGATTCTTATCTCTCTTTGAAAAATTATCATTGTCAGTTTCAATTAATTTTTAGAGAGGTCCAGTCACAGGAGAGGTTTTGGCACTTGAGACATATCGTCTTGTACTGGGATTGGGATTAGTGGAGTAGGTGCTAGGGAATTTAGACATCTATTGTGTTGAGTGCATAAATAATTATTGAAAGGGGGGATTTCAAATATATTAATAAAAATGGAGAAGAGATTTTATAAGACATGTTCAAAGCATGCTTACTATTAGTACATCAATAGATATGATCCAAAATTGTTAGCAACTTACTAGACAGGATATTATCATGGAATTGGTAGATAGTATGATATTGAATCACAATTATGAAAGAGGGCTATTCAAGACATTGGTGTTAAGATAAGCAGGAGATAGCATCGGAATGGAAGAGGATCACAGTTATACTTATAAGATGCATGTGATGGCCATGAATCTTATGTACAGAAGTGGCTGGGTTTTGTTTGCTTACATTTTAATTTGGAATACTTTCTTATTGGGAGATCCTTGCTAAGTATCAATCAATCGATAATCAATAGGTGTTTAATACTTCTTACTGGGATTTGGCATGCAAACCTTCAGGTGACATGGATTACAACACCAGATACGAAATGTTGTATGTCCAAGACAGAGTATTAAGATTCTGATCTAATTATATATTAATCATAAAAACATAATTAGTATTATAAATAAAATCAATAGTAAGAGTAAATGGATTGATCGATTGTTGTTATTCTTTTTGCTTACGAATGTTTGAAATCTTTAATTCTACTTCAAATTTAGGAGAGTTTCTTGATAAACTGCATTGCTGCTGTATTTCTAGTTATATTTAAATAGCTATTATTGGTTTTTAAGAAACAGTTTGTTAGTTTATACAGACACACTGCGTTTCTTAATCTGATGATGCTTATCCTAATCAGACTTAGTGTTATCATTTATATCATGAGAACATTTCAGATTCTTCGGATTATCAACTTCATTGAGTCCGAAACTTGAACCCATATTGTAGAATTCTTTGTCTTCATTTGATTGCGTAATGGGATCTTACTTCAATTCTACTTTAAATCTCAACGAAAATGAATAAGGTTCTGATTCTTCATTGCATTCACAAATAGTAGAATTAGCATCGAAATAGTCGGTTGATGCTTTCATTACAAATAAGGCTTGTGAATCCCTTTTCAATTGAGGAGTGTCATCAATAATACATTTTAATTGAGACAAATCAATGTGGTATGCCATTAAAAATAAAAATATTTCATTTTAAATTCCTTATATACGGTAAGACTTTGGTTCTCCACTCTTAATCAAATGTCTCAGTCCTAAAAGTCTCCACACCTTTCTTCAATTACTGTAGAATTTAGGATTCAAATCTAAAAGCTTATGACAAATGATCGAACAAATCATCTGGAGTGTCAAATACTATGCCGTTCTTCTAATGTTACACCAATTCAGATATTCTAAAGAGTGGATATGATATGAATACGCATTGAATGATTTGGCGAAGACAGGAGTACCAGCTCCAAACATATCCACTACTTTCATTGGTAAATCTAGACCAGATGAAGAGTAATGTAAACAAATTCCTAAATCAGCACATGCCAATAATTTAGGATAGTCATCGATGTCTAACCAGGCTAAATTTACTTTTACATGATTCCAACATATATTGCACTTCTAAAATATCTCTCTAAACTCCTCCTTCATTGGTCCCTTACCTGTTATAACTACATACAATTTTCTATACTCTCTCCCCTACTCAATATCTAAATCATCAATCTTTAACTTACTTGCCAAATCTTCATATTTCTACAATGCCTACACCAGTATATTGAAATCCTCATCCTTAGTCCAAGAAGTACTACTCACTATCAATCCTGGTCTATTCACCTTCTCGACCGCCTACTGATTATTTATTTCCTCTGTGAACAATGTCTCATTGCTGTTCAACACTTCCCATTGCCAATGGAAGTCCAACTTCATGTACAACTCGTGTTTCTCCCTTGCCTTATTTATCACATTGAAATTGATGTTTGCCTTATCATATACTACAGTAGCACTTTCATCTATAGTATTATTATCTATACTTTATCCTCCAATTCTACTACAAGTCCTTCTGCATAGCCTGTGATACGCATAAGGCGAAATCCTATGATCGACTAAAGTAATGTTCATAGGATCTAGCCATCTTCAAGATATATTTGTTTCTCATCTGCAATGCCAATATTGTATGTCCATAATTGTGAAAATCTATGATGATCTTTGATCTGCGGAGGGCCTTTATTAAACTTACTACTTGCAAAACTGGAATTGAGGGAGGATTCTAAACCAAAATAAACTCCTATTTCCTACTAAATAAAAGCAAGAGGAATAAGTAACATGATTGTAATACAATTCGGAGTATTGCATACAATAAAAATAGGAATCTTGGCATTTTCTTCAATTGATTTACAATCCAAAGGTTCAGATCCACTATTCGAATGTTTGGATTTGACAATAAAGCCTAAGTCGGCTTATTATCCAAATACCCATAGAAATTAATGCGGTACTCTGTGTTATCAGCTATTGCTAAAGCATGATTAACCATTCTTGGTGATCTTCCTATGTCTCCAAACACTATTATGGAACATTATTTCATTGATGTATTATTAATATTATTGTGTATTATTTCTAGTAATGAAATCTTTTTAATTTCATATGTTCTTATTGACTTTCATATCTATTCATTATACTAAATCAACATGCAGGATTGACATCTTTATACACACTTTTTGGATTGTTAAAATTCATAAAAATTGATATAAATTTAATGGAGAAACTGAATATATTCATAATGATTGTCAAAATAATAAGAAGTGAGAATAATTTTTAAGATCATTTATATTATAAAAGGGTTTGCGAAGTGCAAAACATTTCTTTTCTGTTCTATACTTTTTCTGCATTATCCGAACATTTCGATCAATCTTAAATACTTAAATATTGATACCTAATCAACATTGTTTCGATATCTAGTTTAATTTACTAATTAATTTCGTTCCCTCTCTCTCTCCTTTCGTCTTTAAAATATTTCATTATTTAAGTAAACTCCACCACTTCTATGTTCAAAATCAGAGTAACTCTTGTTCCTTTGTTAAATTGAACGGTGAAATTCAACTCCAGTCTTTTATTGACATTCGATCATCTAGCTCATCTTGGTCTTGTTAACACTTTTGCTACTCTAACTACTTACAATTCAATGTTATGTCTGGTCTTCTTCCATTTCTCTAACTACTATTCGACATTATGCAACTTGTTTATTATGTGAGCTTATCTATTGAACGAACTTCGTTTCTCTCTTTCAAACATTTCTTGCTCCTGCAATTTCTATCTTGCCTCTCTCTCTGCCTGCAATATCTTTAACTTCTCCTAAACATCAGCCTAATTTGGAATCCCTTTCACCGGACTTGAAGGAAGAGAATCAACACGCTATTTGGCCATTGGTTCACCTGGTAAAAATAGTACCTTAGGTATCCTCAAACGACCTAATTATTGCAAAGTTCCATTTTCATGTTAGGAATGAGATTTCATTATATTAATATATTATTTTAACGCTATTTATTATTGCAAGATATGTTTAGGATTGTCTTCTGTCGAACAATTTGATATTTAATTCAAATTGTCAATCCATGACTCATTTGTAACTGATCATTATTCCACTCTTAAAGTCTCAAATCGATGCATGATATATATTAATTGAGACAGTATAATAGGTTAACTCAATAAATTATGTTACTAATATAGTATAACAACCTTAATGCATGACATTAACTAATATAGATTATTGCATTAATACTTTACATACTCAAATAAATGGATGGCTCCTAAAATTGGATAGGATGAGCCTATTAAATTATAATAAGTTTAAGATTGCCATAACAGATATAGGATTTTAGTTAATTGTTCATATTAGATACCAATGATATGAATAGGTATGATGTTTTTATTTATTCTCATTAATATCCAAGCATTCAAAAGGTAATTTGCTATCATTAATAGAAGATATCTATGAATTGGATAAAAATAGTAAGACATTTGAGCTAAATAGAATTACAGATGGAACTCAATTTACAATGGTCTCATTATTTGATTGCACTCATACATATACGTATATTTAAAATTGGACATAATATTTTCTTAAATTTCTATTTGATCATTATTAATTCAAATTGAGAATTGATATAATTTAATTATTTTTACACGTAATGGATTAAGCCTCATTGATCGATGAATCGGAATAGTCTTTTGAATAATCCAGAAGGGTAGAACCAACAGTATCAGATAAAATGAAAAGGACTGAATCTGCAACACTCAAATAAAAAATAATTAAGTAGCATTGATCATGCATTTAAGTTAAGTTTCATTCGAGATGTGTAACAAAGCAAACTACCACTTGATTCCATGCCAAGCATAGTACAATAAAAAATAAGCGACTTCGAAGATGAATTTTAAGATCTGTGGAAGGAATCTGATGAATATCTAAGAGAAAATGGAGAAGCCATTGAAAAACTTGTCATGAAACCACTATGTTCAAAGTACATGCATCTATCTGAAATTTTAGATTGATTTCAATTGATCCAGTCAAAGATAGAGAAATTGAATTTTCTATGAAAGCATATTCATTTGTTTAAGCTAAACATCTTGAAATTGATGAAAACATAGAAAAACATAAAATGTTTAACTAAGTAGTTGATTGTAAATAGTGAATTTATCTTAGTGATATCTAAAATTGATAAGGTAGAAACACCAAAAGAAAAACTAAACTGTATTGTGAATGCAGGTAAATAAACTAGTGGTAATAGATTAATATAAATTACGTAGCTATTGTCAATTAAATGGCTAATAATTAGCCAACAGGTGCTGATAATCTATTACCTGTGTTAATATACGCCACTTTGAAGGCATAACCATCAAAAGCCTATTCAAATATCTTATTTGTGAGCTATTATAGATCACCTAAAAGAATCACTGGAGAGGATGAGTACTATTTTACTACTTATGAATCGACTCTGCAATTTATTGAAAAATTAGACTACCAAAAATTAAATATCAATCATCAAGAATTTCAAGATCTAAGCAAAGAACGTTTAGATGTGATTAAAAACTCTTAAAATGTAATCAAATTCTATTATCCTTAATAGGAATTATCATAAAATGGAATTTTTAATATGGATGCACACTAAAATTATGTGAATCTGTAAATGATTAAAATGAAAATATAAGATCTTCAACGTAAATCAAAGTTCTACGAACAATCAAAGAAATATAAATTAAAATTCAATCAAAAATAGTTAAATGTAAAATTGCATATTTCATTTAGAATATCACTTTGAACGAAATACCAGAGTTTTATGATGAATATTAAAATCTATATAAGAATTTATTAGAAATGCAAAAGGATATTCACAACCTATACAATTTGACCAATGAAATTATAAAGGAAAGTTAAAGTGAAACCAAGAAGGTGGCTACTCGAAAGTTCTTTGGAATTATATGAATATTGTTATCTATATTATATTGTAAATAATATTAGTATTATTTGACATCATTTATTATTATGGAGTACAATATACAGTATTTATTATGTTTAGAAGTGCTTAGGTATATTAAAATATTTTGCTATTAAGAATTAGCAGAAACATTTAAATCAATCAATTAGGATAATGGAAATGACTTTATAAGATGAATAAAATATATTTGAGTGTATTGAATAATTCTAAAAATAATGAGCACAAATAACTTTAATCTATCAATTATAAATTTTAGGGTTATTCAAAAAAACATCTGTCACTCTAATGATATTCTCTGTTGAATCCTTTTCCAATTTAAACACTTAGACTCTTTCACTAAATTTCTGTTCAATCAATTTCACAAATGCCTGATACCTAGTTATCCTCTATTTTAGTGATTATTCATTATGAATCTACATTAGTTTATTTAATTACCTGATAGTTCTGTAATCTGTCTAATAATGGTTTATTATTTAATGGCACTTTCTCATATTTTATTTTAGTAACAGGATCAATCTTCAGTTACTTAGACTTGTTAATTAGGACATCTTCATCTTCATTCAACACTACAAACAAGTTAACATGTTGAGCCTCCAAAAACTTCAATTAAGCTTCATTCTTAGGAAATCCTTCCAAAACCCATCCCTTAGTTCTTGCCTCAGTTGATAGTACTTCTGTGTAGATAATACTATTCATAATGTCATTAGGAATTTCTTCTTCCTTTTAAAGAGTATTATAAATTAGAGGTCCCAAGGCTCCTTTGTTTTGAATTTATTATTGAATCATATCAAAAGTTACAATTTAAACCAAACCATATCTCTTACTAAATATTTATGCCAATTAATTTGCTCTCTCTTTTAAACCAGGAGGGCGTATAATTGCTACTCTTGGAAAACGAAGAGGAGGAAACTTCCTATCCCTCAAACGAATAATCTATTTGATATTTTCAATAATATCTTCTTTAGCTCTTTTGGATGTATTGAATATGTCCATATAAGATCCGTAGATGTACTCTAAATCCTTCTTATTGAGTCTATCTCTAGTCAATGCCTTAGTGACTTCCTCTTGAGATTAAGATATTTATTCATAATATTATCTGCAAAAATCCAAATCGCTCTCCAAATAAAAGAATCTAAAATGAATTCATATTTTACCTCTCTTGTATTATACCTAGGGATTGTAAATAATATGCTTGTTTGATGTTATTGGGATACCCAGATATTATGACACCCCTGAAATGTTTTTCAGTTTTTTTCAATTCTGAATGAATGAATTCATTTACTTAATCGTCATTCACCCAATGAGATTTAAAGTGATCTTCTATGGTAATAACTTTGTAATTGAACAAATTAGCAAGTGATACTACTATTTCCTATCTTGTTGTAGCAACTACACCTGTTACTAGGATAAGCCGTTGCACTCTTCTATTTTCAAGCACATCAACCAAGAATGTCATAGGATCCTGAGGTCTCGAAAGCACTAATAATCTTGTCAGATTTTCAAACAAGTCAGTCATTTTATGATCTTTTATGTAAGCCTCCACTTTTTATTGATACTCAACCAATTCACTTGTATTCATTTTTAATATATAAATTTTTACAAAACAAATTCAAATTATCATTAAAATTAATACAAGAAAGTTTAGTAATAGATCTACTTCATTTGTTATACAAATATAAATTACAATCTAGATCTAAGTGAATACATCTGTTCATCTATTTTATCTTATCAAACTAAACTATTGAATTATCTGTAATTAATTATGCATCCTTATGGCATTTACAAATTAATTTTATGTTGTTTTTCCAATTTAAAGTGTGATTGGAAAGATCAAATAAAAATCAGTTTTAAATTCTATATTTAATAAATTTGGCAACCATCAAAGAATGCAATTGTAATACTGCATAATTAATTTTATTAATCCTTGAAACTAAATTAAAAATCCTTGAACAGATTCATTACCTTAATTTGTTAACAAATCGTTTACTTTTACAATCTCAATTATTCATCAACTGTCATATCAGAGAATTCTAAAAATAGTTAATATTTATCAACATTATTTTTTAAATGATTTATCTTTAAATCTCATTTAATGTAGCCTTAGTTAATTAGAATAAAATGAATTGTAAGTATGGAAATAAATTGATAGAAAGGATTAATCGAATTTGACATTCTACATAATTTTAATATTTTATTTACTATTGATGTTGTAACAGTTATAATTTTGAATGATTTGAATTTCAATCTCTGGATCAGTATTTTGTCTTATTTTGCTTTATATATTTGTGTAAATACTTGAATGAGTAGTCAGATTAATATATAATAAATTATTTTATTATTGTCAATATGTACAACTATTCTCTGACAAGGAAATAAATTTAACGATTAGAAGAAAAATATTACGTTTTGCTTCCAGATAATTCTAAACTCTAAAATTCAAAAGTATCGGATGTAATTGAAACTCAAACTAATGATCCATAATTAGATTAACAAACTAATTCAGATTATTGTAATGTTAAGAATTCCTTTAATGCATGTCAAAGCTTGTAAGAGATTGATTAACACTAGTTTTTTGGAAAGATTCAAGTTCGCTATGATTGGCATAATAACTATATTTTTTTTAAGAGTTGTTATTGTTCTCAATAAATATGATAAATCAAAGTTGGATATATTCTCTTTGGTTGCATTAATTAGTAGGTATTAATTATTTATTAATTTAGCTATTCCTTTTTGATCATATCAATTAAATCTTTATAAGTAAGAGAAGATAGATAAGAATAAGTAATTAAAATGCACAACATTACAAGTCTAATTGCATTGATTTTTATTATATTTTGTAATATTTGTACATTCCTATCAACTAATTAGGACAGTTAAAAGTATTTGATTCGAAATATATTAGAATTTTAGTTTTATCATGTTTTCTAGCCACTGATGTCTTGATTCACAATTGGGCGTATTTAGAATAAAGATACAGCAAGAGATTAATAAAATTATTAATGAAAATTAAAGTACATCTATGAATTTATTATTTTTATTAAATGAACAAGCTTCTGGCTCTCTCTTTAGGATCTATTAGTTTGATAGCAGGAAAGTTACAAATTATGGGAGGGATTAACTATTTTAGAAAACATCAAGAAGTACAAATTATTTTAAATGAGATTGCTTTGCATGATAAAACTATATTAATAACTGGGGCTACAGATGGAATCGGTTGGGAAACAGCCAAAAAATTATCAAAAGCCAAAAGTATTATTGTTGCAGGAAGAAATATTGAAAGAATCAAATCCTAATTAAATAATTACACCAACATCTAATACATGTACTTAGATTTAAATGATTTGGATAAAGTTTAGTAATTCTGTGAGGAATTTAAAAAGAGTTATGGAAAATTAGATATCCTAATTAATAATGCAGGAGTTTTTAATTTAGATTAAAAATATACTAAATAAGGATTTGAATAGAATTTTGGTATTAATTATTTATCTCCTTTTTTGTTAACTTATAATTTACTTGGTCACATTCCAAATGAGTAAGAATCAAGAATAATCTTTGTTGCTTCACGTGCACACACAGACACTCCCCGTTAAGTTGATTTCAACTATTATCTGAATCAAGATCCTATTCCATATCCTTGGCATAAAACCTATGGCATTTCTAAATTAGCTAATATGTATGAAGCATCATCATTTGCAAATCATCTCAAAGGAACTAATATTAAAGTTTATTCATTACATCCTGGAGTAGTTCGAACAAATATGCTTAATTAATTTTAGTTTTACTCCTTTTTAGCTCCATTTATATGGTATTTCACAAAAACTCCTGAATAAGGATCAGTCACTTCAAAATTTTTAGCAACATCACCAAACAACAATCTAAAGAATGGATATTATTATAAAGATTGCTATCCTAAGTATCTAAAATCAGACGATAATGTATTGTTTAATAATACAATAAAGTTACTTTAAAAACTTGGGTATATTAAATGAGTATATATAATTAAATTCATAAAAATGGGAAACAAATAATCTAATGAAAAACAAATTTAAGAGTCATAAATATCCTAAAACTCAGCCAGAGAGAGCTAATTATCTAAATCTAATATAACTATCAATAAAGTATCGAAATAAGAATTACTTTCTTAAGAATTAATATATCCATCCTCTGATGATTGCCCATCTAAAATAAATGTAACTTTAAATGGAATCACTTTTTGGAGTAATTATGATTCTGGGAATCTATATTATGTGGAATAAGTTGAAGCAGCCACATTTAATTTAAGCATATCAGAAGATTGTCAAGGAAGAATTCCTCCAGTATAATCCAATAAAGGCACCAGATAATGGTTTAATTTTAAAGTTGTCTCTGTTGCTGATTGTTAAGCAAACTTTGTTATTGTCAATATAGCAACCAGATTTAAAAAAATTTGGACAAACGATTCCGATATTTATGTGAAGATTAACAAAATATGGAGTAGATATCCAGCAGTATATCAAGGATTTTAAGTGAAGTTTTCATTCGAATTTAAAGCTAATTAAATTGTTTAATTTGCTTATATGCCACCTTGGTCTTACAAAAAGAATTAAAAGTTTTTTGACTTTTATTTTTCTTAATTACATCCTGATATCTATTTCAGAAGAGAGACTATTGCACATTCATTAGAAGGAAGAAACATTGAATTAATTACTATCACTAAAGATGGGCCTCACGAGTAACAAGAGTATTATTGCCCAGAATATTTATTTCCAGATAAGTAATTAAATGAAGGGTTAATAAAATTCAAGAAGTAATATATTTTAATTTCATGTCGTGTCCATGCAGGGGAAGTACCATCGTCATTTATTTTGAAAGGAATTCTTGAATCCTTACAAAATTATAATGAATCTGCTAAGTTTTTACTTGAAAACTATGTTTTTTTAATCATTCCAATGCTAAACCCAGATGGAGTTTATCGTGGTCATTATAGATTAGATTCACTGGGATATGATGAAAATAGAGTTTACAATAGAATTGTAAAATTTCCAAAATTTAATGGTCCTTTGGCAGTCTTGGAAACATGTAAAAATTACAATGTAGCCTTCTATATTGATCTCCATGCGCACAGTGTACTTAGTAATAGCTTTGTTTATACAAATTGGCATCCTGATCCATCTATTCATCAAGCTATACTAGTAAAATATTTAATTATTAGTAGGAATTCCCTAAACAATTGAAATCAAAAGTAGTTCATTTTCGTATAAAGGAAGCTATGTCAACCTAAATAAATTATGAAAAAAATTAGTATGAAATTGAAGGAATTTACACTGAGAAAGCAGAAAATTTTTAAAAAGCACCAGACCTCAAAATTCACTTCACAAAGGAGAATCTAGTACCTTAAAGTATGAATGATGATTGTCCATATTCCATAAATCCATATTTGACAGGAGTTGCAAAATCTGATGTTTATCTTACAACACAAGTGATGTTTAGTTATACTCTAGAAGTTAACTACCGGTTTTATACAAAAAACAAATAAGTATTTAAATATGAGATTAATGACTTTGTTAACTTAGGAAGAGATATTATAGAATCACTTTATTAAGTTCATCAAAATTAAGATTTTATCTAAATAAAATCACAACTAGAATCAAATATATTTAACTGACAGAACTTTTTTAATTAAATATAAATAAAATTTAATTAATGAAAAGAATCCTAATCTGTTTGCTTTTCATATCTTTGATATCAGCCAGAGCTGTAAATCACCTTACAGATGCACCTAAAGCAGCCGATCCAAAAGCAGCTGATCCAAAGGCAGCTGATCCTAAAGCAGCCCCACCTAAAACAGAAGCACCTAAAGCCGCCGACCCCAAAGCAGCCGATCCAAAGGCAGCTGATCCAAAGGCAGCTGATCCAAAAGCAGCTGATCCAAAAGCAGCCACACCTAAAACAGATGCACCTAAACCAGCCGATCCCAAAGCAGCCGATCCTAAAGCAGCTGAACCTAAAAAGGATGAAGGAAAGAAAGAAGAACCCAAAAAGGATGAAGGAAAGAAAGAAGAACCCAAAAAGGATGAGGGAAAGAAGGAAGAGCCAAAAAAAGATGAAGGAAAAAAAGAAGAACCTAAAAAAGATGAAGGAAAGAAGGAAGAGCCCAAAAAGGATGAGGGAAAGAAAGAAGAACCTAAAAAGGATGAAGGAAAGAAAGAGGAACCCAAAAAGGATGAAGGAAAGAAAGAAGAGAAGAAGGATGAAAAGAAAGATGAGAAGAAAGACGAGAAGAAGGATGAAAAGAAAGACGAAAAGAAGGATGAGAAGAAGGATGAAAAGAAAGATGAGAAGAAAGATGAGAAGAAAGATGAGAAGAAAGATGAAAAGAAAGACGAGAAGAAAGATGAAAAGAAAGATGAAAAGAAAGACGAAAAGAAAGATGAAAAGAAAGACGAAAAGAAAGACGAAAAGAAAGATGAGAAGAAAGACGAAAAGAAAGATGAGAAGAAAGACGAGAAAAAAGATGAAAAGAAAAAGGAGGAGCCAAAATAAAGCCCAGAAGAAAAGAAGTTCAGATCATGCATTGAAGATAAATGTGGTTCATAAGCTAAAGCTTGTGATAAGGATTGCAACTCAAAATTAGAATAATGCAAGAATGTAGTTTATGTTGCTGGATATCAAGCTGTAAGACTATATATTTATATTTATAGTATTTGGATTGCATTAATGAGAGTAAGCCTGCAGTTGCCCTACTTGATTGTGTTTAATCTAAATGCTTAGAGTGAAAATAATTCTACATTTAAAAATATTCATATATAAATATATTTAAGAAATAAATTGCTCATTGCTAAAGTTTGTCAACTTTCTAATTATTAAACAAACTTTAATTATGAAAACTCTTGAAAAAGATCCATATTAAAAATACACATATATTTCCAATGTATTCTCATTAATAAATCGCATTTATAAAAAGTGGATCAACTTCTTAGTATATTTATATTGATTATTTAATTATTATTTTAGAAAAAATGTCTAATAACACAGAGGAAGAATTGCTAAGTTAAATGTAGTAAATCATTGAAAATGGAATATTAAAAAATATTGAAAATGTATAGCTGAAAAATAAAGTTCTTCAAAGTCTTTAGTTGAAGAGAGTTTCAAAGTTAACTTTAATTGGTATTGATATAAGTATAGAATTAAATTATATTAAGTCCTTGACTTAAAGTTTCGAGGTGGATCAACCCAACTGAAAGATAAATACTCAAAAACATATGTTAAGCTGTTTGCTTAATTACCTTAACCAAAAGATGAGATTATCAATTTCATTCTTTTCTTAATAACATATAATATTCATTGGTATTTATGGAAAGACCCAGAATACAAAGAACAAGTGAACATTAGGTAGTTTTTTCAAAATAATTGAAGATTTGTATACGATTGTTATCATATAATGATATTTTACTCTAATGGATTATATGTATCAGATGCATATATAAGAGGATAAATAGATAAAATCTTTACGTCTAAGTTTTTAGAGTATAAGAGAATTTAAGATTAGATTATAATGTAAAAGAAATTGGAATAAAAGAGAAAAGCTTAAGAGAAAACTTTTTTAGGAAGGAAACTTATGTTCCCTAATCTTTCAGGGGATGGATTAACATTTGCTAAACATTTAAGTGAAAAATTGAAACCCCAAAAAATAGTGAGAAAGGATTCTACAAAAATTGAATAGTTTGAAGATCAGAATGTATAAGTATCGGCTTAAACTAAATATTTACTATCTCATCTTTAACTAAACGTTAATTAAGTTTCTCCTTCAGTAAAATTAGTTTTACATATGAATAAACCACAAGTTCCATTTTCAAGACCCAAAATGCTTTAGCATAATTTCGAAAAGTCAGACGAAAAACTCAAATTTGTTGGTTTGCTTAATAATCAGCCTTAAGTGTAGAAAAAATAAGATATAAAATATACTCAGAATATTTTAGATAAATTTAATTTGAGAGCTCCTCCAAAAGAATATTATTAAAAATTTGCAAAAGTAGACCCCTTATTTAAGGAAATGCTTGAATTAAATTATGTTCTTAACAACCATTAAGAGAGTCTTCATGATCTCTATTAATTCAAGGAGTTGGGACAATATGAAGTTTAGATGCCATTATCTGAAGAGTCCCCCTAAGAGTAGAACATTCAACATAAGTCACAATTTGATAGTCCTGAAGATGGAACCAATACATAGCCAGTTTAATAAGATTAACCTCAAATTACTTTGCCTTAAGTTTAAACAGAATAGAATTTAAAGATTACAGATTCAATAAATATGCTTGGTTAGCGATAGTAATAGTAACAGAAATAAGATGTTCCACTTTATTAGTCAAAATAAAAAGAATACAAACAAAAATATGATAGATTTATTTAATCTGAAAGCACAGATAATAAAATTAATAGTATATATGTTGATCTCCAGAAGAAGTAACATGTATTAATGAATCATCACCATAAGAGTTCAAGAAGAAAATGATAGTATTTATAAAAAATGTTGAGTCATATGCTGATTTCTAAAAATTCAACTAAATATTTTTCCTACTTTAACAATTTTGTACATAAAGGTTATATAAAAATTCTCATCACTTGTGGAATTTCGAGTTCAAGTCTTCGAGTTGATGTACTTTTTTATTTAAAGTATTTTGTTATAATAATTGCTTGACAAAGTTTTTATATTTCATTACTAATACACTCCTAAAATGATATCAGAAAATAGAATATCTAATAACTTAATTTAAAGTTATCTGTTAATGGACCAAGTATTGACATCTCAACTCAATAATATCTTATATAGGCCTAATTCTCTAACAGGAAGCAACATCTTAATCTGAAAATATTGGATTCTATTTTTTTCATATTTAGTTAAATATAAGTTTAACTTCAAGTAATTTCGGTGATTGATTTACTTCATAGCAAGATTATTGATTTCTTCTTTGAACTCAAATCTTTTATTTTTAAAGTAATCTCTAGCATCTTAAAAAATGAATTAGCATTTTTATTGTAAAAATACAATGGCTGAGGGCCATTTGTTGTCTAGTTAGTGTGGATATAATATATATTAACGCTTATGATTTAGTCTCTAATTTGCGAACATCATTGATTTGAAATCTGAAGATCGGATATCCGGATCTTATGGGATGGTTTAGGAATTCAAGAGGAGAGGGACAATTTGTTCAAATTCATGAGTCTTGTTATTCATATTTTCATTAATTATTAAGACATTTTTAGAGCTAAGAATAAACAATTACATTAAAATTCCCACATACATCGTCAGTAGCTGGGTGGAGCGACAAGAACTAGAGGAGGACAGATTGACCACAGAACTGAAGGAGATATTGGTAATCAAAATCAATTTTAGAGCTCAACAGAGGGAAATCTATTAAGTTAATTATTAAATGTCCTATCACATAGACAACAATCTGTTTCAGAAACTTTTATTAATAAATATGTACAATATCCATATTCTAATTTATGGGTTCTTAATTATTTAATATAATGAATATTAATCAAACTTAATTTAGTTTTGAGAATGAAAAGCTGAAAATAAAAATCAAGTACCTAGAGGATTTTATTGAAAATTCTAATAATTATGAAAAAACTAATTAGCTCTTTGATCTCAAACAATTTCTATCCAAAAATTATAAAAGATTCAGCATGTTATTAGATGAGATCTACTATTTGAAATAGTAAGTTGAAGGAGAGCAGATGCAAAGGATTAGTGAGGCTTAGAAACTGTAAGCAGAAATCAATTCACTCAGAATGACAACTGGCTCACTTTAACAATAATTGACTTAATCTTAACTTTAACTATAATAATAATAACAATAACAAATTGAAGAAAGTGAACCTGATATTTATAGAGGATCTTTGAATCCAATTTAAAGATTAGAACAAATAGAAAACCTTGAAAATACTATCAAATAATTATCAGATGAAGTATCAAATTATTTTTAAATAGATAGAAGAAATTACTCAACTCAATATCAAATAAAGAGAGTAGTTAAAAAAGAAAGACTTTTTTAGAGAATATGAATTGATGTGCAAAGAAACAGAAGGATTACGCTAACAAAATGCAAAATTGTTAGAATAATTAAAATCTGGCAATTCTAACAGAACGAATACTAATCCATAAAACCAAGGAAATATGAATGGATTTTGAGTAACATTTTTCTATATATATTATTAAAAGTAATAAACAAAAAAGCATCATTTATATGTTCTAGGTGCTTAGTAATAATCTTATCGAGGTTTATATTCCAAAGCTGTTGGTTAGGCTTCTAAAGGCTTTCTTTGCTATTATTATAAGCTGTCAAAATATGCCTTCTATTATTCTATTTCTTCCCTTGTCAAACCCAAAGCTAGGTAATCTATGTCGTTATCAACAGCTTTAGGTAATTGTCTAAATCATCATAATTTTATATACTAAACTATGGATTCTGGTTATTAAATATATTATCTTTGTAAATTTTGAACTGAGAACTTTTTATCAATAACTCGATTATCTAATTTCTTATTCCCATAGTATTTATTTTCTTGTTATTTATTCAAATAGGAATTAGGATAGTTTTATCGTTATTCATTCAGTTTTTTCTCTGGAACTCTCTCCTAGTATGGCAATTAATTAGTATATTTGCCATTTAATTTTTATTATTATGAATAACCATTTTTTATATCTTAATTGTCTGAACCTTATCTTTGATAAGATTTGTTGGTTTAAGAGGATAATCTTTTGGTTTACTTCTGTGTTCTGCTGCAACTTGTTATTACTATTAATTAAAATTGTAATTTTATTATTGGATCTTGTGATTTTGAAAAATAATTATCTACTTTAGTTTCAATATATTTATTATGTAGATTATCGAATTTATTATTATTATTATTATTAGTAATTATAAGGGATGGGTGGCTTTTCATAACCAAAATCTCATGCTTTGCTTATAACTATTATTAAGGTCTGTTAACTTATTCAGCTTCAGCCTGATACTTTTATTTATAATCAAAATTTTTGTAATCAGGCTTGAATGGTTGAACATTTTATTTAGGTTATTACGAAATTTATGGATTTTCATCTGTTTTTTTGATATGGTATTTTTATAAAGCAATTTCTTTGAAGTTGGTGGTACACGCGTAGCCATATGCTTAGTTAGCTCTCTTATCATTATATATTGTTTGCAAATATCACACTTTTCTGTTCTACTACCACAAATGTTTTCATGTTAAAATATTAATTCTCTTGCTTAATCCAATCCACAGTGTATGCATGAGATTGGTTTTTTCGGACATTAAGTGTGTTTTAAAATATCTATGTTAATGTATTATAGTACCTTAGAATATTTCTTTACAAAATCACAAGAAGTGCCGTTATGAAATCTTCTTCATGAGATTAAGGATCATTTTATCAAAAAAATTATCCGCATCTCTTACATTCTATATTATTTCTAATGCAATAAATTTCATGAAATGCAAATATTGTATCTGCTACTAGGGCTCTGCAGTTTGAACACTATTATGTCTGTTGGGGCATTATTTTTTAATTAAATAATTGTTGGTTGAAATATTTATTATGAGAATAGGTCCAATAAAGATAAAACTTAAACCATTACTTGTTTATACCCCAATTATATTTGCTCCATTGGCTCTTTTTAATTGGTATGAATATAGAAAATTGAACCTTGAGTTTAAGCACAAGGAAGATGAAATAGTTCTCCAAGCTCAATTAAAAGCAAATAAAATATCTGATAAATCATTTCCAACTGTGTATTTTGATCCTTATAATCAATTTTTTATGGAGATGGAGGATTTATAGGGCCAAATAAAAATATTTGTATTTTCTGATTAATCAACATATAAAAGGTATATTTTATTTAATTTTAGGATGCATTCGACTTTGTAAAGCCATCTTAGTAGATTTCAAGCAAATTACTTCAACATTGTTGCCCAGAAACAATTTGATTCTAACTTAGGAGTAGGCAATTAAAAATCAACTCAAATACTTACAATTGAAAACCAGATTGAAAATTAAGTGATAGTTACATATAACAATGAGATTATATTTTCTGATAAGTTATTGGAGAGAAATGATAAATAAGTGTAAGTAATTGAAAGATAGATTTCAAAGATGATTGAAAAGGAATTTTTGAGTAAAATAAAATTTTGAGTAATATTATAAATATATAATTACTCCTCTTATTAATCAATTTTGAGAATAGATTAAACATCAATATAGCGTGCCAATTTCAATTAAAAGATAAAACTCCTTATTTGTATTCAATTGCTACTTTATAGGAATGTTACTTGAATAAGAGAAAACCTTTGTCTTTTTTTAATTTGAAAATCAAAGATCGACTTTAAGAGCATAATAAAATTGGCCTAGAGAATTAATTATATATATAATGCTTGGCAATTGTAAACTTCAATAATTGAATTTGGCTAAATTTGTTGAAATTAGTAGCAATAGTAGTAGAATATGAAATTATTGATTTAATAAGTATTATAAATAAAATATGGATTTATAAAATTAGAGAAGAAAGAGCAAATTTTCATTTTCTCGAGCTCCTGTTTGTGATAACCCATAGTCAAATACATTGCAATAATTAAAGAATAAGTTCAAAGGTAAGAGTTTGATGTAGAATAGAACAGGCTAGATGTTACAATTAATAAATAAGAATGATAATGGAAATAATAAAGAATAGGAAATATAATAATTTTTAAGTCGAATAAGCGTTGAATTAGATGGGGATGATTATAAATATATAAAATTTGAGCTGAGTGAATTTTAAGAGAAGTATGTGGAAGGGGAAGTTTTGGGAGAAGGATGTATAGGATTAGTAAAGAGCATAACAAGAAAGAATGATGGACAAGAATTTGCATGTAAGACAGTTAAAACTGATGCTGAGGAAATAGTGAAGAATGTAGATAATAATCATATATGAGTTAGATGATATTGGAATTCAAGAATCTAAAAAAGTTGAGTCATCCTCACATTGTAAAAATGGAGGAATTATATATTCAATGGAATGAAGGATTCCAATCAACTGGGACTGTTTATGTAGTAATGGAGAAGGTAAAAGGTAGTGAGATGTTTGAAGTGATTTAAAAATAAAAGAATTACAGTGGTATTTAAATAAATAAGAGTAGAGTGCATTGCCAGAATCTTATTTAAATAAGTATTGGAAGCAATTGATTACATGCATGAAAACTATTGTTGTCACAGAGATTTGAAACCTAATAATATTTTATGTGCAGAAGATGGTAGATCTATCAAGATTACTGATTTCAATGTAAATTATGCTTCCTAACTAATTAAGGTGTCTAAGTTTACGGATGGATACAAGGAATTTGGGAATCTGAATGAACATGGAAAAATAGAGATGTGGACATATACAGGGACGGTTGCCTTTTCAGCACCAGAGATATTCTCGGGAGGGTTGTACAAGTAACAACCTTCATTTATTTAGTGAATAAGTGGATTTATGGAGTGCAGGAGTGATCTTATATGTAATGTTAAGTGGAGAATTACCATTTAATTCTCAATATTTAAATGATTTGATCGACAAGATTTAATAATGCAAATACGAAATGGTCGGTCCCATTTGGGATTAGATATCTTATTAAGCTAAAGATTTGATAAGCAACTTATTACAATTTGATCCTTAAAGAAGACTAACTCCATAATAGGCTTTGGATCACCCTTGGGTTAAGAATGTACAGAACTAATCAGATTTGCCGAGGGATAGATTGAAAAAGAATATGGCTCGATTTTTGAATTGGAAACCTCAAGAAACTTAGGTGAGTGAAAAGAAAATTAAATAACTTTGCTTCCTTTTTGGAGCAGGGGAAATTTGGAAAAGACATTCGGTTAAACATTCATCAGTCTCTACTCTTTCAGAAGAATTTAAGAAGTTCAAATCAATTGATATAAGTTCATTCAAAACAAACGAACATATACAAGTGGTTAAGGATTAAAATTCAAATCATGTATATCATATTGATTACCCCTTTAGTGATGATGAATCTGATTGATATATTTAAATACATATATGTATATTTGATATTATATAACAACTCATTCAATCAAACTCATCTTTCTTTTTAATTAATTGATCCTTCTCGTACATAATGTAAATCCAAGATTTCCTCTTGCCTCCCTTTACAGAATCAACTATGTATGGTTGGATCTAGGTGGGCTCACCATTATGAGCCCAAAATTCATCTTCCATATCTTCCTTTAATTCTTAAAATGATTTCTATTATGCTTTTTCAAAATACATCATCAAAAAGCAAATAATCACACAATTTCAATCCAGCCATAAAGCCTACAAACGATAAAACATGATTTTTGATTAGGGTTTCGTTCTAGAATTTGCGAATAATTGAAGTCATAAATAATTTATTATATAAATATATATATAAATTATTTATAGATGTGTGCTTGTATCAAAATATTATTATGAGCACACTTCCAAAGAATGTATTTATAATTTGTATTCGTTTTTAATAATAATAATAAAATGAAAATACTATTATTAGTTCTAATTGGCTTGGTAGTATTCACATAGGATAATAGGCATTATGCAAATTAGGCACAGATCCAAAGATAGTCTTAGCCGAAATCGATGACCATCATATGGGCAAAACATTTTTGAATGCTATTCAAATCAGTCTTGCAACTGGATCACCTGTCCATGAAATTCAAAGCTACATCAACAATATCAGGTAATTACAAAGCATAACATCAGATTCATGTTGGAATAAGAACAAAAGGATTCAGATCTCTTTATTCAAAATACGTAAGCCTCTTGCAATAGACTGTTGCATGACTTTTCCACAAACTTGGCTTATCATCAAAGCTAATTGAAGGCACACTAAAAAATAGTTGATGTTAGATATATTATAATAATCTTAGGAAAACACAAACAATTTATAAAGATCACTCAATAAAATTGCTGAAGTCTCTGTGGAAATTGAAGAAAATTCAAAGAAAACTAATGCAGGATAGAGTGAAAGAGATTTATAGTATGCAGAATTCTAATCCAAAATAAAGGATCATACTGAAGCAATTTCAGCAATAGATGAAGCTTATGCACTCATTGAACATTTGTCTGGAGGTTCTTCATTCATTCAAGTTAAGGGAAGATTTAACAAAGTTCTATAGAGATTACAAAGGTATTTCGATTTCAGTATGTGGTAGTCAATCTACAGGTTTGTTGTTTTAACCAATCTTAACTATGATGACTCAATTGTCTTCAAAATCAGATTCAGACACTGCTAAGAAAGTGCTTTAATTGTTGGCTAATTTGAGAGTTCAGATAGTTGAAAGCAAAGGAAATGATGAATCCATTGAGAAATAACAAAATTTGAATTGGTAATAATTCTTGTCAGACTTGACAAATGAGAAAAACACATTGTAACAATTCTATGCTGTATATATTTAGATCAGATCAGAGATAGAATTTAGAATAAGCAATATTGAATTATCAAAGCATAATTGAAGAGTCTGAAGGGAAAGTGGAATATCACGCTGCTGAAGTAGAGAGAAATCAGGTAAAAAGAAAGTTATACAATAGAATAACTTAGAAGGATAAGATTAATGGTGTAGATAACAATAAGATATTTATTAGATGGAAACTCAATCCAGAGTTTAGACCTAGGATCTCATATCAAGAATATCTGATCACATCTAAGATAAGATCGTTACACTCAAGGAGTATTTAAGAGAGAGACTTCAATTAAATTGATATTTCTTTAAGTATTGATATTAATAAAAAACAATAAAATATATATGGAGAAAAAAAAGTTTTACTCTAATTCACAAATTGAATTGTAACTTCTGGTTCTAGACTAATTTTATCATGCTGCTCTCTAGTTTGAATTATTATGCTGAATTTTCCTAATTTAAAAATACATGGCTATTTAAATATTGAAATAAAATACTTTATTAGAAGGAGTATTTATCCACTTTCTTCCATTAAAGTATATAGAAATCGCGTTGGTAAGATTGGGACTTTAAATTTATGAAGGCATAGCCAGGATTAGTGGATCCATCAAAAGACAAGTTAAAGTATTCAAAAATGTTTTGGATCGATTTTCATCATAATCATTTCATTGATGTAGCCTAAATGTTTATCTTTTATGGATGTCCAGAAATCAAATCAGAACTACTTCTTTTAATGTAAACAATGATGAAGAGATAGTATTTTTTGCATATTCCTCATAGATTTTTATCTATTTTTCACATATTTTACAAAAATAATTCTTTTTTTTTCAACAAATATTAAAAAATTACATTTCATCTTAACTTTTTTCAAATCAAGATTATTTACAATGATTTAATATTTAAAGAGTAAAGGATAATACAAATGAATAATAAATTAGATATTTACTATTATTGGCTGCCGTAAGTGCAGGAAATCAACGGCGTGGATTATGAATCCTCTTCATATTATCGGCGACAATTATGAAGATATAAACGGTGAATTTTGGAATGAATCTGTGAGTTGAATTCAATGATCAGGAGATGCCAGAACACAAGAGGGGATGAATCAGATAAGCGATACCTCTAAAGAAGCAAACAACTGTTAGAAATTACGAAGGAGATTTTATATCCAACAGCGATGACATGCTTGCCCTTCTTACATACCAAGATGACCATATAGAAAATCTAGTAAAAAGCCACCTATGGAAAAATTAAAAAAAATTTTGTTAAATATGCTGTAGGACAATTTGGCAGTGGATGGGTATGGTTTATAAAAAATAGGACCGATGTATCATCTCTTCGGTCAAAAAAGGATGCAGAACTACTACTTTTATACCAGGGAACTGTATTCGTATTTTGTGATGTATGGGAACATTCTTATTAATTAGACTATCAAAATCGTCGGGCTAATCATGTTAGGATGTCATCTCACATCTTTAGAATGGGGATTTTGCTGAAGATAATTATTTAAAATTTCCTTTTAAAAAATACATCTGTCATCATCCGACTATCTAAAATACTGTGTCCTGGAAGAAAGATAAAGGATCTTTCACTTGGAGAGCTCTTTTGATACAGATTCTATCAAATCCCCTAACTTTGGCGCTAAGCTGAGTAGTATAATAAAAAAAATAGGGCGAAGATGAATAAAGTCATCCAACATTGTATAGTTAAAAAGGCTATAAAATAGCTATTAATTATGCCTGACCATTTTTTCGCAAAACTTATTAAAAGAAAAATCTTTGGACCATCAAAATAAGAACTTATAATATATACACCGTAATATCACTAAGAACAGCAATGATTATTACAAAAATATTAACCCTTTACTTGATATTGCCGAAAAATTACCAAAAAAAATTAAAACTATAAAAATCCCCAATATACCACAAATACATCCAAGAGGAAGTTTAAATGATATACATATTACAAATTTTTACTAAAGCAATCCCCTTTCCACATACTAGTAGATGATCTAAAGTCAATTTGCCCCACATCCAATGCAAATTATCCAAAATACCAACAACAATATACAAGAAGTATATATATACGTTGATAAAATAACGTCATATTGATTATTTCAATATAACCATTTTCAAATATTAAAGATGTTCTTCGCGCACTTCATCAAACTGACTTGAACATTGTTTAAATCTTAAATTGCAAATACCAAATCTTCTACATTAAAATCTGGCCAATATTTATCAGAAAGATAAAGTTCCATATAGCTAGATTGCCAAGGTGATGTATATAAAAATTTTGTTATAAAATTTTCAAAAAGCTCATCAATTGTATACACTCCTTCGTTTATTTTTCGACAAGTTTTTTGCATAACTTGCAAATATCATTTCTTCCGCAATAACTAAATGCAATTTTTAATCGAAGATATCTATTGTTTGCCGTTAAATCTTCTACTTCTTGAATCAACTTTTACATAAAGGGAGATAAAACCTGCCTTTGATCAATAACACATATACAAACACCATTTTTTGCAACAGATCTCTTTTATTTTTAGATAATATTCCATGAAACGTAAAATAGCCTTCAATTCGCCAACAGGCCTTTTCCATTTTTCTGATAAAAGCAAAAAACCTGATAAATAATTTATACCTAATTGATGGCACCCTTCAACAATACTTCGCAAAAATAATAGATCCTCTTCTATACGCATTTATTTTCATTTCGTTGCCCATCTGCCATTTCTATCCATAATAATAGTCACATGAAAAAAAGAGTCTATTTTTCATTATGCAATCATTCTTTTTTTAAATTAAAAACCATTTTTTTGTTCTACCCATAATGTTTTATACATCCCACCAATAGATAAATCGTTGAATGAGAAACTATCTTCAATAATTTTTCCATGACCTTACACAATAAAGTTGATAATTTATGCGTTATAATAATAGCTGTTTTATTTTTGATAAACTCCCATAACCATTTTGAATAATTTGCTCTGTCAGTGATTCCATGTTTAATGTTGCTTCAAAATAAGAATAGGTGCATCTTTAAATTGTACCTGCTAAAATAAAACTCTGTCTTTGACAAACTGATAATTTTTCGCCTTTTTCTCCAACAAAAGTCTTATACTCTTTAGGGGATCCATATCGAATTTTGTCTTCTAAGTTTGTGGGGTTTTTCTCATCATTAAGGTGGTTCTGTTATTGCAATCAATCTAAAATTTAAGTCTGGAATCATACATTTGTTGTGTTGAAGTCAAATGATTATTCGCTTCTTCGGGTTTGTCAAAATCATCCTTGAATAAATTGAGGTAATTCAGAGTGAATTGAACTAAAAGTTTGATTGCTACTTATAAAGATCTATGATTCTTTGAATAATTAAAAGGAATGAGTACAATAAGCTTCGAGTGTAGAGTTTAGAAATTCATCAGATATAGACGAATGGTTTAAAATATTTAATCAACGTAATTAAAATGCTACTCTTTTTGTAATAAAAACAATCTCATTTTAATTAGCAGAGATTGATTTAGTATCTAATTTACAAAAAATAGGAAAAAATAGATATTATTTGTCCATATATTAGTGCTAAAATTCCTATCTATTCTATTTTAGAAAATCTAGTAATTACTCCAAGATTTGTTTTTATGGACATTAACAGATTGTTACAACTATTGATAATCGCAATATCGAAAAAAAAATTTGATTTCATACTATAAGCCAATTTTGAAAGACTTTCAGAAAAATCTTTCCAACGGTTTTCTTCTTCTGAATTCTTTATTGGTATTGCCGTGTCTCTTAAAAAGATATTTTAATCCTAGTTTTATAACAAAAAAGGAATTATTTTTGCAATGAAAAAATATAGATAATAATGTATAAGGAATATTTTAAAAAAATACTACCTCTTCATTATTGTTTACAATACAAAAAGGTGTTAAGGGGTGTAAAAAAAATCAAAGGGTGATGTGTTGAATTATGTTACGTGCTTTTTGCCAGCGTTGATGAATGCCATTTTGTTTAAAAGGGTCTTGTTCTTGGATTGGGAGCAAAGGGACCATTCCAGTTAAGCACCATGTATAACGCTCTGTCTCTTTTGCATAGTATTTGGCGTTGATAGGAGTAATTTTGGTGGCGATAGATTCTAATTGTTGTAATGCATGGTTAATAACAGCACGAGTATGGCGAACTTCAAGTGGATCTTGATTTGTAATAGGTTGAAAAAAAGAAGGACAATGTTCTTTTGCAACCATTTCTATGTCTTTTGTGATATTTTCGATATACCAATCAACTTCTGCTTCTAGAATCTAATGTTTTATTTTAGGCAGCTCAATATCATAATTTATATAATTAGGATTGCTCTAATAACGATCAACATATCTGGCATAAGTTGCTGTATTAACATATGCATGAACATCAAAGAGATTATGCATATATTCTAAATTAATAAGAAAATCCTGTTTTAGAAACTCATTTATTTCTTTTTTTTCTATCCATTATTCTAAAATATCTTGCCGAGCTTCTAAAAGCATTTAATAAGAGAACAAACCATTTTCTAAAGCACTTATTAAAGAAAGCATTATTTCTGTAGAATTTTCAGAACCATGATTATTTACTTCTATCTCTTCTGCCTCAGTTGAAAATGTTGCGTTAACAAATTGTCTATCCATCGCTAAACCTTTAAAAATAAAATATAACTATTTAAAATAATGTTCATTTATATAGTTTTTTCTTGTTATCTAATTAATTAACAACTTATTAAACTTTTAAATTATGTTAAAAACAAATTTATACATCATTAAATAAATTGTTCGACCCTTTATTATTTCTCTGGTTTTGGAGCTTCGTATTACCCTGGATTGTTGAGTTCTGCATTTCGTTGTTTTCTATTCTTAGATTCCTTCATTTCTTGTCTCTACTTCTTTTTATTCATAAGATATTTAGGTAGATGTCTATGTTTTGCAATTCTCTTGATTTCTGGATTATACTTAAACTTCTCTTTAAGTGCCTATCTATAATTCGTTGCATTGGCTTCTCTTTGATTAATAGTTCCTACCTTCTGACTGGCATTGACCTTCCAAATTCTGATGTTCATATCATTAGATCCACTATACACAAATTAAGCATCAGCTGAGAATGAAACTGAGTTCACTTATTGCATTCTCTATCCGTGATACACTTCCCTTGAATATCCTTTATTGAATGGGAAAATCCTAATAGTTCTGTCAAATGATCCAGAAACGAATTCCCTCCCACTTGAACTAAATGCAACTGACATGACAGCCGAAATGTGATCTTTATGGATCATAGTAGGCTATTCAATCTTCCTGATATCATAAGTATAACAATTTGAATCATCATTTCCAATCACAATATTTAATGGTTCAATGGGATTCCATGCCAAACATTAAGACTTATTCAACATAGCCACTTTATGAATTGCAGATTCAGCTCTTACATCATACAATATTACACATCTATCCATTGAAGTTCCACAAATTAAATTACTATCAGCTGGAGAATATTTCACACAACTCACTGAATCCACTCCCCATTAGAATTTCATTATTGGCTTTGGTCTTTCATAATCCCAAACCTAAACTACCTATCCTGCAGTAGCAAATTATGATAACTAGTAATTGTGATCAACATTCCCCAAAGTTCCTTTACTTAAATATCTCATCAATGGTTCTTAAAATGTATTATTTGATTATTCCAATAATTAAGGAAAATCATATAAATTGATGGTCTTGTCTTCACCAGAAGAAACTACACGCATTCCATCTCTACTAAATGAAACTCCCTTCACCATCTATTAATGTGCATCTATTAAATATAGTGATTATTTCCTTACTTAATTAAATTAATGTTCTTCTACTGGGAATATCCCAAATTCGTATTTCTCCATCATAGCTTCCACTTACTAATTTTGACAAGTTAAATCTGCATGCTTCAATGCAACTTACTCCATCTGAGTGTCCATTCAATGCTCCCAAGAATGGTTGAGCGTATATTTTCTCTACTTTTGTAGCCACTAAAGCACGTTGATATTCTCTAGCATGTGCTAAAGGATGTACTTTTGGATTAGGATTCCTATATACTTTAGTAATATCAGCATTTGTCGATCTTTCTTATCCAGACCTACAGATTGTGTTGAATTTTACCATAAATTATTAATATATACATATATTAATATTAAAAATGAATTTTATACAAAGGGCTGCTTATCGTTATGGATAAACCAATCTCTCCAAACTTGAGTAAATTGGATTAAGCCATACCAAAAGTGTCAATTTGTCCCGACCACCAAGGTAATTGAAATATTATCAACAATTAGAAATTTCAATCCAGGACAATAAGCCCCAATAGCTTATACTGAATAATTCACTTATCCAAAGGACTACAGACCTTGGACTATCAATTACAAGTACGAATACTATTAAACTATGATAGTAAGGATGGTGCTTTTTGGATGGTGATGAGTATTTCTTGGTTTGCATATTTTTCATATGAGTTGGCATACTTGAGAAGAACAGAGCAAGAGGAAAGACCTAATAAGGATTATTATGCTTCTTGATGAAGTTAATAAATACATAATATAAATTATTAAAATCGATGAAAGTTGATCTTGACAATCTTAGCAGTGATGATGATTTACTATTTCATACAGGCTTGGGATTTAAGAAATCTAAGGTAAATGATGATGATGAACACGAAATGGAGATGGAAATACCAAAATACAAGATCCCCCAAAAATAACAATAGAGAGCTCGATTAAATCTCTTTTAGGAATAGTTCGAATAAAATCCAAAAGAGTAAGTTTAGGAATCCCCCAACAATTAACACTAACAAATATATAAAGAATACCAGAGAAATTAAGCATTTGCTAATTTTCAAAAATCCAATGCCTCTCTTTTGTCTAATGTCGAGAAGGGTGTGACAGTAAAGATAATTGATAAGAATATGCCAAAGAATGAAAAAGTAAATCAAACAGAGTATAGGATAAAATAAAAGCGATAGGTTCAATTTAATCTTGAGAACAATATGGTTCATCCAATAGTTAAAAATGAAGATGAGTATTTGACCTTGGCAGAGAAGCTTCATCTTTCAAACAACATCAGACGTTCTTGGTAATTGTACAGAGTCAATTCTGATTCTGAAGGAGAGGCTTAGGATGATGAGAGTGATGATTCCATAATTGAGGTAGTGAGTTCAACTCCCTCTCCTAAACCAAAGGGCATTTTAAAGAAGAAACCCTAAGTTTTTAAAGAGGATGATGGCAAGAAAACAATAACTGTGGAGCAAGTTGCATTTAAAGATAGTAGAAATAAAAAAAATCTATCTTAAAGAGAAAAAAAAACATTAGAAAAAAGAGTTGAAGAACATGACTATGGTGTTGGGTTGAAGTTTTTGTAGAAATTAGGATATAAATACGGAGAAGGGTTAGGTGCGAATAAGTAAGGTATTCTGGAACCAGTGATTGCAGTAAAGAAATAATCATTTACAGGGGAGGGAGTCTAGGAATACGAATATTAAAATGAGGAAGAGGAGCAAGAAAATGAGAATAATTCCACTTAAGACAATAATTAGAAGCCTTTTTTTCAATCTAAAAAACTCAGTAAATATGAAAAACAATGGAGAAAAAAGAAGAATAAATAAGATGGGTAGCCTACTGTTTAAAACAAGAAAGAAGAAGTACTGAATTTAGATAGGAATCACATCATGGACAGTCTTATTAAAGACAATTAGAATAGTAATAAATATAAGATAATTGATATGACAGGTAGTGATATTAATGATTATTTAAATAAGACTTAGGATGTACAAGTGACAAGTAGTAAAGTAGTTAGGGAATATTTGAAGGAGGTTCAAGAACTAACTTGGTCAGTGTAGAAGATTTTAGAAAAACGTTTAGGAAAATGGGAGAATAATGAATAGAGTATTAAGAAGGAAAAGGATAAAATTATTATTTTGGAACATGAAAAAAAGGAGGAATTATTATAATTTACATAGTGGAATGATTCTGTGAAAAGAAAGGAAGACTTTTTAAAATATTTAAAATTCTTTAAAGAGGATGAAGTTTTGATTTCAAATGATTAATTTCCTATTCTTGCTAAGTTTGAAGAATGCTTTAGGAAGTTTAGTGATTAATTCATATAATTTAATTTAATTGGGTTGTTGGTCAAGAATGCAGAATAGGAAATTAAGGCCCTGACTCTTAAGTGGAAAGGACCCATTACAAAAATAGATATTTTATAAAATGAGCATCATTTAATATCAAAAGTAATCACTTTGGCGAAGGATGTGTATATTTAGAAGAAATCTTAGAATTTAAGCAAATATGCTGAATAATTAGATGTTTTTATAATAAATAATTAAATTTCAACCTCGGATGTGAATAATTTAAAAAGATTTATTGGGATATTGATTGCTCCCATTCTAATCAGACTAAGGAATTATCTTTCTTCAGCATATGATCCAACATAAGAAAACTATTTAGTAGAATTTTTAGAATTGTGGATGAAAGACTTGGCCTTGGTTGAGACTGAAGAGACGGGAGTTAATCAATTTTAGACTATAAGATTGCTGGATTAATAAGTATAAAAGGATATTATGGGTATAGTTATGTCTAAACTAAAACTTAAGATTTAGGAATGGAATCTGAATTCAACAATATCTTTACATTAATGGTTGTAACCTTGGATCAATTCTAAATTGAACAGTAAGGAATTGGTGGAAGAAGTAGAGAAGAAATTGAAACAATTGAAATTTACTGATAGAGATGACTTTGGCTTTAGTGTACTGTAACCTTGGGCCAGATATTTAGGAGATAATTGGAAAAATCTATTATACATGTCGGTTTTACCGAAGATGTTGTTCTGTCTTCACAATTTGGAAATCAACCCACAAAACCAGAATGTGCAGCCAATAAAGGAAATTTTCAAGTGGATAGAGGAAATTGATCCACATATTGAAATGATATTCCAGCCATTAATTGAGAAATTGAACACCACCTTAGAGAATTGGATACGACAGGGGGGAAGTCGAGAGGAGATGCACAAGTAACATAATTCTTACTTATGATTAGGTGGTTGGATGGATGGGAAAGATTCTTGATGAAAAGAGTAATTTAGAGGGTGTATAAGTTTGAAACCCAATTCAGTTCGATGAAATAGAAAATTATTTGATGATAGTTAAGTTTTATATCATTAGTACAATATATTATAAATGTTCTGTTGCTCTCCTCATTCAACTTCATTGATTGACATCTATTAAATTAATGAATAAAATTTTAAAAATAAAATGTAATATCTACTGAAGTTTATATAGAGCTATTGAGTACATAAAGCAAGTAATCAATTGAATTGATCATCGTATTCCTTGAAGCAAGACTTCCTTCTGTTCGATTTGCCCAAACTACACAATTATGGATTTAAATATGAAGACTCAATCGACTCTATACTACATTGTAATTAGGATCTCAATCTTTATCTAAAATGTGTAATTTCCTCTTCTGAGTATCTGAGGAAAACCAGAGTGGAAGCTGCAAAACTTACTTTACGTTCCATTTTGGAAAGACTCCATAATCTCAATTCTGGATCGCAATTCCCTTCAAGAATCTCTTCGTGTACGACAATCTTTTTGGGAGGCATCACAAACTTTAACTTGGGTCCCAAGGTCGTAGTCATTTGATATAAAAAGATAATATTATATTAAATAAAGTAAATTGGATTTTAATATTTTATTGGAATGCTAAACTGACCACCAAAAATGTTTCTCCAGAAAGGAGAGTAAAATTATATCAAATTAAAAGATATTAATTTCAATCTTTTATTTCTAACATTATATATTGATAATATTTATTAATAATTAAATTCCTACTTTTTGTATTGATATTTATCATCCTCTTCAAATCTTAAATTAATATTAATATTACCAATAATATATTCATTTGACATTCTGCCATTTCTCTCAAATAACAGAACCCTCATTTTAAATACATAGAAATATCACTTACAATAATAATTATTAATTAAAATATTGTAAAATGGGAGGTTTTTAGAAGTATCCGATTCCTCGTTATGTGTTGGTAATTATGATCTCATAAATGTCTCTAGAGTGATGCCTGGCTCTACAACAGATAATGGTTTAGACACTCAGTTCATGTGGCTTTTCCAACATTAATATTGTCATTCCTGATTTATAGAGGAGCCGTAGCTTCATAGACACAGAAAATGGGAGAAGACTATTATGTTGATCCATAGGATTATCAATCCCCAAAGAAATTGATTTTCTGAGACTTAAAACACAAATATAAATATATAATAAAATGCAATCAACCAACACTTCAAGTCCCTTGAAACCATCAACTGCTTCTGCAAGTAATACTTATTTTACATAAAATCAGGTAGACCTATTGGACCATATCGTACTGTAATTTTATATAGCAATATCTCTTTTAGATTATTACTAATTATGCTCCATTTGCTACTACTAATCAACGGAATTCCTAGGTAGAAGATTCTCCAATTAAAAAAGTTTAAAAGATTGACAATGACACACTGATTAAATTGATGAAATCCAATCGAGAGGTCCCTAAAAAGTACTCCAAAAGTTCAGATAAAATTATTATTAAGGATATCAAACAAGAATAATAAGAAGATATAGGTTCTGGACTATTTAGAACAGGCTTTGGTAAATTGTATAATGCTTAAGGCATTTTGTGGTATGAAGGATAATTGTTTAATGATCAAATGCATGGTAATGGTATGATGTTTAATCATGATGTAAATTCCTATTTCACCAAATATATTGGGGAATTTCAGTTTGGATAAAGATGTGGAGCTGGAATTGAGTATTACAAAGATGGTTCTATGTATGTTGGCAACTTTGAAAGTGATTGTCGAAATGGAATGGGATAACTAACAAAAAAGAATGGGGAAAAACATAATGGAATCTGGTTAAAAGGTAAATTGATTTCTAAAATATGATTTTTGTTATTTTTAATGGAATTATAAAAATATGCAGATGCTCATTCTCACATCTAAGATTTTGAGAATATCGATCAAATCGTTAAGGAATCAACAGACTCTGGCATTAATCATATAAGTATTGTCACTCTTCATACTATCTGTAGTCTGCAACTCAACGACTTTTGATTTTCTTCCACCATCCCTTCTTAACTTATATCCATTCATAATACCTTGTATAGGTTTGCATCCTTGGTATATCAATAAGGAATAGAATGTTGAGTATGAAAAGATGGAGAATATCTTAAAATCAGACGAGAGAATCTAGGTGGGAGAGATTGGATTAGATTTCATTAAAGCGAAAGAAAAGGAAGATTAGAAAAGACAATGCGAGATCTTTATAAGTTAATTGCAATTGGCTATCAAATATAATAGATCTATGAGCATTCATTGTGTTAGAGCCTCAGGAGAAATGCTTAAAATCTTTAAGAAGCAATTGAAGGGACAGAATTACAATGCTGCTATCATCATGCACAGTTATGGATGTCCAAAGGAAATTACAGGGAGTTTGGATAAATTATATCCAAATTTTTATTATTCTCTTTGTTTGAATATGAAAATGGAACAATTAAATCACATCGATAAAAATAAATTGCTTTTTGAAACCGATGCTCCTTATCAATACAATCCAAACATAGTAGAATCGGAGGATAAAAAATCTCATCCTAAATTTCTGATTAAATTAATCCAAGACTGTGCTACCTATCTAAATGAACCTCTATTGGCACAAATAGTATATAATAATTTTAGAAGAGCACTCAAGTTATGATTATTATTACTGTAGGAAAATGCGAATATATTTAATTATATATATATTTATTGATATAACGTAATCTAGCAGTTAGAAACGGCTAATATTTGGTTAATATTTCATGAGAATATCTTAGTAAGGTTTGAATTTAGAAATTCCGATACAAGTTCTCAATTCTCTTTTATATTACCTTGTAAATTAATGATTGTATCTGTTTATTGCATTAAAATTCATGTTTTTAAATCATAAAATATGTATTCAGATAATACATTATTAATCTTATCAAACAAATGAATTCTTCACAAAGCTCATTTACTGATCTTAACGATTAGGCTTTAGTATACTAAAATCTTCAATCCATTGAACCAGAATATCTATCTTTGAAGCTCAAATTACATTTCAAAACTCTACCCAATTTTGATGACTTTATCAAACTTTATGAGTCATCCAAGATTGGTTGTGACGAAGCTTGGAATCAAAATGAAGAGATTTTCTTATAACTCGTTGTCTTGAGTCTAAATCCTAGATGCATAAAGGTATTATATTAATTGAATATTTAAAGAATCGCTTCGACTGGGAGAAGGTCCAAAAGTTAATGCCAAAGCAAAGGAGTCTGTCAGAATTGTGCTTTAAATTCTAATCTTTCTATAAAGCACAACTTCCCAGACAACCTTGGTCTTCCTTTGAGGATAAAACTTTGTTGCAAATCATTTTGTATTCATATTCCACTATTACTTAGGGACAACACCAGTCGTTGTAAGAAAAAGTGGAGCTCTATTGCTAATCAATACAATCTAATCTGTAAATCTGAAATTCTTAGAAATGCTAAACAATGCCGAGAGAGATGGAACAACAAACTTGATCCATAGATTAATAGGTAATTATAAACATTGAATCATCCTAGAGAACCATGGTCTAGATCTGAGGAGTTACACTTTCTTCAATTGCTTCTTCAGAATGGACGAAGGTGGGCTGACATATCTTTAAAATTGTCAATGATCACCAAATACAAGAGAAGAACTGAATTTGCTCTTAAACACAAATTCAAATAGCTCTAGAAATACTATGGTATTCAAATAATTCTATAAATAGGTCACAAAGCCAAAAGACTCAATAAGACTGATTTCGAGATCAGTCCTCGTTGGAACATTCAGGAAATTGATATGGTCCTATCCAAAATAGAGATACTCTAAGAAAAATAAAAAAAGATGCTAACTCAAGAATATTCTTTTTGTGAATTTTTGAGTTTGGATTCTGATTTTTCCTTAGTGGTAATCAAAAACGGATGCTTGATAAAACTATGATGATTTCTGTTGATCTAACAATTATAATATATATATTTAAATATAATATAAATGAAAAAAGCAACTTGCCATTTTTTTTACGTTCATTAAACAACCCTTTATAAATAAATATAATAAAAATTATAATTATAACTAATTATAACTAACTTTTCTTTAAAGAATTCTTAATTCAATCCAATATTAGATAATATAGACATTATTTATATATAATCAATATCAATAGAGTTTAATTATAGAGGAAGGATTGGCTACTTAAATTATTAAATTTTGGAACAATTTCTTATAATTTGAGTAAGCGATCAAATAAAAAAAAGAACTCTAAATTATTGAATCTCTTTTTTAATTTCATACATCATTTTTTAAGCATAATTTAAAATTTAGTAATATTATTTAGAATAAGAATTGAGTATTTTATAGTTTTGTTAGTAAAAGTGGCGATTAAGTTAACTTTTTGACTTTAAAATAAATTTCACACATCTTCGTATATAATTATTGTTTAATTATTAACATTACTTCTCCATAATGGTTAGTTAGATTAATTGTAATTTATATGAATGAAATAGAACAATCAGGTTGAGTTATAAGATTAAATCAGTCTATTTTATCAAATTAGACTCTTTTTTAATTAAAGTATTACTACTTTTTCTAAGAAGTTGGACTTAAGATAATTAAATATATTTAATTTGTAAAATATTTCATTATGGAATCTTCAATTAATTCTTAAATTAGAATTAATACAACTTAAAACTAGATACTTTCTATGAACAATGCCAACAGTAGTAATCTCAAAAAATAAAACATGGAACATTCGTATTCTACTACTCGTTTACCTCATCTGAGTCTATAATATAGGACATTACAAAAAACTGAATCGGCATCAAAAAGGGTGAGAACAATGAAAAGTCTAAGAATCAGAGAACAGGAAGCAATACTAAAACGGATTAGTAAGAGTTTTGAATTGAGAAGTGTGAGGAATTCGAAAAAGTAGTAAAGAAGGAAAAGTGGTACAGAACAACTATCTTAAAAGTAGGTAAAACATTTAATATGGAATTGTAGCTACATATTGATTGTTAATACCCCAAAACAATAGTATAGTAATAGGAAGTGATATCGAATGAATTGCAAAGGACAAAGGAAAGAAAAAGGACTATTTTTAAGAGAATGTCTAGCATACTCATCAAACATCAAACGACCATTCGTAATATTAGTAATCAAGGGAATGAAAAGAACAGCGAAATTCAGTTACTCATACTATAATCGTAATAATAAGGGAATGATGAACAAAATGTTACATAATCTCAAGAAGTGAAAAAACATAAATTAAGATCCTCAGTCGTAGAATCTGAAAAACCTAAAGTAGTCTTAAATATGTCTCGAAAATCTAAAAAGGCATTTGCTTCCATCTAAAGTTACATAAGCGAAAAAGCATTAACATAAACTACAGCATAGACTATCAATTAAACAAATCCATTCATAAGTTATGTGTGCTGCCAGAGTCTTACAGAAATGAATGGATAAATTTAAAACAATCTATCATAGAATTTAGGGAGATGTCAATTAATTAAACCTACTTATCCTCTACCAGAAATTAAATTGATTTCTTCAGCCAGGAATAATTGTTCGTTGTTAGATATGAATTTCCTAAAACACAAGAAAACAATTATTAATACTGGAAATACTCAGAGAAAATAGAGGATTTCTACAAACTCATGAAATATAAATTTTTATTAATTTAACGTTCACTAATGCAAAGATAACCATAAGAATCCAGTCTCTAATAGCGTTTAGGGTTTGTGTAATAGTACCACAAGAATCACCCTAATATCACAGAATTGAAACCTTTAAAGGATTATTAGACATAATAGAACTCAAAGTATACGATTAGTAAAATTGTTATTAGGAAACCAAAAGAACTTGAAGAATAACCCAAGACTTCATTGATGGACAATTTGAATAGAATCAACAATCTCTATAAAGCAGTATCTCAACCTCGAATCGATGCTAAAGAAATCAACCCACCTTAATATTTCTACAATCATAAATAAGGATGTTAGTAACCAGAACCAACAGCGAATAAGGCTATCAAAGAGAACCAGAATATTAAGACATTTCTGAATAATAATGAACTCTCATTGAAGGACTATGAATGGAAATCCACAAAAGGCAATGCAGTGAGTACTAAGGGAAATGCTGTCACCACAAAGTCTACTTCTCCAATTGATTTCAGTGTGAAAAGTCCATTGAACAAGGTTGCTCGAACAGACTCGGTGTTGGGGAGCAAGAAGTAGAATGAGTAGAGTGTAACATTTTTAAGAGGACTTTATTGATAAAATGTATAATTTTAATACTTATAATACATATTTAAACAAAATTTGCATGACTGAAAATTTGCTAATTAATAAAATGCAAAATTTTCATTATCAATCCTGCAATATAGCGGAACACGAAGAAGAATTCTTGAATATGGTTTGCATTGACGAAAAATGCAATAAACATCAGCTTTTATGTGTCTATTGTATGGAGGAACATTAATCTTGCATTAAACATCCTGTTAAAAAATTTCTGAGGGACTTCAAATCACAGCTTCACTCTTAGAATGCGGAATTGAGTCCTAAAATAGATGAGTAATAATGATTAAAATTAATTAGTCTTATTGCTTTTTATGATTAAATTAAGATTACGATGGAACAAGCATAAAAATAATTGAATGAAATGTTCGAGAAATCTAAATAAACTATACTCGAGTAAACTTGTATGTTAATTTTAGCACTAAAAAAATGATTGGATAATTTTCTTAGCAAGAGACCGCCAAATCAGTATAAATGCAGAAATTAAAAGAATTTGAATCAACTTCGAATTAAGAGAACTTCTTTTAACTTCTCACTGAAATCGAAAGCTTTAAACCCAATCCTGATCGATTTTCCTTCTCAATCAAAAAGATTCAAGGACATCAAATTGACCTTATATAAGAAAGAATTGCAAATGGCAAGATCCATTCACAACAATACCAAACCGCCATTACCAATTTTGTTGAATCATTTGTAAATCAACACGAAGCACTCAAGAAAAACCTACAGAATTACTTTTTGAATGCACCCAAAAGACCTTTTGAACAAGAGTCAAATGAAGGAAAACAATCTAAACAATCAAACCCCCTCTCTCTAATTCAACAACCCTCTCTTGATGTCTAGGACAAATCAATAATTGCAATCGATGATGACTTAGAGGAAATCGAAAAAAACAATAGAAATAATGAGAATTCTAATAATAAAATTAAAAAACAAAATAATAACAATAATAATACTATTACTAATAATAATCAGAATAATGTCCAAAATAATACTCCACTCAATTTGAATAATCTAGGCCATCAAAATAATTATCAAAAAACATAAGATTCCCAAATATCAATTACCGATATCCTAGACAGTAATAGTTCCAAGAAGTAGACCATCTAGGATAACAAATCCAATTATACAAGCAATCTTAAATAACAATCCTATAATAATAAAACCAAATAAGCACCTCCTCAACCTCTGTCGTAAACTACTCCCTACTAAAAATAACCAGCATCTAATGGCTCCATCCCCATTCCTCCAAAATAGGCTCCTCTTCCTTTATAACAATCTCCACTCAAAGGTACTCAAATATATGTAATAACTAGATGCCTTCTAAGAGGACAATCAAGGAGAAGTGGAGACCGTTCTGAATGTTTCTCAGGATCACAACTTCTAACTTGTGTAAAATGGAAAAGAGATCACTAAATTATTGATTTTAAGTAAAACCGTAGTGGCAGGATGCGGTGGAAATCTATTTTAAGGATTTGATATTTCGACCTGTCAAAAATTATTTACACTAAATGTTGACTCAGACATAACTGATGTTGCATATTTGGAAACCGATGACTGCAATGGAACCCTATATTTGGCCACCAAAAAAGGCAAAATAGAAACCTTCATTAGAGAATCAAATAGCGAGAATCCATTCACATTTAGATCCAATTCATCACAAATCGTTGACAAATACGGCAATTTGCTTATCTAAATTAATCAATAGGAGAAGTAACTTGTAACTCTGGGAGAGGAGAAAATCATAAGGATCTTGCCAGTGAAGACTTTAAGAGAGTCAAAGAGATGCGAAATTTAGGAAGTTGGAACAGCACTTCATGTTGATTCAAAATATGTTTATGTTGGTGGCAACAAATTTTTATTCATTTGGGACTCAGCAACATAGGCCAAGAAGAAAATCTAAATGTCAGATATAAATTTAAAGGTGATATCTATTCAAACATATGAAAATAAATTAGTGGTGGGATTGTAGGACAAAATTAAAATATTTGAAAGGAAAACCAATGATGATTACCAACTCATACATGAATAAGCATTTGGAGACATTAGTTCCATGCATATCCTTAAACAATGGCCAATTGTCCTCATTTCATGTACTTAGGTATTTAAAAAATTTAAATATCAATAGCAATTACAATAGAAAATCTGTCTTTACAATTATGAGCAGGATTCTTCAGAGAAATTACATGACTAAAAGGCTACTAGTTGTGTTGTCAGAGAATTTGATAAAGTTTACCACGTTGCATTTGGTTAGGAGAAGGGATAGTGCATCATCTATAAAATTGAATAAACTTAATAGCAACAATCATAATGATTTTATTAATAATCCAAATAATATTATTTAACTATATTATCCTATTGCAAAATTGCAAACAATATCTTATAGTATTAACTATTTAATTATTTGTGTATATTTGATTCTCATACAGACCAGTATAGGATTCAACACAATTTTATATATATTTATCATATTATGATACAAAAATAATTAGCAACGCTTAGAATGTATTAATACGGTTCGACACTTACATGTCTTATATATAATGAATAGAGATTAGCACATTAATCTCACTTAATATTCTTTGCATTACTTGTATCAAATTTGGTCAGATAAGTGGTAAATAAAAACTTAAATATTAATATTAATAACATGGGAACTTGTCAGGCTAATTGTTGTAACAAAGATTTTGAGTATGGTTTGAGAACACATTAAAAGAGTGAAAGTAATGCTGATGAAGGCAATCCTGAATTTGAGGATTCAAAAATAAAGGAATCACATAATTCAATATAGAAGGACAGGGATAAATTTCAAGAAGATCGTATGCAAGACGATCAAAAATTAAATTTAAAGAAAGATAAACCAAAAGATTCCAGTAGTGTGAATAATGATAAGGATGATAATAAAGGAAGAGCTCAAAACAAAGAAACAAGTTATAAAGTTCAAGAGTATAAGACACCTTTTCCTGAATCAAAAGAGTAAGAGAGCAAGGGTCATACAGATAAATAGGAGGCGCAGGATAAAGCAAGTAAGAACTCTGTTTTTTCTAAGAAGAAGAATTAGAATTTAGAGTATAATTAAAAGGTGTTGAATACTGATTAAGATGAGACAATGAGTGATGTGAGAGTAAAGTTGGGAGCTAAGACTCTTGACAAAGGAGCAGTTTATGAGGGGGAATGGTTGAAGGGGAAACGAGATGGGACTGGGAAACAAGTTTGGCCTGATGGGTCAATATATGAGGGAGAATGGGTAGAAGGTCGATGTTGTGGGAAGGGAAAGTTAATCCATGGAGATGGAGACATATATGAAGGAGATTGGCTGGATGATAAAGCACATGGAATAGGAGTGTATTTACACATTAATGGAGCTCGATATGAAGGACAAGTATTTTAGCTTATCTTAATCTAGTGGTTTAACGATAAGCAATAGGGCAAGGGTTTGGAGACATGGCCAGATGGGGCTCATTATGAGGGAGAGTATCATGAGGGGAGGAAGGAGGGTCATGGAACTCTTCATTTTGCTGATGGGTCAAAATATACAGGGTTTTTTGCTAATAATGAGATACATGGATATGGGATATATGAATGGTAGGATGGGAGAGTCTACAAGGGGAATTGGAAACAAAACAAAATGAACGGAGTGGGTGAAATAAAGTGGAGTGACGGTCGATAATTCATTGGAGTATTGTTAATATCCATAAAAGAATTACTAAGAAGATTTGAAGCATGGGAGAGGATAGTTTTTGTGGCCTGACGGTAGAAGATATGTTGGCAACTGGGTTTATGGTAAGTAGGAAGGTTATGGGGCTTATTACTTGCCAAATCAACCAGCAAAATATGGAATTTGGTCTGATGGGAAGAGAGCACAATGGTTGGAGAATGACGAGGTGGATTAGTTAAAGAGTAAATAAGTTATAGATTTCTGAATGGTGATTTATTTATGATCATTTTGTCTTTTTAATTTTTTTCTTTTGAATTGCTATAAAGGTATCATCTTCTGAGTCACTGTCTTATTCAATCAGAACTTTAGCTGATTATGCATAAGTTTTTGGTTTTTTGGAACGATTGATCTTGTGTTTTTCATAATCTGAGAATTTGTCTTCTTCATCTGAGGAATTTGGTTGTGGAAGCTAATATTGATAGGAAGGGGGTGATTACATTTTTAGTGGAAATGGGTTTAAGATTCTTGAGACTGCTTGAATAGCTCTGTTCCCACCACAAGTCATTCCAACTTTATCCTAGACTGTGCTGTTGGGCTCCGAGCTAGAGATATAAAACAAATGGGATACAGCCAATTAATCAGCTCTTCTTTCGATCTGGACACAATCTGTTTGACCATCTTTATTCTTGCCGAGTCCTTGACCTTGATTCCATCCCATCTTTTGCATCAATTTCATAGCATAATCAGATTCAAATTTCTTGTTTGAGACTCCGGTACCTAGAAATATGATAAGGAAGGCGATACCTTATAGTAATCTCTCTTTAAATTTTTAAGCCATCTAATAATAAAAAATTATTTTACTCTAAAATGGACGAACTTTTGGGAGCTATATAGCAAAGAAAAGCCAAAATAAATGAGATTCAAGAAGCTATTTATTAGATCAAGGGTAATTAACAACAAGAGAGATTGACTGTCTACTCGATGGTAAGGAAGTTGAAGGAAGAGGAGAAAATAAGGGCGGAGAAAGAGAATTGGATCATAGGAGTGATTCGGAACACAAAATCATATAACGAAGAATAAATGTGGTAATATATGGTTTTATCATTAGTCACATCTATGTCAAGACAAACGAAATGATGAAAGCGATCAGCCAATCAATTTTTAGAAATCCCCTACGCCCCTACATGTAATTTGTACTAATACTTGGAAAATTATTACATCCTTCATTCTAGTTTTCAGAAGCATCTCAATCAGGAGTCCCAATTGAAGGTGCAATTCAAGCAGGCTGTCAGAGCTGGAAACATCTCATTAGTGACCGATCTAATTAAGTCCCTTTTAGGAACTTCTCGCAAACAATACAAAGACTTTGTAGACGAATTGAGCAATCAAGTTAAAAAAGAACCATCTCCTTAGAAGGTTAGACTCGAAAATCAACGCATTCGATCTTCAACACAAAAGATTGAGGAAGTCAAATTAGTTGAAAAACCACTTACAACTACTATGATCAGTAGAGTTGACAGAATTAAACGAAAACAGATGACTATTTCCAAAATACAAAGGTAATTATCTATTAGTAAATACAGTTCATGCGATCTCTCTCCAACCACTGAGACTCCTTCTTTATATCTCAGGAACAAATTCAGGGAAGTTGAAAAAACTCCATTCACTTCTATGTTTGCAAACATCCATTCTGCCATTGATGATCTGGATGAACTTAATATGTAGGTCTGTGATTACCAAACAGTGAAGAGACAAACTCAAAATTATGAGGAGTTTAAGACCAATTATGATGCTCTTTGCGATAAGATTCGATTGAGAAACAATCTTATTCAATAGAGTGTTTTTGATTACACCAATTATGCTTTGAAAAGGTTATATTAATATGTAATTAATATAGGGTCTAAAATGTTGAAATCGAATATCCAAATCTCATCAAAGAAAAATATACTACTTTGCAGAACAATCAGGATTATCATTTTTGTAACATTCAATTGAAACCCATTTTCGACAGTCTATGTCCTTGCATGCAAAAACAAACTATTCAACACAAACCTTCACCCATTAAAAACAAGGTGATCATCAGAAAGTCAGTCCAATAGATTAAAAAGTAGGTAAATAATGTATATAAGTAGTCTGATTAACTATCCAAAAAAGAATAGATTGACATGAGCAAACATAACAATAGTCCCAGTAACAATGGAAAGTCTAAACAGTAGATGCCACCAATTAGGTTTTACAAAGAGACCCAACTGATTAAGCCTCATCCAAGGGCATTATCAGCCAATAATCAACAACAACCTGTCAAATACTTGACTTGCTCAAGTTTTATTGAGAATCCTATTGCAATCAAAACTAATCTCTTAGTTCGCAGCACTTATGAATGAAAATCTGAAATCATCTAATTTCTCAAATGTTTAACATTTTTATTATTCAATTAGTATGAATATTCAATTCTTTATATTAACATTCAAATTGTGGTAATTAATAACCAATTTCAAAAATTCTGTAAAAATATTTAAATTCACAACTTTCTCCAATTACTAGAATTGTAACCTAAAAGTTGAAAATGTTGAGCCATCGTTTATTAATTAATATTGAATAATGAATGCAGAATTGGTGTTGTAAATTAAATTCAAAACTTAAATTATAGAATAAATTTTTGATAAATAAATTAATATTCCATCAAAAGAATGATGTCCATTTGGCAATAAGCCATCGTAGTTTTCCACAAAAACTTCACTATTTATTACCAAGAACGGTAATACAGACAAGAGTTCTTCGTGGCTCTTCTTGTCTTCGTCATCCTCCTAGTTGGAAGTAAGAATATACAGCATATCCTTTTTAGAAGAAACTTCAAGTTCTACTCTCCTTTAAGTTGGAGCAGAATTTTTACCCATGACTCTCTTGATCAGTTCAAGGTATATAGTCACCTCAATGATATCAGAGAAGAGTGACAGATAAAAGGAGATCTAAAAAGTAACCATCTTTCATCATTTATCTTTAGATCATGGGCTTAAAACAATCAGCATACTAATTAGGTTGGTTTCTATTCAACTTTGCAAGAATTATGGCTATCTCATTCTTCTTTCTCGTTCTGGCACTGCCCACAGGCTGCTTTGGACCTTAAGAAGAGATAATCTAAGGAGATAATGAAATAGTGACAATCCATTACTTTAGTCCAATCCAAACCATTGGTAGCTACCTGTTATATGCAATGGGATTGACAGCATAGCAATATTTCTTAACAACGTTATTCGACCAACCTAAAAATGGAGCTGATGTGTCAATGCTACTTAACATATTCGGGTCTGTGTGTTCAGGATTACTCAGCATCCCCTACTTTCAAAAGTACTCTACTTATTTAAAATAGTCATTCCTGGATTGTAATCGTATTTGGTATTGTATTTCCAACATTTCTGTTTGATATTTATCCATACAATCAAATATTAGGAATCATTTCTAAAGGCACTAAACCAGCCTTAGATCCTTCTGTTTACTTTGCATTATAAGGAGCAGAAATATTTTTTTATGGAATTTTATATTTATATTTAGAATAAGTTCTATCAAACGAATATGGAACAAATAAACATCCTTTGTTTTTTATTGGAAAAAAGTATGAAATTTAAGGAGAGGATGCTTCAAATCAATTTGAATTGCCCAACATGAACAAACCTTTTATTGGTGCAACACAATCTGAAACCTAGGAAGACAATAGTTCAGCCATATACCATGAGGTTTTCGATAATCAAAAATAAGCCAAGGTAATGTATACATATTATAGTTGTAGAGAGCAATTTCAATTAAAAATGTGAAGAAATGTTTTAATGATCTAATGGCTGTGAATGGTGTAACACTCCAAATGTATGATTCGTAGATTCTTTGCTTGTTAGGACATAATGGAGCTGGAAAGACTACTCTCATTTCAATATTGACAGGTCTAATTAAAAGAGATAGTGGAGCAATCACTTATTATGGAACAGACACAGAATTTGATGTTATTAGAAATTATTTGGGATTTTGCCCATAGAAAGACGCTCTCTATGATAGTTTAAGTTGTGATTAACATCTCCACTATTATGGAAGATTAAAAGGAATCGATGAGAAGGAACTTCTAATGGAAATAGATTAAATAATCAATAAATGCGATCTTACTAATGACAGAATGAAATTAGCAAAATAATTGTCAGGAGGAACAAGAAGAAAATTAAGTCTAGCCATTTCATTGATAGGACAATCTAAAGTTGTATTTCTAGATGAACCTACCTCTGGAATGGATCCAATATCAAGATAAAAGATTTGGGACATTCTAATCCAAGTTAAAAATGAAGGCAGGTGTTTAGTACTAACCACTCATCACTTAGATGAGGCTGAAGTCTTATCAGAAAGATTGGCTATCATGGCCAAAGGTAAATTGCTTACTGTTGGATCAGTTGATTTTATAAAGATGAACTTTGGAATTGGATACCATTTGAGTCTATATGATAAGACAAACAATCCATAGGTTTGGAGTGAAAAGAGTAAGACAATCGTAAATGTCGTTCAAAAATTCATTCCTCAAGCTAAACCAAGCAGTCAAACATCTTAAGACAGCATAGCATTCTAGGTTCCTTTTAAACTCAAAGACAAATTTTTACCCTTGTTTGAATAACTAGAAAGAGATCAATCTATTTAAGTTAACTTAATGATGAACACTCTAGAAGAAGCATTTATCAATATAGGAATGGATGAAGAATCCTTCCTTAATAAAGCATCTGGGAAACAACTATCAAACGAAGATTCTAAAATCAACATTGACATTACAGATGAATTCAATAAAATAATACCACCTGAATGTTTGAGTAGACCACCACAATATAATTTTGGATTGCAACTTTGGGCATGTTTCATTAAAAAGCATTATACTATGACAGCCAAAAGATATCTAATGTGTGTGTTTATGCCATCTTTTTTTGCAGTTCTAGCTCCAGTGATTTCAAAAATAACATATAATGCAATAGAACCAACATTAGACCCTATTGTAAATAAAAAATTGGTTTACGGTGAAATTGCCTTAATTGATACTTATATCTACATATTAATTGGAGTATCCATGGCTAGTTCTTAAATTGGCAGTGCCCCTGTGGAAGAAAGAGAGAAAAAGTAGAAATATGCTTTAAATGTAATGGGATGTAGAACATTACCATATTGGTTGGGATACTATCTCTATGATATCACTATTTGTATCTTTGTGCTGATTATATTCATCATAGCAGTAAATATTTGTGATGTTCAAGCACTTAACAATGCAAATGTCTATGGACTTGTATTTTGTTGTTATTTAGCATATTTACCTCTTGCTTATATATTGTCATGGCTATTTACATAATTTTTATCAGCTGTTAGATCCTTAGTTTTGCTTCAAATATTTGGATTCTTTTTGATTGCCTCCGTAATTTACGTTTTATGTTTTAAATTCGGGGCTATCCTTTGGATTTTATCATTCTTGTGTCCTTCATTAGCTACATTTAGTGGATTCATAACTGTGTATAATAAAATAGCAGAAGATACTAATGAAAATGATATAAGTTCACCATTCTAAAAAGCTTATTCTTTTATTTTTATGATTATCATGATCTTTTAAGCTTGTCTCTACTTTTTCATCACATACTTAATAGATAATAGAGAACTCTTGGCTGCCAAATCTGGAGGGGCTTTAAGTGTTAATTAGGATGAGGATGTTATTCAAGAGGAAAAAAGAGTTGAGAACCAAATTAGCTAAGATAGAATAATTGCCAAGAAAATATCTAAAACTTATGCTAATGGATTTCAAGCAGTAAAGGGCACTTCATTTGGAATAGAACCTGGATAAATATTTGGATTATTGGGCCCCAATGGTGCTGGTAAGTCAACCACATTCAATATGATTACCTCTAAATTAAAGCCATCTACAGGGACTATATTATTAGAAAATTAGGAAGTTAAAAAAGGGTTGGGGGATGTGTATTAGAATGTTGGAATTTGTCCTTAATTTGATAGTCTTTACGATATAGTGAATGTTAGAAGACATCTATAAATTTGGGCTTATCTCAAGGGTTTGAGAGGAGATGAAGTGAATTAGACAATAGAATACTTTATGAAAGTGATGCAATTGACAGCTTATGAAAATACATTAGCCTCATAGTTGAGTGGAGGTAATAAAAGGAAATTATGTGTTGCTTTGGCTTTGATGGGTGGAACCAATATGTAATTTTTTGATGAACCGTCATCTGGAGTGGACCCAATTGCAAGAAGATTTTTATGGAATGCCATACAATAAGGAGTCAAGTTAAGGTAGAGTTCTGTTATTTTAACCACTCACACTATGGATGAGGCTGAAAGTCTTTGTAATAAGATTGCAATCTAAGTTAATGGCAGATTTGCATGTCTAGGATCAGTTCAACATTTGAGAGCCAAATTTGGAGATGGATATCGAGTGGTGATTGAACCAACAAATAATATGGTAATTAAATTAATAATATTGTTAGGACAAAGCAGAGTTAATTGCTTAGGAGATCACAAAGTATTTTGGGAATATCTACATAATGAATGATACCCACACGGGCAAAATAATTTGTAAATTCCCTTTGAAAGGTTTCCAATTCCATTAGACTTTTTATTTCTTTTAAGAAAAATTACAAAAGGAATTCAATTTGATTAAGGATTTCTAAATAAGCCAACCTAATTTGGAATAGATCTTTATGTAATTTGCTGCATAATAAATCATGGAGCCTGAAGTTGAAAAATAAGCACCCCCCAGTCGTTTCCATGTAGTTGCATTGTGCGGTAACGATGAGGATGATTGAGATTATATATTTTTATGATATTATATTTTCATACCATAATAATATAGGAATATCAATATTAGAGATTTCAAACATTAATAAATTAAAAACACTAAGAAATATGAAGATAGGTATAGAATAAATTAAGTAAAGTAGCCCCTATTCTTTATGTGATACTTTAAGGAAGCACTTTAGTGATAAATAGCATCATTAATCCTCAATTCTTCGATTTTTCAACAATTTCTTTTTATTATTTTGCTTTTGTAATGATATTGTCCTTGATATTTTATGCTTTGACTTCTTTGAAAGATGTAAATAGCAATTATAGAATTAGCCTGGCTATCTTATAATCAGAAGTCCTAGCAATACGGATTGTTCAAATTAAATGACACAAAAACGCAAAATATTTTAATTTTAAGCCTTGCCTTCCAATGCTAGAACTTATCCAATTATTGAATAGCAAAACCCAATATAAGAATAAAAATCAGAAAACGAATAGTATTTAATTTTAAATATTTGAAAGAGAATTACCTTGTGAAGCCTCTTTAGATGTTAATCAATTGCCAGAATTTGATATGAATTAAATTCCCTCTTTTACAAAAACTCCAGATAAATATCAATCTGCTTTTAAATCAAACAACCTAGAGAAAATATTCCAAGATTTCGATTCCAAATAGCCATCCACTTAAGCCTTTTCGATTCCAAGCTAAATTGAACAAGAAACTATAGTTCCAATCACCAATAACGATGAATAAAAGGATGTTAATACACAGAAATAAGAAGAGAAGTCCTCTCAAATTAGTAAGAGCGAAGAGAAAAGAAGGAACAACAAACTTCAACCATCTCTTGCTATTTAAGTGCATTCTGTTTAGAATGAGTTTATAAGTGAACAATATTCCCCAGGAATGTCAGAGAGAAACAAGATTACTCAATCAACTAGAGCAGTGAATAAGGTTCTCATAGAGAAGAGGTTCAACATTTTTGAATACATTAGATACTGTCCAATTTGTTCCATTGACCAAATAGCAAGAGCGAAACATTGTCAGTCATGTAATAAATGTGTAAGCTTGTTACGATCATCATTGTCCTTGGGCTGGCAATTGTATTGGGGAAAGGAATAGATGCGTCTATTATTGGTTTTTAGTATTTTAGATTCAAGAAATCTACTATGCGTTTATTAGCGTATTAAGTTTCAATAAACTAGTTTTTAGACGTTGCACAATCTAGAATTTGATCATTACAATCCTCTCTTAAAGTTCTTTTCAATTTACTTTTTTACAATAACTGTATTTTTTGGTATCTTGGTTACAAGATTACTGTGTTTTCAAACATATCTTTCTTTTCTAAATTTAACCACTTGTATTATTTATTATTTAGCGTAGGGGAATTTTATAGTTGGAATAAGATCTCCTATTTGTAAGAATTATAAAGAAGGAATGGATCTCCATTTAGTTATGGATGGAGAAGCAATCTATCAACATATTGCAGATTTAAAATACCCAAATTAACTATTTGGGAATACAACCCAGAGAGAGTTTATAAATGAGGAATGAAATTAAAATCAATCATAATATTTTATCATAGGTTCGATTAACCATTTGTGTAAAAGAGCATCCTTAGCAGTTATTCTTTTTCTCGGATTACTCGTAAGTAATTTATCCAGGAATTGAAATCCCAACTCACTGATGCTCTATGGTCTCTAATAAAATCCCTATTTGATGCAAGCATACAGTTCCTGTTCATTCTTCCCTTTGAAAGGATAGGCAATGGCTATCAAATGATACAGGATTATCCCTAATGCCCACATGTCCACTTCATAAGAATAGCAAACAATCTTGAGCAGTAATTCTGGCGCCATATAATTTGGAGTTCCACAAAACACAGATAATTTATTGCCGTCTGTTTAGACTGCAAATCCGAAATCAATAAGTTTAACCACACCATTGTTTATTAATACATTATCCAGCTTTAAATCTCTATGTATGATCTATTTGCTTTGAAGATAATTCAAGGCTCTTGTCATTTGTCTAATTATCTGTTTAATGTTACTTTCCGATCTATTAGAAAGATCTCTCAAGTTCTCATCTCCCCCATATTCCATTATCAAATTTATTCCCCTCAAATTGTCAACCACTTCAATCAGCTTTATTATATTTGGATGTTCCAACTGATTCAATATGTGCACCTCCCTCTAGATATTCTACTTCCTCATCATGTTCAAAAAGCATTTCTCATAAACTTTGATGGCCACAATCAAACCATCACTTTTTCTTTAGGCCTTGTAGACCTTAGCAAATTAACCCTTCCCCAAAGTTCCTTAAAATTGGTAGTTCTTTAATTAAAACCCTGGCAACTCGCTGAAGCTATTACGAAGCTATCGATTCCTTTTAAATTAGATGTTAGATTGATTTTATCCTTGAATGTTTTGATTAAAATTAGTCGAGCTAGTTTAAGGCAAACTTATAGGAGTTTAAAGCATAGATCTTACCCTTTAAGTTCTTGTAAAACCTATTCGAGGTTGGTAAGGCAAGATGTCCATCTACCAATATAAAATTATTAATAATTCCTTAAAACCAATAAAACATATATATGAGTACTATATTTTCCCTAATTTATTCGATCTTAAAATTATGAGAATATTTATGATAATTCATTACTTGCAATAACTGTATTAAATCCTCAGTCTTCCAGGACTAAACCTCCCCCTATTCAAACAAACTAAATCATTCACTGAATGGATTCCAAGAGCCCCTCTAAATCAATTCTACTAAGTTAACAAGATTTTATCAATACAGAAATAGTATCTACTGATTTTATCCAGTATCCCCCCTGAAAATGTTTGACCTAAGTAACACTCTCGGGATTAAAACTGAGTATTGGATACAAGTAATTCTTATCTTCCTCTTTTAAATTACCACCTACTCAAAATTCAATATTAGCTTTGCAACACTTTATTTGATTATGATATCTATTTATTTCCTTTAAATTAAGCTGTAAATTTGAAGATAGTAATTGAGATTTATCAAATTTTCTTAAACTCTCAAAATCTTCAATCAATGAATTTGAATTAATGATTAACCAACAACAATCCTATTTTCCTATAATTTCAACTTTCTTTATAGAAATGAGGCTATAGAATATAATCATTCAATAGCATATCCTTATGATTTTTAAATATTATATGTAATTTTATAATAATGGATCTAAGTCACATTCTCCATCTATTTTGAATTAGGAAATAATGTTTAATAAAAACTAAATTAGTGACACATATAAATCAAAATAACAATGTTTATATATTATTATACAATCATTCATCTAAAAATTAATTATCCCACAACAATGCAACAGAATGCCCAATTTGTACCCCAAAGCTAAGTTAAATTATTATTAAATTCATTTTATTTGTAACCAATAAATCCTAAAATAGGATTAAATTGATCGAGAGTAACATTGTTTAATTCAATATAAAATGGCCAGAATCCTAATATCAATACCATACTTATCAAATAATCAATGTATTTAAGCTATTTAGATATTGAGGGTGGTTTTGGAATTTTCGATTACTCAGCTTCCCACTATTTTATAAATGACTCCTAATATTCCTCATATTATTTCTTTAATTATTCTAACAATTCCTCCTTTGGAATCAATTATCGCTGAAGTTTACTATACTTTGCAAATGTCTCAGTTGTATTCAATGTCTCAGCATCCTGTTTCATCTTTTAGACCTCTGATTTGAGAGATTGATATTGTGTGGATAGTTCTGTTTCTGGAACCTAAGGAGGCGCTTTGTTTGCAAATTGTTACTATTTCAATTCATCTTGTTTTCTCAAATAAGAAATCGCATATTTGTATATCAAAACAAAGAGCAATGTTAAAATGAGGCAACACATTTATATTATTATTTGATGTTTATAATATTAATTGTTTATTTGCCTTAAGCATCCGAAATCTCATTAATTGAATTTACAACTGTGTAGTAGAAATCATCTATCATCACAAAAATATGAAAGAAATGCTGACTCAGAAATGAGAACTAAGAAGAATTGTATATTCTCCTTCTAGACTTTATTATAAAAGCACTGATAATAAAATTATGAATTGAAGTGTAAAACTATTTAGACACATAAATCAATTATAGATTTTATATTAAAAACGTAGCCATTAGAAATGCTCAATTGATTTGATGATCTATATTACCAATATAAAAAAACGTCCCACCGAGGAATTGAACCTCGAACTCGAGAGCCGGAATCTCACGTGTTACCTTTACACTAATAGGACTTGCCTTGAGAATCATGTATTAAGCCTATATATATACTCAAATTTCATAATTTAGGGAAACTAATTATAGAATCACACTTATAAATCATTATAATTCAGATTTGAAGATCTTCTGCATTCTTAATTTTTTTGGCAAATTTTATTTTCTCTTTCTCATTATTTTGTTTTGTTTTTATTCCACCTCCAAGTTTCCTTGCTCTTACTCCACTTTAATGATTTAATTGAAGTGTCTCAAGTATGGTTTTTCTATGGTGTTCTCCAAATCTTCCAAAGTCTGTTAACACTCTTTTCCCTCGTGAAGGTAATAACTTTGCAAAGCCTCTGTCTTATTTTAAAAATCCTGCCATTTTTCAGAGTACGGTTTTTCAGGCGATTTCTCTCTTTCTATCCTATGTCTATGAGAAATGAAGACTGGAGAACTATTGTTACCCGCATTCAATCTGATTATGGATTAATGGAGAGTAGTCAAATTGCTTGGAGTTACCCCAATTATGGCAGGTGTAGTTCCTACAGTAGTTGGTACAGTGGTGATTTTGGTTATACTCATTTTTTTAAGTGGAGAATGATCCTAGTTGTCGGGAGCAGTCTTGAGAGTAATGCTCTTTCTGAACATCAAGAGTTGCTGCTCTTTTGTTTATTTCATTAATCTGTTGGTTGTTTCATGATAGAATTACAAGTATCCTTCGTTAGGAACAGATTCCTTCCTTCCAATTACTATACCTCTTTCTTTTAAATATTCCTTAAGTATATAGTATTTTTCATCAAGACTTAATTAATGCTGTTCTTTCTTTGCTCTTGGATGAGAACTATTAAAATTAAGATAAAATTCTTTAGTGTCAGTGTTTCTTGCAGTTTGGAAATTGATGGATGTAATTTTATTGAGTAGATCACTTTCTGTTAAGGTAATGTTGCGATGATTCATTCTTTCTTTGATTCGATGGAGATTGTAATGAGTTTCGAGAGTAGCTGCTGATTCATGTACGAATTTAGTTTGCATTTCAGGTGGGAATTTGAGTTTGACTAAATCTACTTGGGGTGTTGGACAATCTTCTCTTGCGAGGTTTTCCAATTCCATTTCCAATTGTTAACTGATGGCAGCAATCTATTCATCCTAATGGTTTATGAATCTGCGACTCTGGGATTGGAATTTGAGATGCTGCATAATCTGACGAACCTTCCTGTGTTCGATGTAATTGAGTTCTTTGATGGGTTTAGAGAGATCGATGAATGTGTTCAGATTTTTGAGGGGTTTGAGTGAGGAATCGAATTTGGCAAAATGTTAGCCAGCCCTTATTAGGATATACTGTACATCACTTTAAAAGTAGGTTTGTTGAGTCCATACCTCTTGGGCAATTAAAAGTCCATTCAAAATAAATATATAAAATAAGAGTTATAAATTAGTTGAAATAATTATTCATTGTTTATTAGCATCATCCTAACCAAACTGTGACAACCCGACTTTGTTGGGGTACACTTGAATCAACTGTTAAGAACTGAATTTCTTCTTGGTTTTCTAGGGTTGTTTGTTTATATCAGTCAATTGCATCAATTTCCTTTGATTGGTAATCAGATTAATCAGTTATTGCATGAATTCTAGATTAGCATAATATAAAGTATTTGTTTTATCATTAACTAATGCAAATTAGATATCAAAAATATCTTCGTGTTTCAGGTGTTCAACTGAATCAACATTATACTAAACCTTGGGCACTGCTAACTTATCAATAGACAATTGATCATCCTCAGTTTCTAAGTTGATATTCAATAGACATCTCGATAGCGAGTTCATTATTGAAGGAGTGTTCATAATGACTTCATCGGGTTCCACTTGAATGTCATACTTCTTTTCATCTGTCGGTGTACTTGCAGATTGAATTTTTATTTTCCTCTACTAATTCAACATTTTATCAAGATCGTTCTTGGCAATACTCAACAATTTGTTCTTGAGTAAATTGTCCTTCCCTAGTAGTTTATTTTCTAATTACATTCCCTCACTAATTTGCATCTCTGAAATCAGTTTCTATATTTTGTCCATATCATCTTAATTCAATTTCCTATATTTCGAAGAAGAATTTGAAGAAGTATCACTATCGTAACCTGAGTCTGTTTAATTCAATAACTCATAGAACCTCTTCTTCAAGTCAAAACGAGATCTCTTTCTATTCAATGGCCACTCCCTTTCGACTCTCTTCCATCTCTTCCCGTACTTCTACACCAACTATAGCAATTATAAATCATCTTCAATTTTAAAAGCCTCTCTTGATATCGAAGGATCAATCGTATTGTACCAACGATCTTAAGATTACTTATCAGACTTGTTCAGGACATTGGCCATACACTTCCAATTGATGGCCAAAGAATTATTCAAATAGTTCATTATCATGCTTTATAATGTCTAATCTTCCTGGGCTGTCCACAACAACCCTCTTTGTGTATGATGATGGATCAATTCAGTCCAATGGGTTTTCAATTCCTTAACTGATCGATTCAATAGATTGCCTAACTCCTTCCATGAATTATGTTACACTCCCAATTTACAAATTGTCCAAATCAAGATGCGAGATTCCTCCTACGTCCATTGTTGGCATCTCTAATTCTATTGCACATTCTCCACAATCTCCAACATAGACCTCTCATCTTCGTAACCAAAGCTTCTTAGCAAAAATTACAATCTTGGCTCGACTTCATTCACCTAAATTGGACCCATAGACTTTAGAGATTGAATAAACTATTCATTCTCGTTACGCTTTGACTTTATCAAACTCCAGAAATACGCATTCTACCCTGGATTTTGATTTTCGAAGTATTTTGTTGTCTTCCTCTAGGGACTCTTACAAGCATCAGAACTCAAAGAGAAAGAGTTTCTGCGTTTCTGTGCTTCACAATCAAACACTGAATGCCCATTGGGAATTCTTCGACGACGCAAATCAAATTTAACCTATTACATATAAGAGCAATCTTTCTCTTAATTCATTTATATATATAATATATTGGGATTATATCTATCAGTTGGGGAAAGAATTGGAATCATGAAATCATACAAGATGAATCAGCCTAAATCTCATCATTAATTTAATTTTATTTAATTTATTCAAAATTTACCAAATTACTTTGCTATTTAAATGCCGCCTCCTAATTCTATTCACACTCCATCCAATCATTCACTCATCCTCCTCTTCCATTGATTCCTTGTTATCAATAAATAATTCATTTCAGCTACTTTAATTTTATTTAAGTGACTGTTATTTAATTTAAAATGCTAATACAAGCTCCTATCCCCAGAACTAGATTTGCCATTACTCCAACCAATGTCCGACCAATCCATGTTTGTTTAGACATGACTCCAACTCGACAATTTTCCAATCATAATAGCATCTTGAATCTGACCTAGAGATTGGATGACAGATTGCCTATCCGAGCAGTCGTTGAAAATAAACATCCACAATCCATTATTGTCAATAGAGTTCATGGCAACTCTTTCTCTCAGAATTAATCTAATAAGGAAATACAAAATCAGATCTAAGAATTGACAAAACAAAGGGAGAATATGGCTTAAATTTTATCAGAAGCCATTCGAAAAAACAACCTTCTCCAAAAGTAGTTAGATGTACTCAATTTTATTTTAATTAGAAACTTTAAAGTGATAAAACTGAGCAGGCACTCTAATTTTAAGTGAATTTAGATTAATTCCAAGATTAAATCACTTAATTGACTAGTAGGTTAGAAGACCTGATTATCGAAAACACTTAGCTTCAAGAATCTTATTAGAGTTAGCAATTTTACATCGAGTAATTAGAATATTAAGAAAATGATCAACTAAATATCACATAACATTTTGGATAGATGTGAAAATAGTAATAAATAAATTAATACTGTTTCATTTTTACTTAGTAACTTTTAAACTCTTTAAAAATAACTCCTTATAAGATATTTAATAATTTATATCCAGAACATTGACACCTTATTATTTCCTTGTGGATGTGAATCCTTGAGGAGACATTGATTTTTTGTTCTTAGAACTGCTGATGTTGAGGGTTGCTAGATGATAATTTTGAGATACAATAATGTAGACTAATATTCTCCTTTTGTTTTCTGGATTAACTATGGGCACTCCTGAGTTCTGTCTGTCGCGTATCTCTTCCTTCAGTCAAGTATTTAATGACCTCTTGCAATTTACTCTTGTGCATAGGAGAGATGTTGCCGAATATTGACAATTATTTCACTATTTCAAATTTAATATTATACCGCAAAGCCTAATTGCTCTTAATTAATCTTTGAGATGCATCCCTGAATTCTTCCTCGTTCTTCTTATAGCTTTATTGTTCCCTGTCAATTTATTATAATAAATTCGAATTGATCTATTAAGTGTAAACTAAAGATTTGTTTAATTCCTCCTAAACAGATATTAATTAAAATTACACATTATTTCTTCAAATCTTAGATAGATTTCTTCAATTTGTGCGATGATTCTTCGTGCGAGGCTGCCAAGACTTGAATCTCCTGTTGGGATGAGTTGAGAGCTTCGACCAATAGTTTATTGTTAGTTTCGAGACTCTAGTTCTACAAGGAGAACTCGTTGATTTTCTCAGATACTCTCATCATATAAATATGAATTTATTACTTAGGTTAAATAACCATCTTACTTATAATTATTTGATTCGCTGAGACAATGTAGAATACACTTGATTTTCTAGATCTCTAAAAATTGAAGAAAACAAATCCCCAATATTAAGAGAGGCATTGTCTCGTTGAGTCGATACTTCGCTCTCAGGTTAACTATAGATAATTGAGAGATCCCATATTGATCCACCTTCTTACTTTCCATGTCATCGAGATCACTGCCAATCAAATAATTCTCGTAGCCCTTGTAGTCCTCCTTATCTTGATGCAACAATTCCAAGAAAACACTCAATTCCTTTGACAACTCTGGTTTATTTAACATAAATCTGTTATTTTATTAATAAATATTTCTTTATAATTTATTTCGGTCGTTCTGCAACATCAAAGGTTCTCTTGCTCTGAGCATTCAATATATCACTTCCATTACATTAAATTGAAAATATTAAACTTTTCTAAAACAATTAAAAATGTTTAATTAGTAATATAGTTTGGATTAAAGCAACTCTCAGCATTCCTCCCAGCAATCTTAAACATTTTTGGCAGTTCCTCGTCTAATCCAATAAGAGATTTAAGCATATCAAGCTGGAGTGTAGAAGCATGTCAATTTTGAAGATCCTAATCAGTTGTAGAAGAGTGAACATAAGGAAAGTTTGGAGGAGGGCGAAATCTTTGGTTCCCGATTGTCAATGGAAAAACGAGAATTTAACAAAATCGACGAGGTCGAGGAAAATTATAAATCCTTGAAGTTATTTCAAATAGAAATGCAAAACATAAATGGCAGAAAGTTGATCTCCAAAAACAGCCGAAAATTTAGTGATTAAAGTGATATGGGCCTACGTAAGCATAGCGAATAATTGAGAAAGGCTTCCTCCTCCTATTTCCCCAATCCCTCTCCAAAATTCAAAGTCCAAGGAAGCCCACTCCTACCCAAAGGAGACTCATTCTCTATTCCGAAATGGCCCAAAAGATGGTTTTATATTATCAAGTTTCTCAGCAAAATTATGTGCGTTTAACCGAACATTCTTAAATAATCCCATTTAATGTTAATAGATGATAAGGCTCATATCATAGCGTAAAATTGTTTAATATTTAACCCTTACTCACCAAAAGTGCTTTGGACTCGTTATTTCATGCTAATCATGTACATGTCAGGATTTTTGATAATTCTCTGGGAATTCGCGTTCAAAGAAACTCAAGAATTATTTTTAGCTTTTTGTAATTAATATCAACTTATTGAAGTTGCTTTGTCAATCCTTGAAAGTTTGAGTAACTATTTCATTGGCGTCTACATAGATGAGATGTACACAGAGAACAGATGGAGTATAGCTCAGCAATACCTATATTAGGATATCGTCTATCTAATAAGTTGTTTGCTCACATTTTTTGCATCTGATTACTTTAGTAACATTTATACATAGTCTTTAATAGTTCTGTTTGTATTATTGAGAGTACAAAGACTCTACATGATCAACTCATAAGTAACATATTGTTTCATACCTATCTTACTAATGCACACATCCTCAACACTATACTCAAGACTAGCTCAAGATTAGTAAAATATCGTGCATAATTAGATTTTCAGACAGTAATATTTCTATGTACATATCCTCATTTTAATGGACCATATTCTAATTGACCAATAGTGGCAATCCCTATGATAGACAAATGGAAATCAATGGAGATGCCAAAATACCCCTGAGAGTACTTTCCATCGTAGTCACCGTCATAGGTTACTTAGTTACGATTTATCTAATTAAACAATTCTTATATTACAAGCCCCAATAGAAATACAAGATCAGCGCTTAGCTTAGTTAAAATTTATAAAGATATCAAAATCGAAACAAATTGGAACCTATAGATTTAAGTGGATTGAGACCTGATTTACAATATCAAATAAGACAAGAACTATTTATGCCATTATTGGAAAGTCTCCCATTTACAAGAGGCTTTTTGTAAGATTTGACTTAAAAATTGAAAACCCAGACTTATTCTAATGGTACAATATTGCATCAACAATACTAAGTAATGGATAAATTGTTCTTTTTGATGAAGGGCAATTTTGCTTAATGCATTGGTAATAAAGTGCTCACCACCAATATATTTCCAATTTAATATTTCTATCGCCAACTTCAATGTCCTTTAACTCTGAGATGTCTAAGTGAATCTTTGGTGGCTCATGTGGATATCGATGACTTTTTATAGTTAATTAAGATGCATGGTCAAGACTTCCAAAAGTTCTGCATGCTTAGAGATTACTTCAAAGAAGTATGTCCTTGTTGTGGATATAGGAATCACACCTTTACGAAATGCAAACATGTATTTTATGTTCCCAATTTCAAAGAATTGATTCTCATTCATAACACATCTGAACCAAATGATAGAGTCAATTATTATCGAGATAATGGCAGAAATAGAATTAATGCCTTATAGAACAAGAATCTTATATGCATTACTGCCATCAGTTTTGCAATTACAAATAAGATATCTTCAGAAACTGATTTGACTAATGAAGTCATGGGAAGATTGCAAGGAAGTACTAATAATTTTGAAGATTCTATTTTGAATGATTTTTAAGATGAGAAATCATCTCGTTATTCTTTGTATCAAAAACATGGGACTGTTGAAGTTCCTAAAACTATTAATTCACCCTAGAATACTTTCAGTAGTTAAACCCATTAACAAAACAGTATGCCTCCCATAAAATTGGAAGAGAAGGAATCCTCCTATAATAGTAGAAAGTTTGTACATAAACATGTGGATTATTCACACACTTAAAATTCGATTAAAGTGAACTTAGTTAAATCTACTAACTCTAATGAATTATAGGTTAAAAGAACTCCAAAGAACAGATAAACTAGTTCTTCAAGTTCATTAAATAAAAAGATGCAATCGACAAGTATCATGTAGTAACCTAAATCATAAACTGGTTCTATTATACCATAATAAGAAGAGAATGAGGATAATTTGGATCAAGTGTGTAGTTATGAATATTATTATCCTTCATATAATATCGAAAATATTGCTAATGCTTTAAATCATAAATTAATGAACAAAAGCATGTCCTTTGTTAATTGATTATAATAGATATATATATGTTTACAAACTTAACAGCAAATATATAATTATATTATGATTTCTAAAATAAAACAATTCTTTAATGACAATACTGCTGATTCAGCTATTAATAAACTCCTATTGGCCTTGACTGATCTTAAACTTATAGTGAATGACACTAACTTCATCTCCCAACTTTAAATCAGCAATCGTCTTAAGCCATTTTTTGCAAATGATCAAACAAAAGTACCTATATATATTTTCATTCAGATATTATTTTTAAACTAATTGTTACAGGTTGTAGGAGATCACTTACAATAACAAGAAAAATTCTATGTCAAACTCAAAATGCTCCTTTTAGTTCATATAATTATCAGTTCTTAAGTAGCAAGAGCTGATTTATCGAAAATGATCATCAATACAAAATTAACTATAAACATCAAAGCAAATGATGGATCAGACAATATGATTGGACTATTGTGTCAATCATATTATTGCTATATTTACAAGTTGGCATCCTAGACCACTTTAATTAATGAAGATGTTGGTAAGCCTTAGGATGATTTAATGATTTACTTCACTCTTTCAAATCAATGCTATATTGGAATGAATATGCAACGCTTGATTGAAACAATTAATAATGAACAAGTACCAAATGATATAATTGCTCATTTAGTTAAGTTCTTGTATTTTGATATATAAGATATCTATATTTTCATCTTGAAAGATGTGAAGTACTTGATTGAAAAGAACCCAAGCCTCATTATAAATAAATAGCAACTCTTAGAACTCTATAAAGAAGTAAATAGTAATAATAACAAAAATAGTGTTAATCTTTACAAACAAGAATGGTTATTTTTTATAAATTCAATCGCATTTTCCCACATTTTAGTTAAATAATGCCCCCACACTCCATCTAGATCAAAAATGCAGTTTTAAATTCTGTTTTAGAAGAAAAACAAACTCAAGCATTTCCAAAATCTAATTAGAATGAAATACGAGAACCATTGTCTGTAAAAAATGCAGATAAAAAAATATAAGATTTTACAAGACCCTTATCCCCTAAAGAAAAATATTGATAATAAATTTAACACAATACTAATGAGTGAAATCACATAATAAAAAATATTTAAAATCCCCAAGATTGTTCTCTGAATTGTAAATTTATGACAAGACCAAATTCATAGAAACACATATATCTTACTATCAGATTTTCATTCTTCATATTATTACATCTATGTTACTTGTTTGTTAATTATATTTCAAATATCATAGTATTTGGTTGTAGAAGCAGTAGAGAGTAATTAAATTCTAGAGAAATATCCAATCTGTATGCTACATATATATGAACATCTTAGATTGGTACCAATAAGTCAATAATGTTTTCAATTCGATTTATCAAGCATAACTAACTTTATTAATAATTTTTGTTTGTAACAACTAATTTTTCTATACGCTTATGTATGTCAATCAAAGTCCCTACAGGAATGTCCCTTATCAGAACATACCTACAACCACTATATATGTTGACCCTAACAAATACTAATAGCCGAACATTTAACAACCGATAAGATATCAACAATCTCCCAGTACTGATTATGGCTATAGAGATTCTCAACTTTAACATCAATTCCAAGACTTGGCTAAAAAATATGTATGCATCTATGTGTGATTGTTATTTAGCAAGATTTATAAAATGAAAATAATCAATTATTAAGATAGTTGTCAGATAGGCCATAGATTGGTTAGACTGAACTTTTGAATTAAAAATTAGTATTATTACATTAATCAATCTAAGCAACACTATGCAATTGAGAATGATAAACTAAGACAGCAGTTAACATACACTTACGAGTTGCAAGAAAAGTTGACTCTTGTTACCAATCAGTTGGAGAAGGTTAACGAAGCGTTGATGCTTTCGAATTAAGAGAACCAACACTTATGCCAGTAAATTGCTGAATACAAGAATTAACAAACTTATGTGTATCAGTTGAACTCGACTATTCAGACACAAGAGATTTAATTACAATAAAAGTAGGATTAATTTAGAAATTTGCAATAAGAGATTGATTATTATCAATAAATATTTTCGTAAAAGGGATAGGAAATACAATAAACACAATTAGAGATCAATAGAGTGATTGGCTAAAATCAAGTTTTATAATAAGAATTGGAATAGCAGAAAAGAAATTGTTTGAAATTAAAATAAGAGATTGTAGCTTTATAAGTCGAACAGAATAGTTTTATGTAATTAAGACATGAGAATATGTAATTGCATGAAAAAAATTAAGAATTGCTGAGGAACTTTGAATAGCAAAAGGCTTTAAACTAAAATCTAATTATGGAATTGAACAAATCATAATAAATTGATTCGTATATTGATTAATTAATAGATTAATTAAATGAATAGAGATCCAAAATAGAATATGCTAGTTCTAAAATACAGGACTAAGCCAATAAAATAAATGAATTGGAATTCATAGCCAATGAGAAAGCATAATTAGATAGTGTAAATACAATCATCTAAAGCAAAACTATAACATTGTTGAAAATGATTACAACAAATTGAATGAACTATTAAAGTAGAAATAAATTGAATTAGATGTCAATAAGAATACAAATATGTAATACAGTTAGAGACTTTAACAGAATTAAATGAATAATGTTCTCATTAATGAACTTAAATTGGAGATAGAACAATGGAAGTCAAAACAAAGCAGAATGGAACAAGTGTTCAATGATGGTAAGAAGGAAGATCAATTTAAACTAAAGTGTCTCTAAGAACAAAATACTCAATTGACATAAATCACAGCTGAACTATAGGATAAACTGTAACATAAGGACACTGAACTACAACAATAAGGCATAATCTTATAGGATACACTAAAACGATTGAGAGAGAAGGAATAAATCATTAATTACAATTCGAGTAAGCCGAATGTGGATTAGGAGGAGGTGTAAGCTCTGAAGAATAGGATTAAGCTTTTGGAATTGAATGATGAGAAGAATTACAGTCTTTAAAAGGAGATTTAGAGATTGAATGCTCAAACTGCTTCTTTAAGATAGGAATTAGCAACGTATAAGAATAGGCATCATGATTACTAATTTATGGATGAACAATTCCAAAAATCGAATAAATAGATACAGGAATTAAAAAGCCATATAGTGACTTTATAAAAATGAACGAATTATATTTCTTATTTTATACTAACAGTTAAATATAATATTTTAAAATGAATTCAGAATGGCAATAGATGTTGATTGAAGATTTGAATGCTAAATTGCTCTAACGTGCAGAATTGATAGGGCACTACGAAGAACTTGAAGAGTTGCTGGAGTTTCATAAAGCCAATAGTACATTCGAATATGGTTTTGCGATTAAACTTGAATAGTTGGATAGGGAGATTCAAAACAATTTTTCATCGGATCAAAAGGTTAGGAGTTTGATTAAGGAAAGAGAAACCTTATATTAAGAGCTAAACAAAAGAATGGAGGAGCAGACTCTCCAGGTTTTTGAATAATATATTGCTAATTGGAGTAATTGTATTGGTTAAATTAAGTTAGTGATTTTAAGGGGTTTAGAGTAATACATGGAGAGGAGAAGTACCAACAACTATTACTGGAATAGTAGAAGCAGATAAAAGGAATGATATACACGCAGTACAATAAAAAGATATAGGGCATCACTTAAATTTACAAACAATTCAATTAAATAGACTAAGCCATACAATACAATATATCATATGTGGACAACGATTTGTCCAATCAAATAAATTAGTATTAAAATAAGACAAATCAATCCATGCTTTAAAAGAAGGATGACACTCTCCAATTGTCATAAATGTAATCTAATTAATATTATTGTTTCAAGAATACAACAAATAGAGTTCACCAAATAAACTGCTAATTTATAATAAGATGACTCTTTGATATAGCATATGGATGAATTCAATATCATCATGACCAAATCATCTCATCCTATCAAACTGCAAACCATATATGAAGAATAACAATAAAATATCAATCATCCCATCAGACAGCATCATCATAGCAAAACTATATTTAGCAATAAGCATTCTACTGCTTAAGTCAGTCCCTAGATGTCAAAGTCATACTTTGTTAGAGAGACTCCTTTAAAGAAATCTCTAACCAAAGGGACCTTGCTACTCAAGAAGTTCTCTAATAAACCATCAAAAAGGGAATTTGATGTGTTTTAACATCAAAATCCTACTTAATTGGGTTATGGTCTAAGGATGGCATAGTTGACCTAAGATAGAATTGAATTTAGAAATCAATTGAAACCCTAGATAATTGATTCATCATTGCCTCTCTCTCAGATTCTTAGAGTGATCATTCCAAAATAGGTTCAAGGGTATCTAAAAAGAAGGCCCAGCAAAATATAGGAGAAGGAAAACAATGTTCCAAGTCTCTCTTATTGGCCTATGCAAATTCTCACTTTGAATCAGGGACAGATTGATCTACTGTTCCATTCCTAAGATCACATGATGGATTGGTATAATGGTTTAGTGAATGTAAAAAATATTAATTAATGAAATATTTGAAATTATTTACTCTTATTTCAATTACATTAGGCTCTTCGATTCATAAGCATATAAATCATCTTCGCTCAGGTTCAGGACCATTGGATACACAATTATTTGTTGTTGGCTTGGTATGCATATCATTCTCAATTCTCTTATTGTGGTTCAATGAAAGAAGAGCAGCAATCAATTCATATAGGCTTTAATTTGCCAGATAAAATTGCATCTCATTAACACCTTTTTAAGAATCTAATCCAACCAATTTAATACACATCACAGGTCAATTAATGACTGATGAATTGATTACAGACAAGGATTTTGGAATTTCATAAATAAATTGTGTAAAATTGCACAGACATGTGGAAATGTACTAGTGGGTCAAAGGAGATTAAAAATAATATGAGCAGAAATGGGTGGACCATCATGTTGAGAATCATTTTGGATATAATAATGATAAATCGAAATGGGTTTTGAAAGCGTAAACCTTTCTAAATTAATGTGTTAAATTACATTAATTTATGTTGGAGGAAGACATGATAAAGGAACTCAACACTCCTCTCTAGAATGTCAAATTTAATTAAGCAAATGTGTAGATTGCCTAATAGAAATATAAAGATAGTGGATTTAGTAGATTGTAATTTTGTTTTTTTATAAAGTTTACTTTAAGATGACTACATCTACATGCATTAGGTTGATGATCAAATAGTGAATGGAGATCTGAGAATAAGCTTCAAGTAAGTAATTTGTAGTGATGCCACAATAGTAGCTAGAGGGGACACTAATAGATTACTAGTTTGGTAATTTGAAGATACTTTTAATAAAACAGTAGCTAGAGATTATGATGCACATGAAAGAACCTGTTGTAATCTCCCTGTCCCTAATGATAGCAAGCCAATCAAAGACATTTATTGGATATTCTAGGGTCTCTTTACTCCTGAAGAATGCTTTTCAAAAGTGGTAAATGAAAATGCCCTACTATTTTGGGTTTTCAGAAGTATTGGATATATTTTAATAGTAAATATCAATTACATTCATATTAGGCAATTGGAACTATCATTTTATTATCTCCAGTATCATTTCTAACTGACTTTATTCCAATTGAGAAACTAACTGGTATTAGTTTCTTTATTTTTGGTTGCATTGCTGCAGTGCCCATCACAATCTTTGCTATTTGCTTTTCTTGGGTATACTATCGCCCAAAGATTGGATTTTTAATGCTATTAATATCTATAATTTTAGGAGGAGGCATATTTTATTATGCATACAAAAATCTATGATTACGATAATTTTGGAATAGAATGATATAAATATAATAATATTGTAATGGTGAGACATGTAACATAACAAATATCAAATTTATACTTTTTTCTTTGCTGGTTCTTCGACGGAATCCTCTTCTTTGACTTCAACATCTCCTTCTTCATCTTCACTCTGATCATCGAATATATTCCATATCTTAGATATTGCCATTTCTCTTTTAAATTTGTTCTATGCTAGTAATATGGTTATACCTTCTCTAAGCCAATTAAAAATTTGCCAACTTGTGTAGGATTTAAAATATTTCTAAGCTCATCAACAAAGTTCTCCACTTAAGAGGTTTTATTGTATAGTTATTCTTTGATTTCCTGGAATTAACTCAAAATTCTAAGATTTTAATAGTAATAAATTACTCTAATAATTTATTCTTATCACTTATAATCCTTCTTTAAGATTTCTTCATCTATTTTTTCTAAGCCTCAGTTATCTAGAGATCGTTGGTGAGATCCAGCAACCACTGAGGTTGTCCTTCCTATAACTATTGATCCTATTAATCAGCAAACAAGTCCTTGCTTTCACTTGCAGCCCATAACATGTATCGAACATGAACAGGAAAGCAGATCTCCAATATTTAATTAAAGAAGTAATTGGAGGCACTTACTCTTTCTTTGCCCCCTCCACCAACTCTAAATCTCATTGAATCTAGGAGTAAATTTAATTCATTGTCATCTGCCTTGTTTTGGATTGATTTCTCCAATTTCTCGTATAATTATTACCTTCCCAAAAAGAATCCTTACAACTATGAAACATTCTAATGAACAAATACTTATTGATTCTAACTCATCTTATTCAAGTAACCTGCACTTGTCTTATTCAATAATTTCTGTTTCTCGAGTTCATCATTTAATTGTTTGACTCGATGCTCCAGCAATTCAATATAAATCTTCTTCCTCTTCCTCGAATTCCTGGCGCATTCCCTATTCCTCAGCAATTTGGCCTGAGTGCTGTCCTCTATTTCCTAATAAGAAACACTGTTATTTTTATCATGTCTATCTTCCTCCGATGTTCTAAATTTTGCCTATTGTTGTTGTAACAATTTCTGACTATCCTACTAAACCAGGTTGGTGATCTTATTGATGTAAGTGTTTTTCAAGTTATTCTTATACTGAAATGGATCCTTCTGTTTTGTATGTTCAGATTACTATTTACATTCTTATTTAAATTCATTACATTGCTTTTTTAAGTTTTTCGCTTTTTCTGTTTCTGTTTCTTTGCATCTAGAATTGGCTCCTCCTACTTCAAATCCATTGGTTCATACTAATTATCCAATAATGAAAAATTTTATTATAATCCAATAAAATTTTAGTTGCTATTAGTTCTAGGAAACGCATGACTAACAACATAAAATCAAGCACTTACGGCGGATCCATCAAATAATTGACCATGAAGTCATTTTCAACCAAATCAAACAGGGAATTGACCTTTTCATTATTTTAATTATACATGATTTTATTTATAATAATTATTAAAACACACTTATTTTTACAAGATTTACCCCTTCAATGTGTTCACATCAAACTTAATATCTACTCCTATTATCAATTGAATACCCAGTTTAAATTGATTTTAACACTCCAAATGATTGAAAAAAGTCTTAAACTCATTCTTTAAGCATTACGCCCTTAGTTTCATATTAAATTCCCAAAATTCTATTAAATACTTACTCGACCTCAATTCACCTATTTAATTTAGATAAATATAATTCCAAGATTAAATCAATAATTTTAAATTTAATTTTTATTAAAATGTCCCAAAAGTATATTTTCAGCATAAAAATAATGTTTTTTTGGCCAATAAACACAATATTTATAATTATCTATTATCTGGTACATAATTATTAAGATACATCTCTTTTGATGGTGCTTTGGACGTAAATAAATCGATTATGACTAAACATAAAACTCATTAATTAATTTAAAAATAAGTATGAAATTGCTCCTTATATCTATATTGGTCAAGTTCATTGAATGCAGAAACTATTCTTTCAGTTCTAATGATGATGACGATAGCGACAGTGACAGCGTAATTGGTCCAGTTTTTGCCATTTGCTTTGGATTTGGAATGATAGTAGCGGCATTTCCTTGCTTATGGTTTAATGAGAGGAGGTAAATAAACAACATCATAAAAGAATGGCCATATCTGAAACAAGGTTGTTAGCTGGAAGAAGAGCTTGTAAATCAGTCAACGCAGCTGAAGTAGACCCTCGAATGGAAGATCAATTGATTCATGTCAAAGGAAAGTTAACCACAAACGACCTTATCATTGATCCTCAATTTAGATTGGAACTTGGAAACTGTGTAAAACTGAGAAGGAAGGTCGAAACTTATTAATGGGTTCAAAAATCAAGAGAGGAAGGTAGCAAAAAGAATAAGAGAACTGTGTATTACTATGAAAGTGAATGGTCATCCAAAATCGAAGGATCATATCCTAATCATGAGAACAGACGTGAAGATTTAACAGTCTAAGAACAGGAGTTGACAGCTGAAAATGTCTACATTGGAGCTTATAAACTAACCGATTATCTAAAGAGCAAGGCAGTAGATTACGTATAAGTAGACTCCATTTCACAATAACAATGTGAAGCAGCTAAAGTTGCATTTTAAAGCAGAACTCAATAATATATGTATTATAAGAAAACTAACGTAGATTTTTTGATGGGAGATATATTTAGTTTAGAAAATCTGAGAATTCATAATCAATAGGTGATCAACGAGTTTTATTTGAGAAGGTTCCTTGCAATTATGCTGCCATTGTAGCAAGATAACATAAGGAATCATTCAAGCCATATTTATTTAAAGATTCATTTTCAGATGATGTCAATTAGGATTATGCTAAAAATCCTGATATGTTGAAGAGTTTCAATAGATTCCATGAATTGAGTGAAGAGGAACAACCACTTAATTAAATCGATCCATCATCAGAAGTGTCATCCAATATTTTCAAATCCTATGAAGCCCCCTTGAATTACATCAACTGGTACTTCAACAGAAGTTTCACTTTAGATCAATGTTTCTAGTCTTAGCTAAGCAAGTTGGTTAGAATGGTCTGGTTGTGTAGAGTTGGAGGATTTTTTATGTTTGTAAGATCTTAGATTTACATTCTAGTTATTTGGATTTGTGTTGTTGTTCACTCCAATAACGACCCTGTTATATTACATTCCATTGTTGGGTGGTTTCTTATCGAAATTGACTGGAATAGTGTTGGCTTTCTTGAGTGGAATGATATCTATGCCATTAACTTTAGGTACTATCGGAATTGCTTGGCTCTATTACAGACCAATCAAGGGTTTGATTTATTCTTCTATGGCCGTGATATCAGGAGTAGCATGTTACAGATATATTATGAGCTATTGAATTATCAATATATTTTAATTTAGTTCCATAATTTGCCAACTCAGAAATCCAAATATATAAAAAAACATCAATTATTCAATTTTAAATAATTCTTTTGAATTTAAATAGGCAATATCCATCAAGTTTGAATAATTTTATACACATTTTCAGTTTTAAATTAATAGAGATGTAGGTGTCATAGAAACCTATATTTAAAAAAGTGAATTTAGAATAGAGTTCATTAAATTTATATTTTATTTGATCAATAATTTAAATATCTTAAGAGATTAAATATTTTAATTAATGAGTGCTGATTCGGAGGAACAGAATAGGTAAATTAACGTGTAAATGATTACGAAGGGATGTTTCAAATGACCCATAACCAAAACCTGACAATAAGAAAGTGCAAGATTTTACAGAGGATTGGGGGTATTAAGGGAACCCATCACCGCGATTTACACCCATGCCCTATCCATCACTATTTCCTCCCATGTGTCCTCCTCCATTTGAGTTAGAAAAATAAGGTACCATGATGACCTTCTATGCAAGTCTATCATGACTATGATCCACAGAAATATCCCCACATGAACAGCGATAGGAAAGGACAAAGTAGATATCCTTATCCAAAGCATTTATTAGGTGAAGTTCCACACATGGATCACATTGACGACGATCCCCATCGTATCCCTGTTCATTACCCTTTCGGCTATTATCCCCCTATGAAATACCCGCCACAACAAATGTTTATGAAATATCCACCTCCTCCACAACAAGGTTAGGCTTACATGGTTCCACAAAATCCATGGTATCCTCCAAGACCATAGTAATAATTGATGCCCCCATTTTGCTATTACCCCTAATCTCAGTACGATGGACTCTAATGCCAAAACACAGTTTCCAAGGAACTGCAATCCAAAGTGTTTCAGTTGGTTTAGTATCAAAAAGTGTCGGATTTCCAATGTAATTGCAAAAAAAGCAAATGCCTCAAACTCTATTGCGAATGCTTTGCCAATAATTGGGTATTCGATTTAATAATATTTATAATAAAAGGTGTGTTCTCAAAGCTGCAATTGCTAGGATTGCAAAAACAGAATTGATAATCCACAAGAGAGATCGAAAGCAATTGAGGAAGCATTGCTCAGAAATCCAGATGCTTTTGCGTAATGTTTTCAACAAAAGAGTCAAACCCAATTCTCTGTCCAATAACAAGGTAATCTCAGGGTTGTATTTTAAGATAAACCACTCAAAGAACCCACCAAGGACAACTCCAATATCACAAGAAAGGGATGCAATTGCAAGAAGTCTGGGTGCAAAAAGAAGTATTGCGAATGCTACAGTCAAAACTTGAAATGCAGTGATTTGTGCAAATGTGAATAGTGTCTTAATAGAACTGATGCCGAGATCTAAGCTTAACAAGACATCGCACAAGTCTTGAATTCTCAGGACTAGGTCAATGTGGACATAAAAGTCAATCAAAAATCCAAAAAGATTAAGAAAATTGGAAATGGAAATGAAGACAAAAGCGATTCGCAAAAACCTGTGGTCTAATTGAAAATAAATGTGAATAATAATAGTAATCGAAAAAAGCTGGATAAAAAGTGAAGAATAACCATTATATTTAATTCATCTATCCAATCATAAAATAAATAGTTGTTTCAAATCAAGTTCAATATTTCATCTACCTCTCAGCATCATAAACCATTATTCCAGTGAGTCTCGAATTTATTAACGTAGTCAGATATGTCTATAGAATGATACATATCTTACTTAATTCTTCTTAATCACAACGTCTTCATCATTATATGTGATTTAGAACAGCATCTTGTAGTACTTCTTCTCGCAGTAGACCTTGATCTCTATCATTTCAAATTCAGCCTGGTGTCGGTTGACTTCACTCAATGAGTAGATCCTTATATCTTCAAAGTAATTCTGATTCAAATTGTAATAGATGTATCCAATGTTCTTGAGGTTCACTTATTTAATGTTCAGACCAAATAATCTAAATTTAGTATAATGATATGATACTTCCAACCAAACTAAGAGGAAAATTGGCTATCAGTCTTGGTGTCCTCCTTGAATTCTCTATTGTTCCAAGCATCTATGTCGGTTAGTTCACAACCGATGTACTTCACCAATGGTTATGTTGAACACTTGATAAATCCAAATTGCTGATTCAGGGAAGTATTGATGTAGGATATGATTTGGTTGTCTCTCATCGAATTTTGGTTTATCACAATGGTTAGAATGATGTAATTGTTCTATTCGCATATAGACAAAATCGAAACCTATAGAATGTGCATTAAAATTTACTTTAATTTTGAGTGATTGCTTAATTTAATTTAAAAAATTCATCAATTCGAAGTTTGAATTCGTCAAATTTTTAAATTGAACATTCGCTTAAGTAAAATATAAACAGAACATGTTGATATGGGAGGTGGCAAGGATCAGGGGAAAGTAGCTGATTTCAACAAACACTAAGGGAATAAAGGATATAATGGTACATTTATTGTAATGAAGTTAAGTCGAATTCAAGGTGAAATCGTTCTGTAATACCAAATCAAGTTTACTGAATTTGATTGTTTCTCGAAATATGTGAAAGATTCCGTATTCATTGATGTACTTCTCTGAAATTAAAAGATTTTAGAGAAAACTATCTTGAGATCTCATCAAAATATCATTAAACTCAGCTTCGTGTTCAATTCTAAAATGATAATCGTTAATCACTCTATAAAGTAATTCCGAATATTATTTATTTTCATTCAAATGTAATAAGATCATAGAATGCTCATTCATGCTCTTAAGGCGTTTATATTTTGGATTTGTGTACACCGTATTACAGATGTTACTCTCCTCATCGTTAAATTATTCAACTGATATCTCCTTACGTTAAGCAAAGCCTCCCCCTTTCCCACTGGCAGAAGCATCCCTCATATCAATCGTGAGTCTTTCAATTTTAATTGATTGATTCTCTTTCATTATTCAATTTAAATACTTAATTCGTTCTCGATGTATTTAGAAATGACCGAAACATCCTTACTTGAATAGCGTTTCTTATTTAAGTCTATCGAGTTTTAGGCAACATCGATTTTCGTTTATTTGGGTTCTTAGATCTCCTCCTCTAGTTCTTGTTACACATGAGGAGGCTGAGCTAATAGAAGTTAAAAGTCATTAGATTGATGAACAGTTAAATTTGTAGTGTTGGGTTATTGTTTTGAACAAGGTATTCCCATTAAAAAATTAATTTTATGGAAATATTTGATCTCTTTGGAGAGGATATAATTACAGAACATTAGAATGATAAGAATAAATAACTGAGATCAGATAAACAATAGATAAAGAATGAATTACATAGATAGAAGGTAGTTTAGAAGAAGAAAGAGAAGAAAAAGAAAATTAAGCAATAAAAATACGAAATCATCTAAACCTTAGAAACCTAAGAGCAGAAGAATGATTTCGTTCATTCCTTCAAAGGTCTACGAAATCAAAGGAAAGAGAATGGAATGAAATCCCTCTAAAGTCCATTTAGGATTATTATTGATTGTGGTTTTGAAGATAACATGTCAGACAAAGAGCAAAGATCGCTAGCCAGATAGTTATCTGAACTCTACACTGAAAATAGAAGAACAGATGTTCCTCTAAAACTCTATGTGACCAACATCTATCCAATACTGCATAAGTATTTAGAGCAATATCATTATAAATAATGGCAATTGGTTTCAGATGAGAAGCTTTTCACAGACATAGAGGAATTTTAATAAGCAAATATTGTTTATTTAAGTCCTGATGGCGAAGAAGAATTGCAGGAGATAAAGGAAGACGAAGTGTATGTGATAGGAGGACTGGTTGATAGGTATTTTTAAGATGAAATCATTTTAGAGTTATTATAAAGAATGCCACTTTAAATAGAAGCAGGCAATTGGGAGTAAGAAGTGCTAAATTACCTATTGGATAATTTATAAAGAAGAGTTATAAAAAATGCTTAAATGTGAGTACAGCTGCTTTGATGATATCAGGATGGTTAAAGTATAAAGATTGGAGCAAAGCTTTCGACAGCATAGTGCCCCAAAAATTCAAGGAATAGGAACTTCAATAGTAGTGAGATAATTAATTTTAATTTTGATGAAACATTTTATCGTTTTTCTTTTTATTCTTTTCATCACACATTGTTAGAGATTACTCTAAGAATAAAATCTAAGGTAGCGTCATCAAAGCAAGATGTTTGTTCACCAGTCCAATTTTGTTTAAATTTAGTAATAAACGAGACTATTATAATAAGATTCAGGCGATCACTAAGGAGAGTTGCTACCTGACTAGGTTTAAAATGAAGAAAATAAACCAAGAAAGAAAACTAGAAAAATAGTCAAAAAGAGGAGAGTTATCCTTAAACCAATTGAAGTTACTGTCCCAAATTAACATAAGAATTAGAAGAAGAGAAAGGTGCATAAGAAAATTAAGAAGTGCAATACGATTATTAAGTATTGAAGCTTTATATCAATAATAATTTAATTCAAAATGTTTTAATATACACCTTAAGAAGATGCTTACTACAGACAACTTTGGGCCCCTTTTGATCCACAAGTAATTTAAATTCATTTGATTCTTAGGGTCTAGGCTTTGCTGAGGCCAAAAGCACTGTTTAATTTTTCAAAAAAAGTAAACTTCCAGTTGACGCGCTTAAGGGAATTTGGATAGCAGGAGTAAAAAATTAAGAAGGCAGACTTTATTATCCAGAATTTGCTATAGTCATGAGATTAATTGCATACTGTTAAAATGGATTTGAATTCAATGAACAATTATTGAACTAAAATATATCTGTTCCTCTTCCAGTTATGGAAGGAATATAGGTACCACAACAATAATAACTACCCTAATAACCAATCTCATAACCGCAATAGCAATAGTTCAATAATTTCTAATAACCACAAACTTCTTTGCCTCAATCAAATTACTTCTAAACACAACCAGTCTAAAATACTGCTTAAATCTCTCTCTAATCCTATGTTGAACCTAGACTAGAATTTCAAAAAGTATCAAATTCCCATAATTTTTAGTATGATTTACCTGATGATTAATATAACAGATATGAACTCTGCTTTAATTAATAGGATAAAACTAATTCAGGATTCGTTAAGGGTGATCAAGCATTGGCTTTTTTTTAAAAGTCTTAACTTCCCACTCCATTATTGAATCAACTTTGGAGCTTGGTTGATAATGGACAAAAAGGATACCTCTATAAAAATGAATTTATCGTTGCTGTTCACTTAATAGCTCTGTGCCGAAAGGATATCCCATTACCTTAAGTTTTACCAGAATCATTACTTCAACTAACAAGAAGAGATCAACAGTAAAATTAGGTTAGATCAACTTCATAAACTATGCCACAACTTTCCTAAGGGTTACCTCCATAACCATAAAGAGCTGGATCATAGAATGAGGTTTAAGGGCTGAATCATCAAGCAAATTACTTACAGAATAAGCTCTAAAATTAAACGCAATAGATTTAATTTGCAAACAATTTGGATTAATAAAAATAGATTATAGAAGATAAGAAAAAGGATATTGAATTTCTCAACCAAACAATATAAAAGCTTCAAAGCTTTTATGATTATCTCAAAAAAGAACAAGATGAATTGCAGGCTTAAATATCATCATTAAGTGATTAATAAACATAAAAACAACATTCAATTAATGTTTTATAGGATAGTATATAGAATCAATTGTAAATCAACTCAAACCTTTAGAAACAATTGTACGATATGAAATAATCAGATTAGCAGTAGGAGAATCAGCCACCTGCTTTGACAACTTAGTTTTAGACCATCAATGTATTCATTTAATTATATTACAGATTGAGGACAATTATGATTATTCCAATTATAGAGCAAAGAAGGATAAGGTAGTTTCTGGAGGTAACCAAAGCGCTGAAAACCTCCCTTGGCATTGAAAGATTATTAAAATTAATTTTTAACGAATAAAAATGTTAACTACATCACCTCATGTCAAATCAGATAAACCATATCAACAAAGTCCTTAATATAAGAAACCCCACCCTTATAATCCTGAGGCCAGCATATCTCTTAAAAACTCTATCAACCTGAAAGGTATCTGGTAACACCTATCATCAAGATTTCTAATTCAACGAGGAATTGGAGTACTACAAGAACAGATCAGCGGATCTTGAATAATACGCAAGACAACTGAAAAATGAATTGGACACTACCATAATTCGAATGAGTAAGTAGGGAGCTTTGGATGAGAAGGCAGAGTTAATGATACATCAGAATTAGATGCTGAGTTAAGATATTGACAAGTTATAAAAGAATTTTGCTTAAAAGAAGACTGAGTGTGAATTATGGAAATCCAAATACGAATAACAACTGAATAGTGCTGTTCAATGTATTATAGATTATCACCTTAATAGTAAAGGCTTAGTATGAATTGGATTTACGAAAGCTTAGCAATGAATTAAAGTTGTTAGAGGAAAGAAATGCTATACTCGAGAAGGAAAGATCACATGAAGTTGAGGCTACAAAAACCAACTTCTCAAGTAAATTATTTATTAATTTTTCAGTTTAAAATGAATAATAAAGACATAGTTATCTCACTTAAATCGATTTACTTGAAAATCAATTAAGAAAACTTAGAGAGTATGCTGATATCAGGGATAAGGAGATCTATGAATTAGAAAATAAATTAACCAAAGTTTTGTAAGATAGAGAATATGTGGAGACTAAATTGCTTAAAGATAATGACTTATATAGAACCAAATTATAAGAACAAGAGAGGGACAACTAAATTGAAATGAATAATCTAAGATAAAAATTGGATATCCTAAATTAAGGATAATTGGACAATATAAAAAATCAATATATGGCCTAGGCTGAAATTTTGGATGATGAAATTGAAAAATTGAAAGGTCTTTTAGGGATTAAGAATGAAGAAATTAAGACTCTCATAGATTAGAATGAAAGATTGAGAGCTAATTACGAAAAAGAAATAGAAACTATATCTCTACAATTCAATGTTCTAAAAGAAAAAATGTTTGAAAACGAGCAAAGATTCCAAGAAGAATCTCAACAAATGGAAAATAACTTAAGAAGCTAACATGAAATTGGCGTAGACACCTTAAAATCTCATCATGAGAATTCTAATCAAATTCTTGAGAATCAAATTGCTCATTTAAAAGGGCAAGTCTTAGAATAAACCAAATAATTAGAGGAGTTGCAGAAAATCAGATAATAATTACTCTAAGCTAATATATAGGATCAAGAAAATGCCTAAAATATTATCAACAATTTAAAGAAAGAGGTATATATTATTATAATTGCTTAGATTTTAGAGTAATAAAGTCGATATCAAGATTAGATTTTATAAAACTATAATGATTATGAACTATAAAAGAAAGAATTATTGAACTTTAATCAATAATAATAGGAATTTAATTAATAGTTATAACAGTAGATCTAAAATCTTAATTAGATTATTGAAACTAAAAGAATAACAATATGAAACCACACTTGTGTAATTCAAGAATATGAATGATCAATTAATTGTACTAATTTATTAATATGCTTAGAATAAACTAAATGACTTATATAGAGACAATGAACAAATCAAAGCTAAATTCAAAGTCACTGTATCTGAACAAGAAGATTTATTAAATAGATAATTGAAATAAATTAAACAACAAGAACAGAAAATTTAGTAATTGTCTTCCACGTCATAAAGGGATAAATAAAATTCTGAAAGATAAATTACTAATCTGTAGAATTAAAATCGATAAAAAGAGCAACAGATAGGTGAATTAAAAGCCTAACTGAAGGCAGCTGAAGAAAACTGTGAAAAAATCGATAATGAATTATAAGAGACAAAAAATACACTCTAAAGTTAATTCGAAGAATAAAAATATAATTTTGAATAAGAAATGGAGTCAATTTAAACTTAAAAAGATGAAGATCTAGTGAGTACAAAGAAAATCTTCGAAGAAAAAGAAAACTCATTAAATCAGGAACTTATTAAATTAAAGAGTAATTTATCAACTTAGTAAACACTCAACTAAGAATTGAATTAAAAGTATTTTTAATAATTAATATTTTTAGATTAGATTAATTTGGTTAATAGATTTAAAATGTTGTAAACAATTCGGATGTTATTAAACAATACGAAGTTTTATCAGAAATCAATCTAGTAAACAGATTAAGAAATTGAATTTCTATTTATTTGTCAAACTTATTTATTATATAACGTTTATGAATATTGTAAAATCTAATAAATCAAAAAAACCCTTTTAAGCTTCCAAATTTACCACTGTTAATTACTAATTTTTTATTATAATTAGATTCAATAATTTCATCAGGCAAAGAGAGCTCTTTCTTAATAGGAATCTATTTTATATAAGATTTCAAACCCCCGTTGTTGATTGTGCTAGTGATTTTAACAAAACTATCCTTAGGATTTCTAACTGAATTGATTTCCTAAAGTAGAATATTTTATCCTTCCACTTAAAAATCTTCAAATTCTTCTATATTTAGAGGAACCAATTTTTAAACTACTTCCTTATTGTCTTTTAATTTATTATTTAGATAGAAGCGGGATGTGAATGATGAGAATGGACGACATCCTTTTGCAGTTGAATTAGGTCTTCTTATAATTTCTACAACTGGAGGTTTAGAATCTACTAAATATCTTGGATCATCTTCCAGTTTGTCAACATATTTATAAGGGTATTTTCTATTCAATTCATTCTAAGTTTTTCGAAGTCCTTATTTCTATATAGATTGCATAAGCATACCCAGTAATCGTTTCCTAATTTTTATTCCATAGGAGTTATATGTTCCAGTAACTATTTAATTTCTTGCTTCACTCTAAATTAATCGATTTTATCATTTATTGAATAGCCTTATTTTCGTTGTATTCGAGAACTGACTCTTAGTTTAGTTGACTCCCAATTTTCTTAAGTGTTTTGATAATTGGTTAAAGCCCTTTCAGCAGTATCCATCTTTAATTAATCACCTTTATTTAGCTTTCCTTTGATCTCTTAATTTAACCTTTCTGTCTTAATTTTTAGAGAAGAAGTTTACTTCAATTTAGTTTGTTTTAACTCTTCTTTCAACTTCCACAATCTCTTATTATACTTATTCTTCATTTAATTATATAAATTAAAATTCCTTATCCTTAATTTTATGAGGGGATTTTTTTGACAACTCTTTACTAGAAGTGAGTTCGGTCACTAATGTGAGAATAAAAATGAATTTTACATTTTGTGTAACTGTTATTCATTCCAGGTTGTGACTCTCCTTCAGATAGAAATTGCGTTTTCAGTTTTGCATATGGCTTTTTGTTGATATTAAACCTTCTTTGCTTTTCTTACTAAAATTATTGCACTGATCCAACAATTGTATGCTTAAGAATTTATCCTTTTTTATCAAGTTTTGGTCCCTTTTCGTAAGCGGGTAAAACATTTAATAATTCTGACGAACCTGAAAAAATATTCTAAGCCTAAATTTCAATATCAACAGGCGTTGGAAGTATTAAGAATAGCATTTTATTTTTTGGAGATGAAACTTTTACATTTTGGATGCTATTCTACTAAGGATCTATTTTTTAAAATTTGATCATGCTATGATATATAAAATAAGTTTTAATTTATAAATTATTGATTAAATGTATTTTAATGATATAGTCATTAATATACTATTTATATTTCTTTTTACATAAAGCAGGTGAAAACATTAAATTTTATGCATTTCAATTAAACGATATAATTGAAAAATACTATATGTTCAATCAAGTTAAACAAAATAATTTTTTTAATATGGATAAATGTAAGGGTAACAATTCATAGATACGTAAATTCATTAATTGAACTTGATCTGTAAGGAAAGACACAATATTTGTATTATTAAAATATTAATGATAGATTAGGGATGAAATAAATAATAAATTTACTCCAAGGTTACCTTATTAGTGATGATACCTTTATATTTTTATTCTAAAATTGAACATGCTAATAGATCCTGTTCATATTGAAATCCATCTTGTTAGACATCTACAGAATTGAATAGTGTAATATTGTCACTATAATGAATAACATTCCTCTTTAAACTCATCCAAATGTTGTATTGATCAGTGAGGATATCAAAGAAAGAGGACTTGCCTTAGAAGATGTAGTCTTTGAAATTGCAGATGTATTTGTACTTCGAAAAAACAAAGAGCTGGTACTGTATTAGCCCATATTGGATAATTCAAGTAGTTAATTACAGAATTGGATAAGCATTTTAGAATTGATAAATAAGAAATATTAAATAATTTGACTCCTTAGTCGTCAGAATTATTATGATTTCTTCCTGATTTCATTTAGCAACAATTGTTGATGGAAAGAGAAGTTCATGGAGGCATACAATTATCACAAATTGAGACCGAAAGATTATTGATGTATTTGGTTGCAGAGGAACTGAAAGTTAGAAAAGCTGAATCCAAATACAAGGGTGCATTTTCATTTATTTTACTATTCCTTCGGATATCAAAGTAGATGTACCTTCCCTTAAAAATTATGAGAAGTATATGGTTATTTGGCAGTCTTAAGCATCTAAAGAGGATTAACTAGTTATTACGTTTAAGCAAGGGGTATTGCCGGCCCAATTGGAAGATGGCATTTTATCTTAACTCCATATTAGTAATGGTATCTATCAAGTTGAAGAGTGCCTATGGAGGCATAACCAGTTATTGCTAATTATGAGTTGGATTTAAAATAGGTAATCAAATTAAATTAATTTAGTAATTTTTCAAACACTTCAGTTAGAATTTCTAAGAATTGGTATTTGAAAGATCACTATGAAAATCCAGGTCTAATTCAATTTTATAGCTCAATGGCTCGTAGACCCACTTTTACAATAGATTTGAGTTATGAGTGTTATGTCGATTAAATTGAGGAGATTGAGCGTTTAGTGGAAATTATATCAGAAAATGTAGAGCTTATTTGCTTGATTTGGCAATTGCTGAATTGAAGGCTCTGGCTAAAACTATTGAAATTGTGAAGGAGGCAAATCAATGAAATATATATATATTAATTTAATAATAATATGTCAGTTATTCGAGATAGACATCCCTTGACTTCGCTTAATTAGCTACAAAATCTATTTGGAAAGTCAAAGCCTCAAGACAACAACCAAAATCTATGTCCAGAGAAAGTTCGAGGAGCAAGTAAACCGAAATAAAAAACTGAGGGTTCTAGGAGAGAAGTCTCCAATGTATAGAAAAGTCAATACACTTTATAATCATAAAAGTTGTATACCAATCATTTGGATAATATTAAATCCTCAAGGGCATTTAATGTGAAAAGTTAAGATCTTTTGCTTTCCCCTGAAAGAATGGAATCATTATAATAGGAGAATAAAGTACTTGAAATTTAAAATGATAAAAAGAGAATCCTTAAGCAATCTGTTGAGCATTCAAATGATCCAAGTCATAAATTATTCACGTCGGAAGAATAACCAAAAAAGATTGAATAGTCATAAACAATTTAATTAAGAAATCTCATATAATCTAAATAGCAAAAGGATTCGAACAATGAGATCTTAGAAAAATAGAAGAATTCAAGAAGAGAAAAACATGTTGCCTAAATTTTGTATGATGATAGCAGGCAAAGACAATAGAAAAACTAACTCACAAGCCAGAGTCTGGCTACAAATGATGGTAAATTATCAGAAATCTCTCAATAATGGTTTATATAAAGATTTATTAAAGATTTCTATTATTTTCTAAGTAATACAGATAATGTCAAAAAAAGTTGGGATTACTCTAAAGTATATGAAAATGATTTCCAGTAAATTCTTTAAGGGTTAGGATTCGGAGAAAGTAAAGATTTATGGAATGACTTTACGAATGGCTCCTATATACTCTCCAGAAATATGCTAATTGTCTTACTTGCCATTCTAAATGTACCAGTCTAATAGATACCTCTTTACTTACCAAAGGATGATGAGCAAGTTCCAATGGCATCTCATTACAAAAATGATGAAAATGGAAATCTCATGCTATCAACTTAGGATTGTATTGAAATTCACAATAAGTACAAATAACTATATTTGAACACCAAATAAAATCATGGTAATGGACAAAGAAGAAACATGGAGAAATCAAAATCACCTCCATAAGTTATCAATTTATTAAGTAATAGGTCACGAGATATGGCTATCAAGAAGAAGAACAATCTGAATATCAATGAATGGTTTGCTTAATAAGAGTAGAAAAAGAAGGATAATATTGAGAGATTAAAAAACTAATTGGAATAATCAGAAGAAACTAAATAATTGAAACAAACTATCAAACCTCTTGCTATCGATTTAACTTCATTAAGCAAACCAATAAAAAAATAATAAGATAAATCAACAATTGATGTAGAATTTGAAAGTCAATAATAATTTTGTACATTTTCACCTTAGATTAATCCCATGAAGCATTTTCCAATCTCAACTGCATCTACACAATATGATATTGATTAATAGGCAAAACGATTAAGAGAAGCTAGATTGAGATAAAAAACAGTAGAAAAATTGAAAAGCAACGGAAACACTACAAATAATGAAAGTAGAACACAGATGAAATTATAAACAGAATAGTCATTGAGTTAAGAGCCAAAGTGCAAAAAAATTAAAAGCAAACCAATATTCCTTAACTTTCCCATTTTGTATATAGATGTAAAAATAGATGATGCTAAGACCGTAAGATTACCAATATTTAATGGAGATAACTCTGACAATTTAGCTACTAAATTTGCAATTGATCATAGTAATATATTTATTAACTAAATAAAGATTTAGACAATTCTTTAGAGGAAAGACTAAAAGATCTATTAGAAGAGTAAATAAATTCTGTATAGGAATAATAGTTATGAAAACTCACCTTTAATTTATATTAAAATTCTTACTATTTTGATTAATAAGTATTATTATGAATTGGTTCATATAATGATTACAGTTTTCAACTAATTTAAATTATTTAATTGCTAATCCAAAATCTAAAAAATGTTTTTGATATCATTGTACTTCTAACCAAGCATATGAGTGCTATTAAACTCTGTAATATTTTTCCTTTCCTTAGCTATAATCCTTTTGTTGTTTAAGAATTTATTAATAGTTTTCAATCATCATCATCAAGTTAATAGATTTTTTTTCTCTCTCATATCATTAATTTTGTTATTTTGATAATATGTATGACTCAAACAAATAATTATTCTATTCGTCATGCAGATATTTACAAACAATTTAATTCAATAGTTTTGCTTATAAAATAATTAATGAGTTAATGCCCAGATCAAGGATTCAAATATTGTGTCTCAGGGAAATGCGAAAATCTTAAATTATGCGTGGAGTAAGTTGCCCTTTCAACAGCCTCTATTTAGGAACGGCATTCTCTTTACTTTTGATGATATTATGTACATACCAGATTACAGTGAGAGTGATTGAGTAGAGAAGAATTTACAAAAGAAAGCAAGTCTTATTTTTGATAATTCTAGCTGCAAATATATGTATTGTAATTAGTAGTATAGAATTACTAAAATAGTTTTTCTGATATTCACGATTAATAGACATCACATATTTGCTTATTTTTTGTGTTATTACTTTGACTTATGCTTTTTGATTTTTTTAGTTTACTTCTTCACAAAGAAAGCCACGGATCTAAATGTTTACAATAAAAGCAAATCAAAATTAGTGAGAGGTTGCACATATGGATTGTTTAGTTTATTTACTATACTGTTATTCATCAATATCATAGTATATTACTTGTTCTAAAAAAATTGCAGTTGTATGTACTAAATATTTTAGGACTTAGACCTTACACTTTTTGTGATAAAGGTTGTGGAATTACTGTCAAGCATTATCTTCATAACAGGAGCGTACTTCCTGAATTAAAAAATGAATGCTCTGATTATTGAATAAATAATGTTCACTAATAGGATGACTGGTGTTGAGAAGACATAGTATATAAAGACTAGAAACATAAAATTGAAATTCTGGTATAGAGAACATCTTAATGAAACAAGGACATTGGTTTGTGTGACAGCCTTTGGGTAGATAATATAATGGGGTTCTGATCTAATCTATTTCCTCTACGATGGGTCAAATGATTCGAATAAATGCGAATTTCTTATAAATGTAAGCTAATTTGGATGTTATTTAGAATAATTTGCTGAATCCTTTGGTAGATTTGTTTATCTGTCTCTTTGGATATTTCTTGCCCCTATTCTGCGCTGTGTATTTGTTTTGGTACAAGAAGAAGAAAGTACAATATGTGGTAAGAATCTCATGCCCCTTAAATAGAGGAATCCTTGGAAGTGGAAAGCTTACCAGAACGTTACTATCACAAATTGTTAAACAAGTCGAATAGCTCGTTCTCGTCTACATAACAAAAATGAAATAAGAATAAAATTATATACAACATTCTGCAAATTATATAATTAATAAGTATCTTCAATTAATTATATATATGTTCATGATGAGAGAAGATATAATTTTCATTAAATATATTAAATAACCATGTCTTGGGATGCTTATGTGACAAATTTGACAGCCAACGGAGCTCTTGAATATGCTGCCATTATTGGATTAGATGGAAATATCTGGGCTAGCAATTTTGGTGTTGCCGTCCTACCTTCTTATCAAGCTGAAGTCCCAGATGAAAAGAATCCAGACGTCGTAACCAAGGTTGCCTATGACGAGAAGACTGCCTTTGTTCACGCTCTCACACACAATGGAAACTCTGGAAATGCAGCTGGAGTTAGAGTCAACAATCAAAAATATTATACAATTCAATTTGATAATGATGCTAAGTCATGGTATTTGAAGAAGGTACATTCTAACATGATAATCAATAGAACAAAGGAGGAGCATGCATTGCTTGGTCTAACACCGCCGCTGTCTTTGCTTCATTCTCCTAAACCATCAATGCAGAAAATGGAGCTACTTAGAATGCTGCTGAATGCAACAAACGTGTCATTGAAATGGCAAAGTACCTAGCTGATTCTGGATATTGAGTTCTTATGTTCACATTAAACATAAACAAATATTCACAATTTATCTGTCTTCCCACCTCACTCACCCCCTCTTTTTCTTTATATTTTATAATGTTTTACTCATTGTTCTAGATTTACATTATAAATTTGTTCTAATAATTAAAATGAAAACATATTCTCCTTCTCCTCTTGGTAGTCCCTTAAATACACTGTGAAGATTATCAAATTACACTTACTTTCATTTAAATTTAATCACGCAGTCTAGTACAGCTGATGATGAAATTGAAATGGCAGTCAAATACTCCGTATAAAATTACATAAAGAGGATAAAGAAAAACTACTCTATTGTCCCTTATTTAATTAGAAGAACAATTCTAGAAGATCATCGTCACTGCATACGAAATGCTAAAGGCGTAGAATTGAGAAAAATATATGGCAAATATAATGGAGAAGAACAACTGAAATAGCTTAACTGATATCTATTTTTATAACAAAAAATTGAAGATTAAGGCATTCTAGATTCTGATTAGGAATTTAAAAAAGAAAATTTGCATTATTGACTCAAAGCAGCGTATTGAAATAAATACAATTACAATTAGTAAATTTATTCAAGAGATCACAATTGACTAATTAAACTTTATTAATATAATGACTCTGGAAGATAATGTAATAATAATAGTATTTGTAAATAAGTATTAATAATTTTTTATAAAAGCAGTAGTGATCAAATAAAAAATGAAAAGATTTGCTAAACTCTAATGTTGATGGACTTCCACAAATATTTAAGATTTTCTTGATTAGATAATGAATGAAAATGAATAATTCAAGTTAATTATAAAAGATAGTATTATTTTATAATTTTATTGTATATAAATTTATAAAAATTAATTATATATTTTTGTTATCAATTATATATAAATAAATCTGTTAAAATATTAGGAATATAAATTAGTTTTATTATACGCCTTAATATCTCTCATAAGTATGATTAATACAATATACTAGAACCAACTTAAAACATACGTCATTATTTTAACAATATTTTAAAATAAATTGGGACTGATTAAATTAATATGAAATATAATTAATATATATTACTGATTTAATAGATGTCTCTCTTTCTTCAAAGATCTAATGTATGTATTGTGCTGATTGATTTCTTATCGACTGAATTCCATTATCTTATTGTAATTTTTGAATTCATTTGAAAAAATGATCGAAATGAATGATTTCCAATAATGATCACATTTAATATCGACATTAGTTAACACCATCAAAAGGGTGGAAGGAGATGAAATTGATGAATGGTAATGAATAAATGACATATATTGATATGAATCATTTGATTTCCACGATGTCTGCTCTAGTGGTTTCTGCAACAGCAGCAGCTTCAGCAATAACTTCTGCTGGGACTCCCATTTCTTTCAATGTGTCACCGAGGTGCTTAACAATAGTATTGAAGGCGACTGTAGTGATTCCAAGACCAGCATGACCAGCTTTCATGTCCTAATGTTATAAAATGGATTGTTACTCTTCCTGTATAGTTGTTGGGTCCTCCAAAAGCCATGGTAAGGAATTTTTATTAATTTTCTGTTTATTTCTTCATGTCTGTGTTTTTGAAATAGTGACTGACAGATGGATCAGAGAGCACTTTTTGATAAAACTTGACGACAGCAGCGTCAATGTTAGCTTAGCCTCCTAATTTATCGAAGATGGTCTTATTTTACATTGCCAAATTTAATTAATGATTAGAAATACAAAAAATGAATTGGTTTAAAAATGCCCAAAAAGATATTTTTGGATAACCAAAATTATTTATTGAATTAATAAATTTTTTTTAATCACTATTAATCATTATATTTAAAATCTTCTATTTAAATCGTATTGGACTTGCCAATGAATCCACCAGTTCTTTTGACTTAGTCCATGTCTAACTGCTATTCTCGAATAGGTTTGAAGTAGTAAAACAAACTCTTTCTAATGGAGGTTTTAATTTTAACATCGTAATAAGAATTCTCATCTTCTCCATCACTTGACCCTGTATAACAGTCTTTTTTCAATAGAAATGTTCTCTATCGTTACTTATTTGAATTTTTGTTTGATAGATGACAAATATTTTTATTAATAGTCAGGTGTCTTAGAGTTTTCCTGACTACATTGCCTCTAAACCAAGAATGCCCTAAAGCATTATCTGGATATGGTCTCTCTTAGGGATCCTTCCTCAGTAATTGCTAAATTAAATGCTTGGCATCGGCAGAGACTTCTGAAAAGATTTCTTCTGGGAAATCATATTTGGCTACTTTAATATTTTCCACAAGATCATACAAACTAGGATAAGGATGAATTTGCATACTAATCTGCATTAAACGGCAATTAACCAGAAAGCATCGAATAAAGGATACAGCCTGCACTCCACATATCAACCATTTAACTTTCAATATATTATTAAAGTACTTATTACTTATAACCTTCTCCTGTGAATATTTCAGGAGCCGAAAAAGCTACGGTGCCAGTATATGTCCACATTTCTATTTTTTGAGTGTCCCGCAGGTCTCCAAAAAGTTTGTATGAGTCACTAAATTTACTAACATTGAAATCAGTAACTTTAATTTGCTTTCTATCTATTAGAAGTTCATTTTGAAAATTTACCTTATAGACATAAAATATTATTTGGCTTAAGATCTCTGTGACAGATGCCATGTCGATGCATGTATTCGATTGCACTAAGGAGTTGCTTAAATAGTTCCTTCGCATCAGCTTCGCTATAATGTCCAGAATCGTTGATGACTTCGAACATTTCTTTGCCTTTAATCAACTCCATAATGACAAATGCTTGGCTCTCTGATTAAAATCCAGTTTCAAAATCTAAGTACATTTTGTAAGCTTTGACAATATTGTCATGGGATAATTCAACTAGTCTCTTAAATTCAATAATCATCTGAAAATGTATTAGCATTGTCTTTTACATTGCGAATAATTTCATCATCTTAAGTAGCTACAATTTTAACAGCAAATTCAAGGCCTGTATTTTTTTGGACAATTCGTTTGACTAAACCCAAACATCCTTCTCCCAATCTTTCATGGATTTCGTAATCTTCAAAAAACTCCTTGGTGTTGAGTATAATATTGTCAACATCGATCGAGGTTATTTCCAAGTCCAATTTACGACCCAATTCAATCAACTACTCCTCACGCATATAAAAGGGTTAAACTTGTTTATTGATTATTGCATTCAATTGGCCTAGAATGAAGATCAGAATACATTTTAGTTATTGTTTGATTCGATTTCTATTGCTTTAAATTTGTGTTTGTTGTTCCTCCTCTTGTGATTTCTAGAACGTGAAACGACCACTATACTTCCTATCTAACAGCGAGGATCTTTGAGTAACTTGAAGAGAGTCTTGTGAACTTCGCTCTATAACCATATCCTCTTTCATTTTAGTTTATGATATTATAAATTAAGGATGAATAAAAAGATGAATATATCGAAGTAAATGTTCTAAAGAAATCAGATTAATTTTAAATACAACATAATTTATATTGATGAATATAATCGTAATTGACAAAAACATGGGTGAAAAATATATTGATTTTATTACCAATCTTTACCTGGAAGGATTGCAATAGAATGAAATGAAGATACCAGATTTTATGCAATATCACATTTATCAAGAGTAAATTTGAAATTCATCAGATTTAAAACTAAGTCAATGGTTGTAGTTATAGATAGCTAATTGGTGCTTCAGAAGTCTTCTGAATCGAAAGAATACAAGTTCATTGAATTTGTGGTTGATAATAGAAGAATATTTGTTCACTTGAATCCACTCCCCTAATATGATAGCAAAGGCAATCCCAAACTGGATGAATATTAGTATACAGCTCATATTCTATTAAAAGCTAATAGAGAAGGAAGCAGTATCCTCATGATTTATTTGATCAAAGTCAGAGTTAACATTCGGAGTGGCACAAATAATTTGAATATAAATATTATTATGAAAAGTGAGCATTAATCATTATTGATGACAAAAAGAGAGGAATTTCGATTCTCCATTAGAAAGGAGAGACTAGAAGATTTGTTCAGCCAAAACCGCAAGAGAAGTTGCGTTAATAATGAAGTCGATCCCACAATTGAAATTCCCTCTTTTGCTGATTCACAAGAACTTCACAATTATCTCATTAATGGCGATAACAGCCAACAGAAATTATTGAAGGCTGCGAATGACAAGCAATTGCTTGCCAAATTGTTTCTTGGGGCACAAACCTCAGATTACTATTCCATAATAATTTTGAGTAATATTTGCACCAAAATGAATCTTGCAGAATGCGAAGTGCTTTTTCTGAATCAATTGAAATTGGCAAAACAAAGAATGGACATCAGAATGATTGATAATGTAAAAATACATTCCAAATCATTTAGTTATTTGATGCACTCAATAGTGTTTGTTCCTAAGAATTAACACTAAAATAATTAGAATACTTATTAAATAATAATCTCATCCCTCTTGTCAATCAAATACTCAAAGAAAACCAACGAGATGTCTACTCTGACAGTGAATTCAAAATGATAAAAAGTGGATCTGAATTACTTTGTAGATTCTTTAATCAATTCAGAATCTTCACTGAAGAAGAATTGGATACCATAATCTAAAAACATACTCCAGATGTAATATAGTATTTATTATTTATAGATTCGATATACTTTTTATTTAATGAAATAATTGCTTCCACTTTAATTGCAATACCCAAAAGTCACTTTTATGTTTGTCAAAAATCTCATTCAAATTATCTCCTTGCAGCCTGATATAGCTAATGATTTAGATAACTCAACCCTGTAGATTTGCGTATAGCTCTTAGAAATAAGTGACAATCAAATTTTAATATCCACAATCCTCAGATTTATGATTGGGATTAGTGCCTTCAAAGATGAGAAATTTGTTTAAAGAATCTTCTTCTTAAAAGGACATGACACAGTCAAACAATACATCAATCATGAAAGCGTTTTCATACGATAAGCGCTTCCACTCAAATTACTCGCTAACTTCGCTAATGTAGATTCTGAAAACCTACAAAAGGAGATTGTGTCAGATCTCCCATTCATTGCAGAAGTTATCTAGAACTTTTAGAATTTAGACAGGACAGATCAAAATTACTTAAGACTCATTTATGGAATCATCTCAAACTGTTTGACATATACATCTACAGAATTGATACAAGACTTAAGAGTATTTTAAATACTAAGAATCAAATTCCTATTAGAGGAACCAGAAGAACTTGAAAACATCATTATCTATTTAAATGTACTCTACACTTTACTTTACTACTACGAAGCTTATTGCATAGATGATACTGAATTAGAAAAAAGATTGGAGAGTCTTTTAAGTCATAAAAACTAAGATGTAGTGAAACTTGCTGAAGAAACCCTGAATTTAATTGATCAATAAAAGAACAGTCTATGAAGGAATGAGTTTTCAAACTATTATTATATACATTAATAGCCTCATTTCTTTATCTTCTTACATATCAATTTTAACAAAATGCTTATATATACAAAAAAAAATTAGTACCTTTATTCGAATGGCATTTGAATAGTTGATTTCCAGAAAGACTCGTCAAGCTTTATCATTTTTGTTCCACTTGTCTCTTTGTTTGATTCTCTAAATGAACTCCTCGAAATACTTCTACTAATCTGAATATATCTTGCTTAGTAAATTTTTGTATAAGATTATTTGTAAATTTATTAAATCTACTTATAACTGTATTTATTGTACTCTCTCAGGAAAGATCTATAATTGCAATCTGACTTGCCCATCAATCCAGATCTTATCCATCTTACACCCAACAAAACGAAAGGGATCTACTAGATTTCCTCCATAGGAATTCCTTATAACTATTATACTACATTAATCTGTCTTATTCATCTTAAATAGCTATGAAACTCTGTCTTCTAAATTCACTATCATCAGTCTCCAAACCCTCTTAATTATCTTCATGCATCAATCCTTTTTAAAGGATTACATAAAAGTTTTAATTAGTCACATCAAAATAGGATAATATATCATTCAACTTAAATATAATTATTCTTATTCTTAGATTTTGGTTTTTTACAATATAATCACTTATTAAGATCCCAAGGGGGAGTATTTCAATAAATCAAAGATTATAATATTTTTGATGGAAAAGGAATAAAAAATAATTGATTATTAATTAGAGATTTCTAGAAATAAAAAAAATACTTTGATCTTTACTTAAATCAAAAGTAGTTATATATATATTTTCATCTTCTCTATCCTTCAAACCATTCTCCTGAAATCTCTCTTCCAAATCTGTCAATATAGATGCCTTCTCCATGCTAAAATCCGTTAGACCATTGTCCTTTGTACACTCTGCCATCAGGCCAATAAAATTCTCCATAACCCTCCTTTTTATTATCCTTGTAATTCCCCTCATCATGATTAATCTATACCTATATATTTCCTCCTATCCTCCCAATTCATTTCTCCATATCCATTCATCTTATTATTCGACCATTAACCATTGTACCTGCTCCCATCTGACCAAAAATAAGCTCCTTATCCACTAAAATACCCGTTCTTAAATTCGCCAGCATAATTTGACCCATCTGCCCACTTATAAATTCCAAATCCTTCTTTAACTCCCATAACGAACTACCCTTCAAAATAAGCTGACTCATCAGCCCAGATCTCCTTTCCTTGACCATGCAGATGATCTTCTTTCCATTCTCCCTCATACCTAGATTTATCCGAATGAACATATATTCCTTTTCCATCATTTTTATCATTTTTCCATTCTCCAATATAATAATCTCCATTGGTCATAATCAATCTTCCATACCCATTTGCTTTATCATTCACCCAACTGCCCCTCATAAATTTGACCCATCTGCGAATATATGCTTTCCTTTTCCATTCCTCTTATGGTCCTTCCACTAACCTATATAGATCCCTCCCTTCTCAATAAATTAATAAGCGCATAAAGTCTTAGCCCCAGGCATTGATTGGCATTTTGAATAATCAAAAGCTCCTAATTATAACATCACTTTCGAAACTTCATGATGGAATATTTCTGGAACCTGATCTGTTTTTACAGCCACCTTTGAATCTGGATAATATGATTATTCAAGTTCTCTTTTCTACCCTTAACCTGCAGTATTACCTTTTTTCGCACTTAATGCCCTCTGAATAAGGCTTGAATCTTGGTGGCACACATCTCCTGCACCTCCACAAGATTACTCTTCATTTCATAAGGTTTGATCTCTGTAGGCAGGATGCACTCAAAAGGACCTGATTCGACAATCGGGTATCCTCGATTAGCTTCACATATTCCTCCCATAAAATAAGTAAAATAATTTTAATCTCATTCATTTTAGATGATTACATCAAAAATTTACATCGCAAATTTTAATAGTTCCAACCTTTCACCTCTCCATTCCACTGATACAATAATATATAAACATATAAATAGAAACTTGCATCAGAATAAATCCAAGTCGATCTTACAGTCAAAGAACCCAATTTTAATTTTAGTTAATTTTATATCAGTTGATATTTCATTTTTATAGAGCAAAACCACCACCCACATACTTTTTCTCTGGTAACACTACTTAGATCGACTACCCCTACTCTTCCTGGATACGGAGGTCCCTTTGTTGCTATTCTCTCTTCTCTTAATTGAAATACTTCTATTTGACCCTTTGTAATTCCTTGAATAATTAAATGAAATTCTTACTTTATTGATTCTATCTATTTCCAACTTATACTCATTAATATGCGATTAATACATGCTCAACTCCTAATCCATAGCTTTCATCTATTCCTCCTTCTACCTGAGACTGTCTTAATAATATGGTATCATAGCCTAATCTTCCAATCCTGGCTTACGTTTCATCTCATCTTTCAAAGCCTTCAATTCCTTCTCTTTCTCCTCTACTACTTTCTCTTTAATAACAACTTCCTCAGTTTTCTATATAAGTCTCTTTTATAGACTGTGAATTTTGGTCATTAATTCATAATTTTCAGAATCGGTTGCTTCCAATTTTCTCCATCTATGAACATTCATGGGGTTTTCTAATTCTTCTGTCAAAGCCTTAGCTTTCAACTTCTCCTCAGTCAACTCTTTTGTAAGATTATGTATGTCTCCTTCTAAATCTTTAATTGTATCGGCTTCTCTTTTAAAAACCTTGATTTCTCTTTTATAATCAGCTATCTTTTCTTTCAACATCTAAATATCTCCCAGTCTTTCTCTATATTATTATTCTCCTTTCTTGAGAGTACTCTCATTAATTTTGATTTTCTCATAAAGTAGATTGGTTTCTGATATTCTTCTTATGAGTTAAGTACTCAAGATATCTCTTTCTGCCACGACTAATTCAAATTCTTCTTTGAGATTCTGTATCTACTATTCTTCATCTTTGATTGTAAACTGTAATTTATCAACCCTTTTAATATACTTATTAATCTTCTCAGCCTTTTCGTCTATATCTGTTTTATACTTTTCCAATACTCTAGATTATTCTTCAATAGTTTTATCCTTCTTTTTATGTTCCAAATGTTCCTTTGCTAATGCATTTCCCTTGGCCTCAATTTCTTCCTTTAATTATGAAATCTAATGATTGACTATTTTATAACTTCTTCTCATTTTTTCAATTTCTTATTGTTTTTCTGTATAATTCTTTGAATACAGATTTCTATCACTTCTAACTGTTTCATAGAGATTCTGTTGTTATTTTAACTTGGCTTCAGTTTCAATGTTCTTTTTCTAGAATTCACTAATTAATGAATCTTTTAATTTAATTTCATCTAAAGAATGAAAATACTTAGTTTGTGCTTATGAAAATTGTAAACATTATTATTCTGTTTCTTTTTCAACATTTGCAATCTTCTTATTGAGATAATCAATTTTCTTTTACAAACCTCCTAATTCATTTTACTTTTCACTTAAGTATTTTTATTTGGCAATGAAGTCTTCTTCGATTTTCTTATTATTATTATCACATCTATCTATTTCCTTCTATAAAATATTTCTAGCTCTTCTTAAATCCTCAATCACTTGTCTATCATCTGAAGCTTATTTTCTCTCTATCTAAATTTCATCCTCCAGTTAATTTAATCCATTATTGGCTAATTGCTTTTCCTCTTCGATTCTTTCTGCCAATTCTTCCTATTCCTTCACTAACTCTGACATTCTCTTCTTTTTCTCCTCTCCTTCACTAATCTTCTAATGAAGTTATTCAATTTCAGTTTCAAATAATTCTATCTATAATCTAGTATCCTTAATCTTCTCTTCAATTTATTCATTTATTTTGACCACAGAATCCTTTTTCTCCTTAGTATCCTTTAATTCCTTTTCCACTCTATTCTTTTCAGATTTAAAATTTTCAATTTCTTTAGTTTTAACACTATTTTGCAAAGTAACCTTCTCAATTTCACTTTTTAATTTCTTCCTCTCATTCCCCAATTGCTTTTCATCCTCCTTCAAAGAATCAAAATCCTTTTTAATCTTCTCCAATTCTGCTTAAGTTACATTTTTTGCCTCCTCATCCTTTTACAATCTCTCTTCGAATTCAGCCTTCTATTGCTATAAGATTTTGTATTCCTTCAGAACTGATTCCTTTGAAGTCTCTAAGGACTTAATTCTATCCAAAATGGATTGGTTTTCAGATCTAGTTCCAAATACCTAAATCTATAAAATTTCCTTTTCTTTTAACAGTTCCTACTTTCTTTGTAGCAACTCATGTACAGTCGTAGTCTATCCTGAATTTAAGGCTTTGCTTTATTCAATTGTTTGGTTGAGTTGTCTACATTAGAGGATAACAATTACTTGATTTCATTTTCCTAGATTTTGATCTTTTATTTATGTTTCTCCTCCCTCTCTTATTGAATCTCCAACACCTTATATGCTTTTTCCAATTGAGTTTTCAGTTATTAAATAGCAGCAGAATCATCAGCTGTCATTTTTAAAACAGTTTGAATCTAATGTTAAATGAGTAAGTACTTTGGATGCATTTTAAGAGATTTCAGCATTGTACTCTCTACATTTGCTGATCAATCGTCTTTGATTCTCGTGAATGATTTTCAGCGAACGATATAGTTTATCAAACTCAGATCGAAATCTTTCTAAGTTTTAATCAGTGCCTAGATCACGTAAGACCTCTTAAAAGTCTCTCTCCATGGTATCAAATTGTCCTGTGTCAATGTCTAGATCCACCTAGTTTTACATTAATAAAAAATATTTATATATATAAATGCAAATTCGTTAACCAACACGATACCCTGTAGTACCTCAATTCTAAAATCTGAACTAATATGGCCCTTTTGTCTCACCAACACAACGCACATCTCAAATACAAAGAATTGGTACTCCAAATACATTACGCTTTGACTACCAGAGATCAAGAAACACTTAATCTATGCAACAGTATCCTGTTATGAAGCAAACTCCGGTGGTCACTCCATAAAAGGCTGCCACAAAAAAAGCGCATATTAAAATGCCTCAATCGGGACAAACGGTTTCGCAGCCTCAGACACCTTCCTATGATCCTGCCCTTATGGTTGGGCTGATCAAGGAAAATCAGGAAATTAAAGCAAAAATTGCCTAGAAAGAGAAGTAGCTGTAATTACTAAATGAAGAAATTGCTTTGTATGAATAAAAATCATGATATATATTAAAATATTTAATGGCTGAATAGGTGTAGATGTTATAAAGCAAGATTGAAGATGAGTCCAAAGTTCTTTAGACTTTACAAAGAGAAATGTAAAAGTATGTTGAAGGTATACACTCCTACTCTAATTGAAGGCAGGTAAAAACTCATAGAGCAATCTCACGAAAATGAAATGGTCAAAAAAGAGCTTGATCTCCTCGAGCCTGAAGCAAAAGTATACAAACTCATTGCAAGTGTGTTGGTAACCAATCTTTGCAATAACTTTTAAGGTTTCATAAACCCTATAAGAGTCTAAAGAGAATGTGAGCAAAAGATTAGATTTCATTGGAAAAGAATTTAAAAAAGTAGAGGACTTAATCAAAGAAAATACAAACAAGCAAATTGCCAAGAAAACATCAATCTAAAAAATGCAAGAACAACTCTATTAAATTGTTTAAGCCTATCAACAATCCTTAAATAAGTGACAATGTAAATTTGTAAGAAATACATATATATAAATTTAAATAAATGTATAATAGATAATATATATAAAAGAAAATAGATAGCAAATACTTATTTATTATTATATTTAAATTAAATGATGTATAATAATAATATTTGAGCATATTTTAAATTATTTTAATATATGTCGAAAAGCAATTCTACAAGAGTGGCTTTAGTTTGTTTGAAAACATCTCAAAACATTTACGAACCAATCGTTGCTTCAAGTTTTTGGGAAGCATGGCAAAATCACAAAGGTAAGATAGAGTTTGAATTGGCATAGATTTTGATCTTTGAGTAAGGTGCAATGCAGACGAAGGTGTTTATTGAATATGAGGAGCCTGAATAAGCATAGGATGCTATCAAGTAGGTATTTAATTCGATGTAGCTGTTTAAATAATACGAAAGTGATGAATAATATAATTTGCAATGTTTACCCTTCCAGGCTCAGAGAACTGAAATTGGATAATGTGCCAAACACAAAAGGAATGGATTTGACTTAGAAGTTACCATTTAGTATGCCATCATTGTGGGACTTGAATGTGAATGAGGATGAGTCTGCATAACAAGTGTCGGAGGAGAGACTCGTGGACATCAGGAAGAAGCTGAGTCTGATTGACGAGGAGATAAGTCGGACGATAGAGAGTAAATTAGACACTGCTTTAATAAAGCTGTATCAGCAGACGAAGTGTTTGAGAGTTCTGATGGGAGACTATCAACTAGAGGAGATCCTGCACAAGACTAGCAAATATGGCAAAATAGTACAGCTCCTGCCACTCCATTAATTTAGGTTTACCTGAAGCAAGCATAATAGGAAGTGTACGTGAAGTATGACTCAGATAAGGAGTGTTAATAAGCCTATGAGGAGCTCAAGGACCAGCTGATTGTGCAGATCAAGTACAATTTCGAGAGCATCCCTGGCTACGTGATGGTGAACTCAAATTGCTGAAACATCCTCTCTCCATTTATAATTTATTTAATTTAATGTGGCTGCATCCTGAAACCATGATCAAGCTTGGTAACGAATTCTTCCAAAAGAAGGAGTTCGACCAGGCCATCAATTGGTATCAATAGTCTATAAACAAAAACACCCAATTTGTGGAGGGATACTACAATTTAGGATTGGTATATATGTACCGTAAGAAATTTGAAGAGGCCATTAACTACTTCAAACAATCTTTAGATTTGAGGCCAAGCTTTCCTGAAGCCTTGTGTAGTATGGGAATAGCCTTGTATAACCTCAATCAAGTAAGTGTGTCTGGCCATAGTTTACTAGTATGAAAAGGCTCTCAACTATTTGGATCAAGCTCTCAAGCATCGCCAATCCTACCCCAACCCTTTGAAGTACAAGGGGGACACTGTGAGGAAAATGGGAAATTTGCAAGAGGCAGTCATTTAGTATAAATAAGCAATATAGCTGAAGGTAACTGCTTTCCCTAATATCCCTCCTAGCCTGACTTTTACCAAGCTCACAAGGCTCTTGGCGATACCTACAGGAAACTGAAAGAGTTTCAGTTATCAATCCAATCCTACGATAACGCTTTGGAATACAATGAAAAGTATGCAGAAGTCTTCAAAAAGAAGGCAGATTCATTGAGGAACCTTGGCATTTTTGAGGAATCCCTGCATAATTATACAAAAGCAATAGAGATTAGGCCCAGCTATCCAAAGGCTTACAATGATGCAGGGTTGTTGTTCATTTAGAATGCTAAGTACAAAGAAGGAGTTGAGTATTTCTAGAAGGCAGTTTAGTTGAAACAAGATTATAAGGACGCTTATAATAATTTGGGAGTTTGCTATTATCATCTCTTGCAATATCAAGATGCTATCACTTAATTCGACACAGCTCTCCAAATACAAGTAGGTTTTACAATACCTATGCTCAATAAGGCGTCGACATTGTTGAGAATGAAGAAGTATGATGAAGCAAATAAATGCTTTGATTAGGTGATGAAACATCAGCCAAAGAATATACAGGTGTTATTGGGTAAGGGAATCTCTTTGTATGAGACAAAGAAATACGAGTAATCTGCTTTGTTGTTGAGCCAAGCTTATGATATTGATGGCAACAACTTTGAAGTGGTCTTCAATTATGGTGTTTGCAACTTTTAATTGAAAAAATATAAAGAAGCCTTGCAAATGTTATAGGAAGCTTAGCAATTGAGGGACACTTTGGAAGGCCACTTTAATTAAGCAATTTGTTCATTGTATTTGAAAGACTATGAATACTCTAAGAAGGAAATCGAAATGTATGTGGTTCATTAGGAGGATGATATGGAAGCCAAAGCAGTCCAGGGAATCGTAGAGTATTACCTCAATAATCTCGCTTTTGCTTAGGAATGCTTCTAAGAGGTTTTGAAGAAATAAGAGAATCAAGTGGTTCATAACAATCTCGGAGTCATCTTGTTGCTCAATTAATAATTTGATGAAGCTCTCAAGCATTTCAATGCATCAGTGTCAGGAAAAGGGGATTACGCTGATGGATTGTATAACAAAGGAGTTGCATTGTGTAATCTTAATTAGTACGAGGATGCTATCAGATAATTCAATAAGGCAATTCAGCTCAAACCTAAGAATGAGTGCAAATTCGCATTCATCAATAGAGGAATCTGCTTGAAAAATCTTAAGAAATTTAATGAAGCCATTTAAAATTATGACGAAGCTATTCAACTCAGTTAAGGCACTGATGTTGAGGATATCTACTACTTTAAAGGAAATTGTCTATTGGAATTGAATAAATATGAAGATGCTATCCAATTATATGACCAAGCCATTCAACTAGAAAGTGTTTACAGTTCATCAGCCAACTTCTAGAAGGGTATAGCATACACTAATCTCAAACACTTTGATGATGCCATTCAATCCTATCAACATGCAATTGAATAGAACTCTTAGAATTCTTGGGCATATTTCAATCTGGGAATCACCTACTACAATCTTGAAAATTATGAATAGGCGTTAATTTAATTCACAAGATCCTTCGATATATAGCCGACATTCAAAGATGCTGTGTTCAATGAGGCAGCCGCTTATATCAAATTAAAAAGATATGCTGAAGCCATCAATAGTTTAGACAAGTACAATCAATTGGAAAGCAATGATTATGAGAGTTTCTTCTTGAAAGGTTGTCTACTAAAATCATTGATGAAGTATGAAGAAGCTTTGGAATGCTTTTCGAAAGCTGTTCAACTAAAACCAAATTTCTTTGAAGGCTAATTCAACAAAGGAGTTGCTCAACTTGAGAGTGGATTGTCCAAAGATGCTGTAATCACATTCGATGCTGCATTCAAATTAAAGTCTGACTCTGAGAAATCCTTGAATAATAAGGCTGTCTCCTTACTAAATCTAAGCAAACCTGAAGAAGCTATTAAGGAATTAGAGAAGGCTATTAAATTAAGTCCCAACAATCCTACTTTGTTGAATAATAAAGCAGTCACTTTGATTGATCTTAAGAGATAGGATGAAGCATTGACTATTCTAGATGAAGTCATCAATATTGATCCAAATTTCTTCAAGGCTTACAATAACAAAGGAACTATCTATTTCAATCAAAAGAACTTGACATAAGCCTAGTAATACTTTTCAAGGGCAGTAGAGATTAATCCAGAATATGACTCTGCAAGGATTAATTTGAGTATTACATTTTAGGAAATGGGAGAATATCAGTAGGCAGTTCAACAATGTGAACTGATTTCGAATTAACAATGGCTAAATAGTAATTCAGAAGCATTGATAGCCTTCGCAACTTCTTTGAGAAATTGTGATCGCTTTGAAGAGGCAAGATAAAAATATGAAGTAGCCTTACAACTGAATCCTCGTCACTCCTAAGCCCAAAATGGATTGGGAATAGTGTATTCTAATATTGGCTAATATGAAGATGCTCTGAAATGCTACGATTAAGCCATTAATCTTAATAATAGATATCCAGAGGCATTGAATAACAAGGGAGTCACTCTCTATCTGATGGGAAGGTATGATGAGTCGGTTTAAATGTTGTAGTAATCACTTAAATTGGAAGTTAAGAATGCATAAACCTTAAATAATTTAGGTGCTTCACTTTTTTACCTGAAAAGATATGACGAAGCAAATAAAATATTTGATTAAGCAATCCAATAGAATGATCAATTGATGGAAGCCTTGGTGAATAAGGCCAATGTGTTAATAGCATAGGAAAATTTAAATGAGGCCAACAAACTATTATAGAAGGCAAGTCAGATTAAGGACTCTCCTTACATTCATAATGCCTATGGAATCATTGCTTAGAAGCAGAAGCAAACTGATAAAGCCATCTCATCTTATTAGATGGCAATTCAATTACTACCTACCTTTCCCCAGTGTCTATCAAATCAAGCTACCCTCCTTATTGAAACTGAGAAATACTCATAGGCACTCGATTTACTTAAGCAAGCACTAAAGACTGATTAAAACAATGCTGAGGCTCACAATAATCTTGGTGTGTTGTATTACAAGTAGAACAAATTGGAATTGTCTTAGAATGAATACATGGAAGCCATCAAATTGAAAGTTCATAATCCTGAGGCTCATTCCAATTAGGGAGTGATTTTCTGTGCCAAACAGGATTACTCATAAGCTTTACAATGTTTTGACGAAGCCATCAAGTTGAAGAGCGATTTTGTGAAAGCGTACCACAATAAGGGAACAACCTTGTATGAAAAAGAGAACTTCAAGGAGGCTGTGGAGATCTATGATAGAGCTATCAAGGCAAAGACTCAAGATCCGGAAACTTACTATAACAAAAGCATAGCTTTACAAGGATTGGAGCAGTTTGATGATGCCTTGAATGCCTTGGAATAAGCATATAAGCTCGCTCCTGAGATGGCTCTGTTGTATGTCGAGAAGGTAGTGTTTCTGTTGAATTTAGGGCACTCTCATGTATAGGAAGGGGAAGGTCGACGAGGCAATCAAGAACTATGATCTGGCCATTCAATTGCAACCTAATTGTGCAGAGGCTTACTACAATAAGGGATGCGCTTTGGAGAATCAAGGGAAGATTGACGAGTCGAACAAGAACTACGAAAAGGCTTTCCAAATAAAACCAACTTTAGTGGAGAAAAAGAAATGATACATGGAATCATCATTATTATTATTATATTATTTACATTAAGATGTCTTTGGATTTTGAGATCAAACGTTCTGGACTCTCAATCTCAACTTCATCCTTTGACGCATTTTGTGAGGAGATAAAAAGGAATGACAATAAGATAGAAGGTCATCCATTGAGAGGATGGATGAAAAAAAAAAGTCCAGCACTCTTGAAAGGATGGCAGAAGCGTTATTTTATGTTGATTGAAAATCCTTAAGATAAAGGTTGGAAATTAGTGTATTTTGACAATGATGTAAAAAAAACAATTGTGAATGTAGAAAACTGATACAAGACCCAATGGTGCTTTTGATGTTTCAACCATCACCTCAATTCAATAAGTATCTAAAAAAGAATTCACCATTCATTTCCCTGGAAGGAAACTGGAGTTGAAAGTCAAACCCCAAGAAGTGTACTAACAGTGGATTAATACTCTGAATGAACTTCGATCGGCCACCAATGTAGAAAGAACCAAAAGGTAATTGAGTGTGGAGTAAGATGTTAAATTGTCAAATGAGAGTCCCATCAAGAGTATAAATCAATATCATTATTTAGTGCCTTCAAATCACAAGGTTGTTGACAATCTCACTGTTTAGTAAGCCCAAGTCTAAAAGGAGAGACAGCGCAATTCCATATTAATTGAGCAATCTAAAGAAAGTAAGAAGAAGAAGGAAAAAGAAAGTCTAACTCAACTCTCGAATGAAAAGATGATTGAGCTAGTTGGATTGAAAGAGTTTATAAAGAATATGAATGAGTAATTCATTTATTAACGAATGATTTATGGATACTTAGGTAAGAGAAGTAAAGGTAAAGTTAAATATTTCCAGAAAAGATGGTTCATCTTGGTATCTGCTAAACCTTTGGTATATAATTTTATTTATTGATTTAGTATTCTGATTACAATGATGAAAGGATCTTGACAGAAGCATAATTGCCGACTTGGTTGGAACTTGATACAATCACCTATTTTTAAGAAAAGGAAGAAGGCAAACCTCCAAAAGCCAAGGGAGATGTGAGTATGATCGATTGTTAAGAGATCATCATGAAAGATATGTCCAAATCAAAAGAGAGTGGATTTACATTTAAGTTGAATATGGGGGATAGATTATATCATCTGATGGCTGATACGGAACAGGAACGTAAGAAATGGTAATCTGCTTTGAGTCTATCTATGAGAACCACCAAGGAGATCCACAATCCCTTGAAGATCAAAATTAAGAAGAACATCGATCCCATTATATAATTATATGATGAGGAGCCGTAATTGATTGCAAGAAGAGAGAAAATGAAGGCGAAATTGGAGAAAGATGTCTCTTAGATTCTGAATTAGGAGGATCAAGATCTAGCAATACTGTTAAAACAACTATCTGAGGTGAGATAAGACATGTTGGAATCCATGTAAGCATGCATTGTGAAGGATCCATAACGAAAGGATATCATCAAAGAATATACAGATATTTATCATGAGAAGATTTGTGACAGAATCTCCGCATTCTGGGATCTTCATTATAAACAAATGCAAGTATTTTACACCAAAATGAATTTTAGTCGCCTGAATTATTACTCTTAGCATAATGGCTAAATGATTACTTAAATTAGATGAAGGATTTCTTCAATGATGATAGAATCATATTTGGAGTCAGAGTGCTACTTAACATTTATGTAAATAGATCCCTCGAAAATTTAGAGTCTGTGTTAAATTCTATTATAGATCAAGAGAAAACACAAGAACCCATCTTCAATGATTAATAACTATTGATTACACAGACACCTGTGGATTTATTCAAAATTATAAACGAAGGATTTGATATGGCATATAAACTATGTCCTTGCAAGGAAACCAGTCTGAAACTAGGTGGATTTGGAAAAACCATTTTACAACAATATTAATATGGAATCCAGGAGATGATCGATGAAATATAATTGTCAACTCCAAAATTGGTTGCCATTTGCAATAACACATTAGCATTGCACGACAATACCAAGAATTACAGTAAGGTGATTTAGCAGGGGGGTAATTTGAATGAAGAAGAAAGTGAAAGGGTATTTGATTGTCAGAAGATAACCAAGAATTTTGTGTAAATAGCCAATAGTTGCAGGGATAAGATATTTTTCAGTTATTTCAGTCGTGTTGGAACACATTTCAAAAAGTCCTTTCTCGAACTCTAAATCATTGATACTCTCAAAGTCATCATAGAGCCAGCAACTGAAACTCTGTCCTAATTACATGATAGTTTTAGTAGGAAATTGTGGAAACAACTCTTGGATACTATTGTTCTTTATTATTTCAATCAGTTCATCATCTCTTGTGGAAAAGCTAAGAAGGAGAATCAAAAAGAATTCACCAGCAAATTAGAAAATGATAAGGAGATCTTGGTTTAAGAATTAGAAACCTTCATTTTCGAAAAGCAATTGCTGGCTTCATTAAAACCATTCGATGATATGATCAATTTTATTAATGAGGATTCTCTCAGCATTTTGGATCCATGCAAAAGTCTAAGAGTGTATTTTGGAAGGGCCTTTTCAGAAAAGACAATCAAAACTATAATGTGTCTTCGATTTGATTTGGACAAGGAGAAGAAGAAGGAAACAATTGAGATTTGTAAGAATTTAATTGAGGACATAAACAAAAGCGAACCTGTTGAACATCAGAGCAGACTCATGGATGTACTAGGGCAAGAGGAAGAGGAAAATGCAGATCAAAGTTTAAATCAACAGTTATAATAGATTTAATAATAAGAAAACAGAAGGGCAGATATATTTCTAGATTTCCATAATGATGACTAATTATAAGTAACATATATGTGTATTTCAATTTTAGATACCTGAACCATAGGAGTAACGAAGCTCAATGGAAAAGAAGGAATTCATCGACGAGGGTTACTTAAATAAGAAAAAGCCCAAATAGAAGGGATGGGACTATAGATATTTCAGAATCAGGAAAGGCTATATGTATTGGTATATCAATGCCAACTCTAGAGAAGCTCAGAATAAGATCAATTTATAAAGTGTAGATGAAGTTATTGCAAACACACAAAAACCAGCAAATTTCAAAATTCTATTGGAAGATTAGAAGGTTTATAAGTTTAAGACTCAGAGCAAAGAGGAATGTGAATTATGGGTTAAAACCATATTGAGGGAATAAAACTAATTGGATTCAACTATAATTACAATAGAAGCTATAGTAAATATATAATTAATATTTAGAAAATTGGAAATGGCAAAAAAGCCATAATATAGGATTACGATGAGATGGCGAGAAAGGAAAGGCAATTATAGAAGCAAGAAGAGCGTAAACGGAAGAGAATCGAAAGGGAAAACGAGTAAGACATTATTGTTTATATTTCATTAGGATTAAAAGGAAGTAGCAGGAACAGAAAATGTTACAGTAATAATAGTTAAAGGAATTGGGAGATAAGCCTAAGGCTCATTAGGTAGAAGTATTTGAATAACAAAGCGATCCAGTAATGAAATAGCAATTATATTATTAGGATTACAGTCAGAAGTAATCAACTTCTTGCTGGACTCAATTTTTGATAGCATTAGGAATCGAGAGACCTAAATGATATAATAGTAACTATTCAAATAAACTCATGTTGTCTTTATTCATATTGCAATTACTATTATAGGAAATGTAATCTTTGCATTAGCACTAATTCTTCTTGGATGAGTTCTTCTATTACAGGATCTTTGAGCAGATTAAACTCTGGTTTCTGAGTAGTTTCTTTCAACTCTGACTAGAGAATCGAATTGCTTTAACTGTAGCTTAGTTATGAACAAATTTCGATTTTCTTTATTGGCGTAACGTATTCCATAGATGAATCTTCGTTTATGAATTATGGGAATTATGAAGTAGTAATTAGTTCCTATTTAGGTTCTTCATATTCTTAATCAATGGGTTTTTCAATCTTATATGATTTGGGTGGTTTGAAAGCATCTCTTATTCTCTTGACTTCTTCTTTAATTGAAGATTCCTTCTTGGGAGATGGCTCTTTAGATGGTAGAGTGAAATACTCTTCAGGTTCTGTAATTTGGGTTTCTTGTTTTAAATTTTAAATTAGAATTTCTTCTTTTTACTTTTTAGTCTAATTTTGAGGGATCTTCATTTTGATCTGCTATATAATATCTTGTTAATTAGGTTATTCTATTTTTACAGGAGATGGTTTCTTTTCAGGAGTTTATTTTTATGGATTGGATGTTTTCATTTGAATTTTTTCTAGAATGCTATCAATTTCTTAGATAATTGGAGTAGTGTCTACTAATTTTGGAGATTGTAAAGGTGTAATGGAGGTCGGAGATTGTTATGTTTGCAAACTTTATTTTGAATTCACAATTTTAATAACTTGGTCAGTCATTTGCGATGTCACAATTGACTATTGAGGAGAGACTATTGTTTCAACATTGATTTGATGATTTTTCATAAATTGACTCAGGAAGTCCAAGTTTTCTTTCCGCTTGTTTTTAGTGTAATCTAAAAACTCAGAAGACATTAATAATAATTATTCACACAAAAATAAAATTGATAGATTAAAAACTTTGAGTGCCAAAATTAAAAAAATACTCAACAAAGCTTAAGATCAATTTCAAGAGAGGCATTCTAATATTCAGTAAGGTTACTTTACAGACTTAAGATAATATTGTAGGATTGTGACTGCTTGTGAAGAGCAATTGATATTAAATTTGAGTGACTATAACTTAGAGTTCATTGGTGAACTTATATCAGGTTTCATCTAATATTGATCTCAAATCTCCTTAATTGGATCTAACAGTTTGAATTATCGTTAACTCCTCACTTAGGTATCTGCCTTTTGAACATCTCCTTGAGCAGAGTCGCAAACATAAAAACAAATTCAACAGCATTAATGAAAGTGATGCTGCCAAACATATGAAAGAACTTCATGAATCTATTCAATCTCTTGCCATTTAACAAGTAAATCACTGACAGTCACAATGCTGATATACAAAATCTGAATTCCGTTTAAATCATTGATTCAGTTACACAATAACTTCGAAACAATATTAGAAGTAACTCTAAATCCAACTCCAAAATTATATTATAACAGTTATTTTCAAACCAGAAGAACTAAAATACTAGCAACGATTAGGAACAACAAACCATATTAAATTACACCGATGTTGACTACGTAGAATAACAAAATCAAGAATTAAGAGTACTTATTGATAGAACCATCAGTAATATGAGGATAAGTTAAAGTAATCTATAATCAAATACAAAGAAGCTAAATTGATTCTCAAAGTTTAAAAGATGAACTTGAACACTAATCCACCTTATTGGAGGCCTAAAATGAATTATTTAAATAATATCAAGACAAAAATGCAGAATAAACTCTCACTCACTTTATCCAAGTGCCTACTATTGCTGATAAAAATAAAGATTGTCAATAGAAAGAAACTAGAAATTTCTATTTACAAACATGAAATTAAGATCTTCATCTCTTCCAAGAATAGATGGTAGAGAGGGTGATCTTATGAGAAATTCATTTATCAAAATTGTGGTCTAATTATCCAAGAATTTAATTCCAACTCAATATGTGATTGAGAATTTCAAGAAATATTAACAATAATATGAATTTAAAGAAAAGGTTGCTAAGGTATGCTCATAAGTCCAACTCAAAGTACCAACTGATGAACTATAGAATGAATCAATTTCTCATGAAAACAGAGTGATGATATTCTCAAAGCTTTGTTAAGTGCTCCAAGAGAAACATCAATAGTGTTTCCCTTAATGTGATCATCTTAATTTTTTATAATGAAGAAATATCAAATTAATATTTAAGTTCTATTGTTGTAAACATAGTATTAATAGAATACATTGAATTCTCTCTGATCATGATACATAATATGATTTTACTGAGTTGTATAATACAAAATAGATAGATGATACATAATTAAATGATTTATTTTATGATAGTTTACTTTAACAATAATTTATATCACAAATATAATTTATGTTAAGGAAATTGCTTCGATTCCAATTTTGCTCTCTACAAGATTAAATCAAGAAACAATAGAATTCCTACAGCAATATCACTGATAAAATTATATCATATGTTGGTAGGGATTTACATAAAATACCCTCACATCCCCTCGGAATAATTAAGAATAGAATTGAAACATTTTTTCAAAATGAAGCCATAACAGAGAAGCAAAGCAAATATCCTTTGAAGTATAAAATTATTGATAATCTTTCTCCAATCGTATCAGTAAAGTAGGTATTAATGCTAATCATTATATAGAATTTTGATTCTTTATTAGTGCCTCCTGATCACCCAAGCAGAAAGAAAAGCGACACTTATTATATTAATGAGAATGCCTTATTAAGATGTCACACTTCTGCTCATCAAGTGGAATTAATCCAAAATAATGTTGATGCATTTGTAGTGGTAGGAGATGTTTATAGAAGAGATGAAATAGATGCCACTCATTACCCAGTATTTCATTAAGTCGAGATTGTGAGAATCTTTTAACAAGATCAATTCTCCTCTAAATATTTGCAACATTAAATATAGGAATCTATGGATGATCTAAAAGAGACCCTAGAAAGATTGACTAAACATCTATTCGGTGATGTACAAATGAGATGGGTTGAAACCACATTCCCATTTACTAATCCATCAATGGAATTGGAGATCTACTTTTAAGATAAATGGTTGGAAGTACTTGGATGTGGAGTTATCCATTAAGACTTAATGAAGAATTGTTAAGTATATATTTATATCAATCCAGAGACTCACTGAAGTGGGATGGGCAGCAGGCTTGGGATTAGAAAGATTGGCACTCCTCCTCTTCTAAATCCCAGATATCAGACTATTTTGGTCTCAAGATGCCAGATTTCTCGATTAGTTCAGAGCTGGCCAAATTAATAAATTTTAACCCTTCAGCAAATATCCAAGTTGTTATAAAGATGTGTCCTTTTATGTTGATCATAGAACATGGGAAGAAAATGATTTGCATTCAGTGATAAGGGATATCGGAGGAGATCTAATAGAGAAAGTAGAGTGTGTTGATACATTTTACAATAAGAAGAAGGACCTTACAAGCAAGTGTTATAGAATTCATTATAGAAGTTTGGAAAGAACACTCTAAAATGAAGAAATTGATGTTTTGCAATTTAAAATAAGGGATTAAATTAGAGATGTTTTAAAACTAGAGTTAAGATGAATTTATTATTCATAAATATATATATTCAAACAAATCTTCAATTCATATTAATTATACTAATACTGATGTCAATTATTCAGATACAAGTTTAACTCTAATTTGATACTATATTTTAATTACAATTACTAATCATATAATGTAATAGCCTAAGAAATCTCAACCTTAGCTGTTCTAAATAGAACAAGATCTCTAGGAAAATAATAGCAATAGAAGCCATAATAGTAACAGTAACCTTAACAAATTTAACAATAAACCAAATAGGGATTTACTTAGTTGCCAAGTTAAAAGTTGACTAATGTTAAAACAGTTGCTCCTCTCTCAGATAAATCGAAATAAAAAACGTAGACATAATATACTAATCAAGAAATTCATTTGCTTATGTTTATAATGCAGGTGGAATACTTTGCAGAGTTAATCATGGTTGTAACACAATTAAAATATAATTGAATCAAGGTGTTGAGATAAGTCATTTGCCATATAATCCTTGAATGGTTACCTGTTTTAAAGGCCTTATTGAAGAAGCACATCCGTATTGCTTCATAGCTACTAATGCAATAAAAGATATGCTCAATGAGTAAGTTTTAAATTTAAATGTTAAAATTTTAGAACGCATAAGAAAAAGTCATATCCATTTTGACAAAATTAGTTTGGCCATTAAGAACTGCCTTATGTAGTTAAAACGATAAAGTTTTTATGTCTTCTTTGGAAGTTTTAAAGTAATTCTAATTATAAATTATATCAGATTACTCTCCAATACAATAGGGTCTCATCTCAATAGTCACCTCAAAAATCTACTGGTTCCATTAAGTAAAAGAATGGATAAAAAGAACTAAAAAGAAATAATATCGGATGTTTTAAGATAGATACAAGATAATGGGGTAATGACATTGTATCATTATTTAAAGGGACCAGAAACGTTGAAAGTAATCAAAGCAGCAATTCCTACTTATACAAATATGTGATAATTTGATTAAATATAAATTATATAATTTATATTCAGTTATGAAAGCTCATGATGATCTTATATTAATTTAGAAATACACATCATAAGAAGATTGCTTGTTTTGTTAGAAATATGGGAGATTGCCAATTATAAAGATCAATTTTGCTCCGCTTTTGAATAGAGTATATAAAATTGTAAAATCATTTTACAGGCACTTTATACAAAATATTCACAATCTTAATGGAAAGGTAAAAGATACGAAGATTTTTTCTCGACTAAGTCAATCTAATGGATTATATAATTTAAAGATAACTTAGCATATGGTGATGAAGATGAGTTATTCAAGAGGTATTTTTATAAAAATATCAATTTGTAGATATTATCCCAAGAGCGATCAACAAAATAAATTCGATCAACTCTTGGAATATTACAAATATCATAAAGATATACCTAGAATGTTCATACCTAAACTCTCAGATTTGGCTATTTATTTTTATGAGAAAAAGAAGTATTCTATATCTGTATCCAATTTAGACAATTGGAGTATAGGAAAATTAAAATAATGTTGGGGATTCCTTTGGACGATGCCAGCAACTATACAGGTACCGATTCTCTATATTCTTAGAGTGTGAGAAATTAAAAGAAGAAATCAAAGTACTCAACAGTATCACACAACAAACTCAAGTATCCAGTCTTTCTCTATTAAGAGACATCTTGTAGTAAAAGGGAAGCGAAGAGATTGTAGTAAGTGATCCTCTAATAATTAGAACATTGATGCAACTTGGATGACTATGGCAAACAATCAATAGCCCAAGCCTTCACAGACATCAAATTTAAAATTACTCAAACAATTGATATCCAAAAACACATAATTTTACAAGCAAAAATTTAATACAAATTGTCCTGAATAAAGTAAAAGAAATAGTTAGAATTCCCCTTAATAAAATCTGCATCTCAAAACTATCTCTAAAGATACTTCTTAAAAGTCCTTACTGTCCTCTCATAAACTCTTAAATAATAGCAATGGAGATGGTGAATTTCATAAATTCTTAAAATAGTAGATGGTAGGAATCAGCCACTCAAATCCTTGCAATAAAAATAATGCTCAATCATTAGCCAAACCTGTTTAGATATCTAATTATCAATCCAAGCAAAGCAGCATTCATCACATTCTCAGCACAAGAAGCATCTCGTCTGAATAGTTAAAATTGATATAGTCCCAATAAATGCTAAAGCCCAATTAATATAATAATAATAACTAATAAACATAACATAAGAAAAGCCAAACTTAAACTCATTATACTGAAATCAATTCTCCAAATAAACATTCTAAGAAAGCTTCAGATATATTGTACACTAATATAGGAATAGACTTTAAATAAGCCTTGACTCATAAAAAATCGAAGGAAAAGCATTTTAAAGTTTATACTTCGTAATCCTAAGTTCCTTTATAAGCAAACATCAATATTAACATCAATTAATTAAACATGAACAACCTCAATGTTAAATCTTCATTTTAACAATATAAGGCAATGCTCGAAAGTCCAAAAGTTCATCCCAAGAAGAAGACTCAATCTAATGTTGAAACCTTAAGGGTCAACAATGCTAGCACTTCAAAAAGCACGACATCTTTAAAAAAAACCTAAATCTCAGTTTAATAAATATATGCTCAAAAAATCAAATAAAAGCAGAAGATTTAAAACAAATGAAGACTCTTATTTAATTATTATATATAAATTTAATTGGATCATCTAAAAATTCATCATATTATGACACTACCAAATTATAACAGTTCAATATCATTTATTTAATATAAAGTAACTGGGTAGATGTGGGTTTATTGAGTCTGACTTATAAACTGCATTCGAAAACTTCGATATGCATTTTCACATAATGCCATTTTACAGACTACATACACCTTTAGATATTTTCGACTATTCGAACTTTTGAAGTATATGTCTCTATCGTTTCTTTTGAAGATCTACTTGTTTAGTAACAAGAATTCCTAGTTTTTGTAAATTCCAAATATTTTAATTCTTCTCACTTATAATTCATCAATTTCACTATTATAAAAATTTTAGTAATCAAATTAGCTCACTTTGATGTGGATTAGAAACAAATTAATAATCTGAGGTTGGATAAACTTTATTTTAAGACTCTCTGTTTGGTGGAGCTGATAAAAATCTCCATTCATGGTAATTGAAAATTGTGCTTCATCAATCAGAATTTTTGGATTAATATGAAAACTCTAAATAAACACTTAAGTGATACTAATGATTGATGTATTTCTACACTAACATTTTCAGGATATGACAGCTTTTAAATCATTAACTATTTATCATAGAATTTTATCATCTTCTTGCAATTAGTGTTGTTGTTTTCTATGACACTAGAATTCTGAAATAGTTCTGGGGTAATACCTGGTTCTGTTTGAGTTGTTTATGAATGTCTGATCATTTAAACAATTATGAAAATGCTCAGTACTATATGAAGAATAATCCTTATTTTCATTTTAAATATTAGACACTTCAAACTTAGTATTGAATAACATTTGCAAATATTTCAAAAATTTTAAATATTTAAAACTGATTAAAGAGAAAGATTAACAACATATGTTCTATTTTATAAGTTCATTTCTCATATCATTTTATCCATTAGTTTATTTATAAATCAATTTTATAGGTTCAAGGTAATTTGGTATCATTTATAAAATATGATAAAATAAAATATATTGGTAATTTTAATATATTGTAGAGTGTAATAATAATAAACAGAAAGAATAATGATTGATGTAGTAAATTGCAAAAATTAATGATATTCATTTCCAAACTGGCTTACTATTAATTATGGATTAAATAATGCTCTCATCGTTTTTAATTTAACCAGGAGATGGATATCTCCACCCTTTATTTTTGCTTGTAGCAATTAATTGATTTGCTTTTGGGATGGCATTACCTATGCATAATAATGAATCATAAATACCTTTGACTAAGGGCGAATATTATCTATAGGCAAGTCCAGTAGTTGGTTTTGGCAAATTAGGCATTGGCTAGAGTTCAGGCTAACTAGTATGATATCATTGTTATACGCATAAGCTGATCTTGGTCTTTCACTGGGGTCTCTTTTCTATTGTTTCACGGATTAAGATTTGCATGATAACTTTTATTTTAGTTCTTAATGTTTTTTGAGACTATCATTTTATTATCTTTTAATTGTTCCACTGCTTGGTTTGATTAGAGACATTTAGGCAGATTCTCTTGAATTTAAACTAGTATTGCATTTTTCTTATTCCTCTTTTAAAGTTACATAATTATTAACTGTTACATGATAAACATTTCCGTTTATATTATTTTAATTATTTAATCTAACAGCGGGTTTAGTAGCATTCTATTTCATCTTCTTTTAGGACTTTTTCACAAGAGTTTCATCTGCCCAAGTAATGGTTCTTGGTCTATTTTCATTCAAATATTAATTAAATAATCTTCTATCTAACCAACAAGAGTCAGCAGCACTTGATTTTGAATTCTAGAACGTATTTCTTAGTAATTTTTCATCCTCTTCTAGTGGTAGATCTTGTTCTTCATGAGGTTACCAAGAACTTGATAGTCCACCTTCACCTTTCTTACTTAATTTTGATTCTAATTGTGTTAATTGATGATAAAAACTAGCCCTTATCTCTAAATCAGGTCTTCTTGTATTCAAAAACTCAAGAGTCTTGTATAATTTCCATTTATATTTTCTCATAAAATATGCTGCTAATGCACAACATGATCTTGACTAACCTCTAACTGAATGTACTAAGACTGACTCACCATTGACATGTGCTTATTCTATAAAATGATATATTTCATTGACGTTGTCATTCTAGAATAAAACTTGCTTGTTCGATTAGTATAGATATATACCTGCTCATTTTCTTACCAATTGAATTTTAGATATGAAACTCCATAGTTTTCGAATACGCAAGGCAATTATTTTGCAGCACAATTTATTATGTGACTGACCTTATTTTATATCACAAATTCAAGGTCCTTGCATATAAATTATATTCTGTACTTTGGATGCAAATTCATCCCCAATAAAAAGACCATCCTTAATTTTAATTGCTCCAATTATCATTTATTTAATTATAAATTATTTGAAATTTGAATGATGGAATAAATGCCTAAATTAAGTGAGATTCACAAAGAATTGTAATACTACACCAGATATTTCTCAGAAAACAAACTCTACTAATCTAGTAAATGGACAGGAGAATTGCTTTTAGGTCTAACCCAAGAGGAAGACTTATAGTCATCTCAATTCGCCATGTAATTCATTCAAAACAACACAGATTATCAATATTAATTTTTAAGAGAGTTTGTACCTGAAAATAATGATATTATTTGTGTGGCAAGGAATTTATTCGATTTAAGAGAGTTCAAAAAATGTGCTTCTTTGCTCTAGGGTTTGATTCACAAAAATGAATCAGCAATGTTCTTATATTATTATTCATAATACATGTACGGAGAGTTACGCAAAGAAGAAGAAATGTTTGAGAATGAAAATTCAAAGACAGCCACTAATCCAGAATTAAAGCTATTAGACAGAGAATTATCCAAATTATATGATCAAAAATAATTATCCTAAGTATGTCTATAATATATTTGTTTAGCTAAGCCTATATCTTTATGGCTTGATTCTCAAGGATACTTTAAGACTTCGTGAAGCCAAAGAGGTTTTTATTTAGGTTTTGAATTAATTGCCTTGCTTTTGGAGTGCCTGGTTAGAATTATGCAGATTAATGACTGAAGAAGACTCTATCAATGAATTGCCCAATCATTGGATGAAGTTCTTCTGGATTTCCAATTTCAATTTGGAAAAGTTTAAAAACTCTAATTGTGTGGAGTCCTTTTAACTATTGCTCTATTATTTCAGAAACTCAAATTTCATCATCAATTAGATAGCAAATGCATACTATAATAATTAAGAATTTGAATTGTCGTTAGAATGGTTTGAGAGATTGCTGAGCATAGATCCTTATCGATATGAAAATTTAGACACTTATTCTAATATCTTGTATATTAAGGAAAATTAAGGAGAACTCGCAAATCTGGCCTTGCAATCCTTTACTAATAATAAGTACGTACCTGAAACTTGTTGTGTAGTAGGAAATTACTATTCTTTAATGAATGAACATGCAAAAGCTATAAATTATTTTCAAAGAGCCTTGAAGTTAGATAAGGATTGTCTTGCTGCATGGACTCTTATGGGTCATGAATACTTAGAAATGAAGAATGTAGCTTCCGCCATACAATCTTATAGAAATGCTGTCGAAATTGATCCAAAGGACTTCAGAGCCTGGTATGGATTGGGCCAGACTTATGCCTTATAAGGAATGAATTAATATGCACTCTATTATTTTAGTAGAGCTGTGATCAGTAGGCCAAAGGATGCTAGAATGTGGAATGCTATGGCAGAATGTTATGACAAAATGGATAAAAAGAATGAGGCTATGAAATGTTATGAAAGAGCTAATTCATGTAAAGATAAAGAAGGAATTGCTATACATTAATTGGCTAAATTATATGATGCAGTCGTAAGATAAATATATCAAATTTTAGGGCAAGGAAGATAAAGCATAATAAGCATTTGAAGAGAGTTTGAAACGAAAAGATGAAGAATAGACAGTTGACAAAGAAGTCTCAGAGGCTCTGTTGTATTTGGCTAGGGTTTTCTTGAAGAAAGGTGATAAGGAGAGGGCGATGCAGATGGCAAAAAGACTCTATGATTTTAATGGACCTGAAAGGGATGAAGCTAATTAAATTATGAGTTAATTGAATAAATGAAATTTTGTGTATTTTGATATCCAAAATTTAGATTAAAATTTATTCTTCATCAATCAATTTAAGTGAATAATTTTAATCATAGACTATTAATCTTTAATTAGTATTAGACTTTTTAATAAAGAAAATATGCGAATTCAAATAAAAGATTCAACGACTTTTCATCATTTACATCATCCTAATCGGCTAAGTAATTTGCAATTCATCAAAGATCTTATAGCGAGAAAGAATAAAAAATAGTAATTGAGTTTCTTAATAATACTAAAAATAGATTATATATAATTTAAATGAAAAAAAATCATATTAATAACCTTTTAATCTTTAAGAAATTTAAATTAACAAAGACAAATAAAACATGATAATACACCAATTTAAAGGAGTGAGCTGATAAAATGATAAAAAGAATGTAAAGTAAGTAAAAATTGAAAACAAAAAAGATAAAATTTATCTAAAATGATCAAAGTAGTATTATAAAAATATTCACATTAGTAAAATTTCATTCATCATAACAACATAAATACCACCAAGGTTTTTGATCTATTTCTTTGTTCTCTTTGATTGGATTATGTTCTTAATAATCTAATTTTTCATCAATAATATCTGTATTCTATATATTATTTTATTGTGGATTTAGTTTTTCCTCTTCACTTCTTGGGGATATTGGTGATTTACAAGACAGTGGATCACTTAAAGAAGAAACCATTAAAGAATTCAACATAATTTAAGTGTATTTCAAAGCAAAAGATTTGGTCTTTAGTTGACGTAATTTTTAATGTTCATCATAAGCTAAACAAATTAGATTTTAATTTACGCGGAAGTTCTTCATCTGGTCTTTCATATTCATCCATTTCATATAGTTCATATATATAGAAATCATTAAGAAAGAAAAATAATTCCATTTCTGCTCTCTTGAAAGTTTAATTGAATTCTCCAATAACCATTTATAAAAACTCTCTAACAGTGATGTCAGAAGTTACTCTAACAGTTACAATTATTTTCCTTTGTAGATTGTCAATCCAAGTTACTCGATATGGTGTTGAATAGTTTCCTATTTATTCTTATGTCTCAGCCTTGTATATTGGATTATAGTTTGCTTTAGATTTTTCTTTGGTGCTTAAAGGAGCATTATCATCATAAACCATTTAAATATCTTCTGTATAATAAAAACTCATCTAATATCAGATATAAATTATAATTTTTATTTTACAAATTTTGTACATCATAACTTATTAAGTAGTGTTATTTCGATCTAATTTGAGCAATAATTTTAATAAGATTAAATAATTCTGATAAAAAAGAAGAATTTTAGAATCTCTTGATTGCTTATTTTAAATGACTATGTAATTTTTATTTAATTAATTTTTATGTATAATAATTCAAGAGATCCTCCTAATAAAATTCTTCTTCTTATTCTAAATTCATTGCCTTCTTCTTTTACATTGAACAATTAATTCATACACCAAAAATTCAATTAGTTTGGAGATATCAATAAGATTCTCATTTTTGAAAAAGGAAAAACCACCAAAGCCTTTGTTGAATTTCATGAGTTGAATAGTGCAATTTAAGCTAAAAAGTAATTGAATGGTTGCAATATTTAAGGAGGAAAGTAATGTCTCTTTTGTTATAGTTTTAGAATGAATATTCATTTTTCTCGACTTAAAAATCTTAATCTCGAAATAGTGGATAATTCAAGAGGAACAGATTATACATAGGCGAGTAGCAATAGTTAGAATTCTGATTCTATGCTTAACTCAAGAACAGAGGAGAATATTTAGTTTGATTTAACCAATCATATTAGTTCAACTTAGTCACCCAGAGCAAATTCCAGCCCAATCAGAAACGAACAAATCAATCGTCTATTAGAATCATCGGATGGTGAAGATGATCTGAAAATCTGGAAATAAACTATGCCTTTGGACATCGAAGAATTTCATCCAGAGATATAAAAATTACTTCAACAGAGATAGTCAAGATTACTCAAAATATTAAATTTTGATTCAAAAATCACCGCCAAGATGATTTACAATGTCTTTTCTAAGTTTGGAAATTTAGAAGAAATCTTATATGAAAAATCATCTTCCAGAGCCTACATTAAATATTAATCAGTAAATTAGGCAATAATAGCCAAGGAATATCTCAATAATATTTAATTTTTCGACTCCTAAGTAAGTTTAAATATTTCATAAATTAGATAAGAATATATTTTGAACCTCTCTAATCCCTATAACCCACTACTTTTTAGGATGAGTATATGATCTATTATCCTGAAAGTCAACCATACAATAATACCCCACTCTCTCCAAATCTCCTCATCACAGATGTATAAGATCCCTCTGAAATCTCTGACCAAATCTAAATGTTTGTCAAAGCCAAAGGTATTATCATCTCTATATAATTTAATAGAAATCAAATATGGAGTAAATAGTATTCATTTGACTTTATTTTCTAATGCAGATGCACTCAAAATTATTGCTGTGTTTTCAGATTATGAATTCTAAAATTAAAAAATGAATATCATTCTCAAACAATGATAGTTTTATGCAAAATTATTCAAAAATAAATAAATCAAAAATACATTATTCAATTATCACTTTTATTAATTTCTATTTTTTATCCTTTACTAAGATAGCATTGAATTTAAAAGATTTTTTTCTTTGATTGCCTATATGTCTTATAATTCTTAAACTCTTTTATTCATTTAAGTATTTATTTTACTAGCATGCTGTCTTTCTTTCTAAAATGAAAATTCATTCTAAGCAAAGGCATTTTATTTTTCTCGAAGAAATTCAACTGAATAATTTTAATAATTCACATGTTATTGCTATTATAAAAGTTTCTTCTTTGTAACTTAGAGAGAATCTAAATGCTTTTCTATCTTATGAGTGATATTCTATCTTTAGGCTGATTGATCCAAATTTTAGAGTAATGCCTTCACTTTAACACCTTACTTTTCATTCAAAATGATTAAAGGTTAGTTATTTTAATTTTATATTTTTGGTATCTAATCATAACTTAAGTTAATTTTTGGTTGAATCTTATTATAATCAGATAGGGATCTTTTCTCTCTATCTATTACTTAAATTACTTGAGGTTAATATCGATTTACACTCACCTATTTACTATTGAATTAATATTCTTATAAAAATTGATCCTCCTCATCATCCACTAAATTTTTAACAAAATCTTAAGCAATTGGTATATTATTTAAACTTTCCCAAGTTAAACCTGATTTTTTCTATTCTAAAACATGTTATGATTTAATTTTTGTTCTATTCATGTAAGAACAGGTTGTAGGTTTAGAAGGATTTGGGAGTTTATCAATAAGGTGAATCATGTTTGGATATTTTTCAATTAACTGTTATTTTGTTAAATGCTTTAGCTCAAACTATAATTTAGTAAACATTTTTCTTTCTCTTTCTATTTGTTTCTAATATTCATTTTGTTCCTTTCTTTACAATAAAATTTATTTAATCTACTCATCATCCTTAACATCTGGATGAAATATCTTATATTCGTACTTAACTTCTTTTATTCTCTCGTCCCTATCTCTCATTTAAAAAGGTTTCTAAAAAGGTTTCATTTTTTATTAACACAGTTTCCAATTATCCAAACCCAAACTTATAATAAATTATTCTTAGTCTTGACCTTCCTCTATTGCCAACATGTTTATGAGCTATATAAATTAATCATAATTTAATTCCTTTTAGTTTTTAGCATATTTCTTAAATAGTTCTAACATTCTCTAATTTTTCGCTTTAATTTGAAAATCTTTACAAAAATGCATCCATTTTCCAATTGTGAATATTGAAGCCTCATGCTATTGTCTATCAAATGTAGCATGCTGTCCTTGCACATATTGCTGTTTGCAATAGAAATCAAAAACCTTTGCGATAACTTCTTTATTAAGAATGTTCATTTTATTTATGAAATTATCCTTATATTTTATTCATATATTTTTATAAAAATAAGTTTTTAAATGTATTTGATAAATAAAATAATCATCAATTAAATATAAACTTTTAGACTTCCTGGATATTGCAATCTTTAACACTTTACTCTACTATTTTGATGGATGAGTACTCATTGATGTCAAATTGGTTTTCTTAAAACTAAAATAATATTTGATTTATGTATTACTCTTATTCTATCATTTGTATTCTCTCTTCACTCTTATACTGCCTTTCTTGATCTCTTTATCCTCTCTCTAATTAAATAGGCTCATCATTTACATTTCTCTAGACAAAAACATCTCGAAATCAGGAGCCTCATATGCTTTCTCTTTATCCTACTTATTCAACACTATTAAAATTGGGATTTTTGATTTCTAAAATGGAATAGAAACCAAAACCTCATATAAGATCGCTGCAGTGGCTCCTATTTAAGATGTCTCAGATGAATCTGTAACTAATATTATTTTCTTGGCTTCTTGTATTTTATTTAAAAACTATTCCTTTTAATAATTATTTCCTGGCACATCTACGACAATCACACTCTAATTATTTGGCTTAGCTAATTCTGTCTAGTTTGGCTCAATTGAATTAGTTGTTTATATTGATGAATTTTAGTTTGAAAGCTATTCTTTCATATATAATTAGTACGCAATACAACAAGGAAGTTTTTCCTGCGTTTTTATCTCCAACTATAAATATTACCGAATTATTAGCATTAGCTGTTTAAACTCCACTCTTCCTTTTTGATGTAATATAAAATGCAACGACTAAAACTAGTACAAGTATGGCAATTATAATATACATTAAATAATTAATAGACACGTTTAATTAAGTTTTTATAATCTTAATGAAAAAATTAACAATAAGTATTAATTTATTTTTCTAATTCAATTAATTGCAGGCAAGAATTGAACTAAATAGCCTAGTATAATCTATGAAAATGATACTCTTTATTTTCAAAATATTGTGATTATTTTATTAGCAATTTCAAGAATTGAAAATATTATCATGTAAAAACATACAATCTTAGAAATATAATTTAATAATGAATTTGAGGTTCTAATATATAATAGGATAATTTTTCATTGAAATTCTCTTTAGAATTATAATCGAACAAATATATATCTTATTTGATTTATATTAGAGAGATAGCATCTTCCTAATATTAATATAATAATGATGCATAATTGTTGATTATAATCCCTGCATTATCCACTAATAATTATAAGCAAATTTAGTCAATATATATAAAGTATTTCATTAAATTGAAATACTCTTATTATTGTTTTTATTGAGATTTCTAACTAGATCTCAATAAATTGACTAGGGATAGCTTGATGGAACTATCCCCAATCAATTCATAAAGATTAATTATTATTCATTCAAATCATTCAGCTAGAATGACTTTAGTCTCAATAAATGGCATTTGAACTCGATCTTTGATCAATTTGAGTTATTTCTTTTTCTTTCCTTTTCCTTTCTGTCTTTTTTATTTTTATTAATCCTTCCAAATAATTAGTTCAATTTTGTATTTTACTTTAATTAAGTTATGTAATAAGTACAAATAAATAGAATTTTTTGACAAAAAAAATAGTTACAATATTATTAGTCTTATTTGAAGGGAAACTAATCTAATAACTGAACCACTTCTATCGCAGCAGCCAGTTTGATTCGGTTTTTTTTGACACGAAAAATTTGTGTAATTTATCTGCCTTTCTATACCAAAATATTTTATGTTATATATATAAATAATAGGATAAACAAATATTAAAATAGATTAATATTGAAGCATAGCAACCTTGAAGCATTGAGCTTTCTTAACTCTGTGTCTTTATGCTGAAATAAGCATGCAATTTTAGCATAAAATTCAATATTATTTAATATCCTATTTTATATGACCTATTAGGCTATTAATTATATATCAATTAAAAAAATAAAAATGCAAGAGTTGAATACTTAACAAGAAAATGAAATAGAGGCTTTTTTAGCTTATATATGAAAAATTAGTTTGGAGATGTTTTTAACTTAAATAATTTAAAGAATCAATTAACCATTTATAAATGATTGATTATTAATGAGAATGATGAAAAAGTTGACGACTCTTTACTTTTAGTTGATTCTACAAATAATGTGTAGATAAAATAGGAATATATGAATTTATTGAATTCATTTGAGGTTTTTATGGACTGTGTTTGAATGATTATGATGTTTTGGATGGAATTTCATTTATGGTGAAGGCGGCACAAAATAATAAAGGCGGTATTCATTAATGAAAATATTTATATCTGAAGCATAATAGGCCTTAATATGCCATGCATTGCTTTGTATTTTATATTAAATGAATTTTTGTAAAAATGAGAGGGGCTTTCAAAAACTAAGTAGGAGGGCTCAATAATTAAAATTATTTCTCTGTTTAATTAATTCAAAACTTTCATTTGATTTTATTAGACAGAAATATATTAAATTATATGAATTAATAGATTGTTAATATAATGGAAGCAACTTTATGCTAGATATTAGCTGAGAATTACACTTAGGAAACAAACAAATACTCAACAATTATTGTTTTCTAAAGATATAGTTCTGATAAAAAATGCATGTTTTTTATTGGTTATGATTCCAATTCATTTATTATTATTTAACAGCAACACTACTAAGTAGATGAGATGGATACAAACTTAGATATATATTTCAAGAGAGTTTATGACTTCTTATATTTAATCCTTTTTCAAAAGAAGGAAGTGACAATCCACTTCATAAATATTTTAATAATAAAAGATTTCGATCATTTCTATCAATTATTTGATCTTGAAGGTCCTTTCCCAAAGAGCAAAATCATAGTTTGGATTGAGCATTAACAACAACTTGACATACGAAAATAATATTTATCAATCTAAATCTCCTTCAATTATGTATAAATCAAATTTGATTATAGAGTGCACTAATAAAGATTTAATTTAATTTGTTAATAAAAGATTTAGGAGCCTACAAATAGTTCGCAATCAAATAAATTAGTCAAATGCAAGAGAGTCACTAACAGTTCCTATAATAATTTGAGAACTGCTTAGAACAAGTTAAGGCCTTTAAGTTTTTGACTTTAATTAAAGAAATAACTTTTCTTAAGGAAATACCAGATTAAATAGAGTATTTTGCATAAATATTAATGAATCTACCTCGTTATACAAGTTTAGATGCAGTTGTAATAATAGCTAAACTTAAGTTATATAAATAAAAAGCAAATTTTAATAGGACAAATAATTAATAAAAGTTAAAAATTAACGAATACTTGGAAATAACCTAAACTGATTTAAGGATATTTAAAGAACTAAAGTATTGTCATTTCCCAAAGAGAGGAGATAATAGTTAAAAGTATTATATTTTTTATATATGATAGGTGTAAAGTTTGTTAAAAGAATAGCGATAAGGTTAGAAAATCCAGTTTTGTTTGTGAAGCGTGTAAACTTCATTATAAAATAAATGTAACCCTTTGTACAACAAAATGCTTTAAACTATTTCATTTAAATCCTGAAAAGTATTTACGCAGAAAAAATAGATCAAAAAACACAAAAGTTGAAGAATGATAAAATATTCTATATTATATTATATATATGATATTTCATATAATCAGGAGATTACATATTTTAGGAAAGTATTTTAGGTTCACCATAATTTTATTAGAGTATCAGTAAGTAAAACATTTAAAACCAATTATATGTTTATAAATTATTAAGAATAATAAATATTTATAATTATAAAAATTTTATGAAATGAAATCTAAATGAAATCAGAAAATGTCGATTAAATTGATACTTAAATATAAGAGATAAGAACTTCAAAATTAAGAGTTAAACAATAATTTGTTAGATCACCATATATAAAACATAAATTTAATAATTATCAAAATAAATAGAGAAATTCCCGATTAGATTAAAGCTGATTTAAGGGTTTAAGCTTCTAATAATTTTTAAAAGGATCTTAAGCTATACATCAATAGAAGGCAATAACAAACTTTGATTAAAATTTCATAAGCGTACATTCCAATAAGCATAGATATAACAAATAGTATATAGAGTAGCATCAAATAAGTTACCATTGAAGGTTTAGTGACTTTAATATATGAATAAGATTACTGAATAGCATCCAATCACTAAACAAAATAATTTCTATAAGAGATGATAAAGCTATTATGAGTACTGCAATTAAAATTCGTTCTTAAACACCAACAAGATACCCAAAACAAGATTTTAGAATTGCAATTTCGCTCAAGACTAGATATATTTTACCACTGATTTGATTATCAACTTTATTTTGAGTATTTTGTGTATGCTGTGTAAATGAAAAGTCTTTAAAGGTTTGAGTTCTGGCGGGTTTAAATTAAGCAGAATCATTATTCTAATCAGGATCTCCACCTAAATGCCTGGCTCTGGCTAATTATTTGTTGCTATACTCTGACTAAAAAACTTAATGTTATTTACTATCTATAGTCTAAAATAACAGAATGAATTACAAATTATAATTTATTAAGCAAATCTGATTAGTTGAGTTTAATATTGCTATTACTATTCTTAACTTCTTCGCTATTTTTAATTTAATCATACTGATTTTAGTTTCTATAATAACTTTCAATACGCAAGACCTCCTCACTTTTTTCAGGAACATATTCTGAGATGACTTTAGGTTGTAAAATTGGAGGAGGAGGAACATTATTACTTGTAGCAAGTTAGGTTTTTTATGTGTCATCAAATTCTTTATCGTATATTTCTTAGAATTCTTTGATAATGAATAGTAATGGAATCAAAAACAAAATTTTATATTGGATTGAGAATTCATTGTTAAGATATGCAGTTATGGATTCTCTTTATTCATTAGGTAATTGATCAATTTGTCTAATAATTTTGGAGTAATTATGATCTTTTAAGTATTTATGATGTTGCAATTCGACTGCATTAATGAAAAGCAAGGGAATAACAAGTACAAAAGCTGAATGAAATAGGAATCTTCTAATAAAGTTAACAAAGGATTCTGCAAATCTTTCATATTTCATGATCCTAGCATTATATACAAAATAGGTAATCCAAGTAAATGCCAAACTTACAATTATGTTTATAATATATATCATTTTATATAATGAATATTCAAAATTACTCAAGCAAAGACGACAAAAAGAAAACATTATTGAAACCAAGAATACGATCCTCAAGCAAAGAAGCTACTTAGCAACTCACTCAACCAAGAATTGCAATTTAAAATCCTCCTGTGTATAGAAACACAACAGCTGATAAACATAGAAAACACTCAGTAGATAATAAAAAACAAGTAAAGCAAAAAAAGAAGAAAAAGACTCAAAAGAACTTGTAACGTAAAGATTTATCCCTATATATTAAGAATTGGATAATTAGGAGGAGTAAAGATTATTAGAGGAAGAATAGAAGAGAATTAGAGATCTAGAAGAATTTTAAAGATAATAATGGGAGAAAATGAGTTAGGAAGAACGAGATAGATTAAAAAATGAGGAAAACGATAGAGTTTAAATAGAAATGAATTGGGATAAGGAAATTCATGAATACAAAAAGAAATGTTTAGAAATCGAGGAATGGAATAACTATATATCCTGTAATACTCAAATAGATGCCAGATCTGAAAAAGATTTAAACACAGTAATTTATCAACTAAGTACGAGTAATGATGATATTTCATTGAATTACAAATAGATTGAATATATTTCAACAATAATTTTCCTGATCCAAGTAGCTCATTAATAAGACTTAAGTCAATCAATATTAAATAAGCAGGACCATTATTTTAGATATATTGAAAAACTAAAATCAATTTAGAGTAGTAAAATATATGAAATAATAAAACACTTTTATATTCATTACGAGAATTACTTGGATGAATTGAATCACATCTGTATTAATATATCCTCTATATATAAGTGAAACATTAATACTTTTTGTTGGAATTTAATCAAGAAACCCAATAAAGGATTTTATAAAAAATCGCATAAAAGCCTGAGGATAGAGTCAAATATGAAATCTTAAAATATACAGAATTCAGTAACTCATTTAAAGCAGCATTTTGGTATTGTCCCTTATCTAAGATCGGATATAGAATAAAGCCCATTGACTTCTCTCAAATATCCAATCTTTAAATTGAAATTCCAAGATAATTGGCTGGACAAAGCTTAATTTATTATGTAACATGGACAAATCATGATCCGTATGTACAATATAAATAATACACATAATATTTACCAATAGGTGGAATATTTTAAAATTGTTGTGTTAACTTACCTAAATTATCAAAGAAAACTAATGGCTGGACACTCAAGCCTACATTTACAGATTCTTAATTATAGCCTTTAAAATTGGCTTAAGGATTCTAGTCTTATAGTTGTTTCTTTTAAATAACCAATTCGTACTATTTATAAGATGCAAGCAAATTATTTGTGGTAACATTTTAAAATGGTAATTGGACTCAAGAAGGAATAGAAGATTTGAAAGTGAATCTAGACACTCGATCTGTTTCATTTTCGTTGAAGAATCAATCTCCATTTATGTTAGCCACATTAAAATTTGCTGATTTTCCATTTAAAACCTGGAAAGTCAGTTCTCTATCTCCTGATAAAGTATATGTAAATATCATAAGTAAAAATTCTAATTGATATTTTATAGCCTAAAGAGATATTAATATTGGAATATAATTAGACAGCAAACTATCAAAATTAGTAAAACCTACTAGTCTTGCCTAATAATATTTTTAAGAACCTATGCCGATCATAGAATTATTATTAAAATTAAGAAATGTTGGAATCAATTTGATAGCCCAAGAGGAAGATGCAATCTGTTTGTAAACTGTGTTTAAAAGATCTGAAGTTGAAAATCAAGTATTATTAAATTTAATGTAAACACTAAGAGGTATATCTATTTATAGAAATTGTAGTTTATTCCTTCAAATAATCAAAATGGAATTAAAAATGTGGTTCAGATTAAATTATTATTCAGTTTATTGAGAATCCTAATTTTAATTAAGATTTTGAAGGAGATGATGAATTTAAATGGAGAAATTTAGAATTCCAATTGAATAAAGTATCCCTTCTGGAGGGTAATGATAATAGTGATAAGTTTTCATCAAAATGGTTTAAAAATACTGTTAGTCATGCTAATTTATTAATTTTAATTCAACAGCATTAAATCACTCCACCAGAATTATAATTTTATATGGAAGAAATTCAGAATGTTGAATTAAGATCAAACCTTAGAACAATGCTGAAAGTAATGAGACTTTTATCAATTAATTGACATTATATAAAACATAATATATAATAAAATATTGTTTTAAATGAAATTCGATTCTATTAAATTTTTATATAATGTATGTCTTACATCTTTTAGAATGAAATTTCTCAATTATTTTTTTACTACTCTATAAATAAGAATGATTATAAATAAGATTGTCATATAATGAGTTTTCTATAACAATAATAATTGATCTAGAATGTTCATATGCACAACCAATAATTTTACATAAAATTACAAAATCTTAATTTAAAAGAATATATAGAATCATCATTGATCTTTAGACATAATTTTAAATATTTGTTTCTTTATTCTATATTAGCTACTAAATTCTATTTATTATTTGATAAGCTTTTCATGATGAATTTACTAGTTATATTACTTCCACTTCTTTAAAATATTCTTGCAAAATTTGACTAAATGTACTTACATCATTTTTTCATTCATATCTCTTTTTTTAATTTTATAATTATGATATAACTATAATAGTGAAAATAACTATTTCTATAATGATTTACATCTAAATAATTCAGCAAATTCTAAGGAGTATCTTTTATACTTTTGTTTTTAAGTATAATTTTATAATTAAAAGAATATTTATTTCACTTTCTTTTCATTAAGAATCTTTTGTATTTCTTTATACTTTTAAATCAAATTCTTAGTATCCCTTAGAGTCTATATGGCTAATTTCTCTAGATTATCTTTTCTTATTGCTTGCAAATACCGTTTGCTTTATTATCTTACCTTGTATTTTAGTAAAGTACTGAAAGACTTTTGCATAAGCATTTTCCATCTCCCATATTAAGCCAATGTTTTTTATCTCCTATAAATCATATTTTTTTGGGCTCTAGTATTTAAGAAAGTAAGCATTTCACTCATGAGTGTGAGGTTTCGCTTTTTGATGAATTCTTTAACTTACTGTTTTTAGTTAATCGTATAGTCAACATATTACGACCAAAATTAAAAAATAGCTAACAGCCTTTATTTCTATTTATTTATTGCATATTGTTCTAAGTAATTTTCTGTTTAATGCAATTTGAATTTCATTATGCCAAAGTATTTTTAATACAATTTCAGTTTTTATTTGTGAATCAATTCTTGGTATGCAACTAAGTCATTTTGTGTTCTTTAGATAAACTTACACCACTAATGAAAATACAACCTTTTTGTGTTTTTAGTATATAATTGTTATGCATCATATTTTTATATTTACTTCTGTTATAAATTGGAAACCACTTGATTCCAGGCTTTCATTAATATACCTTTTATTCTTTTATCTCTTTTATTCTGAAATCTAAAAAGCATGACCTATCTAATTTGAATCTGTTCAATATTTGTATGCCAATGGATAAATAGCATTTTCAACCGTTTGATTCGCTTAGTCTCAATGAAATTAGCCACTTGATAGACATCATATGTCTTAGCAGTTTGAAGTCTCCATGCTTGAAATAGTTTTTGTAACCATTCCCTTTATTGCTCAACATATTGAACGATCTCGGATGTTTTAAGAGAGTCAATTAATTCGTTGAGTTGGGATTCAGCTTCGCTATCGATGGGGTTCTCTTTCAATTTGCATGCCTGTAGGTAGAGATCCTTCTTAATAGAATTGGAAAGAGTTTTTGAATTCGAATTCATTTAATCGGAATTATTATTTTTTAGAAAATATGGGAAGCAATTGTGCAACCTGTTAAAATTGTTAGAAAAAGGAGGAGATTCTTATCAGCGAAGTTTAACAATAATCGAACCCGCAAATGAATTAATACTCTTAATAACCGAATGAGGAGGAGGAAGAGGATCGTATAATGATCTAACAATATTTTAGATCTCGAGGAAAAGAACCATGAAGGTTCCAGCTAGGTCGTATAGCAATATTTAAATTTGGATACTCCTTAAAAGAATGATGCTGTTGTATATGCGGAACCGACGAGGGCCTAACAAGTGGAAACTCCATAAGTTCAAGTGATTATGACAAATGGTATTTATGAAAGTGATTGTTAAATAAGAGTCAAATGCAGATAGCAAGAAGAGAAAGAACGAGATGATGTTACGAAATATGGAGGATCTGAATGATACATAAGTTAATAAGTCTGAAAGCACAGTCAGAGAGAAGAGGCCTCGTTATTAATTCAAAGTAGAAAGTGTTGAAAGTCTTATTTTTATAGAGTGGAGCATATTACGAGGGAGAATGGGTTGGTTAGAATAGAGATGGATATGGAGTTCAAATTTGGAATGATGGAGCAAAGTATGTGGGACAGTGGAAGAACAATAGAGCCAACGGAGTAGGGAAGTTTTGGCACATAGATGGAGATTATTATGAAGGAGATTGGAAAGACGATAAAGCATGTGGGAAGGGTGTTTATATTCATATGAATGGAGCATAGTATGAAGGAGATTGGATGGATGATTTATAACATGGGTTTGGAGTTGAAACTTGGACTGATCAAGCGAGATTCGAAGGATTATATTAAAATGGTAAGAAAGAAGGATTTGGGAAGTATTATTGGGGAGATGGATCAATATATATTGGCAATTGGAGTGAAAATAAGTTGAGTGGCTATGGAGTGTATACATGGCCTGATGGGAGGGTAATGAGATTAATGTAATTTAGAGATACGAAGGGTAATGGAATAATAATTAGATGAATGGACGAGGGATCTACTATTGGAAGGATGGAAGGAAGTATGAGGGACAATATATAAATGATAAGAAACATGGCTATGGCATTTACACATGGCCAGATGGAAGGGTATGAGTATCTATAGAGTCCTATTAGAAATACGAAGGATATTGGTCAAATGGCAAATAATAAGGAAAAGGTAGATACATTCTATCAAATGGAAAGAGTTAGTTAGGGATGTGGGATAATGGGAAGAGGATAAAATGGTTGGATTCCATCGAACAGAGCATTGATTTGAAACCTAAAGATTGGAATTCTTATGTGTAACCGTCTTTGGGAGAGACATAATTATGATTATTTTACTAATTAAGAAATATGTGTTAAAATTCATTCTAAAGTTTCTTCTAATTTCGAAAATCCCAATTGCTCATGAAATTAGGCAGCGTAAATAATGATTTGTTCCACGCACAAGTGATCTGAATGTTTTGATCTATCAAAGACGTCGGAGCATTCTTAAAGTTTAGTGATAAATTAAGCAATTTCGTTTTGATCTAATTTAAGTAGATGAGATTGAAAGTGTTTTAGTAAAGCAAGAGATAGTGAAATAATTGCCAGGATATTGTTAGCAATCATGAAATCAAAGAAATAGAGCACCACTTCAAAAGGGAAAGTTTGAAGGAATAGTGAAAATATCCATTTCCATATATAACAATATTGAGTGATATCTTGGGCTTCAAAATGTTGATACAGTTATGGCATTTGACTTTTGAAATGCTTGTGGAATATGTTTAATAATTTTGTAACAAATTCAAATTGATTCCCTTAATCTAATAACTAAATTACTTTATACTCTATGAATCATTCGTTTGATATAACTAAAGAAATTTGAATTACGGATTGATATTCAAATAATTTAACATCCAAAAGGCTTCCTCTTCATCCATTCCATTTACTAATAATAGGAATCCAGCCACTTGATTCATGCCTGTCACATAATCGTTGTTATAGGCTGCGATAGCCTTGAGCACATTTTCTAATGCTTAAGATTTTTTATTAAATTCATGATGACCTGGTAGAGTTCTGGGTAAGTCTTTTTCAATATCACTATCAAATTAATTTTATGAAGTCTTTAACAAGGCTTCATAACACCCCGATTCTTATAAGTTTTCAACAAACAAGGATCCTTTCCATAATAGCCATCTGTTGGAAGAGAGTGCTCCGTTCATTAGATACTTTCTAAATCTGGTTGGATCACTTTATTTGAATTTGCGTGCAGCAGTAAAGTCTTTGATTTCAAATTGATTCCATTGATGTTACAATTATTTCAATTAGGGGTTGCTACTTTCAATGGCTTCCTAAAACTTGATTCCTACGAGATTATTATACTTAGATCTAATTTAAATTTAATTGGTCTTTCCAATTTAGCATCCCATAAATGAATATCAATTATAAAATAATTAATAATAATATTCAATAAATCACAATTGGTCGTCCATTATGGAGGTATGTTTTAGATTCAATATTATGTGTATTTTACATATCTATTTTTACAATATTCTTGTGTTGTATTTTGATTGTTTAAGGGTTCGTAAGGTTCTGCACTTCTTGAGATAATTAAAATAAGTTAAGTATTAGATACAACTAAGGTTTAAATTCATAATTACTCTCACAATTAGACTTATGATTACTAAAATGGAGATCATTTTTTGGATTGAGATTTCATAAGGTATGTAAATGTCTTGAGAATCATTGCCAAGCCATTTCATACCAATACAAAAGATCCATATAACATCCAGGAAGCAACTCATTCCGAACAAGATCCCTAGAGTCTTAATGCGGTTCTCGTTTAAGGCATTAAATTCCCAGAGGATATAGAAGTCTATGATAAGGAGCAACTAACAATAGCAACACACTCATTACATCAAAAAATTAAGCCTTGTAAAATAGTATCAGTAGAGTAAGACAAGCTATGAGACCAATTAATATAGTAATCAATTTGAACTTGCTATTTTTATCCAAAAGAGGATCCGTAAAGGGCTTGACGACTTTTGTGGGATCCGCCTATTAATATGAAACTGGAATCATGGATGCAGGTGCTTAGGTGATAGGCTTCTAATATCCTTTTGTATTGAGTTATCTCCACTTAACAAATGGTTCATAAAGAATGAAGAGATCTCTCTCATATTGCAGTAATTCTTATTCTTATGAATACACTTATTATTAGTAAGAGTTAAGTACATCTCTAAGATATTTGACCTTAGAATAGACCCATTAGATTTGGATGTTCAATTGGGATCCACTCCTATTCCCATTGACATCATATAAATCCAGCCATATATCATGCAATTGCTGATTCTTCAGATTGAAAGCATTGTTGGATAAATTTAAATCCACCCTAGCAATCACGATATTGGGAGTATATTTATCAAAATCACAAACTGTCAATTTTAAGTCTTCTTTCCCAGTTTAAACAGGGAAGTAGAACTTTTAAGATTCTTTTCAAATAGGATTAGGGCCTTTATTTAAAGTGGTTTGCTTTTCAAATTTATCAAATTGCAAAGTGATAAAAGGATCTAATTATTTGCCATCTGCCTTGAGATTGGCAGCTTGAATCACAATAACACATAATTGACTGCCTTCCATTACTCCAAAATTATTCAAATTTTCATTTGACTAACAATAATCTAAATTAGTTTCTGTTTCTCTTTTCTGTTAATAGTTTAATTCTAAAGTAGTTCTGCAATTGTTTATTTTACTTTTCAAACTGTCTTCAGCTTTCAAAAGTATTTGAATGAATTCATTTACTGTCACTTTACCATCATGATTAATATCTAAATTAGACCATAATTCTTCAGCAATCTCTCGATCAAATTGTTTTCCAATCTAATCAACACAGAAATGAAACAAGTTATACCTTAGAATCTAAGACTTGGAACATCTCATTCTTATCTAATCTGCCATCATCATTGATATCTAATTCCTCAAATTCCTATTTCAATGATTCGTACTTTTATTAAAAAGTTGCCATTATTTTTTAATTTTTACAATAATTTATATTTCATAATAAAGTTAATGTCATTTCTTCCATTGAGAGATTGTTGTAGTTCTCTTCTTAGGTGTCTGCTTCTTAGAAATTGGAGTGGTGGTGGTCTGTGGTGGTGCTGGTAATAATTTCACATTTTAAGGTGAAGCTGGCATACTGCTTTACATGGAAGAGGAAGTCTTTCTTAAGTATTATCCCATAAGAGACTTCAATTCTTCTTTTAATTTCATGTTCTCCTCATTTAATTCTTCGATCTTGACACTCTATGAAAATTTGGCTTTTTGACTCTCAAATTCAACATCCTCCAATTATTATGAAAACTCTTAAGTTTGTTTACTTTGCAACTACAATTGTCCAGTCAATGTTTTAACAGATGATTCAAGAGCCCCTATCTATTTAAGCAATTATGAATCATGCTCTTGTAATTGCGTTATTCTTTGAGTTTGTTCATTCTTAGAAATGAGTGCTTCTTGCAATTGAGTCTATAAATTCTTAATTTAAGATTCGTAGGACTCGATTCTTTTTTGACATTACATCAATTTCATATTGAATTAATCCTATTATTTTAAAATCTCAGTGGAAGGTCGATTATTTTACACATTCAAATCATTTAGTACATGCATAATAGTTCCATTCATTTTTTATATATTACAATTGCGTTCTTCTGTCTCCTTTAACTTTAATTCTAACAACTGGTTCTTTTGCATCAAATGGGCATTTTCAGTTAAAGCCTTAGTCAATTGTCTAATATTATATATCAAATAATCTACTTTTTTAGTTCGCCTATTTCAGCAACGTTCATTTTATTAATAATTTAATATTACAGAATTGAAAAAATTGAATTGAATAAAAGAAACATAGAGTATTATTGCTAAAAAATATGTGTTGATAAAAGGATCAGTACTTATTTTCATTATCTTTAAGATATTTGTTAAAATTGATTACAATCACAAGGAGAATTAGTATAGATGAAGTATCAACTGAAAAAATATTTCTAGAGTAAGATATATCCTTATTATTATACTTATACTTGATGATACCTCATTGAATTTAATATAATGATTACTTTCTAAATAAGGGACTTTAAATTTTATTATTTAATAATACTATTGAAAAAACACTTTATTTTCTTGATGTGTTATTAACAAATAATTTAAAGATTGAATTTTCTGGTGAATAAAATTATCATAAGTTAATTTTTATATCATCAGTTCAAGATTTAATTTTCTCATTTAATTCACTATTGTTCATTGTATGACTTTACTAACTTAATAAATATAATAAATATTAATTTAAATAACAACTTAGAAAATCATTGTATGTTAGAATTTAAAGATTAAATTCTTATCTTTATGCTATTAGAGATTAGATTTTGATTAAGAATTTTAAATGTCGAAAGTAGAGCAAAACAAAACCGTTTATTATATTTTTCAATAGTTATAAAATGTTTATTTGTTGTATTCTCAGAATCCTTTGGCACTCATAACTCTTCTAATGTTCTATTTGAAGCATGTTATTGAAGGGGTCGGTCTTGATAATATGTCTAAATGGTTAGGCTTGAATCGTTCTTTTCCTTTAGGCCATTCTACTCTTTTCTATGGTTTCTGTGGATCAGGCTTGTATGTAACTGATTCAAATTCTCCTTCAAAGCCCTTTTTTCCCGGATTGGAAGGTTTGAAGTTTTATTCATGTTTCATTATATGCATATCATGATGCTTTTCTTTGTTTGGAGGAGGTGCCTTTCCATCAAATCCAAAAACCTATTTGTCCTTATTGAAGTTCTCTCCTCCTGCAGCAGTAGTCTTGAAGGCTACTTCCTTTTCCTTTTTTTTGGCGTCCATTTATAATTTCTATGATAAAAACAATATGGATACCAATTAATATTGGTGAAATCTGTCGTATTCATCTTTTTAATGAGGGTATCCCTTAGACAAGTCCTTGTTGGCAGGGTTTGTTGTGATATTACGAGGAGCTGACCACACTCTGCCATCAGCAGTTTTATAGTTTCTTGTTCTTTTCATGTCATAATCCTTCATGTGAGGCCAAGCTCCTGTAAGCAACTCTTTATATCCAGATGCAGGCTTGAAAGGCTAATCCTTAAATAAGATCTTCTTTGTCTTCTCCAATTCATATTACAAGTATTTTCTTTACGGATCAGTATAAGGATCACCAATAGAATTGAAAGTAGCCTAGCTAAAATAGGAGCTCTTAATTCTTCCACTTTTGGGGGCTCCAATTTTAACATTAGTTAACTCAGTGATGGGTTTCCCATTTTCACCTCTGGGAGCTATTAAAATTTAATATCAAATATACGTCTCTTTTTGAAATCGTAACTGTCATCTCCTAACCCAAGTGGGACTGGAGAAGAAAATAATGCAAATCTCTATTTCTTAGCTTGCAATTCTGCATCTTACAGGATTTCTTTTTTCAATTACTTAGTTTACTCATCACTCATTTTAAAATAAAAATATAATTAAAAGGAAATCTCATCTCTAAGAATTATATGTCTATGTATAAAAGCAATAATAAGTATATGGATAAAATTGAGATCAAAATATGGTTAATTATAGAAGCTCCTAGATACTAAAAACAACCATATTTAGTCATTCTTATAAACCTGCCAATTCTAACCTTATATGATTTTGTAGAGATAGTATAAATATTATCTTAATCAACTTTTACCACTTAACTTTATGACAATTTTCATATTAGTTAAGGAGTTATTTCTATATCAAAGATTTTATATTGTGAATCAGAGACAATAGGAGTGCTTTTACTATGATTTGATTGCTCCTGTGAAATTATAAATTAAGTAACCCTTTATGCTCTAAAGAGATGGAAATTAAATAACAAGAGGCAATAGAGGATTATGAAGTTGAGGAGCTTGATTTAGAAGATTAAGACTGAAATTATTATGCATATCTTATTTATTTATGTGATTGTTCTCATAATTATGTTACAGTGTTCGGGACTGTCCTTTGGTACAATAAGACTTGCTTTGAATAAAAATCAGGCACAGCTTAATATTCCACTTTTTGCTAATTGCTCATTTCTTAAATTGTACTTTTTTATATAGATATGGGAATGTGATGCCATTGAAAGTGTTCAAGTAAATCAAAAGACTTCCCCCCACGAGCAGACCTAGGTAGGCTTGGATTCCGACTCTAGCCCCATAGTAGACAGGATTCAATCTGAATTTCAATGAAGAAGGGAAATTCTTGCTCAATTATTCAAACTTGCTATTATCCATGGCCATTTTTATAAATAAATAATAATATTCAGTTTAATGTAGTGTATTTACTTTTATCTCCTCATTTCCAAAGTTTCAGACCTATTTATAATTTCTCGATTATGGTATCTCCTAAAATAGGCTCTATTAATTTACCTCTAGTATTAGAGGTGTCAGTATAGTGTCCATAAAACCAGAATTTATAGAAGGATCTAATTTCTTTAATTCCCTACAATCATTTATTAAATAAATAACTGAATTTCTATTTTGAATGAGTGAAATCAACGAGTCCTTAATAGAAGCACCTCTGAAAGCCTTACTTGAAGAGGTAAGACATTTGTAATAACTGGAAGGTATTGTTCTGCTTGGAAAGCTACTTGGAGGGTTAGAGTGACCTAAAGCTAATTGAAAATCAATTAAAGGATTACGACACATTGCCTGGCCTAGTTAAAATCATCGGCAGTGTATTCAAGACTTTGATGAAGAAAGTCGAGAAAAAGATGACTCTTCTTAAACTTAATTTAAATGATAATAGTTCTCATCAAAGTTATCACCCAGAAGAAGAATATGAAAAATTGGAGCAAATTATACAAAAATACGAAGCCGAAATAAGAGGACATTTTAGTGTAACATGAGTTTGATTAGTTCTTTTAGATCGAATAATAGCTTAAGCTTTATAACGATAGTTTGCTGTAGAAGATAGAAGATCTAGAGAAGTCCCATAAGGAAACAATAGAATAATTAAATAAAAAAATTTATGTATGTGTTTCTAATTTGAAATTTAGGCCTTAAAAAAGGATCTCGGAAAGTCAACAGAGAGCTATCGGTAACTTATCAAAGAGAATGAACAATTACGAGAGTCAGTAGATCATCCACACATTGTACATACAGATAGTGAAGTAAATGGCAGGGTGAAGGATAAAAAGTAATTTGAGCTAAATTTATTAGTTTTGTCATTCAGATCATAGATTGAAAAGAGCTGACTATAGTAGTGAATATCCAGCATCAATTGCCAATCTATATCCTTAGAATTCTATGAGAAATTCTACACCTTTGAAATCATAATCTCAACATCATAAATATGGAAAATTTAATAACTAAATTTAGCGTAGGAGCGCTCAAGAACAAGATTTATTTACTAAATATAACCAACTGCTCAAATAACATGCTTAATCTATCTCTTAAAGATCTTAGATTATTCAAGCAAGTCAATATTTACTAAAAGGAGGGTTCACAAATAATCAGAAGAACACTAGGAATACTTTGAATGTAATTTCTGATATTTGCAATGCCTAATAATTAAAATCTTCTTAAAGAAACAAAAGTCAGGGCAGCAGTTCAAAGGCAGGAGGCAATAGTTCTCAAAATCATTTAATCTCTAACCATAAGTCAGGACATCATAAGATGATATCAGATACATCCAAAACTAATGAAGCCATTTAAAGATTACTAAAACTCAAATGATTTTTATTTAAATAAATTATTGTAGTTATAGAAATATAATAAAATTCAGTTATTGTCTTCAGAGGAATAATCATCAAATTGAATAATATCATTGAATTCTGATGGAATCAAACTATCTACTAATTTGTTGATGTATAACTATCTTGTATCACTATCAATGATTTTATATGAGATCCATATGCTTTATCGTCTATCGTCATTGGTCAAAGCCTAATGTGAAAATAAATGCATTACTTATTCTAACTTTTTTATGATACTCTGGAAGTACTCGATTTCATCCTCTGCCGCATATTAAATCCTGTTAATTAGCCTTTCCTTAACATAACTCCAATTCTTATGCAAATCCTCTATGCTTTTGATTGGGTCTTCTTCAATCACACTGTTTGCAAAGTTCTAAAGGGATTTGATTAATAAATATAAATACAGTGAATTTCTCTTCGGAAAATAAGTTATGTTCTATTGAAAACGTAATGAATCTATCAAATGACATTGCTCTTTCTCCCTCATTATTGGATATTAAATCGCATCTAGATATAAATTATCTTTCCATAATGCTCTCAGGAATTGAATTGCCTTGGCAAGATTCAAAATAATAGTATAATTTCTTGAATTCTTAGTACTCCATCATATTATCTAAATCCATATCAGCAGAATTAAAAACTTCTTAATAGTGTGTCATATGCATCTTCTTAACAATCTAATAACCTAAACAATAAGATTAATTTTTACCTGTCAGAATTCTGCTGATGTAATAGTCATAGTCAATGTAAGGCTTCAAATTTCTCTCTATGTAATTCATTTTAATATCTGAGATGATATTATTTCTATATTCTTAGGGTATTTAAGAATGGGTCTGATCAAGAATCTGAATTGCTTTTTCAACCAAAATAAATTATCCCTTGATTTAATGATATTTATACTTTATCTGTGTCTAGTGTTTGATTCTCCTCATCCAACTACTTTAAGGTTTTAATGTATATCTCGAGATCATCTACTGTCAAAGAACTATAAAGTTGTAGGAATCTTCCAAATAAATTAATTCTTATGTTGTCCCTATGTACAAAAATTGATTCATAAAAACTAGTCAATTTCTGTTCTGCTATATTTTTAAATCCGTAAGTGTTAAAAAAGTATTCATAACAAATGATGTGTAATGATGTTTTATTTTAAGTTTATTTTAACTTTTCTCCATAAAATTAAGTAATGAATTTTAAGACATTGCCCTTTTTCATTTTTGAAGTGATCTCCTTTTAATTAGTAGCAAATTTAGTAGCCAATTATTTAATTATATTATTTCTCAGCATATTTAACCCAGGACTGTCAATAGACTACTTATTTTAGAATTCTTATGAAATATTAAGAGATCTTACTTGGCGCTTATGAAAAATAAGATTTCTTATTTTATCCGATCTTTCTTTTCCTTTGTTTGATTTCTTCTAATTTCATGTTATACTCTGAATCATCGCTATCTGAATCACTAGAACTGAAGTTCTAATTGATAAAGTTTGTTATGGTTTCTTAAAGGAATTGGACCTAATCATTTTGCTAAGGCATAACAGACCCTTTCTTTTATATCTTTGATCCCTTTTTGGCTCCTTGATTAGAAGGCAATTGCTAGTTTTTAATATTAAGTAATATTTACAATTTTTTAGGTAGGCCTTGACTTTGACTAATTTGATGCTTTACTTCTTGGAGTCAATTACATATCGGTGCCTTCCTATTATTTGATTATATATAAAAAATACTTCTTCACTTTACTATTAACTAGGTTATTGACTAGGTAACTGACTAGTTTACTGAGATGGAATTTTCTATGATGCAAATTAGTTATCTTCGGGTTCAATTACAGAGATGTTATATTGAGAAGAGAATTGTTTTTCTTATTAGACTGAAGGTAATTCTAAAGTGTTTTAGGATTAAGCGTGTCGATATTACATTACTTGTTATTATTATGGTTATTGAACTAAATTCTTTTTACTTGATTATTTCTTCAGAGAGGTTTTCTCTGGAATAGGCAATAATTCCTCTTTCTTTTCCAATTACAATTATTGTTCACTTTGTTAGGTTTGCACGAAATTCACAGGTTAACTAGTAGTGATCATAGATCCTAAGGGAGAAACGTTTGAGATTCTTTATTTTGAATTACTTTAAATTGGACCTAATGTACTTAATCTTTTATCTTAAATTCTTTTTTTCATGATTTCAGCGAATTTATGAGTTTAGGTGAGTTAGACAACAAGAGTTTACGATTTTTCAACCATGTTCGTTTTGATGGACTTCAATTTTTAATACTTTTTTTCAATTTTATCATTTATCTTTATACATTTAAGAAATACCTTTTCGTAAATTTCCAATTGATTTTCCAACTCTCCCATTTCTTGATTGGCAAGTTCATTAGCTCTTTCTAACTCAGCTACTTTTTTTTACTTCATAAAATAAGATATAAGTACGTATTATTATAATTACTCTTCTTTTCTATTATTTTCATCCTTAAATGTACTATTAACTAAAATTAAATTAGTTCTAATTTCCTTTTATTTGCTAATGTTTTCTTTCATTGAATTTTAAAATTCATCTAAATAGTCATATAACTCTTTCAATTTAGGTTATTGTCCCTTCTCTATTTGGTGCAATATTTATTGGTATTGTTCTGTAGCTTATTAGATAGCTTCATGTAGTTACAAAAGATGTTCTTCCTCCAATTTGATAGATTCCAAAAGTTCCTCTGTAAACTCTGTTTGAGTAACCTTAGTAGATTTATTTAAGTAAGATATTTCAGTCTAAATTATCTGTTGTCTTCTGTCTCTCAATTCAAATCTACAAATTATTCAAATGCTTACTTAGGAATAGAAATAGTTAGACTCTTCTTCTCTATTGTTTAGATTTCCACTTCCTTTCTTAACTACAAAATCTAATTTAAATCATCTGTATCTGTAGCTCTTTCCTCTAATAATATTTCGATATTGCTGAATGAGGCACTATCATTTAGTATTTTCTGCATTTTCTCTTACTATGTCGGTTATTGTTCTGCATTCTAGAAACTCTTTCTCTTCATTGGCTTAATCACAGGCAATTGATATTATGGGATCTAATGAATCACCAATTGTTTTTATGTTCCAGCCCTCATGATCTTCTTCTTAACTAGCCCCTATTCATACTCTATTTTAGGTTGATATTGGTTGGACATTTAAAATTGTTCATACTGAAACTGCACATTTCTTTAGTACTCATGCAAATCATCAGTTATCTTCTCTATCTAATCAGAATATTGTTTATTTTCAGTTTTCAAATCCTAAATCTCTACTTTCAATGTCTTTATTTAAGAATTCAAATATCGATTATTTTTTTTTAAATATTTTGTATTTCCTTTCAACTTCATCAATCTTTCCATAATTTAATCCATATCTGACTTTTGATTCTTCAAAATCATCAAATATTTGTCAATCTCAATTTGATACGCCTAATGAGTTTTCATTACTTCCTGTAAATGATCCTTCTCTAATGTGTTGTTTTATTCGAGAACTGACTAATATACTGATTAGTTTATCTCTATGTATTGATTCCAAATCTTCTCCAAAAGTACACTATTATACGTTAAGATATACTACCTCTTCTCAATACAATCAAATGAAATCTATCTAATCAACTCCTTCAAACAAAGAGTAAAGATTTACTATAGATCCTCGTACATGTTTGCTGATTGTCCTTGATTTTTCTCTACTGCCTACTCAAGCATTAGGTCAGTCCATTCTGCAAGCATCTGGACATCGTGTCTAATTATTGAATCATTTCCCATACTTGAGGGGTATGCCTCGGTGGATCTTATCTTTGACCACTCTTTTAGTAAGGTTACTGGAAAATTTGGATAAGGGAATGACCTTATCCATTTGCTCTAATGGTAGAACCACCTTAGCTTAAGAGATCTCTATCTTTTCTATTCATATACTGTACTTTTGGATGGATTCCATGGCAATTCCTCTAGTTTTTTAGGGTATCTATATGGATCCTAACTATTCAGTTAACCAAAAAAATCATTTTTATCCATTCTCTTCAATTTGTCTATTTAATCCAGCTGACCATCTCTCAATAGAGGCGACTGATAGTAGGTCTTGAATAATCAGTAAATTCGTACAGACTAAGAAATAGTTTTAGATTTTTCCAATCTTGAACTTAAAGAAGCCTAATTGATTTCAGTTTTGACTCTCTGACTTTAAGATTGGTATTGGGAATATTGCGTATTGATCTTAATAAGCCTTTCAGAATTTTGATTCGGATTCTTTGAAATGAATCCATTCTTGAATTAATGAAATTTAGTCTCTTCCATTTATAAATTAAAATAAATAAATATTTGATAATGCCGATGTTAAAGTATTTTTCCTTCAAAAGTGATCATAAGTACGATTAATTCCAATGATATCTCTCCACATCTACAATTATTGAGAAATTGCCATCCATAAATGAGTATATACTTAATGGAGTCATACACAGAATAACAAGTCAGGTAAAAACACTTCATTGTATTTTAATTAATTTGAATATACACTTCACATTAAGTGATTATATAATTAAATAAATTTTGATTAATTTATTCTAAAGTTGAGATCACAAATTAAAAGATCTTAGAGACACATATATATTATCCAATGAAACTTTGAGGATAGTCCTTGCATTCTGAAGGGATTTGTTTATTATTATTACAATTTTGATTTTTAATTATAATTTAATAATCAAAAAGGCTAATTATATTATTAGAACCTTTTATTCACCGAACCTAATACTTATATTATTAAATTTTACATCAAGTTCCAAATATTATACTAAATATTTCAAGACTTCTTATAAGTTAGATGCTAACTCATTTTGATCCTACTTATAACTAAAACCAATAGAGATATTAATTAAGATATTTAAATTTCAAAGATTTAAACTATGAATTCTTTCCTTTATAAGAAAAAGATAATTGAGAAAAGTCATCGACTGAGATGTGTGTTTCATATTATTGCAATATATATGTATATATATGATGGTATTATTTAGTTATGTGATGTCTTAAAATAAATGAATAAAAATCAAATTTTGTGTTAACATAATTTAACATAATTAATTAATGTTATAATTGGTACCTCATTATCATGTTGAAATGATGAAAAATAACCTAAAAACGAACCAATACTAATTATATGATGCAATAGAGGGGTAACAATACGAAATTGCTCTAAGCATTTTGAATGATCTACATTCAAGATCTACTTGGATTAGTGGAATTTACCTAATAATGAATGGATATGAGTTGGATTAAAATGTCATAAATAAGTTCTTGAAGGTAGTGGAAGAACAAGATGAAATTGAGATGACAGAATATGAGCAATTAGCATTGACTTAGATTTGTCAATAAATAATGAATATTGAAATGATCATACTTTTACACAAATATAACTTGGATGGCTGGATTCAATTATCTCCCAAGATTCATCTGTTTTTGAGGAAATCTATCCATCCATAAGTACCTCAGATATTCATTGAATACTACATTAAATAAAATATAGAATTATTAGAACAACACGAGTAATCTTTTAATGAAGACTTTGTATGGACATTACATGATTTCAGAACATTCTATAAATTGATGCCCCCAAATATTGCCCATCCATATTATAAGCTTATTCAAATTTCTATCTACGTGAGAATGCTTGACTTGGAAAGTGTGCCCTGCCCAATCTCTCAATAAAGCATCCCTATTCAATACTCATCGAAATTAGAAGAGATCCTCAAGAAATTGGCAATTAGCCCACATAAGGATTGCTTGGAATTGTACATATTTTGCTTGATTGAAATTGGGTTGTTAAGAATTGTAATTAGAAATATGAAAAATAATTTAACCTAGGAATAATTAACCTAAATAAGAAAATAGTTTATGTAAGCAGCACTAAACTCTAATTACATCGTGGATATAGAAGTGTTTTAATTTTTAGATAAACTTTAATCATTTGATTAAGAAACCAAAGTAGAAGTGTATAAAAAAAACCCATAATTTTATGAAAATATCGACTCTTTGGATATATTCGATGATGAATCAGTTTTGAATGGACTCCTGCATAATTTCAATACTATAGAGAATCAATAAGTATGAATCAATATCTTTAATTTAGAAAGTCATTTAATAGTTAGTCTAATTCAACTCAATTAATACACTCAAAGCTATCTGGCTATTATATATAGATGGAGCAACTCCTCGTTTAACAAACGATCCCATTCAAGAATTCAAATTGAAGAATTTCAAATGTCTCAATGTATTTTAACAAATTCAATATCAACATAATTACGAGCATTTGATCGAAGCCCTTAAAGTAACAGCCATTTGTATTTGGACTGATAGAGAAATCAAGTAGGAGGAATTAGAGGATAAATATTTGCTGTCCTATCTTAAAAGTTGCATAACAAACGAGAATTGCTCATCATTATTGAAACTGTTGTTTAGTATATCTAATGGAGTTTTTGAAGAAAATCATGATATTCAATAAATATAAATCCAAGTCCCTTATTTCTTAGAACTATTGACTATTTTGCTATTTGAATAAAAGGTAGATGTGAATTAGAAATAATTTTACTTGTAATAATTATTATAGTTAACTTAAAATCTTGAAAATGTGTTGATCATCATGAAAAGCTAATTAGTCGAAAGACTCATATTCTTCCTTAGAATTGAAAGTGTGCATTAAGAGTTAATCATCCAAACATTAATCAATTGTATTAAAGTGAGATTTTCATTGTAATATCTATAAGCAATTGCATAGTTTATGTCACCCTACTCATCCTTGATTATGATACCACATGTTGACGATAAATAAAAGCTAATTTAATATAGAAAGATTGCTTCTATCTTAGGTGTTCCTCCACAATCGATAGAATGTGGATCAACTTAGTAACAAAATTATATTTAAGAACAAATCGCTAACAAAGATCTTTTCTTAAAAAATTCAACTCTCTTACTTTATTGTTTAAACAAAGTGATCTCTATTTAAAATGATTAGTATTATTATTTTACTGGACATGAAAGTGGCATTATTGTAAAGGGAAAAATGTAATTTGAAACCTAAAATAACGTTTTCTCCATTATCATCCAATTTAAAGGTTAACTAAAATAATCAACACTCTTGAATTGGGGAAATTAAGAAATTAGCTTTTCAGTTGCCATTGAAGATCCTTAATTACTCAGTATCAGGTACAAATTCTAAAACACTTTGAAAACTGCAAAATACTCCTTAAAATATTAAGAGAACTTCATTGTGATTAATTTCAATCAAAATAAAGCTTTTTAAGTGAATATCAATGGGAATGATGTTTTGGCAAGACAAGCAGATTAATTTGATAATTTTTAAATACCTGTCCTAAATTTCTTTGCAGTTGGTGCAAAATAGAATGATTTCGATACTCTCAGTGATTCTTTTAGAGGAGAAATGAGACTGCTTTACATTTTAGATTAAAATATCAATGCTGAGGATATGTACATCTTGGAGAAGAAATCATAGAATAATTCAGTTTTATTTTCATAATTACTTAAAATGTAAATCAAAGGTAGAGTTTTGCTATACTTAAATACTCAATCAGAAAAATAAGATTTATAATTCGATGGACTCTTGCACTAAAATAATTAAGTCTTCATTGAAAATTGTTAGTATTTGATGTTAAGAGGAAGAAGGTAGAAACAAACCACAATATCTAAGTTGATGGGTAAGCTGTTTTAATAGAGGAAAAGCTTAAATTCATTGGATGTTTCCAATCAGAATTCTAAAAATGTATTATTCTTAGAAAACACCACTTTGCTTGATGTTATGAAATCTTATGGTAATTTGGATATCCTTTTCTTTCCATTGCACATTTTGAATGACCCTCAATGTGTAGTTAGTGTTTTGTAATTGCTTAACACAATCATTTAAAAGTTTGGTGATGATAATTTTATTTAAAACTATTTGAGATCTGATTCTTAATATAAAGGTATTAAGGTCTTAGGATATTTATTAACCGTTCATATGAAAACATAAGGATGTTCAATTTAGTTATTGCAGTAGATACTCAATTTCTATAATTCTTTATTGCAATGTTAAATAATCCAAGTGTTAAAGTAAGATTGCATGTGTATCTATCATGAATTTGAATTTTGGTAATATTGCTAATATGATATTCTGTTATATCTCTATTCTTATCTATTTGAATAGTTACAAAACAATGAGGAATTATTCACTTATTTCAAGGATTAAGTGCAGATCTTGTATTATATTTTACAAGTCCAACTGATATCTTATGAGGAGAGTAAAGGAGATCAGTAAGCCTATAATTAAACTCGAAAGATGTTGATTAAATGTATATTGTACCTAATGTACAATCCATTCTTTTAAATGCAGTTTAGTAACGATCAAATCCTACCAATACAGATGATAATCAGAGACAAAAAGAATGCCTCTAGTGAAAAATTATAAATATTAAAAAATGAGATTGTTCTGATATTAAATCATTTGACTCTAAAAACAATCAATGACTTAGTAGTGATGTTAGGTTTCATAGTTAGGAAACCTTAGAATACATTAATTTTAGAGTTATTAACAGATATACGATAAGGTAATTAAACTACTCAAAAGGAATCATTATTGGATGTTATGCAAAGTCAATTTGCTTTAAAGATGGAGAATGAGGATACGATTTTATAGGTCATTTTTAAAATAATTTATGGTGTGATCATTGAAATGATCAATCAAAACACTCTAGATGATCAATTATTGGGTCCGTTAATGGATATTTTAGTGAAAGTCCAAGTCCATTAAATCAATTATGAATATAAATTATTGGAACTTCAACAAGCCAAAAACTCTTAGTAATAATAAAAGACCAAAGAATACAGTGCTATAAAGTCATTATTCAATAAAATAAATTACATTCTATTTGAATTAGGCACTAATTTGATTTGTCGGTAATAAACATTTTAAGTATTAATTAATGTATAATATTTATATTTATTTAGATTAGTTATCAAGTTTGGTCTTAAGATAAGAGTTGAATTTAGAAAAAGAAGTATTAAACTTATTGTTATTGCACTTTTCATTTTACAATCTTGAAACCAAATAATTGATAATTGAATTTTTCCTCTAGTCTTAAGAATACAAAGTCTTTATGAATTAATTATGTAACCATAAAGAACTCATGAATTTCATTAGAGAGTTGATTAATATAGAGACTGGCTAAACTCTCATTAACTACATTGTGTTACATCACATAGACAACATAGATTTTTCTGCTAAAAAAATACTAAAACTATTTAATATGATACAATAGCAAAACAATTAATTTATGAAAGTCATATTAACAATTCTGTTGCTCTAAAATAACACAAAAAATAAATAGAATGCGAAATCAGAAATAGCCTTGCTAGATTTATTCATGTTACTGCCAACAGCATTAACATAAAATCAAGACATGATTGTGAGTGATCCAGAATTGTTTGTTAAGGTATTTTATGAATATGTCACTTATTTGGATAAATAAGATATGTTGTATTCATTTTACCTTGATACTGAATTTATAGGATATTATGAGTATGATCCAATACCCTTTTTTAATTTTCAACAAAATGAAGCATCTAAAAAATACATTTATCCGAATGGGGGTGTGATGGGAGTTGTACTCTTCATTTTGTTTTATTCTTTAGAACTTTTGATTTCTAGCAAGGAAGCTAAACAATTATTGGCTATTTGGAAGAAGTTGCTGATAGAAAAATCAAAATCTGAATTTCAACACAGTTCATAAACCTTGATAAATAACGATTAGATTCCTAACTTTCAAATGAAAATAAAGAAAATTAAGATAAAATCATAAAAGTCATCCCTTGTCTAAAAATTTAAACAATCTGTATTAGGTGAATATCAACTAACTCAATATGACAAATATTTTTAGGATTTACATCTATATCACGTATTAAAATTCTAATTTCTGTCTTAACAATATTCATACTCTGAAGAACTCTTTGATATTTTTACATCTATTAAGTTTAAACCTGACAACTTTTTAAATTTCCAAGCACTTTGGTCTATCATTGAATCAAATAACTTGCCAAATATTATTGATCAATTATCCACCAGGATCAATTTAGTATAACTATCGATTTACACATAACCTGAAGAGGTAAACAATAGAGCCTGTTAGATAATTACTTAATTCAATTAATAAAGCCAATAAATATAATCTGCTATTCAATAAAATGGCAAATTGAATAATGATGCTAAGAAATTCTTGGATCTTATTAGTAAGGTGAATTCCCCTTTGAAGTATTTGGAACTATTTAAAGAGTAAGAAGCGATAATTTAAAAGGCTTGTGCTTATCTTAAATTGTATTCATTTAGACAGGTTTAGTTTGCTTAAGAAATAAGCATATTATTAAACATCTATTCATTACAGAATTAAAATGTTGATCAGATGGATAGTTCCTCAATTAATATGAATAATTAATAATCCACACTACAATTAAACTAGAGTCAATAGTAATTATCTGATTTTCCAAAGATATCAACTAATTTGTTCAATTAATACAGATAGGAATTCCTGTAAATTATCTAAAAGTTCGAAAACGAATTAATAATTAAATAACTAATAATTTAATTCAAAGTTAAATTACATTATAAATAAAACACTCACAGAAGAGGATTGTGGTACTTTATGAATTATGGAGATGCCCATTTGTATCATCAACTGAATCATGACAACTTAGAATCATTTTTAGAATTATTGGGAAAAGAAAGATATTCAATAAATAGCTATGAAGATAGTATGAGGAGGAAGATGTTCTTGAAGGTGTTTGCTAAATAGAAAAAAACATATGAACATATACAACTGACTAAAACAGCATAAAGTATATTTAGTGATCTCTATGGTGCATAATAAATCATTCAACAGAAGGATAAGATGGTAAACAATGAAAATCAAAGATTTACTGCAGAATTAATTACATAGAGAGGTTTCTACAGAGGAAAAATAAGAATAACAAATGAATACTTTATGTTCGAGAATTTTGGTTCAGACATTATATTTCAAGATGTTCAGTATAAGTTTTAAAAGGACAGTCTAATAAAGACAGAAAAGCAGAAATTGATTCCGTTGTCTTAGATTAAGGAGGTCTTTCCTAGAAGCTATTTGGCTTAACCAGTGGCCATTGAATTATTCACCAACAATAACAAAACTTATTTGTTTAATCTTTTTGGATAAAGACAAGCAGTGATGAAAGTACTATCGTAGTCTTGCAATGTAATAATGAATCCAACTGAATAATTTAAAAAGAGTGGGATAATAGAGAAATGGAGAAGGGGAGATATTACGAACTTCTAATACTTGATTGAAGTGAATAAGTATGGAGGAAGAACCTATAATGATCTGAATTAGTACCCGATATTCCCATGGGTTATAGCCAATTATGTAGATTTTGATATTTAAAACAAAGATCACTTCAGAAAATTGGATATTCCTATTGGAGCAATCAATCAAAAGAGATTGGAGAACTTCTTAGAAAGATTCAAGCAGGCAAATCCTGAGGATATGAACATGTACTTTATTTATGGAACCCATTATTCTCATAGTGCAATAGTGATGAGTTTTCTAATGAGAATGGAACCATTTGCCTCACTTCATTAAGAGTTACAATCTGGAAGATTTGATAAGGCAGACAGATTGTTCCATTCCTTAGAATCACAGTGGCATTCTGTCACAAATTCAAGCAGCGATGTCAAAGAATTGATACCTGAGTTCTTCTACTTTAGTGAGTTTTTAAAGAATAAAAATAAATTTGATTTAGGATAACTTCAATCTGGGACTGTAGTTAGTGATGTAACATTACCTGAATATATAAATACAAATAGTCCAGAGGAGATGATATTTTTGAATAGATTGGTGTTGGAGAGTGATTATGTGAGTTTCAATTTGCACAATTGGATTGATTTGATATTTGGATACAAAAGTGGAATGAATGCTTAAAAATACAATAATTTATATCATCGATTGACTTATAGCAATTATGTGTAATAACTACTAGAGAAGACGGATGATGAAGTCTTGAAAGAGTAATACATAACTTAAGTGTATTATTATGGATAAACACCTCAATAGTTGTTTAAGAAGGAACATCCAATAAAACAATATTCGAAATTGAATGATCAAAATCCATTATTGTAACTTAAATAAATTACTTTGATGATTAACAAATAGAATATTGAAATTGATCAACTATTCTGTAATGATAAATATTTGGTTTTGATAACAAATGAATAAGAAATTCATGTTTTCAATGTAGAACACAGGATAACAAGTCATAAAATACCAAAGGACTTTGGTAATCAAGAAGTTAAACAATTAAAATTCAATTAAGATAACATTTTCTTGTTATTTGATGATTCTCTTGTAGTTGGTGGATACACTGATAATTCTGTAAAAGTCTATTCTCTTAAAGATCTCAAATTAACATGTTCTGTTTTGTTCCATACCAAAGTTGTCACTTGTTTAGGCAAAAGCTCTACATAATTGTTATGTGGCAGTAGAGACACAAGAATATCAGTTTGGGAATGGACATTGTCACATCAACCAGAATTCATTTTGTATGGACATCAAAACGAAGTGTCAATCATTTAAGTTAATTAGATTTTGCAAATTATTCTAAGTTATGATCTCAAAGGAGACATACTCATACACACAATTAAGGGAGCATTCTTAAAACTAATAGAAACATCCATTAATGATTGTCTTTAAATCAAAATTCATCCTTCGGGATTTATTTTGATTTCTTAATCCAAAAAGTTAATTATCTACACTTTGCAAGGGGAACTATTCCTCTCCAGAGAATTATTAGATCATATCATATCTATTAATGTTCTTAATGAATATTCACCTGAAATCGTAATTATCTTATTATAATTAGTTAATCCTCACATATGATGGCACTATTTTTATTACATCGATTATCTAATTGAAAAAAACAGATGATTTTAATTAGTATTGTCTTAAGAAATACAAATTGGAGGATATGGAAATCAAAATGGAAACCAATTAATTGAGAAAAGTCAAAGAATTAATTAATACCAAAAGTTTAGAATTCTTGACCTCCCAAATTTCATGTGGCTAATTTATACAATGTATCATTCATCCCTAATTATAGTGAATACTCATAGAGTTCTTATTATTGGTTATCAAAATGGACAAATAATATCATTATACGAATAACCAAGAACAACTAGTTTATTATGATTTATATATAAAACATATGTATTTTTAACATCATAGTTTCACTTTAGATTTTAGATGTTATGTGATCTTTTCTACAAATTATTCATCCTCAACTTATAAATGGTCTTTTTTTATTTCCTGAAAGGGCAATTGGGTCAGCTACTTCAAATTGGGCAAGTTAATTTAGAAAATTCTGTTTCGCCAACGGGTTGACCAACTACTCCAATATTTCTTTTTTCTTTTCCCTGAGAAAATCTTTAACTTGAGACATCATCAGTTGTTTAGAGTATTAGTCAAGCTTCTATTGGGTTTCTGCCAGAGTCTAGCCATTATGTGATATTTCTGACGACTATTGGTTTATCTTGATCATAGGATGAATGAACTAAAGATTCTCTATAGCATAATCACTGTTTCTTTTGATAACATACAAAAATATATTACTTTGTTTTGTCAATCAAAGCAATTACTGTGGTGTTTAACAATTTCACTTTTCTATCCCGAGTTGATTTCTTGCCAATTCTCCCTTCCTTCAAATAGACTTACAATATAGCTTTAACAGTAGAAGGTTTCAACTAAGTTTCTTCAGAAACCTATTTATTATTATTATACACTTATTTACTTCCTTCAAAGTCTTTCCATTCTTCGTTAACTCATTTATTATTTGCGTCCTTTGTTCTTGTGAGATTTTCTTATACCTAAAAGTAAAACTCATCCTTACTTCATGTTGCGAGATCCCTTTCTAATTTTTTAGCTACTATTCATTTATTATTTAATTAATAGATAAATTTAGCGATTTCCAAACGATTAAGAATGGTTACAATAATATCTTTTTCAACATTTTAGCATTTTATATAATAAATCCAAGAAGTATTGCCATCCGCTAATATGTCCTCAAATTCATTCTCAATATCAAATTGTTAGAATTAAAAAACAGAGGATGAAATTTGAATTTATATTTTAGTGACAAATTTATTTTAGAATGACATATTGAAATATTAGAAGAATACATAAAAAGGAATTAAAAGCACAATATATTAATATTACAAGAATTAAATTCTTATTCAAAAATTAGAGAATATAAAAATTTCATTAATAAATGCACTCAAATATTTCAAATGCGTATCAGCAGTGTCGTAATTCACAATTCCCTTGTTATTTTTCTTGCTTTGAACCTCCCCTTGCAATAATATTATAAATATTTTTTGATAAAAACTCCTGGATCATTCACCATTCCTCATACTAACACACTTAAATAAGACATTACTTAATAAAGTAAACCCAAAAGATTTATCCAATTAAAATCAACTGTCTGAATATTGAAAGCAAAATCCTATTCCAAGTACAAAATATATGAATCAAAATGAATGCAACATGAATATGCTATCAACAATCCCCACTTTAGAATTAATTGCAATAATTGATGTCCTTGTTAAAGAATGCTGGTGATCGAGTTTATCTAACTTTAATTTTGTAAGGAAAAGTTAAAAAATGTTTTAGATAAATTTTGGATAAATATATGATTGTCTCACACTTTTTACTACTGTCGTTTTGAATTATATAGGGTAAATATTTTTATTTCACATTTTTCACTCTTTGGAGAGCGGAAATAGCTTACATTCTTGTCTGCAAGTCAGAATTAAATATTTAGTTTGACACCAAATTTGTTATTTTGTTTTGATGAGCCCATTTAATGATTCAATCTTATAAGAGAATAAGGGAATAGTAGAGTACATTGAGTTTAATATTATTGATCACTATGATTTAATCATAAATTAAAGATAGAATATTAAAATAAAAATATTTTATTTATTTTATATACTAAATTATGAAAGATTTATTTTCCAAATGAGGTTTAATTTATTGATGGAATGTAACAATCCATATCTTTAAGTTATAAATATAATAAATGTCATGAAATATTTTCTTTGTCTATTATATTGATATACTGACTTCCATATAAATTGATCGTAGTTATTTGAGGATCATTTATCAGTCTAGACTTTTTTATTGAGGAAATCTGAGAGATTTCTGATTATTCCACTTTTGATATAGAGGCTTATATAAATGGCGATATTACTTATATTTCGAATTGAGGGCTTCTTTCTTAGAGGGGATCTTATTGGAGATTATCTAAATATTGAGTTTACTGGAGAACGCTCTCTTGAAGCCAGTATCTATTTAATATGAGATAGATTTGAAAATCTTGGACGATCAATCATGTCAAATAATTAGGATTATTAAGATAAGGTATTTTGGGTATTTAAGTGAGTTAACGATGATTTCTTTTTGATTTACGAAGTACTTGTTGATGAAGCAAATGATGAAGGGTATGAACAATCAGAGTCATTATTGGTTGTATACAAAGAGGGATTTTTCGACTTTATTTGATCTAACAATAACTATTACTATTAAATTTGTGAATCCTTTGATTGTATATCATCATTCTACAGGATAATTATAATAATAATACTTTTGATTAGAGTACTTGTTTTAAATTCAATATCTCTTTTTGTGATTCCTCATATTTCACCTTCCAATAATCAATGTATTATTATTACTCCTCAGTTATTTAAAGTAATAAGGACTTCTAGAGTTGCTTCTATTTTAAATTAACTTTTAATGCGTTTTGTAATTATTATTCTATTTCTTAGTTTTATTTTTAGGCAATCATTAGATTATGATACATTTAATCATCATTGATGGAATTTGAATTGTTCTACAAACTCATTGAATAGATTTCCTCAATTTGATATTGATTTTGAAGAATATTGTTCTGTATTTCAATGAGAGAATTATTAATTTCATGATACTCTTCAATATTACTGTAAATATCATTGTAGATTTTGGTTAAATACAGTTGTTTAGTACTCATTTCAGAATCACTGATATTTGGAAGTATAAGGATCTTTTCTTCACTTATTTATTAATGCAAAGACTTTTGAATCTGCTTTTTTATTTGGGTAGCTCTGCTGCTATACTATAGAGTGTTCAATATTTCATCATATTGGCATTTATTTTATTATATGCAAGAAATCATTATAGTTCTAGTATTGCCACCTAAGGAATCTTGCAACAATCTGGTTAATTTTGAGTTTCTATATGGAATGTATTAATTTTTCTTTGATTTATCAGATAAGATAGTCAAGCAATTGCTCAAGGCCAAAAGAGATCTGTTGATATTGGAACCTTCCTATTGGTTCTTGCTCTTTTGGTCTTAATAAACCCTTTCTGACCCTGCTAGATCAACAATAAAGAGCTTCGGTGTAATAGTTTACCTAATGATAGGAGATCTAAGTCAATACCCTTCGAAACAATAGGATAGGTTAAATTAAATTAATGCATGTGATCTTGATGAATAAACATTGTATATGGTTTAAGCCAAACTTCTATTTTAATTTGCAATGTTTATCCCTTCTTTCACCTAATGGATTATAATACAAAACAATACATCATTTATGCTGTTAATTTTAATTGCTTGTAATCCTTAAATGTATGACCCCTTTTAATTGTCTTACATAATCATCAAAGGTTTTGGTTGGTCTGACATCAGATCTCTTATGGTTTCATTGTAGACTTCGATAAAGCTCATTTCCATTTAGACATTAGCATCTGGACTAATTAATAATATTGAGCTAGCTCACCTCATATACTTCATTCTGTTCACCAGATAATTGATGCATTTAAATGACAAGCCTTCATCCTTTTCGTTTCCAAAGATTGTATGAGTTTTACCTGAACCTGTTATACCGTATGCTAAAATTGTCGTGTTGTAACCTTCAACAAAGTGATCGAGATTATGCTGTTATTTTAATATATATATACTCTTAATGATTGATCAAAAATATCCTCATTATTTTGGACTCCACTGAATATCTTATCGAAAACAAAGGATTTACCACTTTTACCATCTTTTCTAATTACAATTCTATTGTCATTCAAATCCTCAATCAAAGTTTCTGTGCTAAACTAATAAGCTTGCAGTTTTTACCAGTTCTCCAATAAAGGTTTGATTCTCAAGTATACTTGAAATGGTTAATTAGACATTTTTATTAGCAGTTAAATTAAAATATTTATTCTTAAAAATTGATATTATTTTCAGACTAATTTTCAATTTATGCTTTTCAAACAATTTACTAAATTATTCTCATCACATCCCATATGGATAATAAACATCTTGCTTTTAAAATTCTAATTTTCATAATTATTTTTTATTTATTTAATATGAATTTAGCATAATAATAAACATAAGAAGAAAATCCATTTCAATTTGAGTTGGATTCTAAAAAGTTTCTCTAAAAGCTAGAAAGAGAACGTAATTCAGGATATAATGACGACGATGAAGAACAAAAGCAAGTTCCGCATACTTAAAAATTATACCAAACTAGTGCCAAGTCAACAAGATTTGGACTGTTATAAAAATTAGAAGATCAAAGTATAAATTGACTTCTATTCCAAATAGCTAATAAATTAGCGTAAGAGAGAGATGAGATGTTTGTCAACGAAGCCAAAATGAGAGATCCTAATTAACCTTAGAAAATTGATGAAATAGCTTAACACATCAAACATTTCAATCCAAAATTGATGGAATACAGAGATGACGAAGCTAGGAAAACTATCTATGGAAAAGAAGATAAAAAGAAGGATTAGGAGTTGTAGGAAATGAAAAAGAAAAAATATCGAATTAAATCAATTTTAAGAGAAAAGAGAGAAACAATCACAGATTTCATCGAAAAGAAACGAGAAATCTGTTTGGCTAATTTAAATATTATGACTAAGAAGGAAGAAACCGAAAGACTTGAGGATTTTATAAAGAATGAATAAGAATCATTAAGAGCAAGGAGATTATACTTTAAAAACGATTGTGAATTAGTGAAAAAGTTCATGAATGAAGTTAAATACTAGGCAGATTAAGCTGCATTTTAAGCAGATAGAGAAGCAAAAAAGAAAGATGAAGTCAAAACTGAAGTTGCCAAAATATTAGCTCAAATTGATAGATTGAAGTTATAAAAGACAAAATATGGAGAGGAATTTGAAAAATTAGATAAATACAGATAATTTTTAGAAAAAATAAAAGTAATTCTAAGTCATATAGTGAATTTAGGATACATACAAAACGAAGTTTTCAGAATTTGAGAAGAAAGACATTAACTTGTTTTCAAATCAATAAAATGAATAGAAGAACTAATTCTTTGTTACTGGAGTAGATTAGAGGGAAGAATAAAAATAAACTTAGGAGTAAATAGAAGCAGAAAGACAGTAAGAAAGAATGGCTGATTTGGTAATTGAGATCCTTAACAATATTGAAGAGGGCAATTTGAGAAATATATAAAATTAAAGGGATGCTGAAGAAGATATTGAATAGAAGAAGAGGGAATTGGAAAAATTGGAATAAAAATTAAAAAATGAATAGGATGAACATTTAGAGATGTTGAAAGCAGAAGAAAGAAAATTGAAAGCATAATTGAAAATACAAAATTAATTGAAGGATTAGGAAAAGGTAGATCAAACAAAATTATAATTTGCAGAAGGGGAAGACTTAGATATGGATAAAATTGGAAAGAAAATCATTGAAATATAATAGGAAGCAACTAAAAATTAGGATATTATGGGAAAGAGATTGTAGATTGACTCAAAAGTAATTAAATAAGTTATTAATGTAATTTAAACTGAAATATATAGCAATTAGAAAAAATAGTAATTGACTTATCAGAATCTAAATTACAATTCTTGTTAAGATCAAAAACTGACTTTATTGAAGCAGAGAAGAAAATCAAGAAGGAAAAACAGCAATAAAGGTTAAATAATCAGAAGGATGAGGAAAAGAAGAAATAAATTATGGAGAGGAGAAACAAAAAAGAAGAACATTTGCAGAAATTTTATAAGGGAAGACATGACATGAAAAGGAATTATAAATAGGAAAAGCCTGTAGTTGAAACAGAGGAAACAGAAACAGATCAAAATGATGATGAAAAGTATTTAAGGGAATCTTATGAATTGGTTTATGTGCCTCCTTAGTAAAAATCTCATAATTAATAATAATCAAATGAATTAAACATAAAGTAGAATGAGAGATAATAATGAATTAATATTTATATAAATAAATTTACAAATATGGCATAGCCAAGTAAGAGGAAGTAATCAAGATCTTTTGAAGACAGCGAAGTAGCAATTTTAACATAAGTTATAGTATAGGGGGAAGCTGTTTAGGGAAGGTGGACTAAGGATGAACATTAAAGATTTGTAGAAGCTTTGAGCATACATGGGAAAAACTGGAAAAAAGTTGAAGAACATGTTGGTACTAGGAGTGGTGCCCAAATTAGGTATTTTCATATTGTGATTCAAGATCTCATGCATAAAAGTTTTTCAATAGATTAGAGAAAGAATTTAACAAATAATTTAATGGCCTTAAGAGTTCAGAGATTAAACAGATTTTTGAAAATAATATCCAACATTATTCAGAAGGTGATGTGACATAAAAAAGACAAAGGACTGGTTCTATCAATGGTAACACACTATCCTCTATTTTTATATTAGATATTTCAGAGGACGACAATTAAGGAAACTTAGAGTCTATGTAGATTGAATCAAATCAGCTATAACTGCAACACCAGTTATAATAGGTGAAGATGCAATTACAACAGGGTATTCTAGATCTAAATCTGCCTGATTCTTGTTATCATTAGAATGCCAAGGATTAAGTCACCAAATATCAATAATAGTAGAATAAGTTGCAAAAGAAAATGCAAGATGTTGTTGATCGAAACTACTCAGAGGAATTAATTAAAGAAATTTGTGAATTACACAAAGAGAAAGACTAGATTATTGCTATTCAATAAATTTAAAATGCTTATTAATCCATAGCTGAAGTAAATCAACTTGAATAATAACAATCCTTAAGATAGTAGCAACCTCAACAAACTCAACCTGAACACTAATAGACCTAAAAGAACAGTAACTAACTCAATGAGGAATCTAGACCTGGAACTGACGAGTCATTCTTTCACTTTATAATGTATTTATTGTTTATTAGCAGTAGGGCAAGAAATTAAAAGTATATCAATAATAGGAAATTGAGCTTATCTGATTTGATTGAAGTACCTAAGTAAGATGAGAAAGCATAAGAATCAGAATTGTTGGAGTAAAAATAACAATAATAATAAGAGAATGAAGGATAAAGAAGCAGAAAATAATCATTTACTTTTTATAACGATTAGGTTGAAGATAACGAACTAAGGTATTAGACACTCAAAAAAAACAAGAAAGAATAATGAATAACTATTTTATATAGTTAATTAAATATTTTTTTAATAATGTCATAAATCTCTAACGTTTCTAATCGTCAATTTTATACTCCCGATACTTCCAAACATTAAGATTAATTCAAAAGTGCTGAAGATAGGAAGAGTGCTCCTTTTGATGAAAAGAGTATTACACCTAAAAGCGATGTATATTCAAACACTTTTAAATAATTCTAATTAGAAAATATTAATGATTCCAAAGATTAAATACCAATTAGCAATAATGAATTTGTTGCTCAATGGGGAAATATACAATAGTAGGAAGATTCCTCCTAAGCTTCTAAAGTTTGTGATCTTGATGACTTTCCTGATTAAAATGAAAACTCCCCTTCCAATAGCGATGAAGCTGGATTAGATTCCTAAAGAGAATAAGAGAAATATTTTGGGTAAGTTGAATAACCTGAAAGAAAATAATCAAGAGATATGACTGATTTTGAAGATTTGATGAATGTTAACAATTCTTAAAATGCTTCTTCCTCCAGTAACTAATTCTAGGTTATGGACCCATCTGAAAGAATAAAATACTAAAACATTGATTAATTACCTTTAAATCAGTTGGAAAGAAATATGTTAATAAAAGCCAAAGAAATTTAACCTGTAAATCAGAACTACCCCTTCTTGAATGATCAGTCTCCTTCTACAGGAAAAATATCAGGAATGGCTTTCACATTCAATTTTCCTAATCAATTTTAGAATGAAGGAATTTAAAATATGTTCAATTAGCCTCCCTCCTTTCCTATAAGTTAAGAACTTCCCACTCCTGTAGCAGTCTAAAACCAAATTGCAAATCAATTTTACCCAGGAACTACTTTAAATAACTAGATAAATCAGTCTATATCATCAAAAGGCTCCTCTTAAATTCAAAATTTTGAAGATCTAACAAATTATAAAAATCAATCTTAACCCTAATAGTTAGACAACAGTTAAAATTTAAATTTCCATAAAATTAATTCTATTCCAGTTCAATAAAATATATTTGAATAACCTTAAGCTCTACCAATTGACAAGTTCCTTATTGGTGATATACCTATGTCTTCTAGTTCCTCTTAAAATAGAAAATAATAATAAGTATTTCAACCAGAACTTTAAGTTAACCCTATTATTGTAACATAATAATAAGAGTAAGTATAAGTATAGTAACCTTCTAATATTTTTCCTATTTAATCCTTAGAGATTGCGTAAAACAACCAAGAATTCAATTTTAGTTAAGATTTAGAAAAATAATTCTAATTGAATACTGATGCTATCCATCCTAAGTTTGAAATTCATGGAGAGGATTCAGAAGTAATCTGGGAGTAAGATAACAATTTTAAATAATTTGATTAATTTCCAAATTAAACATCTAGTAATATATTTCAAGAAAGGCAATAAGCCAATTAACTGTAAGACTTCATGAAAGATTTTGAGCCAAAACCAGAAATACAGAAAAAAAATGAATTTAATATAAAGGAAAGTCCTAAAGAAAGCCCCAAAGACTAAGAATTTTAATTATAGAAACAAACCTACCAATAAATTAATTTCTTATAATAACATTCTTAATAATAGTCATAAAAATCAATAAATTAAGAGAATTTCTTCTAATAATATAAAGAAGTTCAGCCAAACTTTCCTGCTCAAGTTGATACTTCAGAAATCAATTAATCGTCAAGGGAGTAAACCCCTAAGAATTAGCCCACTCAAATTTAAGTGTAAAACTAAAACAATTCAATATCATCGCATAAATCAAACTCAACTCAAAATAAAAATAATGGCTTTCAACCATCCTAATAATTGTATCAAAAAGAATTGTATGATGATTGGTTTAAAAAAGAAGATAGTAGTAGAAGAATGAGTTAAAATTCCAAATCTTCTGCTAAAGAATCATAACATAAAGTTGAGGAACTCTTTTAAGATTATGATAATAATAGTATTTGGTAGAAACATTTAGAAAATCAACCAGGAATTTAAAAAGAATCCTAAGATTTTATTTAGCAACAGCAATAATAATAATAATTTACATAATTACAATAGTAGTAATACTAATAATAGTAGTAATAGTAATACCAATAATATTAAAACTAGCAATAACAATAACAATAATACTAATAACAATAATAAATTGAATAAGAATAGTTACAATAGAACTTATTGCTGTAATAACAAAAATAATAGCAGTTATAAAATGAATAAGAACAGTTTTAATAGAATTTATTATTGTAATAACAAAAACAACAGCAGATATAATAACAATTATAGTTATAACAATAGTAATAATAGTAATAGTAGCAATAATAATAATAGTAATAGTTGTAATAATAAGAAAAATACTAATAATAATAAAAGGAACAATAGGAATAATAATACATATATTCTTAATAGTAATTGTAAGAGAAATAAGAAAAAGAATAATAATAATAATAATAATTATAATATCAATTATAATAATAATAGCAATAATATGTATAAGAGAAATAATCAAAAGAATAATAAGAATTGCAATACTTATACTTATAACAGAAAAACCAAGGGAAGTAAGAAAATGAATAACAATACTCATATTAACAATAATTATTATAATAATAACAATAATCACAAATCTCCTAATAATAACTAAAAGAACAATAACAATTCTTATAATCATAACAGCAACAACTAGAGAAATAAGAAAAATAAGAAAAATAAGAAAAAGAATAATAATTATTATATTAATAATCCCAACAATAGTAAATTCAATAATACTAACAATAACAATAAATATAACTATAGGAATAATAATAACAATAATAATAATAGCAATAACAATTACAGTAATAATAACAACAACAATAATAATAATAATATTAATAATAACAATTATAAGAATAGCAGTAATAAATACTAGCCCAATAATTCTCTTCTAACATAGTTAAATTGCCTGCTTAATAATAATAAGAACAATAAATAACCCCAAGAAATCAAGGTACGAATTCAAATTAATAGTTAATTGAGAATTCTCAATAAAATGTAACTCCTAATCAATCTCCCCAATTTTTTTCAATTAATAATTCTTCAAGTTCAGTGAATGAAAAAAAGAAAAATAATCCATTTAATAAAGAGGAAGCTGAAATTATAATAGATCCAAAATGGGAACAGGATTTGCCTTAATTTGATTCATAATAATTTGAAATAAAGCCTGAGCTAAAAAAAAACCTGGATACAATTGTTGAAATGCAAGAAGAATCTCTTACTTAGAGTTATGCAGTACAAAACAGGAACTCAGCTTTGTATTAGGATAATACTATAACAGAGTATTAAGACAAATCGATTGAAGAATCAAAAGTAATTCAACCTTTCTTAAAAATTTAATCTTAAGAGATCCTATCTGCATAAAAAGGAATTGTAAGAGAGAGCAAGGAGAGTAATTAAGATGCAATAAATCCTTAATAGTTGGTTGAATAATTAATGCCAGGTTTACATGATGTTATAAGAAAATCGTTCTAATAAAATATAGAAAGTTAATTGTAATAATTAGCTACTTAATTTTAACAAAAATTGTAAGATGATGAATAAGAAAACTTTGATATTGATAAAATTAGTTCAAAAGTGTTTATGATAGAGAATTTGGTTTAGGGATATGGCAAAAAGCTAGATTAAATATCAGAAATGCTAAATAAAGAGAAAGAAAATTAAGATTCATAAAAAATACAAGACTAAAATACTTAAAGTAAGGCTGGTTTTCTTTAGGATTCTTAATAACCACTTTAAAAATAATAAAAATAAATATGCTCACCATTTGAATTAAATTTAGAAGATCACTTTGAAGAATCTCCTATATAGAATTATTAAAATTAAAATTAGAGTTAGAACAATTCAAAATTAAGGGTTGCTTAATCAAATCTAGTATACACTTCTCAATAAAAAGGCTTTATTCCTTATTAGACGTTACATTAAACATAATCAAAATACATAAATGAAAGTCAAATAAGAGAAGACTTCTAGGAGGATAAATTAAGAATATTCTAAACAAATTATCAATTTTAAAAGTAGTCACTTAAAGGGTTATAGGAATTCGAGATTCAAAATTTTAGAAAATAGTGTTTATGTGAGTAGACAACACTTCTAGATACATATGAATTGATAGTTACGTTAACATCTGAAAAATATGAAAGTGATGATCTTACAGGTTATAAAATAATAATTTCTTTAAAAAATAAAGCTCAATATGATATCTAAAACTTAATAGTCTTATTTAATTCCAATAAAAGTATAATTTAAATATTATATTGTAGTAAAGGATGAATATCATGTAAAACCTGAAAAAATTAGTTAATCTTATTTAAACCCTGGAGATATCATTAGATAAGAGATAACATTTAAATATTATGACCTTTAAAGCATGTATTTAAATTGCTTCATTAAATACACAATTAATAATTTTAAGATGGGATACAATTTTAATAAAATATCTTAAAGTCAAGGACTATAAGGCACATAAGATTATTCAAACTTGTATCTTTCTTAGATGAATAGTAGAAATGTGATTTAAGAGTAAATATTTATATTATTATTAGGGTTGGATAATTTAAGAGGAACTTTCAATTTTGCATAGCCAGGCCAGCAAATAAGTTCTTTGTTTATAATTTTATTACCAGTGAAGAAATAAATGAATGCGAAATGAAATGTAGAAGTGAGTAGTTTTATTTGAGATCTCTGGATGAGCTTATAATATTTCATCCTTGGTTAATACAAATAGACCAATTTACTTTGGGAGGGAAAGTGTTTATTTAATTGAAAAACAGTGGCTATGAATTTGTGATAAAAGTAGTTAACAAAAACCAAAAGGGAGTCATCTTAATGAATGGAATGAACATGGATTAGAAATTAACCGAACATTTTCTCAGTTTCTTTGCCTTTTTATTTAGTAAATTATATTGATCTTATCTAAATAATTGTAATATCACCCATTTATATATTATCATAATATTTTGCCAACATGTATTTTGTATCCAAATTTGTTCAACTCTCTATTAATAATTTTGGCTGCATAAGGCAATCTATAGAAGGGAATTTGTGGAAACAAATGATGTTCTGTTTAAAATTACATTCCTCCCATCAACAAATTAGATAACCAATCTAAGATTTAATTAAATAGACATTACCAGTCCAATCATAATTTCTAGATGTGATAATTTAATGTTCAATAAAAGGCTTGTCAATTTTATTAAAGAACTTATATTCTCTTTCGTGATTCCCTATCAAAATGCAGGCGCTAAAGAATCCTGCAATATATTATGCAACAACATAAATCCATATTTTTTGTTAGAATACGATTATTTGATGTATTAGTATATAGATGATGTCAATCTTGTTGTATGATGCAAGAAAAGAATCAAATTTCCATCTAAAAATTATATATTTCTTTTATACTTCAAATAAAGGAATCCAAATTACCATTTTTGATATACGTGATTAATATCATCGTCTTTACCTATTCTATTTGTGAAGATATGATGGTTATTGTGTTTGAATTGCCACCAATCAGCAGAAAAACCATGAATAATTCCATAAGGAATAGATAGTTTATACAACAAAGGATTTCGGTTGTGGTTTGTTGAATGTCCTTACCATCTAACGATATATTGTAAATCTTACCCAGCCACTATTTAAGTCAAAGCAATAGTAGGTATTGCTATATACCATTCACTAGTAACCCCTAAATACAAGCCTAGACTCAACCCAATAAAAAGGAGAAGTTCAATTGTCCAATCAGGCTCAAAAAGGTTTTTTACTTACTTTTTGATGTGAGTATATTGTTTGCTTTCTTCAGATTCCTTAATATTAGACCTCACAACTTTTTAGGATTTTAATATTTTCAAAGCTCGTTTGGAGTGTAGGCACCTAAAATTTCAATAAATTTAGTTAATTACCTGAAATATTCTGTAATATCTTCTTTCTCATCCTTCATCTTTTCAAAAAAGGATTTGCCGGCTGGATGTTTGGGAACATATTCGGTCACATCGTATTCTTTGTTTTTGTATATGAATCTGAAAACCTTTATGATTAATGAATAGCGTATACATCCTTATTTTCAACAGATTAAACACTTTGGCTACTTGGTTCTGGTAATGGTGCCATTTGATATTCTAACAAATTAATAATATCTTTATTAAATTTGATAAATATTTCACATTAATTTTAGTATAAATACTGCCAATTAAAAATATTATTAAATTATCACCCCTTGATAGATAATGTTTCTATTTAATTAAATTCACAAATTCTTTATACATCACTTTTATCTCTAAATGCAACATAATTCTTTATTATCTATAGATCCAAATTTTTCATTTTACATTAATTAATTGAGGATTTTTAATTTTTTTTATTATTCTATTGATTTACTATTAAATCCTAATTATTATTTTTCTATGAATAACTTAAAAGACAAGGAAACCAAAAAAATCGATTTAAATTTCGCTCTCATAGATTATGAGTCATCATCTGAGGCAAACGGTGAAGTAAATAAAGACCCTATGTCTATAATAAAAAAATTACATAAACAAATGTTTTAGGATTAGACCTAGGATGTAGTAGTTGGATATGTGAATACATATAACAAAGATAACCTAATTACAGAATTACCTTATTTATTGTAATAAATGGAATACAAGCAAATATATAATTAAATAAGATAATAAGTTTTAGTCATTTTTCACTATATTGGAGGTGCTACAGAAACTGTGCCAATTACATTAATTAAAAAGGCCAGAAATAGATATGGACAAAACCCAATAGAAGCAAATTAACCAAAAGATTATTACGTGTCGACTAATATGGATTTGAAATAAGTTAGAAGGAACTATTAGGAGACAGTCTAATCAGAAGCAGAGCCCTTTAAGATTAAGGAAGATATTCAAAATGATGAAATCAATAAATTATAGTATTTGAATCATTTAATTTAGTTACTTATGCTTGAAGGAGTGTGAAGCTAAACATTTAAGGTGCATATTAATCCAAATCAATAAAGTGAATTAGAAACTATTTACAGACTAAAGAATATCAGCTAGAATATTTTAAATTTTAATCAGATGGTCAGATGTTCAGAATGAATAGAGTGAAGAAAGTCTAAAAGTAAAGAGCTAATGAGTTTTTAGTTTTGAATAATGAAATATAATAATTAAATTTGCAATAAATGATAATGAAATAGCAATCTATTTCTACTAATACAACTCTGGGTTCTTAGTTTTTTAAGGTTTATTTTAAAATTCATTACCACACTCAACCTGGCAAAGCAATATACATAGTTGGAGACAATAAATAATTTGGAAATTGGAATCCAATAAAAGGAATGCGCTTATAATGGAACGAAGTAAGAAATACTTAGATATATACGATAAGAATGATGAGTGGACAATCTGCATTGGGGTTGATCGATCTCAATATTAGAAAATTGAATATAAGTTTATAGTGAATAACTTCGATAATCCGACCTTGTAGGATCCGATTTGGGAACCAGGGGAAAATAGAGTTATCACCACTCATATGATTTAAAATGAGACCAAATCAGAATATTTTAATTGTATTTAATAAATAAATATCAAAGGTGAATATTGGGGCTATAGAACAATCAAATTGAAGTTAAATTACAATTTAGCTTAAAAATAAAGAATGATGGTAATTGGCTCTATAGAATAATTAGGTCAATGGAGTCATCCTGTATTAATGAAACCCTAATAAAAGATAGATATATGTAGTTTTCATTCTTATTTAAGTGAATGACGAGCCAGTTTAGTAATGGTCTATTTCCTTTATTGTGGATCCTATGAATTTTTCATTTAGATACTTTTATGTAATTAGAAATGATGAGAATGGATCAATGATATGGGAGAGAGGTAATGGACGATATCTGAAATCAAGTGATTTAAGATCATTTAGATAAGTTCAAACTGTGTATGCTAAATCTCCTATCAGAATTAAAACTTAGTTATTGGCAGCATGTTAAAATTAGAGATTATAAAAATTAAAAAATGGTTCATTTTGTTCTGATAAGCAACTAAAGATTAATAAAGAAACTAGTATAGGTTATTCTTTCTCAGATAAGGAACCTTCTTTCTTTTATTATGAGTCGTTTGGAAGACTTAATAAATTGGATTGGAATTTTGTAGTCTAATTTGCTATCACACAAATCAATGAAAATATTATTATTGGACCTTATCCTTAGAATGAATAGGATATACTAGTTTTAAAATCTCAAGGAATTAAGGCTGTCTTAAATCTACAGACAAGATTAGATATTTATCATCGAGGAGTGGATTGGGATGAAATACAAAATAGCTATAAAAAAAATGACATTATAATGAAGAATTTTGAAATTTTTGATATGGATCCAATAGATTTTGAAAGAAAAGCATTTAAAGCTGTGTAACTATTGAAAAAATTAATCAATAACTATGAATTTGTTTACGTTCATTGTACATCAGGAATTGGAAGAGCTCCCTCCCTTGTGGTATTATATTTATCCACAGTATTACAAATTCCATTAAATGAAGCAATTTCATTTGTAAAAAAAAAAAGAGAGCATTTCTACATTAATCATAGTAATAAATCTAAACTTATCATAGATATGTTGAGAAAATCATTACAAAAAACTGAAATATTTAATAATGGTGAAGGATATGAAGAAATCTCAGTATTCAATTAATATTAAATTGGAAGCCTACAAAAAATTTATGAATAGAAATTTGATTATAATTTACTTTATTGAAGGAGTTGTTTAAAGTAAATGATTTTATATTTTTTGCATGATTAGATTATAAATCTAGTTTATGGTTATACAATTTATGTTTTTAACAATAAATAATAATCAAACATATTCTAGTTAAAATAATAATAATTTTTCTAGGATCTAAGATTTTTTTAAGAAATAATCAAATGAAAAAAAGAGGTTGTTTTAAAAATAACACTTTTTTTTGAATAGGCAAATATATTATCTGAATTAGTTTAAAATATTAATTGTATGTAACATAGCCTCTATTTGAAATTGTCAGAATTTACTTATTTCTTTTTAAAGATAAGTCTTAAACCAAATAAAAAGAAACTTATTGATCTAGTCTTCCTTTAAGTCTTAAGCTAAACTTACTATTAAAATTAATTAAAATGTTTAAAACGTAATATAAACATGTATAACAAATTTCAATTCAAAACTCTATTGTCCAAAATAGCTTTCATAATAACTGAGAAGCATCCAAAATGAGCAATATTTCTTTTTTATTTTACAATCATAAATCCATTTTTATTTACTAGGTATGAACATTTTTCAATTTGGTTTCTAAATATTCCATCCTAATTTTAGTTAATTTTTTATTCTAGATTATTTTATAATTAACAATTCCGATTAAATTCAGTCACTTTAAAATTCTTTGGATTTCATAGTACCACTTTATATCATCTTTTATGGATTCAAGTAAATTTCTGATTAAGTTTTAAATTAAACTTAAATCAAATTGTTATTTATTTATTTATTTAATGAAAACATCTCAGAACTGATATTCATATTTCAAAGCGCATCTATTCTGAAATCTTCAAAGTCAAGAATTTCTTTGAATATAGAATATAAGTTTGTTAAATAAAAAAATCTAAATATTAGACAGAATTGCATGGACCATGTAGTATAATAATCTTTTTTAATATTTTCCAATGTAAATTTATTGTCATATTAAACTAATTAATATTTTTTAGTTTAATTTTACAAATATAGATTATTTCAAAGACTTATATATTTTTGATTATATTTTGTGAAAAATTGTGATTTAAATTACGAGTAACAAAGAGCCAAAGTGCAAAATTTATACCTGATTTTAAACATCTATCATTTCGCTGGATAATAACAATAATTAATAATTAAAATATGTAAAACCAAAAGTAATTCCCGTGCAAAATAGGAGATCAAAATTTTACAATAGAATTATCTACATCTTCTTTGGATCTTATTAATTAGGAATAAAGAATTTCCTTTAAACTTTCACTAAAACTTATTATCACTTGGGTATTTTATGGAGATAAAATAATTGGGTTTAAAGTTGAGAATCTAGAGGTAGAAGGTACAACAGAAGATATGTCTAAGTTAAAAATGTCCTTGGGTTGTCTTGCAACATTTAAAGGAATTTTAAAATTTTATACTTTTCAATAAACTATTTACCTAAACTAGAACAATACCACTAAAGTATTAAGCTATTTGAATTTAGGTTTGTTAACTTATAAGTAATCGTAATTATAGAATCTATGCTTGTAAGTGCTACAAGAAATGTAATCGTTCAATTGAATCCATTCATGAAGAAATAAATTTAATACTAAAACTGTAAGGTCATAAGTTTATTCCAATGATTTACGAAGTGTATGAATCGAATTCCTGTGTATATTTGATAATGGAACATTTATATAGGAATTTTGACAATGACTTTACTGATGAAGAGATTAAAATAATTGTTTACGTATATTTCATAATTAACGAAGAATTTGCTGTTATCAATCAAAAAACTAGAAAAACTATTGATAGCCCATAAAAGTATTTCAAGGTCTCATATTATGTTTGATGAGGACAATTAATTAAAACTAATTGGATTTAGTAATGCAGTTATTCAAAAAACAACAAATCATGAATTTGAGCTGGACATTTTTAAAGTGGGTACTTTAATGTATAAATTGTACTAATTATTATGTAAAATTAGCTACAAAAAAAATATGTAAGGCGATTAAGACTAATTTCCTGAAATTCCAGATTTTGGAAGTGATCTTTTGAAAAATCTCCTTGAAAACTAGTCTTACTATAGATTTAATATGGATGCAGCCTTATAACATCGATACTTCAATTCTTTAAGCGGAGATGGAATTTATAAAGGTATTTATCCAAACATATTTAGAAATTTATTCAATGAATCCCAAATTTAAGGATAAGATCGAAGAATCCTAGTCTTACTAAACTAAGAATTTTAACACTCTATTATCTTTAACAAAATAATAATAATATTTTTAAGTAGATATGTCGACAGAACTCTAAAACTGATTTTATATTTTTTTTTAGTTTATTTAACTATTAAATTTAGATATTGATCTTCCAACGCAAATGCTATTTGAAGCCAACCAGATATTTCATAACTTTGTTAAACTATAAATTAGAAATTTTAACTATTTTGATATTTATATGGTAACACTTTTATTGTTTCAATTTTTAATTATTTACAATATAGTATAAAAATATATTTATCGCATTTATTGCATGCATAAATAGTACGGTAATTACATTTCCATATCTTTGATACGTGATTTTTCTTTTATCAACTGTGTCTTAATTAAACAAAATTTTGAAGATTAAACCAAATTGGGAATATAATAATAATTTAATTTATGGTAGTAAATTGAATTAAAAAAAAAATAATCTTTAACAAAGTTTAGGTAATTTACAGAACACAAGTTAACAGTTGAATTATACAATATCATAAATTCCCTAAAAATGTATATTATTAAGATCGTAAATTTATAATCATAGTTTTAAATTTCTTATGAATATTATAATTTATTGCTCAATCCTGTTTGAGGATAGTATTTATAGGATTTCAGTCGACTTCTATTAAATTCATAATAACTTTTTTTTAGTAGCTTATAAATCTTATCAATTAAAGAAGAAAAATCTAATATAATAGTAAGAATATAATTTATTTGTTTAAAATACTAATATTATTTTAGGGTTCGTAAATATTGACCTATTCCATTTTCAATGAGATCTCTTGGGATTGAGAATATAAGAATGATTAAATCAACTTCTATAGTATTTTACTCAATAGGTACTCTAAACGATAGTTTTTTAATAAGTCAAAGGTAAAAAAATCAGTTAGACCCATTTATATTCTATTAATTTAAAAAACCTATTTTTTTTCTTTATGGAATGATATTAATCAATCTTAATTTCTATAATTAATTATTAAATATTCTCAAATTTATTTACTCCTAAAAATAAGAATTTTATATTAGATAAATTTATTAATATCATAATCTAAATCCAGATTAATAACTCCCATTCGGTTATGTTTGCTTAATATATTGTGTATCACCCTATTTTAATAACAACCCTTTTGGAATAAACTCTCCTACTTATTATAAATGTTCCTGTAAGATTTTATTCTTCTCCTCCTCTATTACTTGTTATTTATAGACTTCTTCTCTTCTTTATCTTTCTAATTATTCCATCTCTTTTTATTTTTCCATTTAAAACAATTGTAATCTTTGTTGCCATAATCTCTCAACTTCTTTTTTATGCTCCATTTCTTTCATTCTTCTTTTCTATTATCCCAATTATTCAAGTTTATCATCTTCAGCAAATTTTTTCATCATTTGATCTCTAAAATCTCTTTCTAATTATTATTCTTCTTCTTTCTGCCTTTACTTTCTTATTCTGGCTTCTTATTCAGCTTATTGCATTTCTCTTTTCTAAAATTCTCTTTTATTTGCTTCATCAATATCCTTTTATCTCATCTAAGCATCATATTATTCTTAATAAAGCTAGAATCTTAATTCTGTTAACAATTCTGCCTCTTACTTTCTTCTCTCTTCCTCTTCCTTCAATTTTTAGAAGATTTTATCTCTACACTATATCCAAAACAATACTTAGCTGCATTTTCTTCTTGTTTCTTTACTTTTATTTCATAAGCCTGTCTATCTTTCTCTTTTATGAAATCTAAGTATTTTTAATTTTCATCCCTTTCTCTTTGTTTCATTCTTTGGATAAGTTCTGCTTTTTCCCTTAATGCTACCTGCATATCAGAAAAAGCTATTTTTTTTTTTTTGGCAGAATCTTCCAAAAATTTTCTATCTTCTTCAATTAATTAATGAATAACTCTATTCACTTGATCCTTTTCATAAATATATTATTCTTTTGCTTCATCTCTCAATTATTCATGTTCTTTCATCTACTTTTATAAAGTCTGAAATTTATTATGTATAACATTTTACATATTTTCCCTCTAATCTTTAACCCAAACGGTATTTTTCTTTAGCTCTTTCTTCTTCTTATTCTCTTTTTAGTTTTTCAAGAATGGCTGCTTCTATTTCACTCTCTTATTTCTATCATAGAAAATATAACTGTCTGAAAATACCAAGTCTTAAATTCTTCTTAATTGTTATTCTGCTAATTATTGAGTTCTCTCTTTGGTGACATATGCTGTTTGTACTTTTTATTTTAGCAATTTGATTTCTTCACTTTCAGCACATATCCTTTCAATTTCTCTCTTTCTTTTTTCTTCCTCTACTTTTCTCTTTTATAATTCCCTAGCAAGCTAATCTTCAAGACCATATGGATCAGAGATTGGATTTCTATTTTGATTGTGAATCATGATAAAATAATTAATTATAATAATTCATTTTAATACACCAGCTTAGATTAATGGGAGTAAATTTGCATTAGGTAAACTTTAGTTTCTATGCTTGTTAGGTCTTGCCTTTCTCTTATTTGGAGAAACTTCCTCAAGTATGGGCAATCTATTGTTCTCCAAAGATATTTTCGATTAATGTTGAGTTATCACCTCCAAAACACTCACTTCCTCTTAACTTTAATGTCTATTCGGTCTGACCTTCATAATCGGCTTTCTTATTTACTTGTTGGCTATCGAAATAAATTCTATACTTTATTATATTATTCTAATATCAACAATACTTCTGGTTAAGCTTTGCGATTATTATGTACGTGGTCTTTTTTATCAATAGACTTTTAACTAGTTACATCTTCATAACTTCCATTCACACTCATTAAAGATCTTGGATTCGGACTTGCTTGTTGAGAATGTAAAGATTTTATTTGTTTTCTATTGACACACTCATAACAAGGTTTTGGAAGCATGGATGTAAAATAATGGTAATTCTTAGGAAACTTAATGGTTGACAACAATGTATTAGGTTCGTTATCTGTTTATTCTTGTTTTGGTAGTTCCTCCTATCTTTTCAAAAGAGATGGAAATTATAATAATTTATCGCAATTTGGTCTCAAATGAGGTTTCACTTACAACATTGACCTTATTGCATTGCTGAGATCTTGAGAATAATTATGAGAAATTCTAGGATAATACCCTCTAATAACTCTCTGATATAATTCTTCCATACTCTCTGCCTGAAATGGGGGCTTTAGGGCTGCCATCTCATACACAACGCAACCTAAACTCCAGATGTCTGATTTCTGATCGTAAGGTTGATCTTTCCACACTTCAGGACTTGCATAAAACGGTGTTCCTGTTTGAGTGTAAAGAAGTCCCTTCTTAGCAACTTTAGAAACATTCATATCCCCCAATTTTACATCTCCATTCTAGTATAAAAATACATTTGCACTCTGTTAAAATATTATATGTTATACCTTTAGATCTCTGTGTAGAATTTTTAATTCATGTAATGCTTTCAATCCCCTCACTATTTAAATAAAAGTATTCCAAATTATTTGTTCCTCAATCAATTTCCCAGTTTTTTTAGAGTTTACAATTTTTTAGTACAAATCGCTACCGTCTGCAAATTCCATTACAATACTAACCGCAAAATTTATAGTTTTTACCATAATGAATTGCTTTGAATATCAATAAAAGCTTCTTTATAACTGATAATATTTGGGTGTTTTACAGAGGCTAATATACGAACCTCGTTCATTGCATTTTATTTTTCCTTATCATTCAAGTTCTATAATTTCACTTTCTTTAAAGCATATTCTTATGAATCCTCCAATCTTTTTACCTTATATACAGACGAATAAGCTCCCTCACCTAATAATACCTGTTATATTCGTCTTACCTAATTTGGACAGCAGTTAAAAATCTTTCAAAGACATTGCTATTTATATATGTTATAATTATTGTTAAAATATTAATAATTATATATATATTAAGAAATTTTTATACTTTGATTTATCATCCTCCAACCCATCTCACTTTAACTTTGAATGTCTAATATTCTTTAGTCAACTGCAGCATCTTTAATGTTAACGGAAGTTTACCTCCTCCTAGGGGTGTTTCATTGATAAATAGATCAACAGAAGCTGCATCTCTACATATAAAATTGATTATTACTTAGAAATTCCTAAATATTGGTAAACTGCCTCCTATAATTATAATAGGGTGTTATTAGTATTTGTAATTGTTGAGAATTGTCGTACAATTTATCCATCCTAAATCTCAAAGTTGATTGTTATTTATTTTCCTGGACTTTAAACATTTGATTATGGAGGATTATTGACTTATGATTATCCATATTGACCTTATTTAGATTATTATAATTATTATTATTATTGCTATTAATATTGTTATTGTTATTGCTATTAATAAGCCATATTAGTTTATTAAACATTTTATTATTGATTGTACTGTTGATTTTGTTATTGATATGGTTGTTATTGATATTGTTGTTATTGATATGGTTGTTGCTGATTGTATTGCTGATTTTATTATGAATTATATTGGGTTTACCCTCCTGGATTTTATCCCTAAAAATGACTTTAATTAATCACATTGTTCCTAATTTAAGAATATAGAGATACTATTAAACAGGTCTTTAATTAAAGTTAGCTTGCTAATTATTTTGAAATTAATTAATTTGGCTTGATACTTTCCAATCCAATTAGGCGAAATATTACAGTCCTATTGTATTAAGAGTAGTTTATGGATTCATTAATGACAAGTTTTTAGTGCCATGGTAAAGATGCTAATGCCTAAGGATATAAATTAAAATTTACTGTAGATCCACTCCTAAACTTTACTAACTGGCCAAGATCAAATCATGAATTGTAATATTATCACTTAATTAAAGTTAGATTTACTAGTTCCCATTTTTTATATTGATATTGCTAATATGGTTTAATATTAATACAATTGTTTTGATTGTTGAGTATTGTACACTTATTATTATTGTTATTAGGGTAGTGTTGTTAAGACTTAAGGTTAATTTCTTGCTTGAGAATTGGTATAATCAATTTGATTTTGTTGATATGGCCGATTCTAGCTTCCAGATGGCTATATATCTAAATTATTTTGATTTGGGTATTGCAATTATTTTTTTTAGAGTAAGAGTTTTGCTTTCTTTAATCCTCCTAAAACTTGTTGAAGGCTGTTGTTTGAAGGAATAATCACTTGGCCTGTGGCTTAGATTTGAATTTAGATATTACTTTAATCTAATCCATTTAGTTTCCTAAAAACATATTAGAATATTCTACTAAGAGTGGGTTGTTTGAATGAATTCGATTAGTTCATTTATACTCACTGTATCATCTATGCATAAGGTTGTTTTGCAGGTTGAATCAAATATTTCGATTTCTAGTTCAATTTCCATCTATTTCTATTATTTTTTGAAAATTAATTAAAAATATATTAAATCTTGATTGGGAATTCACAGACTTATTAGAGGGAATATAATTAATGTTGCTATTACGAAAATCGAGCCTAAACTATTTGAATATAAATATATGATATGCTTTAAAATAATTATCAGAATTTATTAATGATGAGGTCTAAGACTTTATCAATTTCAGGTTCTGAATATTTCCAACAATCATCCCAAAACACCTCAACATAACCTAACTTCGTTTTCAACTCAAAGGAAGCCATCTGCCCTATACAGAGATTAGGTTTCCTATTAGGTTGCGTCTCAATTGATTAATCCTAATCCACCTATTTCTCCTTTCCTACTAGACTGTTCAATCTTGAGGATGTATGTTTTGTGAAAATGAAATGCATAGTCATTGAGCATTTCATTTAAACCATCGTAACGTAATCTCTTTTTATCATGTCAATGAGAGATTGTTTATCGTTTTCAGCTAACAAATAATCACTCCTTTTAAAAACAATTTTGTATTTATCATCAGAAACTTCGCTTGCTAAATACCTCTTATGATAGATTCCATTGTCTATGGTTATCCAGCCAATGATATTTTATTCTATCAATCTGTTTAACACTGATTATTGAGACCATTAATCATCGAGTAACGGATATTTCAATTTTAATCTATTCAATTTAAAAACCAAAGTGTAATGATTATCATCAATATTATACGAATGCAAACCTATTATAACTGGTAAGAAGATTCCCAAACCACACATGAATTCCTACTCATACCTTAACCATAATTATTACAATCCTCCACCTTTAGTTAATTGTCTCTTCTATTCATTGGTAATAAATTCAACTGAAATTAGATTATCATGAGATAAGAAGAAAGTCCCTTCACGGTTAATTCCTTATTATTATTATTTTACACATTCGACATTCTTTTCTACATCTAACGACATTTTTATTTCTTTCATTGTAATTCCAAAATACTCTCTTACTTTTTAATTCAGAATATCCTAACCAAAAGTTGTAATCAGAATATTGTTATTGTTACTTATTTGAATTGCTTTCTATAACATCTTATTGAATTGAAAGTGAGTCATCTCGTTATTTAATAGATTTTGGCCATCTTCTAACATCTCATAACTTGCATAAAGGAATAATCTCAATTAATTATGACCAACATGTTGAATGCCTTTTAATAACTACTAAGGATCTTCGTATACGGTTTCTTAAGGCAATAATTAAAGTGGCTAAAAGGATTCCAAAGACAATGAAATAGTATTGTTCTTTTTTTATCTGTAAACTTTGATTTCAATACTATTTATATCTTGGCCTTTGGTCTCGATTTGAATGTTTTCATAAGACTTCTGTATCGTGTCTGACCTCTCCTCATTATTTGTATCCAAGAGTCTCTATTACAGAACCAACTTTTTCGGACGAAATAAATATCTCACGTGTCTATGGATTATTGGCTCATACAATCGAATTATGGTCATCATTAATGTGGCTATCACTTAAACGAATTGACACACAATTCTTAATCTTTCATCATCCTAAAAGTAATTTATAACCACAGGCTATCATAATGACAATCATTTATACTATCAGCAATCTCGCAAATACATATAGCAATCCGTAAGTAACATTTATTTTAATGTAAGTTTGCAGGTATTTCTTTATGAACTTATCAATTACAGTCTTGTATATTTCCGTTTGTAATATCTCTGGAGGATACTTTAACAACTTCATTAACATCGTTGATAGAATTATCATCACAATACCTCTTAGATATACTAAGAATGTTGAAAACACATTGTGTGATTTTAAGTTACAATCTCCTAAAATACTAGTCAATGTATTATTAATACCTTACACCTAAATCATCAAAAACCACTACGAGTATCAAAGAAATCAATGCTGCTGCAAATATTCCTATCTTGATCTCCCTTGATATATTGAAATCATTGTAATTCTTAGCATAAATCTAACAATATAGGTTAACTATCAATAATGTGTTCAATAAATTATAAACAATTGAGACTATCAAAGAAGGAATGGCAATCATTTGGCAAGTCTTCTCATTAATAGACAAAATATTTTCTTATTAATCTAATGAGTCATCAACTTAATAAAACTGGCTAAACATAAGAAAGAGACTCATTATCTAAATAACATAATCAAATCTACAGATTGAGAGATAAGAATTCCCAAGATAATCTGACCAGGGTTGTGTCTTAATCTCCTGATCTTTCTTTGCGCATGTATTAGGATCAAAGTTATCACAAAAATAATTCCATACAAGGATGTAAGCATAATATTTCTGAACATTTTTTTGTTTTAATAATCTATATATTCAAATCATATTATTCATAATTTTAAATGCTTATTCTACTCAGAATAATAACATAAATTGACTCCTTTAAACAACACCCATATCCAAAATATGCTTCACACTGGGATAATGTAATTTTAGAATTCAAATACTTATTTCACTTCCATTTTCATAGGTTATCTCTAAAACTTGATTTTCGTTATATAATCTCAATTTAATTAATTATAAAAGAAATTTTTACTTTCTAGATAATCCTTACCTAAGGAAATAAAACCTAATCTGAATATTAATAATAAAAAATGAATATCAAGTTTGTTTACTAACAAAGGACTCATAAGATATCCTCAAAATATCAAACATTGGCTGAAATAAGAACTGCGATGTAAAATATCTATCCAAATGAACTTTCTTAAGGATTCTCTCTGTATGTGACTTTGGATTAAAGTAAGCTTTTTATAATTCACCAATAGCCCAAAGTCCTTATGAAATTCAGGATGAGTAGTTTTTCAAAAGGATTAAGGACTTATATGGTCACCTGGGATGGCAATCAATTAAGTTTCTTGTCAAAGATGTAAACTTTCCTGTTCTGACTACAGATGAGATCAACACACTCAATCAAAGTGTAGTAATAAAATCGAATGTGTAATTGAAATAATTTGACGATATCTTATTGAAAAAAGCAGCAGATAAACCCCAACCTTAGAAATAGGAGATTAAAGAAAGTAATCCCTAACATTAACCTTAATAAACTAAAGTTGCAGACGGATTTACACAAGAGTAATTGATATTTCATAATTTTCAGGATAATTTAGCAGATAAATATGTTATCATTGCAAGATGTAGATTGCAATAGTGAAGAATTCAAAAAATTTGTTTTCGAACTAATTGATGAGCGATTAGTGTTTCATGGAATCATTTAAAATCAAAAGCCATAACTTTAGTAGGAATAGCCGATAAATCCAATATATAAAATGCAGGTTTTGTAAAAATAGAATAATCAAATTCATATGGAGATAGGGAAACCTTATAAATGGGAAATAGTTTTGAAAAATGATGGTAACGTCATTTGGAAAAAAGGAATAGTAAAGTTAATTGGCATAGCTGGAACATTTAAAGACTTAAAGATAGAGGTATATTTGTAATCATGAATTTTAAGTTATAAAACGATGTTAAACCCTAGGATACAGGATTGTTTTAATGTATGTTGAATCCACCAAACTAAAAGGTTAGTAATGCTATCAATGAATTTAAAGTAAGTGAAAACAATGATCGTAATTTAGTTGGCCCATTTTTCAAGTAACAAACCTGAATTTTTTGGACAAAAGGTGTGCTTCTGTTTGTTTGTGAATAATCAGGATGAGAAAATTAATAGAACATCAACAATAACTTAAAAAGATGCTCAATTTGATAGTAAGATATAATATAAAATTTAAGCTACCATTATAGACTAACAATTAAAAAAGATTTCAACTTTAGTATCTGTTCTGGGAGTTTCTAATTCTGAGGCGTAACTCTTTGTTCAATAAAACTAAAACCTAGATGTAGAACAACTAATTAATACCTACTTGGCAAGAAATAATTGATTTATGAGTATATGTAAGCTAACATTTCACTTTTGGTAATTATTTTTTTTGTATAATCAGTGAGACAAGGGATGAATAAATTAAATTCTTACTATATTATATTTTATAAAAATGGACCCAGGTGGTTCTACATTTGATTTAACAGCGCCAGCCTAGTTTTTATAACCTAAAATTAATGTTAGCAAGCAGGCTGAGTAACCGATCAACAAGCCTTAAAAGGATGTATGGAATGTATATATAAAGCAGTTACAACAAAAAACACAAGCTTCAAATTCAAAACTACCTTAATTAAACAGCAATTAGAATGTGGCGAAAGGTTCAAACCAAAAGTAGACCTAGCAGGTGCAATAATCATCTCCAAAGCCAATCTAGAAGGCTAAAAAGATTGATTTGTTTAGAGATGCATTGTCATAAGCAACAACAAAATATTTACGTATCTTGTATTTTGACCATAGCTCCTGGGAAAAAGGAGAAGGACAAGACTCAAAAACCTAAACCATAATAAGAATTGCAACAGCAATAGATAGAGGAGATCAAGAAGGAATATGAGGATTTGGTGTAAAATCATTATAAAGACTTGTATGGACATGTTGCGAATGATCAGTAGAAGAGTTTGCAGGATTTACATAATAAGAGAATTGTTACTGCGTTGCAGGATTTGGAATCCAGGCCGAAAGTTTAGAATGCTCTTGAGAAGAAGGAGGAACAAATCAATAAGCAAAGGTTGTATAAGGATAGACTACTGTATGACATCAAGTAGATGATCATAAAGAGCAGAAGGCTGGATGAATTACTGAATGATTTGGTGTTGCAAAATGAGGATACAGTTAAGGAGACAATAGAGGAGTTGTTGGAGAAGGAATAAGTATAGGAGGAGAAAATGGCGAAATAAACTTATGAAATCGCTAAGTTGAGAGACATGTATTTAAAAAGAAGTATTTTCAATTTGATAACGAAGGGAAACTATTGTTGGAAGTGCAAAAATAATGTCAAATCACCTATGATGGATTAAAAATCAAATATTAATAATATGAAGCATCCTCTCAGAGTATGATGAGTAGGAAGAAGCAATTGGAATCGTTATCAAAGATAGTTGCAAAGTATCGAAGTGAGTTTTAGAGTTAACAGAACTTCTTTGGAGCCAGTCTAAGAGGGAGATTTGATCCTATGTTGGAGGAAATATTGGAGGATGAACTGTCCAAATGTGGTGATGAATAGGCTTTGGAGATCGTTTAGCAAGGGGAAAAGAAGATCATAGCCATCAAGGAAGATAATGAAAAGAGGAAGAGGGGGGAACAGAAAGATAAAGCCAAATTGGCAATTGAGAATGCGACTTAAAATATTAATAAACAAAAATAGGATATACAATAGGAATTGGAGAAAAAAGTACTTTTGTTAATTTTCTAATTAGAAATAAATGTTCTAAAAATTAAGAGTAGTTACTAGCATTTCAAATTAAGAGATCATGAAGAAATATAAATTAAATATGGATTTAGATTAAAATGAATTAAAAAACATTCAAGAATATGTTGGAAAAGAAATTGAAAGATACGAAAGATAGAATGATGAATTAAGGTCAGAAATTAAAAAATTGAAATATGAATAAGAGAATTCAATATTAGATGCTCAAATAAATTTGGATCAATTGGAAAGAGATGTTACTAAATAATAAGATTGTTTGTCAGAAAAAGAGAAATAAGTTAAAAAAGTTGAAAAATCAATAGATGAAGTGACCATGTCCTTATCTAGAATTATGTATCAATTAAGTGGTAAAGGAATGAAGGCAAAAAACATCGAAATTAAAAGGTCTGCTTTAGTAGCAACAGCCTCGACTATCTAATTACGTTTGGAAAGAATGCTAACAGTGCTGTCAAAAACATAAGAGTTCTTAAATGAAGAATCTATTAACACAAATCCAAGATACAATAAGGTTGAAGATTTTATATGTTTGAATCCAAAGGTATAATAAATTAATTAATTTAGAGTTATATATCCCAAGAAATTAATGAGTAAGTCGAGGGTAACATAAAGTTTGTGTATAAGGAAGAGGATAGCTCTGATGAAGATTGCAAAGATATGGATGAAGTGAGATAATAAGTAAAGACCAAAGCTTAAGAAGATAAACCGTAAGTAGTTGTAGTACAAAAGAAAGATAAAAAACTTAAGTGATATTATTTTTCTTTCCATTATAAATATATCTATAAAGATTAAAGCATTTATCCAGCAGCTTCGAAGGATAAATTATGATCTAATACAAAAGAAAATTCCATTATTTCAAAGTATGTGTAATTTGACTGAATAATAAATGATTACATAGAAGACTTTATTAATACATCTGCATAGTCGTATAGACACTTTTGAAACAAAGGATTCCTCCATTAAACTATGGGATAGTTATTTAAAAATGATATAATGAACTAAGTTGATTTCTAATCGTATATATAATAGTAATCAAAAATTGTATAAAAAGAAGGATTCACTTTAATCTAGATGTTCTTCCCATCTTGAAATTGAATTTTTGGTTATCCTTAATTTTTCATCATTTTATTTAGATATTGTTCCATTGATTAGGTGATTTTTCTCATTTCCTATGATTCTCCTACTTCTCATAGTTTTATATGGAGTTGTCTTGTTGAAGCTGAGATTCAATTTTGTAGCCTGAATTCTTAAAGGAGTGCAGCATTGAAAAGGACCTTTCCTTTTCTTTTTTTCTGTTCTCTATTTCTCTAAGTAAGAATTGAAAAATGATATCTATTCATCCAATCGAGAAATGTCTTTCAAATAGGTCTCTGATTTAGCAATTGGGAGTGGACTAAAGTTTAGTAGTCTTTTTTATGATCGACTTGTAATCATATATAAATTAATTTAATATACTTGAATAAAATCCAAAATATAAATAACAGATCGGATTCTCTTTATAATGGACATTTACTCGATATATTCACAGATATTTGAGATAGATCTACGTATTTTGATTGGATAATATTAATCGTTGTTTTTAAATGAATTTAATCATCAATATATTAATTAACTATATAATCATTTGCAATCTATGTCAACCAAGAGACAAAACTAAAAAGAGAAGTAAAAGATTATGCAACCATTACAAGAGCATAATGAGAGTACAATTATTTAAATTGATAGTGGTAGCTGAACCTAAAATACTTTCATGTGAAGGTACTTTTCAAAGTCATTTTAGTTGGAGACACTCAGAAATAATTTCAAATTGATAACATGAGGGACTCTAATGAATATCTAAATTCAGATGTAACTTATCAATAATATTGCAAGAAAGAACTCAATTTAGACTAATTTGAACAATTCCCGTAAAACTCAAGCAACAACCTGATCGATAACAATTATCCATTGAAAATGATGGATTCAACTCAGCAATAAGATTGTAAAAAGATATAAAAGTAGAATGCTTCAACTAAACAAACAAATGATTTTCAATAATTGCAAGAGATCCAAAATCCAAACTAATTGGATCGGAAAAGTCTATAAAAGTAATCTAAAGAGACCAAACCATAAAGTACATTAAATGAGGAAATCAAAACTTTTGAAGAAAGAATTGTGAAATATACATCAGAAGTCAATCAAGAAATTAAGTTGAGTCCTAAGCTTTCAGACGAATGGAAAAAGAAGTTTACCTTCATTAAAAAAAAGAAATGATTTCAATATAAGTGAATAGATTATAAAATTCACACTCCCTCTAAATCCTATTATAGCAATTTTGTAAAATTACAGGTAGATGTAAATGCCCTTTTTCCCTATTTATGCTTAATTGTATATTAAAAGAAAATCAGAAATTTTCTAATCATAGGGATAATGATAAATGTAATAAAAGAATGATGTTAACAACCATGTTAAAATTCATCATTTAGTACACTTTTATCATATAATCAAATTTGAGTCAATTATTATTATCCCTATTTTTATTTGCTTCATGTTTTTATATAAAATAATTCACTGAGATCTTGATTCATCTTAATTAAGAAAAATATCATTTATCTTGTTCTTTTAGTATCCTCTGTTTATGTTAATATTATTTACTAATTTATAAGAAATTATTGGGAAAATTCTAAGCATTTAATCTTCAAACATTTTTGTTTGGTAGTTCAATGAATTAATAGGATTATCAGATTTATTATAAATAAAGGAAGTAATCAAAAAGAGAAAATGTTTCAATATTAATGAATTGATAGAAAAGTGATGTTGTGAATTATTTCAAAATAATAATGATAATTATTATTTAAAGAAGATAAAGAATGAGAACAAAATACCTATTATCATTTTGATATCATGCAATTTTTAGAACTTGTATAAATATGTTAGTTTAATAGGAGAGGAGTAGATTATTCATTGATGAATATAATTAGTATTTAGATTTTCATAAATGCATCAAGTTGGATATACATCAATCCATTAAGTAACCTCAATTTTTCAATAGGTTTATTATAATTGATTTAACAATGTCCAAAAATTTAATTTACCAATTTTTTCTTATTTATTAGTATTCTATTAGAATTTCAAATTTTCTTATTGTTTTTCATAGATGTCAATTTGATTATGTTTACATTGAGTAATAACTAAATTGTAATGTTTATTATATTTTGACAAAATTTTAAACCCATTAACAGTCTTTTGTTGTTAATGAACACCAACGTAAGAGTTATTAATATTGAATGTGCATTTCATGATTTATAATTAGAGTTGAATATATTCCGTAATTATCCATCTCTTTTTTGAGAGAGACTTCTACATATAATTATTTTGAAGACATTATTTTTAGTGAACCTCTGTTAATGAGTTCTTATTCAGTTGATTTTGATTCATCTAATAGAGACAATTTATTGTATTAGGCTTTTATGAAATTGAGAATTAATAAAATATAATAAATAGTAAAAAAGATAACTGAAAGATGGCTACAGCACTAGTATCTGCAGGATAATCAATAAGTAAAATGCTTTCATTTACAGGTTTAGTTGGAACTTATGTACAACAAGATATAGAGACAAGATTACAATAAGAAGTGTACAAAAAGTAAATAAGAGTGAGGGAATTCTTCACAGATTTTGATCGTCTCCGTAAAGGTTGGGTAACAGAAGATAAGGTATTATTGATTCAATAACAATAAGTTTCGTTCTGCTTTGTCGATGATAAATTTCCACTTTACTAGGGATGAAATCGAGGAAATTATAAGAAGATATAAACTCAATGATGGATTAGTCTAGTACACAACATTCTGTAACAAGCTTGAAGAGCAATTCTTAAATAGTGAGGCTAAAGCTTAAGTGTTTTAGGCCCCCCAAGTATGAATAATAGACTAATTGTAGATCTTCAATAAGGATGAGGAAGACACCGTAAAGAGATTGATGTTGGCAATAAAAAGGAAAATAGCAACAAAACGAATATTTTTGAAATAGCCATTCCAGGATTTTGATAGAACTGCCTGCTCCCATATCACCATAGATCAATTTTCAAGAGTGCTCAATTAATTAGGATTACTACCTAAGGATCAATATTTGTAATTGCTTATCAGATAATACATTGATAATGGAAATCCTAAGGAAGTCAATTATGGTTAAATTTTGTGACGATGTTGATAATGTCCAAGAAATGCTCAGTGGTGTTATCACTGGTATTAAGCATAATCCAAAAGAAGTATTACTCATTGATTATGTAGGTTCATCCTGATGATGATTTCATTGAAGACAAAGAAGGACTTGATTTGATTTCTACTTTGTTTACTTCCAAGAAATTAACTGATAACATCAACACCTTGGAATAGGTATTGAAGAAGATTTAAGGAGATGTAGTTATGAAGAGAATCAGAATCAGGGAGTTCTACAAGGACTTCGATTCCTTGAGAAAAGGATTAGTTACTGAATCTCAAGTATGCTATGATTATTGATGTTAGTTTGCTAGAATATTGCACCTTCAAAACATTCCTGTTACTGAAAAGGAAATATCCATACTATTGAATCACTATAAAATTGACAGCATTCCAAATGGTCAGGTAGATTACAATCAATTCTGTGAAGATGTCGATAAGATTTTCACTATTAAGGGAATCGATAAGTCTCCTTAAGCCTAAGTTCCTTAGATTGATGATACAACTACACTACCAGCTAGAAGGAGATATTTATAAATGACAGAGTAAGAAGCCATTTAATTGGATGAATTATTGATGAAATATAAACAAGCCATTCAAAATAAACGATGTTCTCTTGAAACCAGTCTTTGAAGACTTTGATAAGACTAAGTAAGGGTACATCACTACAAATCAATTCTTAAGAATTCTTAATTAATTCAACTTATTCCCAGACCCCTGTTTACATTGAATTTACTATTGAAAAGATTTGTTGATAAAGCCAATTTAAATGAAGTCAATTACTATGATTTTTGTAGAATAGTTGATCAATCTGATGAAGGTGTTGCTATAAGTAGATCTCATGCAGACGCATTCAAAAACTATGTTAAGTCAGACAATGTTAGTTAAGCATTCATCAGAAATGATTAACCAAATGATTTTGAAGATCTTATGGCTAAATTAAGAAGAATAGTTAAGGAATAGAGACAAAGAGTTGCAGAATTCCTTAAAGATTTCGACAAATTAAGAAGTGGAACCATTACTGTCACTCAATTAAGAAAAGGATTAAGCATGGCCAAGATTCTATTATCTGATGCTGAATTCCAATTGATTCTATAGAACTTTGGATGCAAAGACAAACCAAACTTTGTATATTGGAAAGATTTCACTGATTAAGTTGATTAAGTATTCACAACTAAGAATCTTGAAAAAGTCAGTCCTTCAGAAGATGTTCCTCTGATGTCAACTCAATATAATTACGGTAGAGTGTCAATTACAGAGAGAGATCGATAAGTCGCTGAAGTTGTCAAGAAGAAATTTTAATATTTCTGTAAGGCTACTAGATTGGATATCAAATAGTTTTTCTAAGATTGGGATAAATTGGGTAGAAACAAAGTGTCTCCTAAGTAATTCAGATAAACCTTGGCCACTGTCAATTTCATTTTATCTGATGAAGAATTCTAAGCAGTTGTTAAAATATATGCTGCTGAAGATGATGGAGATATTAGATATGTTTAGTTTATAAATGATACTCAACCTCCCTTGGAAATGTAAACTGAGTCAGGAGCATCTCAGGCATATGTGGGAGTAAAACCTAAAGAAAAAGAAAAAGTATATATAATTATTATGTTAAATTAATTAGTTACAACCTTCTGTACTCTTAGAATAAATTAAAGTGGCTGTTAAGATCAAAAGATTAAGATTGGGTGATTATTTCAAGGATTTTGATCCTCTACGAAAAGGATTGATGCCTACTAATAAATTTAGAGGAGTGTTGAGTCAAATGAAGATAGATTTGGATCAAGAGAGTTTAGACCTATTAGAAACCATGTATGTTGTGCCAGAAGATCCCATTAGAGTTAATTATGCTAAATTCATAGAGGATGTTGAAATTGTATTTACTAAATCTGTAAGAATCTATATTTACCAATTTAACAAAGGGATTGGATAAAGATCCGTTGATGAAACCTCCTGTCCATGTTATTCCAACCTTCCTTGATCCCAGAGATGCCTTGACTTCAGAGGAAGAGGAAGCCTTACATGCTATTATGTTGAGATTAGGGGAAGTCGTTAAAAAACACAGAATCCTACTCAAACCTCACTTCTAAGATAAAGTAATGTATTTCATTCACATTTTATAGGACAAAACTAAATCTGGAAAGATTACTTTTACTCGATTTAGATCTATTATGGATTTTCATAAATTGCCATTAACTGATGATTAATTTAGAGTCATTTGCAAAAGGTAACCAATTATATTTTATAACCTATAGATTTGCTTACTAGGGCATTGAATTCAATTATGTGGAATTTGATGAAATTTTAAAGAAATACGAGAATTTTTATCAATGAATTATAAACACAAAAATCATATCTATTAATAAATTTTATGTAAATTTTTAAGAATTCTAAATTTTTCTTTGGAACACTCAAAGCTCACACTTTACCAGCCCTTAAGTATGGATACAGTGATCTTGAACCAGTTTTGAGTGCAACACTTCTTGAATTCCATCATTCCAAACATCATTAAGCTTATATCAATAATCTTAATGCTGCATAGGAGTAATTGGAGGATGCCTTAACAAAGAATGATGTCTAGAAGATTGCCACTCTACAAGGCACCATCAAATTCAATTTGGGAGGCCATTTGAACCATAGTGTTGTTTTGGGAGAACTTGTATTCATATTTAACTTATAATGCAGGACCCCAATTAAGAATGGAGGAGGACAATTACCTCATGGAAACAGTGCTCTAGTCTAAGAAATCAATAAAAATTGGGGAAGTGTTGACAACTTCAAGACATTCTTCAACACTAGAACTGCTGCAATTCAAGGCAGTGGATGGGGATTCTTGGGAGTTGATTAGCAATCAAAGAAATTGAGATATTTGGAACTTCCCAATTAAGAAATTCCATAAAACTATGGTCTTACACCAATCTTAAGTAAAGATTCACACTTATACGATTAGCAATCGATGTTTGGGAACATGCCTATTGGTGGGATTACAAGAATGTGAGACCAAACTTCTTGGCTAATGTATGGAAAATCGTTAATTGGAAGGATGTAGAAGCAAGATATAATCAAGCTTAAAAATGAATTAAGAATCATAACATCCATTTATTAAAGTATTTTTAGATTATCTAATAACTTCTTTATTATGTATGTTTCTAAACGAGGGTAGAGAGATCATTCTGTTCAGTATAATCGGGAAACCTTATCGTTAACTATCGATCTCTTTTATTGAGCAATCCTTGATATTGCTCTTACAATTTCTGCTATTGCATCATTCTATGAGATCCAAACGGAAATATTGATTATACTTCTCAACCATACAACTATATATATTATTCTGCTTGATAAAATTCTTCTTATATGTTGACGATTGATATACTGTCATCAAAGAGTATATGATTTAACAAACATAAAGTAATTATCCTTATTAATATATGAATAATATTGTAATATATTAAGAGTAATGTGGCTCTAATTGATTTTATATGGAGTTGCGCATCAATAAGTTTCATTAACAATTTTTTGTTGTTTTATTAATTAATAAAATAACATTTTTATTTTCAAAATGTTACATCTTGATATTGAAGTGCAGACTATCCAATTTTTCATTGGCTCCTCACTCGATTCATGTTCTATTAGATTAAACGATTGTATTTATAGTGTGAAATCTTAGCCTCCTCCACTACTGTCTTGGAATCGAAAGTCAGATGCAAATCCAAAGAGATTCAAGAAATTTGGGAGAAAATTGAGTTAAATGTGTAATATGTTGAGAAAGGCAATGTATTGGATTATTGCATATTTTTATAGTTGAAACTCTTCTTTTATGAAGGGACATCCATTTTTGGAGAGGCGACCATTAATTTAGGGTTTTATATTGAGAACAATCTTCCTCTTATCATTGACAAAATTACAATACAAAATAAATTCGATTCAGAAGCATAAGTTTAAATGAGTCTCGCATGGAATTAGTTGGATTAGGTGCAACCCAAATAAAATCGGTAAGTAAGTCCTTTGAGAGACCAACCACCTTCTTAGAGACCAATTGGGTAATAAAAGAAACCAGCTGATGAACTTCATTTTGATAAGAGAACTGTTCATGCCACATACACATAATGGAAAGATCACTAAGAAATGGTGAAGGAATAATATGTCAAGAGATTGAAGGAACCCATCAAAAAAGGACAATTAGAAGATGAAAAACTTGAAGAAGTTCGTAAACCTGAAGTTCGAATCATGAGTCCTCGCAGATTCCAAACTCCCAAGGATTATAAACCTCTAAATAAGTAATAAATTTAAAAATCAACTGGAGGATTTGACAATCTAAAAATCTCAAATAACAATCAATTGGATTTCAGATAAATCAACAAGGACTTACAGAACAACTCAAATAACAGAGCTCCATCTAAAAGTCCCAATCGTTATGATTCAAGAACGAAAACAAGAAATGAAATCTTATCTGCTACTTCACCCATCGAATAGAGTGAAATCCTCAAAGGATCTACCAAACCCAAACCATTGCCTAAGAAAGGAGAATTCTAAGAGAATTTTGGGACCAGACCAACCTAATTGGAAGGAGGTTTGACCATGTCCAGCAAGTAATTGGATACAGAAGGAGATTCCAGTTAATGGAGATAATAATTGTCCTAGTTATAATAAGAGAATTCTCAATTAAAAAATTAAATTTAAAAACTAACTAATGAAAATTAGAGTTTAAAAGATCAATAAATCAAAAGTGAAGCTGCCTTTAATTTGTTATCAGAAACTTACAGCAATCTAAGGAACGAGTATCAAAGAATCTAGGTGAAGAGCTTTAATAATAGTTCAAGTCATTCCTTATTAACAAGCAAGGAAACGGATCATTTGAAAAGAGAATTAGATCAAAAATCTAAAGAAATTGAATTCTACAAAAAAGAGGCTGAATTATGGAAAAAGGATTTGGAAGTTACTAAAAGAGAAAATGCCTAAATTAAAAAAGAAGCAGAACAGCAAAAGAGAGAATTCGAAAATAGATCTTATGATTTCGAAAACCAAAAAAGAGATAACGAGAACAAAAAGAGAGAAATAGAATATCTAGAAAAGGAGTTGTAAAGAGCTCAATAAGCTATTTAATTGATCCAAAATGAAAGTTTTAGGAATTCCTCTTAACTATCAGGACAAAGTGGCAATTAGGAAATTCTAGAGCAAATGAAAAATCTAATTAAAACGAGGCAAATTGAAGTGGACAGTAAGAATGAAGAAATTAAGTAAAATAAGATTAGAATAGCTTATTTAGAGAAGGAATTGTAAGAGAAAGGCAGACGTTCTTAGGATTAATGCGATCAAATTAAGAATCTAAGTTCTTAGTTGGAATAAGAGAATGATCAATTGAAATAACAATTAATTGAAAAGAATGTTGAATTGAAATCAAAGTAAATATGAATCATAGAACATAGAAATTAAGAGATTGAGAGATTAATGGCTTAGAATAATTTAATCCTGCAATCTCCTGATATTTAGAATACAGATTAAGCTAAATTATTAAATGAATACTTAGCAAAGACAGCTGCTTTGAAATAGGAGAATGAAAGTTTAAGTAAATATAGTATTTATATAAAAATAGTCTTGTAAAGTAAAAAAGATTAAGTTGAAATTGAGAGTTTACAAAACTAGGTTGAAATAAACAAGGTAACCACATAATATATAATAATTGACAGAAAATTGTTGTACTAAGTGATTAGCGCCATCAAACTCTCGAGCATTAAATATTGGAATTAGAAAAAGCTGTCGTTGGAGGAAAATAAAATATGGCAGATGTGATCAATGCTGTAATGGAATGCGGTGGTCCTCAGTTGGCTGAGGAGGTGGAGAGATTCTTGATTACTAGAAGGAGTACCAAAATCGGTTGATATATACCATTTTTATTAAAATTATTAAATTATAAAAATTGAAAAAAAAAAAAATAAAAAAAATTTATTATTACTTTTTTTGTAAAAATTCCTTTTTTAAAATTCTGCTTCAAATTTGAATTATCGATAGAAACCGAAAAATTTCTCAAGATTATCATTTAATAAGGATTGAAAAGTGTTTTTAAAAGTGAATTCTCTGCAGTAAGTCTTAAATCGATCGAAATTAATCATAATTTGAACTGCTCTAGTAGGCAGAATTTTGAAATTATTTGATGTTTAAAATACCTTGTGAGGAAGAGCATGTGCACAATTATCTATTTGACAATTAAAGTAGAGCAATATTATTATCCAAAATGTAATCAAATAAACCAATGAAATTAACGAAATTTTTATAATTCGAATTCAAAGCTTAAGAGAAAAAACCTTAATAATAAAAATAAGAAAACATAATTAAAATGGCAAAAGCAGCAACTAAAGGAAACAAAGGAGCAAAGAAGACAGCCCCCCCAAGTCAAATATTTAATTAATTGTAGAAGCTACCAAGCATGTCAAGAAAGTTACTAAAAAACCAACTGAAACAACTCCAGCACCAGCCCCAGTCACCACTACTCCATCTGTTCCAGCAACCGCAACACCAGTCGCTGCCTCTACACCCAAAAAGCAAGGCAAGAAAGTAGCCTAAAAGCCAAAGGGTAATAGTAATAAAAAGGGACCAGCCAAGAAAAACACTAAAAAGGCCCCCAAGAAACAAGTTAAGAAATGATTAGTTATTTAAGAATTAATCAATTAATTAGATTTAATTTTACTTTCTCCTCCTTGCCTCCTTTGCAATATTATTTTCTTATCAACTCCATCCTAAAAAATTTTATTTTAACAAATAAAAAAATCAAAAACTAAAAAAAAACATACAGAAATCATTCATATTCAAAGAATTGAAAAGAATGTGACTTACTATCATCAATAGCAATAACTGGAGTGAAGGTTTCTCGGAAAAGGGAAGTATTCAAGATCCCAGATCCTAGTATATGATTTCAATATTGTATATTTAAACATCAAAGAATCAAAAATTCTAGATTCAGGTTTAGAGCGATGTCTGTCCATCTTGAATGATTTAAACACTAAAGGAGATGTTTGATTATGAAGAAATAATAGAAGTTTAATGAGAAGCAATATATCCTTTCTAATAGTAATTAAAAATGGTTTTATACAAATAAATAAATATTATTGGATATATATTTTATGAAAATTAATACTCTTGATTAAATCTTTTACTAATAGTTTCTTTACTGCATAAGATCTCATTTTAGTACATATGCTCATGGAAATTTATAATGATATCTTTTGATTAAATATTTTAACTCCAATCATAATTTTCATGTTGAATCATTATTCTCCTAATATTAACTAGATTTTCAAAGCCAGAGTTTGTCAAATACTTGTGATTGCGAATCTATAATAATTAACTCTTCTTTTAATGTAATCTTTAGTCCTTAAAAGACTCAAGTGTTATGTTTTTATTCCTGCAGAGATGATAATTAGGATTTTAAAATTAGATATAATATAGACATTTAAGATATTTTTTATTTAAGCAGTTCATATCTTAAATTATATGGAATAATTGTATAATTATTATTAAATAATGAGCAACTTTAGTAATAAAAAAGGTTTAACAAATTATTCTTATTTAGTTGGTAAATAAACAAGAGCTTAAAACAAGAAGTAGGCCGCAGCCCCTGTAATGTTGAAGAAGATGAAACTTATTTCGAAAAGCAAAGGGATATATAAGTTGGAAGTGGATGAAGCCTTTGTCCAATAACTATAGCAAGTTTAACAATTTTTGTCAGAATTAAACGACACTATGGTCGGTCCTGTAGAATAGAGTTAGGCAATGGCTCAAGAATCGAATCCCCAATTTGAGCAGTAAGAGGAGGAAGGGTCATCGTCTGCCTCAGAAGATAAAAGTGGTGCTCCAATGTCTCAACAACCACAAGAGCAATAATCTCAATAACCCAACGAGGTCAAGGAAACGTAGGACTTTTATAGGTAAGATTATGAATCAAATTAAGACGTATACCTCATTTTTTTATGGGGAGGTTCAAGAAATGGGCAAAGATTTTAAAAGAAGATGATGTTAGTTCATTTTTACATCAACTAAAGTCTAATAAGAAATCGAAACAGGGCAGATATGAGTTGGGGGATTTTCATAAGTAATGATATAATTGAAATGAAAGATGTTTTTAGATTGACAAAAATGATAGCAATGATTAATAAAAGCAGAAGAAGAAAATAAAAGAATTGTTTCTTGAATTTTTATAGAACGAGGCCGTCCTCCAGATCATCCAATATAACAAGATCACCAACCAGGATTAGAAGGTAGTCCAATGATTGATCATATAGATTAAATACATAGATGTGATTCCGAATATGGTTTAGGAGATGTACAGTGATAAGCCATTTGATTAATTTTTGGCTCAGTAGAACATAGAGAAACAGATAAACAAAAAGAAGCAGTTGTTGACTGAGACCCAGGAAGTGAAGCAATAGCAGCATTAGCAACTCCCTTAACAAAAATAAGATCTATCTTTTGAGGAGCCCATGAAGCTAGCGCGAGAAGTATCATTTCAAAGCTAATTATGATGTTTAATGATTTATGTATAATATCATTAAGGCAATGCTCCTCCAATTAACTGTTGGGCTCCATTGAACAAGTTTATAGGGTTATTACCATCAGTGAAGATATAACCTTATAATCCCAATCCCTTGAGCAACTCAGCTTGCATTTCTGGTCCTGCATTGGCCATGGCAATAAGGGTATCTTGTCCTAAGGCTTCGATGATTTGCTCAAACTTATTGGATTCGATTGTAGCTAGTTCCTTGGCTCTTCTGATTTCAAGTTCAGCCTTCTCTTGTTCATACTTGATGGTTTGATCTTGTTCCTTTTGCTTTTGTTTCAAAGCAGCTTCCTTTTCAATCTTATTGGCTCTTGCTCTCAATTGAGCCAATTCATATTCCTTTTGTGCTTTGATTTGTTCAGCCTTGGCAATGGCTTCAGCTTCTGCAATGGCAGATCCTTATTAAGTAACTTCTTGTGATTTGTTTTCCATTTCAAGCAATTTCTGTTTAGCAGCTTCAGCTTTGAGATCGTCTTCAATTCTCAATTAATCTAATTCACCCTAAGCTTATTGTTCTTGTTATTCAGCAACGTGTTAAGCAGCCTATTCCTATTTCTTGGTTGAAATTTCAATAGCCAAAGAAACAGATCTTTGAAGACTCTATCTAGTTTGGTTGTCCACTGGTTCGACTGTTTTGATATCTACATTAGTAATGACTAGATTATTCTTCACCATCAGATATTCCTTTCTGATTTTGCCATTTTCATCAGTACCGAAGATGGCTGTTCTGATGAGTTTGGCAGAGGTCTTATGGAATTTGTCGAAAACAACAGAGGCAACAGCAGCTCTGACTTTAGAAGCCATTTGATTACAGAGATCTCCAATGAAATCTTTGACTGCAAAGATCTGGGAGGCTGATTCAATGTTATTTTCATCTACCTTAAATCTCCAATTGTAAGCTAAGAGTAATTTCAAGACAGCATGATCGGATGTTTCAAACAGTGATTTCATCAGTGGAGAATTCTGGACCCATCATAACATGTAATGTATTGACAACACCAGGAGTCTTTGGTGTTTTACCAGACAAAGATAATTGAGTAAATACTTCATCTGGTTCTAAACATACCAAAGCAGGACCAAATACAATTCTTGTCTTCTTGGTCTTGTAATCATAGACCTACACTGATGTATTGAAGGGAGCTCTGTAACTAACAACCTTCCATTTGTCTCTCTTTCCACCTGTATGGAAATATTGAGATGACAACAATTATTCAACGTTGTTTGGCAATTCCATAGACCATAATTCCTCATGGGATTTCAACATATAGGATTCACCAAAGACAGTTCTCACTTAACCTGTTCTTGTGTCTCTGACATACACACCTTCATTCTTGTCAAGAGGAATTCTCTCTCTCTTCTCAATCACTTCCACTACAATGGGAGGTGTGTAGATGCATGGTCCATGAATCATCCATTTATTACCTGGTTCATAGTCCACTTCAACTTCTTCAAATTAATTGTTCTTAGCCAACTTCTTCTCAGTGAATTTGCATTTCTCTTTTGCTCTCAAAAGCAATGCTTGATCCTCTGATAAGATGTAGGAATCTTGAATTCCATATTGCAAAGATTCATTGGGTCTAAGGAAAAAGCTTCTTGGACCTTCAACAAGCACTTTGGATCCAAATTTGTTTCTTTGAGTTTCAAAATCAAATGGATTCTCTATTATACAATATTGTCTTGGATCTAAAATGGTCAAATTTATCACAGTGACCAATTCTTCAAACACATCCACTATGTGTGCAGATGTCTGTTCAGATGTTATCAAATATTCCTCTCCTGCCTTTCTCTCAATTGCTATTCATATTTACACATATAAATTACAATAAACATCTTTGAAAGTCTGAATTGCTTTTAAATGCAATGCCTTGCGATTGTCCAAAATCTCAGCATCAATTATCTTGACAAACTCCTCATAAACTTAAGGAAGATAGTATCCAGGTGTTCTAATCAACCACTGCTCTCCTGATTTTCTGACAACTCCATTAGAATCATTTTCTTCTTATTTTGCTCTGATAAGAATTGCTTAATTCTCTTTAATTAGAATGGAATCGATTTATCCCAAGATCTTTTCCTCAATTCTTGGATAATAAGTGGCTGGACCTTTGAATAGGTACTAGTCACCTGCCAAACTGTATTGTTGTTATTAAAATATGATACATATTATTTTCTCCCTATTTAAAGTTACGTTGTGCCTCTATTTTCAAGGCACTTCCTTCCTTTACAACTGTGAGCTTTTTAGGCTATTGAAGAAGGTTTTCTTTTGGGAAAAGGGGGAATGGAGTGCTGTACTGCTCGAAGAAACGAATCTCTCGTTCACCATGCAGAACGACAAATTGACTAAACATTAGAGGAATCTCATTACCCATATCGATCCTTAGTAGGCTAACCATCTTTATCCTTCACAATTGGGTTTTCAATGATGCAATAGTGTTGTTTTGGGAGCACAACCATTTTTTGAGGTTGTTAACCAGACGTAACCTTTGTTGCTATTTCATTATTACTTATTCATGGTCTTGACGAATAAAAGTTTACGGGCCTATCTCAACTCTAGTCACATTCGAATTGCAATCCAAGACATGTATGAATTAATATGGTAAAATTTTGTATGTGCTTGTCTATCCTTTGGCTTATGACATATATCTTTATTTATTTAATAATTATTTGCATCAATTTTAATCATATATATAATGGCTCAGAAAAGATATATCTCATTTCAGATATGACATCATTTTAATTATTTAAATTCTTTGCATTTTTCATTTAAAACCCACTTTCCTTTAACTCTTTCTTCTAATTTATAATAAATTCCTTAATATAATTTAAATGCAGAATGTTTTCATTTCTACACATGCTTCAAAATCTTAAATGCCAAAAACTCTATATTAGATTGCATACACATATTTCGTTGAGAAAGTATTTAAGCTATAAGTACAATATCTTATAATATTTTATATACTTAATATTAATAAGTGAAAATTTTCTATTATCAGCAATTTTACCTAAATTTGTTTCTAATATTCCCATAAACGTAACGAAAATATTTTATTATCTCTACGATGCCTTCTGTATTAATTTCATAATTTTATCCTGTTAATACTAAATACCCCAAATAAATACCATTTCAACATATTTTTAATGAAATTGTAGACTTTTTGAAAGTGGATGAAAATTGGGGTACATAAAGAATTTGTCAGTAGATTACAGCAATATTAGGGCAAATAAAGTCACTGCCTATTTTATAATAAATATCAGAGGTGCAACCAATGACTTCTTAAACTTATTTAAGATAAATTCAATTAAAGAGCAAAATTAAGAAAACTAGAAGATGTATGAGAATTTGCTTATCATAATAAGGACGAATAAATACAAAAGATCAGTATATTATTCAAAAAAAGTATTAAATATTTAATCTGAGATGAATTGATAAGAGGATGATAGTGATAATAAAATTGAGATTTTGAGCACAAAACTTGAATTCTATTTTATTAAAAGGTAGAGAGTAATAGTTGGTGAGGGCATTTTAAGAAGTTTTGAGACAATCATTTGGCATCTTGAATGTCTAATAGAAATGATTTTAAGTTGTGTTAATTAAAGATGGAAGCATCCGATTTGTATAAAAAACAATTATTATTTCGTTTAGTTACTTTTTGAAAAACTTATTATAATCTTGTAAATTCTTTTAAATGTGGGATTAATATATGAAAAAAGGAACTTATTGTATTTATTAGTAATATTAATTAAATTAGGCAAATAATTAATAAGATAGGAAAAAATGTAAAAGAGAAAAAGTAAGTTTGTTCCAAATTAATTAATCATTTTTGAGATAAAAGAAAAATTAAAGGAAAATCAATGGAAGGTAACTTTAGTTGTCAAGAAGAATGATCATACTTTATATAATTTCCTATCATTTCCAAAGCCTACAAAATATATATGAGTTTTAATAAGAAAGTGTTATGGAATTAAAATATCTTTTTTATCAATTAATAGCATTATGTCCATCCCCAGCAGCTTCATCTAACCATCTTTATCTTCTACCATCAATCCATTCACCTTCTCTTTGTTCTCCCCCTGGCTTAACAAATATTCCCTTGCCATGTTATTTACCTTTTTTCCATTCTCCAATATATTTTCTACCATCACTCCAAATAAAAGTCCCTTATCCATGCTTCTTATCATCCTCATAGCTTATGAATAGTGAAAAATTAATTACTCTCCCTCATAACTTCTTCCATCAGGCCAGGTGGTTGTTCCTTAGCCATGCATTTTATTTCTCTTCCATTCTCCTTAATATTTTCTATTATCAGCCCAAATATACACTCCAAACCCATGGATGTCATTATTATCAAACTAACCTTCATACATGGATCCATCAGCAAATACTAGTTTCCCTTTACCATGCTTCTTCCCCTCTTCATACTATCCTTCGTAATGAGCCCCGTCTGGCCATGTCTCTTTACCATTACCATGTTATTTATCATCCTTCCAAAATCCTACATATTGAGCTCCATTGTTGTGAATGTATTTGCCCTCTCCATTTGCTTTGTCATTTAGCCATTCACCTTCGTATACATCTCCATCAGCATGTATTAATTTGCCTTTTCCACATGCCTTATCATTCTACCAATATCCTTCATAAACTGAACCTAAACACTTGATTATTATAATTACCATCTGGCCAAACTTATTTTCCCCAACCCCATCTCATTTTCCCTCTCCATTAACCAGCATATGTGGCACCTTTTAATGTAAATCAAAGATAATACCAGTCTCCAAAGTTACTGGTTCATACTCTTTCTACTCATCAGGAACAGGTTGTTGATTATTTTAACTATCTTTATGAGGATTAACTGAAGCTTCGTTGCTTTCAACTAGTTTAACTTTTTCTTTGTAGGACTCATTTTTCTATTTGTCCTCCTGTTGTTGTTCCTACTTTTTTTCATCTAAAATCTCCTCTTTAGGTTAAGCTTATTATTAAGCATCATCTTATGGGACATTTCCAACAGCAAACACTTATTCTATTTATTACTATTCCTCCAAATCCACCTTCTATTTCTTATCCTCAATTGTTTGTGCTACCATATCCTTACCACAAATTCCAGTGCAGTTGCCCATAATTCCTTTTTTATATAATAATTAAATAATGAAAAATTAATCATTATGGACAAAATATATATCTCATAATTCCTCCCAACTTCAATTTAAATACCAGCTCAACCCTCCCTCCTTCAATATATCTCTTGTTCCCTGTTAATTTGCTTTTTTAGCTTTTTAATTTTTTAGAAACATCATCCCTAAGCCCAAGTCATTTATAACCATATTACCATGTAATCCTATTACCTATTCAAATATGTCGCTTGCTCATAATCCTAAAATGTCAAACTACTTATAAAATAAATTATTCATCACTATATCCGAATTTCATTCTCTTTTATCAAAGACACTTTGTATTGTATGGAATTAATAGAGAAACAAAATTATGATTAGTATATAGACCTTTGAAGAGCAATTGGTTAAAGCAATTGATTAAAGCTTATTAAATAACTCTGATTTATTATAATCTTATTTGATAATATTTACATTGTTATAAATCTTCCTTAATTAACTCAAAATTTAAGGTTTAAATCCCTCTATATCACTTCTCTTTAATATTTACTTACTTTCTCATTAATATACTATCCTGATTTTATCATATATTCTTGTTTGTATTTATTTTAACCAGTAAAATATTAACTAATTAATTAATCGTGATTATTCAATTATTAAACCATCTTTTCTTTTAACTAAGAATCTCAAGAAGTATATTTAATTTCTTTAAATCTCTAGAACACAGTTCTCGAAACTATCTAATTAATGTATAATAAACATATTATAAACAATTCAACAATTTCTCAAATTGACAAATCCCCTTCCTAATTCGACCAACTCTTAAAATGTACCCTATTCTACTATGGTTCCATTTTCCATATAGTAAATTCGATCATAATCCTTTAATGCTTCCAATCTATGTGAGATTGTTATTATTGTCTTTCCACACTCTCTCAAATATTATTAAATGAAATCTTCCACAGATTAATCTACGCTTGCAGTCGCTTCATCTAAACAAATGATATCTGGATTTTATAACACAACTCTTGAAAATGAAATCAACTGTCTCATCCCCTAAGAAATTTAATTTGACTCTATCTATGTCTCACTATCCATTGGAATGTATTTTGAAATAAGATCCTAATCAGAGCAATCCAAATTCTCACTCAAAGTTCCATCAAATACAAATCCTGATTAAGGAATAACACCCACTTTATTTCTCCATTAAAAAAGCTATTATGATGGCACCGACATTTCTCCATAAGTTTGCTCATATAATTGAAATAAAACTGCCAAAATTGAAGATTTGCCACTTCCTGTCCTCCCACAAAATGCTATCCTCTTTCCTTATTCAATCTCTAAGTTTATTCCTTTTAATGCTAACTACCCATTAAGGTACTATAATTGAACATCCTTAAACTTTATCTCTTTGGAATAATTCAAGTATTTATTTTGTTCCATTGAATTATTACAATATTTGTTTACTCTTTCATATGATACCAGTTCTTGTTCACAAGTAGTTAACGATAATGTTAAATCCTTAAATATACTTATCTTAGTCAAAGAGTAATATAATAACAATTATAAGGTTGACTTACTGATAGACAACTCATAGTATAAACTTAAAGCAGTGAACAATAGAATAAAAAATACGATGAATCCTGCAATTAGTTGCAATCTTATCTATAACCACAATGCAATTACTCTACTACACCATTAAACTTAAGTGGCTTGTGTTAGTTTATTTAGAAATATACCTTAAAATATATTATATTCATAAATACTTCTAAATTCTTCCCGTTTATTGAAGGCATTTATAGTTAAAATTCCTTTGAATTACTCAAAAATGATGGTTGCCAAATTTGAATTAGTCTCTGCATCCAATCTACGTAATGACAGACTGGTTGGTCTGTATAGTTATTATAATCTATAAAATAGTAGTGCTGACACTATTACAGGTAGCATCAATTGATACTAAAGAACAACCAACACAATTAAGGTTCCGATACAATTAAAAACGTTATTGCATAATATATTCAACTCAAATGGAAATCTGTTATCTATAACATTTTGATCATCTGAGAATCGTATTAATATCTGTCCACTATCCTCAGCATCAAAAAAAGAACAAGTTGCATGCATCACATGGCTCAATAAATTACTGAATATAGATTTGGCTTAAACTAAATTACCATAAGCAAACGACACAGCTCTTGATAATTTGATGATTATATCTAAAACTAATAATACAAATAAGGTCAATTCAAAAGAATTACTAAAGATAAATATTGGATTCTAATTAATATAGGAGTTTAGCCATAAATCATAGACATTAAAAGACATTTACATTAAAGCTAATGAAATCAATATCCATAAAAAGTTGTTTAACCCTAGTGCTTGTAAATAGCAGGAGATTGAGTTTTAAGCCTTCTTGATTTCAGGTTTTTCATTATTTTCTCTTTCCTGCTACACTGTTTCTTATTAGACAATATTGCCACTCTACTCTTTCAAATCAAAGGTTATATCCTGCAAATCTTGGAAATACATATCAATTTTCTGTTAATCATAAATGACCTAACCCTCCTGAATAATTATAATTTAATCTGCATATTTTTTGTATCTCTGCAAATGATTATCATTTAATGCAAATATTATCGGTTTCTTTAACTTCAATAAATTATAAAAAATGCTATCTCCTACTAGTGGATCTAAACTACTAAAGATATCATCCATTAGATATATATTACTATAATTGTACAAAGCTCTACAGATACACAATCTCTATTTTTATCCTCCTGATAGTTTAGATCCATCAGGGCCAACATCAAATAAGTCCTTCTCTGGATATTGTTTAATATCATCAATTAAATTACTCAAAATCAAGCACTATTGGTATAACTCAGCGTCATAATTTGATTACATTAAAATGTTATCCCTAATTGTCCCTTTAAAAAGCCAACATTATTGCGAAACATATGAAAATTCTTAATTTACTTAAAAAAATCCAGAATACGGCTTCATTTAATTCAAAAGCGAGAGTAGAAATGAAGATTTTCCTGATCCCACTTTTCCTCCAATGAATACTATATTATCTATCTTGAAGTGAGGAATTTTCAAGGTGAATGCGGCATCAAAATCCCATTTTAGCTCTGCTAAGTTAATTTGAATGCCTTCTTCAAACTAATTTTTAACTTTTCGAGTTATCACAAATGAATTAATTCTTTTAAACGAAGTCTTTGCTTATAGCATCCCAGCCAAAGTCCAAGGTAATGCGTTTAAAGGATTTGTTAATAATGAAAATACATAAATGATGGTAAATACATTATCTAGATCGTTGTTTTGGTGAAATATATGTATACAGTAATTGAAGATATCAGAAGTATTAGTAATTGACCAAAAGATGACACAGAGAGAATCCAGCCATTTTGAACCTGCAATAACTGCGAATTCTTTATCTCTGAGATTCATAATTTTGGATTCCCATTTGTTCTCCCATTTCAGAAATTTGATAGATTTAGGATTAGTAATAAACTCTTTTAAAGCTTTCATTCTTTAATCTTTGTAGATCAGACCTGATGAATAATATTGGCCTATTTTGTTTGCAATTGCAAAATTGATAAGCATTAAAATGATGGCTATAGTAAATCCTACAAAAACTGCCTCTTGTATTTGCAAATATAAAATTGTCATGCCTATCATCAATTTTAGAATTAAAGACCAAAATTCATGAAAACTTATAAAATAATTCATGATTGTATTGACATCAATATTGATTAGGTTCATGAGATCTAAATTAGATTAGGCTTCAATGGAATTATACAATGTTTAGATCAAGAATGATTTACATCTGAACTCTAAAATCTTGATTTAATAATTGTATTATGTATCAGTGAGGGTAGACACTAAGGTTGAACACAAGACTGCACCTGAGTAGACTACAAAGTCGTTATTTGATTAATCTACCGCAGTAGTCAAGTAATTGATTAAAATTGGAGTAGTGAATAAAAAAATAACCGAGAATAATTTTAGCAATCCAATCCATATAAAATTCTGCAAAAACATTTTCTACAAGGTCTTCAAAATGGGTTCATTGTTCTCCAATCCTCCATCATATTAACCAATTAGTTCATTGGGTAGGTAATTAGAATCACTAAGAGTGTTTTCTACTTCCTCCAAAGTAATAATTCTCTCCTTCGATTATATGATTTTGCGGATTTAAGTGAAGAATAAACTACTCAGATTTTATTTGTAATTTTTAGACATATAGGACTGGATCTCTTCATTCAAATTTTGATGTTGAACTTTCATGAATAAAATATTCCTGTTGATTTATAAGAATGATAATTTTAAAACAAAAGAATTGTAAAACATAATAGACTTAATATATTCATTTTTCTGTTAATTCTCTATACCCCTTCCAATCTTAAGGAGCTTTGAAATTAGTTTCTCCCATTACATTAAAAAGTGTACTGATTGGACCATCATTCGGTTTAAGTTACTTAGCTTTTTCAAACCACATATGGGCCTCTTTCCAATTTCCCAACAGGTAGCCTTAGAATCCTTGACCAAATTGATGCTAGATTTAGTAGTATGTATAACATTACCAAGAATTCTGGATTGAAATTTTTAGTTATAAGTCCAAGATCCTTGTTTCTTTTCATATACAATTCTCCATTAAAATCACCAGACTCTAATTATTAAAGAAAGATTTGCTTTTTCTCATACATCACTTATTGCTTCTCTTCCTAAGGGTAATCCTACTTACTAAGAGGCAAATCATCTCCCTCCATCTCAACTGTGAACAAACCAACAGGCTTAACACTTCCCTTCACTGTAACTTTATCGATCTATCTTGTATATTTCTTGATTTCATTGGAGAAATATTGGTGCAATTCACTTGAGATCAAGACTGCCACTCCATATTATTTAGTTGCAGCTTCTAAACGGGAGGCCATGTTAACATTTGGACTTAGATAGGAGGCATCAATTTTGAATTCTGATCCAATGGCCCCTTCTATACCCCATCCTATATGCAATCCGAATCCCATCTTGACTTTATATCCTGGCAAACGTTGACTTAATCTCTCATCATTTCTATATTCTAATATTTTGGGTTCTCTATTGATCTTAGCATATATCTTCATGAAAGCAATTAGAGCACAATCAGCTAATTAATTTATGAACACCAAGTTGGACCTTGTATAATATAATGATATTTACCATTTGATTTCATTTCCATCCTCATACCATTAAGAATCATTGATTTTCCAAACTAATAAGAATGCATCTCCTATGTTTTTATTGGCTGATCCTTGATATCGATCCACCATTGAATGAACAATCTCAGCTATATTATTGACAAACAACATCACATCTTTTTGCAAGACCTCAGTGGCATCAGTGAAATTACGAATATCACAAAATCCATAAATTGCCCATTTACGTTTACCTGGTAACATAGGATCCACATCTCCTGATGATGCCATATTAGTTCCTATAATAGCAGAACCTGCATCACCAAATCCTAATGCCAACAAGGCCCCTATTTTGATGATAGCATTTTCTATCTAAGTGGTTTCCTTTTGGGTTCCTTCAGATTCTAATTTCATCTCCTTAGCCAATTAAGGATTCTTAGCTATTAAATTGACTTTCACTATCATCCTATCTATTGGTTTCAATGCAACATTACTAGCATCATTGGAAAATGCAATTGCTCCAAATAACAATACAGCACTCACAAATAAGGTATTAACAATATTGATAATTGAATTCTTAGACTCAACATCAGAATTATCTGAGACAAAAAGAATGACAGGATCACCGATGTAATCCAATCCCACTAATACAGGATCTACTAATTCAAAATAATAGCTTTTCGAACTTTCTCTTAAAAATTAATATGAAGGGGTTTCGTAATTCTCTATCTCAGTAAATGGGTTAGTGATATATCCTACAGGTGTGTCAAATGATTTATGCTAATCGATCACAAAATTAATTGTCTAATTGATCTCACTTAATTTAGTATTCGGAATTTCAGCCACAACTCTGAAATATGAAGCTGCATAAGCCAAACTATATGAGGGTTCAAAATAGTAATCAGAACTAAATAAAGGCATGATTAAAAGCAATATAATGACAAGGATGATGACTTTCTTCGTTGTGGAATCTGATAATCTCTTGCTCACTCTTGATTCTTTTATTTCTTTTGCTTTGATTTACGATGGTTCTTTCATAGACTGTCTACGATTTGGTAAGCTCTTTGGAATCGAATTCTCAATTTAGAGTTATTTTGCAACCATATTTTAATTTTCTCGATTTTCTTAACTATTCGCATTATCTTCTCCTTCTGGTTTATGACTCTCAATACTGCCCCGTTATTCAGTGTGATTCTCTTTTTTATTTAGATTCTCTTATTCAATTGCTATATTATTAATGTTCTCATAAACAGATGGATAAATTGTTGCTCTACTTTTTTTAATGGTCTAAGTTCGGATTGGTTACCTTTTGAATGCTTATTCCTACGAATAACTAGCTGCCTTATACAACTTAACTATTCTAATTAATCTAACAAGACGAACAACTCTAATTGCTTTTGAACTAGTCTTAGAGGCTTTGTTGGCTTGGGACAATTAGGAGGCGGATTTTGCAGCTACGGAACCTCTAAAATAAGATTAGGGGGGGAAATAGTTACTGTAAACCAACTGCAATATTGAACTAGGTGATATCCAAAATTTAAGAAACTGTTGATATTATATCCAGCCAGAAAAAGAATGAATTAAAATAGTCAGTTCTAACCATGCTTGCAATGACAATTTCAATTGAAAATATTATCTACCATAGATGATGATTTTACCATGCATATTATAGTGATTACATCGAATCCATCATCAGCTCTTTTATCAAAAGCAATAATTCTAATGTCATCGCCAAATAGAGCATAGATAGTTAACAGATTTACGAATATTTAAAACCAACTACTATCCAAAATACTCGTTAAGAGTGGAAACTTATCACTGAATTCATAATTTTTTCATTACATTTCTTAATCTTGACCAAACACGTCGATATCATCAGCGTTGCTCTCTTCTGAAATTACAGATTAGTTATCAACTTCTGGATTTACTTGCGGTTCATTCATTATTATTTCTATTTTAATTATTATACATATTCCTAAATTTATAACTATATAATAATATAATTAACTAAATTATTTATAAGTAAGATCTTTTTCAAAATATATTCTTCAATCTTTCCAATTTCGTTTTCATAAATATATAAATAAAGAATAATTATATCTATCAATGAGATTAGGGTTGGTTGGTTTTCCGTTTTTTCCTTTTTGCATCAGTTTTTCCAATTCAATTCATTTTTCATCATCACAATTTGTAATAATAGAAAAGTGTGAGAAAAATGTCTCTGCATCAATCTAAAGGAATTTCTTCTTGATAACTTTTTTACTCAGTCTTAAAACTCAATTAAGGTGTTGATGTTTTCAATTTAATTACAGTTACCTGTGTATCTGTAATAAGCATAAGGTCCTTACTAAATGGATTTTGAATCAGTTGTTTAAGCACAGATTTCTTTGATTCATCTATATTATAATTTATATTTTATATTATAAGATTCTGAATTTAAATAATGAATTCATTACTGTTTAAAGGAATACTTACTTTTGCATTACTAGAATTATTCAAATATTGCGGATTCTGATAAAAGAGTATTATTGATAGTATTAAAAATCTTAACTAATTACGAGAATTATAATCAATTCCATATTTAAGATTTCGGGACATTGAATCGTTGAGCATATTTGGTGTATATACCTAATTCTCTATTTTTAATTTCTTCTATTTTCTGTCTGGATGCCAAATTGATTTTGTTATTCCTATAAAATGAATTTCTAAACCCAATATGTTATTCTAATTAGGAGGAAACAACAGGAGATTTGTGAACATTTTGTCTCCTCCTCTTCTTGTCTACCATGACTCGTATATCCACTTTCTGTAATGGCGGTAGTGATCTTTTTTATTATTCTCGTGAATTTTTTTCTGAATACTAATCTTCGTCAGTCTCATTTATGGGGAGTGGATTGGTTCCCTCCATTTCAGCTAAAAAAATTGGTACTCTCTTAAAATTAACACCATAAATCTAATCAAGAGTAAGAGGAATAGATTAAATCATTTTGTATTTCCAATTAAAGTTCCTATTAATAATAATAATCATAATAAATTTGGCTTCTGTAAATGTAAATCATGTTCTCAGATGTTCTCTCAAGTGGGCATCCAAGTACAGGAGCAATAATAAACGGGATATTTGTAAGCAATTGGAAATTCGTTTAGAAAATTATGCAAAAATGAGCGTTTTATTTAGGTTTTGGGGTGATTGAAAATATAATAATAAAAGGGGGGGGAGTAAGAAATTCTGGGTGAATATTATTATCATTCTATAATCTTCAAAGACTCATAAATTTATTTATTATTAGTTTGTAAGAATTAATATAAATCAATGAATTAGTAATTGCTGTCTGAGAAATTGCAATTGAGTGGATTGAAAATTGAATCATGTGGATTTATTAGGACATTTGATTATCTTAGGAATTTGAAGTTGTAAGATGAAATTCGGATTGAGGATATTGGTGCACATAATATCTATAAATTTAGTGTTAGAATATTAAATCAGTAATATATCATAAGGAGAAGGGTGAAGGATTTCTAGTAGTTGGAATCAACGACAAATCCTGATCCGCTTTTTTTATTCAAAAAAAGAGAAGTAATAAAAGAAAGTATGGAAGATTAACCCAAAGAGAAATAATAAATTTTGTTCAATTTTTTGAAGTCATTTCTGCAGAGTGAAAATTTGAATGAGCTAACTCAAGAGGTTTTAAAGTTTTTTGAGATTTCTGAAGTGGAGTATGGCGATTTCAAAAAGTTCAAGGAATGCACCTTAAAAAAGAGAGCAGGAGGAAGATTCTCCGAAAGTAGATGCACCAGATGCGGAACCCTCTGGGGAAGATGGTCAAAAAGGTACGTATTCCAACATTAAAATTAGATATTTCTATATATCGAATAATGGAGTGATGTATTGTAAGGGTCCCTTCGGACAAAGAGCATAGATGAGAGAATAATTGGTGTTTGATTACAATTTTCGAATGAAATATGGTAAGGCAGGAACTGGTTACAATCGAGGTATCAAATTAGAGTTCGCGACAAGACATCTATTGCTTGTTGCCCCTGATTACTTCACTTATACAGAATTCTTAACAGCATTAAACCAAGCATAATAGTGCTGTCCTTACATGCAGCTCCATAGATTCAATTCCTTTGCCCCCATAAAGGATAGTCATTGCAAATGGTACATCGACGGAGAGGGGTATTTCAGCGATGTGATGACTGCCTTGTTGAGTGCCAAGGAATATGTATATATTACTGATTGGTGGATGAGTCCAGATCTCTACTTAAGGAGACCCATAGCCATAGATTAAAATGATTAAATAAATTAGGATTCCAGATTGGATAGGATCCTCAAGAAGATTGCAGATAGGGGAGTGGCCGTCTACATCTTAATGTATTTAGAGCCCACCATAGCATTAAAGCATGATTCAAATCACACTAAACTTTTCCTTGAAAGACTGTCTCAAAATATCATAGTCTTAAGACATCCCTCACCTATGCCTTAATTATGGAGTCATCATGAGAAGATTGTGGTTGTAGATGGATCAGTGGGATTTATGGGAGGCCTCGATTTGTGTTTTGGCAGAATGGACACTCAATAGCATTTACTCACTGATTTGGATGTGAGGAAACAGTTCTGGCCAGGGATTGATTATGCAAATAATAGAATGAAGGATTTTGAGAGTGTTCACAAAAGTGGAGAGAGCTAAATCAACAGGAGTGATCCTAGGATGCCTTGGCATGATATTGCAGTCAAAGTAAGTGGATAATCAGTTAGTGATTTAGTCAGACATTTCGAATAGTATTGGAATCACGTTATGATTAGTCAGAATTTTTAAAAGAGAATACAACATTAATTATAAGGAAATGCTAAAAATCCAAGCAATTATTATAAAATCTAAGATGCTCAATTGCAAACTACCCATGATACTTTCTTCTAAAAATATAAGAATGAAATCAGGGAGGAGTATCAATGTTAGGTTCCAGAAGAAGAGTTCAAAGATAATTTGGAGAAGGCGATTACAAAATCTTATAATCCAAAACAAAGGTTGTCAGCCATTTTCCCCAATAAACAATAATGTAATAAGGACTTTATGGAAATTCTTGAGAAAATTCATGGATAAAAGTAAGAAGATGAGGAAGATTTCGAAGAGAGTATTGTGCCGATAAATAAACAATTTCGATCAAGCATTATGATTCAACCTAAATTGTAGATTGTCTACGAGAAGGGAGAATGTCAGACTTAAATTTTGAGATCAGCATCAAATTGGTCAATTGGTTGCTCTCCTGCCAACACTGAATTCTCTATTCAAATTGCTTATACTCATCTTATATCAGAAGCTCAAAATTTCATTTACATTGAAAATCAATTCTTCATTAGTGCTGTCGATGACAATCACAAGACCTTAGAAAATAAAGTAGCTTTGGCTCTAGTTCAGAGAATCAAAAAGGCAGCCCTAAAAAAAGAGAAATTCAAAGTGATAGTATTCTTGCCTTTATTACCTGGCTTTGCTGGAGAAATTGACAAGGATTCTGCAGTTTTGAAGGTCTAATTGCATTGGGAATATTAGACAATTAGTAGAGGAGGGAACTCCATTCTTGAGACACTTAAAAAGGATGCCAACATTTAAGATCCTAGTGAATATATTGAATTTTATTCATTGAGAACACACACCAAGATTTTGGATGTTCCGAAAACTGAATAAATTTATATTCATTCTAAACTTATGATTGTTGATGATGAATATGCTCTTATCGGATCTGCAAATATCAATGATCGAAGTTTGGTTGGAAATCGAGATTCAGAAATTGCAATTGTCATTTATGATAATAAAAAAAAGAGATCCATGATGGGCGGTGAAGTTGTGGGAAGGTCTATATTTGCTTAGGAGTTAAGGACTTCCCTCTACATGGAACATTTCGGATTAACATATGAATAAGTCATAGATCCTTTGAGTCCAGAATTAGAACAACTAATTAGATATAATACTCGTAGAAACACAATTATATATAGATAAGTATTTGCATGTTACCCTGATGATTATATTAAATCATTGAATGACTATTAAACTGTAAATGAATATTTAATTTTTAGTTTAAATCTTAAGGAGACCTTTCCAAATATGATTAATTATCTTAATAAATTGTAGGTCATGCCGTTGAATTCCCCTTAGAATTTTTATGCAAAGAGGATTTGACAATTAAAATCTTGAGTATGGAAATTATCGTTCCAGAAATCAATTTTACATGAATTTAAATTATACACAATTTTAATGCGCTTAATGTACATTTCTTATTAATTTTATGTTTACTAGCTAAAATCTTATATTCTTTAATTAACGTATTCATCATCCATAATGATATGATTATTAAGTTTATGAAGAATAAATATTTTGTTTGGATTAGATGAAATCAGATTAGTTCATTTATATATGTAAGAATAACCCGAAAGTATCATCATTTATATTTATAACTCACCTGCGGATAAATAGACTTGTTCATATTTGTTTATTATACTTCATTTTTAGAATATTGTGGAAATTCGTTAAGAAATTAATCCATTAATATTAATAATGTTTCTGAGATTAGCATCCAATTTCATTAGGCAGCCTATGATGATGAAACAAATTTCAAAGTAATTGAGATTTCTGCCTATGACAACAATATTGAACAATCACAAGTTGTTGATCTATAATTTATCATAATTGCACACAGCATTCTTTTAGATTGAAGAGTAGAATGATGATGAGGACTTATTGTAAATACTGTCTATGAATAGAGTAGATTGGAAGAGGTCCCAGTACGTAGGACAAACTCAAACTAATTGAAAATTGATTGATTATTATAGTCATAGTGAAATATTCAAAATTATTCATTCATTTTAAGTGTGGATAGTATTTTAATTAAATTAATGAGAAGTTTTCCGCTTAGATTCATTGCTTAAAGAACCACGCAACTATTCAGATCAAATTAATCCCTTTCGAAATTAATGTCATGCAGAACAATCAGATTTCATTATTCCCAAGAGTTCATTCATAATAAAAATAGCAATAATACTTCGAATCAGAGCAAAAAGGATAATAAAATTATAGATATTCAACCCTTTTAAATGATCGAGCTATTCTAAAAGTTGGTCGCTTTGAGAAAAGAAGAATAGAATGAAACCAATTGTATTTCATAATTCGATATTTGTAGAGGAAAGTATGATCTTAACATTGGAATAATTAGTACCCTTTATTGACAACTTCAACATTCATTAATTAGAATACTTTTTGGTTCTGGCAAATGAGACAATTGAAATTGATCAAAAACTTACTGATAAATTGTATGAATAGAATAAGCATCTCTTGTATTCAGAGTATCCATATTTCATTAGAATTTTAGATAATCTGATTTCATTAAGTGTTTGTAAGTCCTGGCTTTATTGACTGAAAATCCTCTTGAAGAGCCACAATTGGAAAACTTCATTAAAATGATCTTTACAATTCTTGAGATTCCAGATCTTGAGGCATCCATTCTTGCTTACTCTATATATGTATATGGACTAATCATTAAACAATACAAAATCGAATCAAAAGAATTCTATTAATCAATCACTAGGCATTTAAAAAATATTGATTTAGATTATCAGGAAATCATGGAAAAGGGTAAAAAGGATTCTTAATTAATTAATTTTACTTAACAAGACCTCAAACTACTATCCTTAGGATTGCATTTTGGTGGATGCTAAAACTCTGTTCTTGGAAAATATATTTCATTAAAAGCACAAAGTATTTTTGTTGAAATCTCGAATCTCATTTTTATATCTAAATTTTTGTTTAAATAAGAATAGGTTGAGCAAGAATTCTTGACTTACTTTAAACAATAACTTGAGAAGTCCAAGAATAAGATTTAACCAGATGACTTGATGCAATTGGCCATTGCTGTCAAACAGATGAAATAGCCAGATTAACAGATATTAGAATTCATTGTTAAAGAATTCTTGAGGACGAAAAGCAATTTTACAGTAGGGGACAAAGCATTCTTATACCAAAAGATGGCATAAATGCTTTGTACATCTAAGGAATTATGGACTCAATTTGCATCGGAAGTGAAAGAAATTACAGATAAATGTGAGTGGTTTGATGCGTGCTTTATGTTTTATGGCATTTTTGATGTAATCCTATTGGATTATTTAGGTTTTCGAAGCTTTGTCACCAGAATGTCAAGAATTCATATTCAACTATATCATTGGGCATGAGAAAGTGATCGATAGTGAAATGAAGAAATTGCTATTCACAAAGTTGAAAGAGAAGGGGATCCTTACCGAACAAGATATTGAGGAATCAAAAAAGTAAAATTGAATGTGTATAATATGCGTATAAATTCATAATGCTAATTGATACATGTAATTGACTCTTTTTAATACTTCTTTGTAATTTCTAATTGCTTTGTTTGCTCTATCCGTGAGCGATGTGTTAGTAGTAATCGAAAAATTGAATGGTTTTAGTTATAATATATTATCTTTGAATGGTGACAATTAATTCTAATTAGATTTTGAGTTCTTACATATATTATTTAAATTTAATCTGTATCTTTTGAATTTACAAGGTCAAATATTTTTTGTATTAATAATTTACTGTACCTACATTCATTCATCATGTAATTCAAATTATTCATATTTATTGTTTTGTTATCTTCCAGTATCAAGTATTAGGATTCCCTAGTGCATAATTCAAAGAGCGCCAACCCTAATTGCTATTGCATGTTGTAAGATTCTCCCTCCATTATTTTAATCTACCCATTATTATAGAAAATGCAGGTGGTGCTAAGATTTGAGGTTTAATTTTTAGATTTGATGAACATTACTCCTTGCAAGATCTAATAAAATAGATTCCAGATTTCAGTCTCCGCAATGGGTAATTCCTGATTGATTAAATAATCTTGTAGAGTGGAGTCATAAAACTCATAATATATTGAAATGTAGCTATTATCGTTTTGCTTGTGTAACTCCGCAGCTAGTAGCTCGATTACATTCTCGTGTTCCCAATTTGATCTTTCATGCAATTCCTGTTTCGAAATATCTGATTGCAATATTTTGCAATATGCCAACTATCCATTCTCCTTCTATTTCCAAATATCAATTTGACCCAATTCCAAATGCCGAATGGTAAGTAGAAAGTCATAGCTTTCCAAGAAACTCATTTTTTGTTAACTGATTAATTAATTATAAAAATCTATAATAAAGTTCATATATAATGATTATAGAAATCTTTAATACTCATCAAGTAATCCATAGTAAATACTATTCCTACTAAGTAATAGCTAAAAAATATAATTTAACTGTTTATGTTCTTATATTAAATTGAAAATAAGAAAGTTAATTTGCATCAAATTAATTTATTTTATTTCGTTATTATTCACAATCTATTTAATCAATAGTCTGAGGATAGTGCTTTTATTTATAATTTAATTGAATTCTAATCATATTAAGTTATTTTATATTACCACTATAAACATTATATTAAATGTCCAAATTTAGAATGATAAAAATGGTTAATTTTAAATCCTTATCAATATGTCCTATTATATAATACAAAAATTCTGTATAGTTATTGAAATTATATTAATTAGTTGGTTCATCCATCTATACTCGTTATTAGAATCATGAAAAAGTATTTGTCATTCACTATTAAATACATACTTTCTTTATATTAATGTTCTTTTGATTAATTAAAAAATATAAAATTCAATTTAATAGTGAAATTATAAACCATAAATCAACAATTCTAATGTTAATTGGGTAAATTCATAAATCCAACTTTGAATTTACCAAATATTTGTAAAATTAATAAGTTTACTAATGTATGAACAATCATTGCAAGTGTTTGATTTTCTATTCATAGATTTCATATAGAAATTATATTTTTATTCTATTTTAAATTTGATTAATATAATTAGTATTATTAATTTGATTAATTTGTTTGTGAAATTCCTCTTCAAATAATATTATTATTTTCAATTATAGATAAACAGCAATTCATTGATCTTCTAAACAGTAAAACTAATATATAATAGTACTTTATTAAATGATATAATTTGTTTAGGTGTTTTGATATGCTGTATAAATACCATTATTATTTTGAAATTGATATAACTTATCAATCTTTACATTTGATTTAATTTCCAAAAAGGTCTTGGTTTGATTAATTTATTTAATTTTAATGGATAAACAATGTAAAATATATAAGTCGAAGGAGATAGTTTACTCCAGGGATCCCAACGATGTAAGACTATATCTTAGTGAATTTTAAGAAAAAGAAAATCATAAATGGGTATAAGATTATGAAAATAATTGGGGAAGGATCATATGGGAAAATTAAACTAGCAATTAAGGATAATCAAGAATATGCAATAAAAAAGATTAATAAGTTTATTCTGAAAAAGAAGAATAAAATGTACAAGAATCCCAATGGAAGTAATTAAATATAGAATTATTTAAAGCTACCAAGTATGTTTCATTGTTGGATGAAGTATACAGAGAAATAGAAATTCATCAAAAATTAGATCATCCAAACATCGTCAAGATGCTTGAGATATATGATGATGAAGAGAGAGAGAAATTGTATGTGGTTTTAGAATATGCAGAAATGGGGCAAATTTTGAAATGGGAAAGCAAATAAGAATTATTCACAGCTCCATGGAAATTCGATGAACTCACATTCAAAGATTATGCCAAACAAATGCTGACGGGATTGCAATATCTATAGTAATAATATGTTGCACATCGAGACATTAAGCCACACAATATACTATTGACCAAAAATCATCAGATTAAAATATGTGATTTTGGATCTGCTCAATAAATGTCTCCACAAAATGACAGAGTAAAAGGTACTGAAGGAACATTTCAATTTGTTGCTCCAGAATGTTTAAGAGAAAATAAAAAAAGTGAAATTCCAGGCTATAGTGGTCATCTGGCAGATGTTTGGAGTTTAGGAGTTGTGTTCTATTGTGTAGTGGAATTGAGATTGCCATTTCAAAGTGAGATAATGTTGGAACTATTTAATTAGATAGAAACTAAAGAGTATTGTATATTCTGTTAACATTAGAATTACAATGAAATATGATGGACCTGCAAAAGGTGTGATTCTCAAAATGTTGACTAGAGACACTAATGAAAGACCGAATGCAACCTAGTTATTAGAGGATCACATATTTTTAATGATTTAGTATCGTAGTAGCATTTTTAGATATAATTAATTCTACAATCACATCATTTTGCTCAAGTACTTCACTCTTAAATTCATTATAAATGTTATACTCTACAGGTTAATATTCTGATTGAACAAAATTCCATTTCAAAATCAGACATCGCTTATTGTCACATTCAAATTCAAAAACATACTCCTCTTTGTTAAAATAGGAATAATCGTAATTCAATCCAATTTCCCATACAAACACAACCCATTAAGGACCAAAGAGCTGATTCAATTGATTTCGAATGAATTCTGCCTAATTGACAAATACTTTCTATTTCTAGCTTCTTGAGAACACATCATAAATAGCCTCCTTGTGTATTTAAGTTACATTATAGCCTTATCTAATGATGCTAAATTAACTCATAGATTTCAAATATATTCTGAGTAGTTTATATAATAATTAAAAAAAAGAATATTCAACAATGATTATTATAATTATTACTTGGCTTCTTTTGTTCTTCTTTTTAGCTATTCAATCAGCTTTTGATTTAATCGAAAATAGTTAATAATCTTTTATCTCTAATATTAAATTGCTTCTAATACAATATCATTTTATATATTATTAATCATTCTTTTAACTTCCTTCTGATCATGATATAATTATTTATATCCTTTTTTGGAAAGATGAGATATAACTATTACCTTTTGAACTTTCCAATTATTGTCATTTCTGCGAGAATATTAAGTTTTAGTATTGTAAAAGTATAAACAATTAAATTTAGCCTTATTAATATGAATTAGTAAAGCGTTGGAATCCTATTTTATTTTTGATTTTAGATTGTAATTCCTTAGAATATCAAATTAAGAATATTTAATTTTATTTAAATGCTTAATTCATCTTAAACCAAAAGCACTATGGAGACAAAAAGGCCAATAATTATTGAACACAAATATAGCATTATCAAAAACATTTACAGAGGGAAACAATATAACATATATTTAGGTAATAGATGTAGAATTTAAGAGATAGGTAGCCATAAATAAAGAGGAGGTTAATGATTTCAATTCGGCAAATTTCAAAGATAGGTTTTACCTAATAAAGATGAGAAAGTAAGAATGTATTGCCATTTTAAGATAATCCTAACAAAACGAGATAATTCCAGAACTGCAATTTTTATTAAGATTAAAGGACAGTATACTCCTATGTAATATTAATAGCCAACTGTGCTTCCATATTAGTCAAACATGGAGATCAGGTTATAAATGGCTAAAAATATCATTATCAAATCCTATAGAGACATGGTCCTTCGATCAAGCTAGTTTACCATTATCTGTCCAAAAGCCTTCCTCTACCTCTACTGTGTCTCATAGCCATTTAAACTGTACTATTGAATACGAATATTGTAGTTAACTTGTCTTGAAGCCATCCACAGAAATTAAATAGTTCATAGGAATATTCGACCGAAAAAATTATTGCTTTCAACCAGTGGCAATGAAATCTTACTTTGCGATTTCAAATTTGCTAGTAAGTTCAAGTTGCAACAAGGATCAATTTGCTGTTTGGAAAACCACAATTCCAATTCAAGCAAACTATTCCTCAATAAATACTCAAGTATTAATTAGCATTTGAATCAATGTAAGAGTGTCAATACAACTATTAGTTCCCACACCTAAGGATGATCTAGAGTCCCTAGCTTATATATTGTTAGTGTATGCAACAAATTCTAGTATCTTCAAGATAAAGGCTGATAATAAAGGGCTGAAACTCAAAAAATTGGAGAACATTAAATTATCGATGGTACCTGAAATTGCATTTAAATCCGCTCCAATTGAATTCATCCACTTTCTAAACTTAATTAAGACTAGCAATGCTAATGACTATCCTTAAGAATATGAGAAGTTCAAATCATTATTTCGTAAGATTATTTAAGCCAAGGGATACAATGAAAAAGATTTATAATACACTTTATTCCATATGCAATTTCAGGAATCTCATTCCTAATAATAAAAAGTTTAGGCAAGTAGATTTAAGAAAATATCGAATCGCAAAGAGAGTTCTGAATAAGAGGCAATGGATGATGAGTTTTCAGTTTAGTAGTGTAATACCGTTGGAGAGGATTGTACTATAGAACCAATCATAAAATCTGTAGGATCATAATCACATAAAAGCCTATCTGGTCTTAATTCACATAGACTTGAACTTGAAACTTAAATCATGAAACTCCAATTAACGAAGACTCGAAATTTAGTATATTTTTTAACAATTTTCTACATTTATTAGACATAATTATAATGTTTTAGTGTCAATTAATAAATTAATGAAATATTATATCATTCTTTGTTTAGTTGCAGCTACTTTGGCTGGATCTTGTGGATAAACATGCTGCTAGGATTTAAAGACCAGAGCTGCCATGACTTATCACTATTATATTAATACAGGTAGATTTGTTGGAGGCAGTGGAGACTCTGCAATTAAAACATTTGGATATTCTGGTTCCGGTCAAGTATCTAAAGTCATATGATAAAATGTAGTATAGAAATGATCCAGCATCTATGTGCATCAAGAACAAAGGTCCTGCTCCAGCCACTACTTATAAAATTACATTGTGCAAAAACACAATGCATAATCCCCCAGTTGACAGACCTTGTTCTTTTTGGATCGAGGCAGTAGATGAAAAAACAATGTGTGGCAGAAGTGAAATCTTCATCCACGGTTGTTAATGCTGTTCAAATGGAGATTGGACCGAACCACCTGTTGATGGATGTTCTGCAGGGTATTAAATATTTGATTACATCATTGTAGATGCGTCATCATAAACGAAGCCAATAGAAAGAAGTTAAGAGTAGGAGACACTATAATTATTGAATAAAGGGATCCATTGGGTGATGATGTTCAATTCTTGGAAGATTACTCTTAATTTGCACAAGAAGAATGAAGCAATTGTTACATCATTGGACAATTATTTATCAAATTATTTATGAAATGTTTTCTTGCTCTTTTATTTGTTGTCATAGCATAAGCTGGGAATTGTGGACAAACTTGTTATTAAGATTTGCCAACGAAACCTCCAATGACATTCTATAAGTTTATAAGCACTGGGAGATTCTTCGGAGGCAATGGCGATTCATCGAATAGTACTTTTGGTTATTCTGGAACTGGAAAAGTATTTATTCTACAGACTCAAAACTAGTTTAGAAATGCTCCCACAGCCTAATGAAGAAAGAACTAAGGACCTGTTCCTGCAAATACTTAAGCAATAAAAAAATGCTAAAATACAATGCATAATCCTCTAGTGGACGGGCTTGTTCATTTTAGATAAACAGCAAGGACAAAGACAAAATGTGTGGAAGAACAGAAGTTGTGATCCATGGATGTGCTGGTTGTACACCTAGTGATTGGAATGGAATGTACCATCTATTGATGGCTGTTCTGCCTACAGGGTGATAAGTAATTGCTAAGATAGATGTATCATCATAAATGAAGAGAGTAGAAAAACTAAGAGTGGGAGACACTTTGATCGTTTAGGATTATGATACATTGATTGATTGAAAGTATGAAATTAGATGACATCATCTTGGAGAAAGAATTATGTATGAATGAATTATTAATTTGCAATAATAATTCCTGTTATTATTAATTATATTTTTAGATAGAAGGTTTTTTCTTATCATTTGGTTCTTTAATAAAATTCAAAAGCTGAATCGTACATTGTTTTGATATAGGGTGATAATTTTTAGAGAACATTTTTCAATGAAATTTGACAACATCCAGCCATTTCAGATATTGCGTTTAAATTTATACCTCCTTTTTCTTTGAATACGAAATCTCCTGATAATTTAATTAGGACTGATGCGATTACATGTTCGTGTTCTCCTTAAATAAGATTCAGATTCTTTAAATTTGAAAAGAAGAATTTGCATAGTGTTTAAAACTTCTGATTAAATCCTATGCCTTTACAAATTCTAGCCATGAAAGCTATGGTAAAGGCGTCTTCATTAAATGGTTCAAATTGGTTTAGTTGATTCAGGATCTTGCGTACTTACTTATCATTCACATCTATAATTTAAATAACTTCGTTGACTCTTAATGGGACGAGCAGAATTCTTAAAGATTATATAATCAATGCACATGCTATTGATTAATATTTTTTCGATTTTACTTTCTCTATTAACTCACTATTCAACATCTCGAAACATTTGGCCTTGATCGTGTCTTGATTTAAATCACTTAAGAATTAAGGATTATCTTGTGAGAGTTTTTTGAGCATTTCATCGATTAATAGGTTAACTTGTTTAAGTCTTCTTTTGTCGGATTTCTGCAATTCTGGCATCTGTTTTGTTTCTTTGATTTATTTCTGTGCTACTAAATTCCAATTGAATTTGGGAGGAGGTGGTCTTTAGCTAATTTTGTAATTCATATTATTTTGGTTAATTAATTAATTAGAAGAAATTTAATTGAAGTGCCACTGACCAGAAAAGACCAGAACTTAATTTCAGAGCATGTTATGTTATTGAATTCAAGTAGATATTATTTCCATAATATATTCTGCATATTTGATCGGGCTGTTATTCTATTGCGCTTATATAAATTTATTGCTATTATTGTAGAAAATCAACTGATAAATAAAAATATGTTAACAAATGTTAGCAAACCTGTTGAAATCTCTTATCAATCTTAAATCATCTGTAAATCATCCCATCTATAGAAGAACCTACTTTAAAGTCGTAGCAGCCACCCACTACTTAGATACAAAAATAGGCATTATAATCGATCCCTTTGGTTCCTTTGAGATAAGCCCACAAATCCATGACCACAATTAGACCCTCCATATTTAAATCCAGAGTGGAGGAACCGACTTCATTTAATAAGTATCACATTATCTATAAACTCAGAGATGCCTCCTCCCTGATTGCTAAACTTGATTCGTTACGCGAAATTAAAACCTAAGAGAGTCCTTTCAGACATCACAAAACAACCTATATTCAACCTCAATCTAGCGTTGTCTTGGAATTCAAAAACGCTGCACCCAAAACTGTGCAATTGCAATCAAGTGTCTTCGCCAGTTGTGTTGAACCTTTCCGTTCTTCCAAAAGCATCGCAAGCTCGAGTGTCTCAAACAGTTAATAATGGAGTAAAACTATTCCTCCCTAAAAAAATTATGAAGCACTCATCGAAACTCTGATGAAGGAACAAGACACAGTGGTTGAACAATACGGTGATAAATTAACGAAGTTGGAATAGAAAGTGGTTGTCCTCTCTCAAGAAAACACAAACCTTATGGAATAAAATAAATTACTTTTGACTTAAAACATTGAATTAAATGAAGAAATTACATAATGGAAAAATTAAGTAAAACAATATCTTCAATAATCCTAAATTAATTCCAAATTCCAAAATGATATCGAAATCTTAGAGAAACAACTTGAATACAAACAAGATGAACTCAAATAAACCATCTCTAACCTGGAATAAATCAAAAATATTAATCAATCTTTCGAACTCACCATCAAAGAATAACAAGACCAAATCAATTCTATACTATAACAATAACTTAAAGAAAGTGATGCTTACAACTCAAAAATCATTGCCCAAAAATAAAATATCCAAGAATTAGAATCAAAAGTCAATCAATTTTACAAAAATGAATCTTCATCCTAAACCTTAATCAGAGATTTGCAGAATAAAATCAAATTATTAGAACAAACCAATGAGAGATCGAAAGTCCTCAATTAACAATCTCCTGCCAAAGTATAATTATATACTATCTAGATTAATGTTAAAGATTAGTATGAATATAAACAATTACTCTTGGAATTGGATAGCAAATCCATGACCATTACAGAAAAAGAAACCTAAGTAGAAGCTTTGAAAATCAAGAACACCATGCTCTAACAATAGCTAATCTAATTATAAGCATGCCAATTGGGTATCAGAGACTATGAATCTGGATTAAAATAAAAGCAACAAGAAATCAATGAATTATAATTAGCTTTACAAAGGAAAAATTAAGAATGCGATGCTCTTTCATAAAATTAACAAATCATAATCAATAATAGAAATGAAGAATATGAAAATATCATAAATGAACTGTAATCAACTTTGCAAAATAAAAATGATGAACTCGAAAAAGTTACCCTTCAATTAAAAACCGTCAAAAAGGAAAAAGCCAAACTATCTATGAATTTAATTACAGCCGGAATGGCAAATCTAGTAATGGTATCCTAAAGTTCTACCTGAGCTATGAGTCTCCCTGATAATCATTTATATCAAGCATATAAAAATATTATTAAGATTCTACTTATAAATATACAATTATTTAATTTTGGTTGAATCAAATTTAAAAAATATATGATAAAAACAAAAGAAATACATAATTCTGGTGGAGATTTTAATTTTCTTAAGTTATTTGAACATTCCCTGGAGTTGAGATCAAACCTAATAAGTTTATGCAAAATTTACAGATATAAACGCTAATCCATACTCTGGTATCAATTTTGCACTAGTTCCAAATTTAATCTTCTATCTCATTTAGAAGTGCCGTACCGAACCCAATAATCAATAGATTTTGAGTCTAAAATTCATATTCATGCAAAAAAGTAACACAAAAATAATATATTATACATAATGCTATAAAATAACTAGTAAAAAATTATCATAATATAATATATTAATTATATTTATAATTAATTAATAAATTATTAATATAATTATTTTATAGAATTTAATTAAACTTTTTATATTTTTTTAAAATAATTTGGATAATATATCTTCTAGTAAGACTCATTTTTCAAATATTATGAAACTAGACATTAGATTGAAAAGGATACTAACCATTCTTATAAATATTTTATGTTCTTAAATATAAAATTCTCATGAGCAACAACATCTTACAACGTTTTGAATAACTACTGGGCCATTAAAAGTGAGAAGAATTGAGATAGAAAATCCTACTATTCCCATTGTTATTTTATTTGTAAAGCTTAGACCCTCTTATACCTCCTTTTTCTTTATGTGTGCTAGAAAATATTAATTTTTGTTCATATTTTTTTCTGCTGCAAAGATAGCAACACTTTTAGAAATCTCTGAAAAATTGAATTCCAATAAAAGATACATAACTTTCTTACCTTCCTTTAAAATTGTTTACGATTATTATTTGATGTCATTAAAAAATGTCAGCTTTAAGTCTTCATAATTTTCAAGCTAAAATAGTTAAAAATCCATATTACTATGAAAGATATTTCAACCTATTTCTTTTATTCTTTTAAATCCATTACATAATATTGCATTTACTCTGGAACATTTAAATTCAAATCTTTAGTATCGGAGAACTTAAAAACTTGTGAATGGCAATCATCTCCAAAGTATCCTGAAAAACACTCACATTTTTATTTCTAACAATATTGAAATCTGTTACTTAACATAAGCCATGATGATTACACTAATTCAAACAGTTGTTCCCTAATTTCTTCATAGCAGTTATTGTGATTTTATACTTTGTGTTATTTTAAGAGAACACCTAAATATTAGTTTATTTGTGATGCTTATTGTAAACTATAATATGCCTTTCCAATTAGCCATCCAAATAACTTTATAGAATATTATTTATTTACCTTGAAATAGTTACATATTCAAAATCCTATTAATCATATTGGGTAAAACTATTTTCTTTAATATCAAGCTGGATAAGAAGAAAGGTTTGATCCTCATGCTCTAAAGTTACATCAATGCTATAGTAGGAATGACCAGCAGGGAGAGTGTAAAAGGAATTACTTGAAATACTTTCTTCGCTCCATTAATTTAAAGAATTTTCCGACTGATGTAAGTTGATTTATTTGGTCAATCTACATTTTGCAACAATGACAAGCAAAATTATGTAGCAGAACATAAGGAATTGTGTAAATAAACTAAATTTATTTAATACTAAATAAATATTTAATGTTGACATAAGGATACATTGTAGATTTAATTGGAATATCAAAGTACTAGTGATTAGATGGAATTCATTTTAATATCAAAATTCTTAATGAACATTGCATCACATAAAATCATACAGAAATATTATTATAGTAAAATTCAAATAATATAATAAATTAGAAATTTAATGGCGGATAGATTTGATGAGCATTTCTTTTTAATCGCAAAAGAAACAGGAGGAATCGAAGGGTTGTTAAATTCGTTATTCAGTTTTCTATTGCGAAGGACAGATTATTATTATGAATGTATTGCATGACAAAATCAATTTAGGTGATCCTGGAGATAAGATGGGATTTCCACCTGGAGTGGCCTTGAATATGTTAGGAAACATATTTAAAAAATATTAAGATGAACACTATAAAGTACATAAAAAGAAGTCTGCCTAAGAATATAAGGAGAAGTTGGAAATTTATTAAAAAAAGTAGAAGGAACTGTAAGAGAAGTAAAAAGAATAGGAAGAATTAAAGAAAGAAGCATAAAATCAGCAAAAGCAACAAAAGTAGGTTCAATCGTGTGAGAATAAAGAACAATAGGAGGTTTCGATTAAATAAGAGCAAAACCAATAAAAGAATGAGAGTTTTACTCACAAACAAAAAATAGATCCATACATTAATACTTATAATGGAGGAGAGACAGAAAAATATTCTTGGAGTTAATCTGGCAATGATGTGGTAGTAACAATGAAAGTTCCAGAAGGATCTAACAAAAAAAATGTATTATATATTGTTAAGAATAATTCATTAGATCAAGGTGCTTATTACGGCAAACACATTAACAGTGAAGGTGAAGGATAATGTGGTTGTGGATGGAAAATTATACGACAAAGTAAAATGTGATGAGTCAGTATGGTCTATAGAGGAGAATCTATTGACCATCACTTTGGAGAAAGGGTAAGAGAACATTTGGAAAACTGTTATTCAAGGGGATTAAGAAATAGATGCAACGAAGGTTGAGAATACAAAACCTTTAGATGATTTTGATTCTGAAACTCAAGGGGCAATCAGAAAGATTATGTACGATTAACAAAGGAAATAGCAAGGATTGCCAACTACTGAGGAGGAGTAACAATTAGAGATGTTAAAGAAAGCTTGGGATGCTGAGGGCAGTCCATTCAAGGGTTAGCCTTTTGACCCGAGCAAATTCAATCTTAGCAATGGTTAAATATAGTTCTGAGATATTATAGATATTATATTATGTTGATATATAATTATATATATATATATAAAAATTTGATTGAATGTCTGTAAACTAAATAATCGAATAAGTACTTGTGAGTATGTTGGATTTTGAGAACACAGACTTCAAGTTATCTAAGAAATCTCAGATACTGGAATTGATTGAGAGAGATGAACTATTAGTTATGGAAAGACAATGGCCTGCAAAACGATTAAATATGGTGGAATTCATAAAATTGATGATTCCTATAGTGCATCATAAATAGAGTGAACTGTTATATTTGGTGATGGGATTGATTGAATTATATAAAGATGTTGTATCAATAAGTTAATAGAATGAACTCAGCTTGTAAGATGTTACAAGTTATGTATGTTAAGTAGATACTAGTGAAAATACTATGGTGCCATAACGTTTAATATCAGATCCGAAGAAGTTCAACTTGAACAAAACAAGAATCAGAGAAATAGATGTGGTAAGTTATAAATTTGACAATTCTAGGAATCAGCCAAAATTATTGGTAGCAATGATAATGAGATATTTCATATAGTTCCAAATTAATTGTAAAATGACTCAATCAGACATCATAATGGTATTGTTCATACAGGTGTATATTGCAGCAAACAAATTATAACACTGGATAGTTTGGATTCAAAGATTAATATCTATCATGTTGATGGTTCATTGAAACAAATGGTCAAGATATCTCAACATGAAGATAAAGAAACCATCATTTTGAGTTTCGCTTGGTCTGACAGATAACAGAGAGTAATCTAAAATATTATATATTAAGATTGGCTTGACTCTAAAATCACATTCCATCTGCATGTATGAGGGTGACTTTAAAAAATATCGTATATTCTCAACTGTTTTGGCCTCATAGGAATATCAAACCAACATTTGGTTTCTAGAGAACCAGAATTAATGGGTTACTACAGATAGCACTTTTAAATTATACTTTTGGGATCTATTGAATGAGTCAGCTAGTCTAATCTTTCAGAATAAATGCATCTAGGGAAATATCATTGAATGTGTAGAAGTAGTTCATATGAAAATGATAGCGACTGCCTCCTTAGACAAGTAAGTGGCCTTATGGGATATCTAGAATGGAGAAATTAAAATTACATTGTCACTCAAAGAATATGGGGGTATTCATAGTTTAGTCTATTCTTATTACTACTAAGTCTTCATTACATGTGGATATTCTACGTATATAAATGTATATGACATCAATCCTAAATATCATGATGTAACTCAGATAGGTAAAATGACAGGACACACTTCCATGTTAACATCTATTCTCATGGTTGGAAAGTTACCTGTGTTGGTCTCTGGTGATGATAGTGGATCCTTAAGATTATGGGATATTAGAACATTTTCTTGTCTTCAATCCCTTAATTTTGGAAAGAAAACTCAAATCACTAAACTACTAGATATGTCTGATATTAATATGTTATGTTTTCTTGGATCAAGAGTGAACATTCTAAAATTAGATATTAAACATAATGAAGAAATTGAAAATTATGCAATTAAAGTTGAATTTGATCAATAAAGAGATGAATTAATTGTGGCAACTAAAAAATAAATAATATTCCTTGACATTTTTACTGGCAAAATTAAAACTATATTGAATGGGCTACTATCAGAATTCGAAGATGACATCACTTAATTTAGACCTCTCAATTATTTCAATAAATTCATTTTGGCAGATTCTAAAGGTAACGCTAAGATTTATTATCATAATGGAGAATACATTTCATCATTGAAAGGTCATTCAGACATTAATGTATTAAAATTAGACATTTTAAACAAACTAATTATTACAGCAAATTAAGATTGCATTCTTATTCAAAAAATGAATGGGGAAATTCTGAGAGAAATTACTCATTTCGAGGCTTCCCAATTAGAATTATCTGTTCATCATTCTCTCATTCTATTATCCTAAGGCTCTAAACTATATTATATAGATTATGAATTTGTTAAATGTCTCGGAGTTCTGGAATTTGATGCAGAAATTACCAACATTATTATCATAGCTAATTATCCCTTATTGGCTGTCTCTACCATACAAGGAAAAGTAATATTTATTAAATTCAATATCAAAGAGCACATTTAAGTTGATTCAGAACTCTATGATCTCTATGATGTGGGTTCAAATAACTATATTACTGAAGATACAGAATAGGAATTTGTGACCAAGATGCTATTCAATTTGAAAGAACTAGAGCTATTGTTTGCAACTTCGGAAAGCAATATCATCAGAATATCTTTAAATTTAGATGATTTAGCAACTACAGAGCCAATCCATGAGAGAATCAATTATAATCCTCTCAGAAAAGCTAGAGAGTAACTGTTGTTTAGTGAACCTTAAAAAATTTCCATTCCTCAAAACTTTACAAGCATTAAAAATTTACATATGTTTAAAGTCTCAAAAAAACAGATAATTTCTCTTAACTTCCTAGAATTAGACAATCGCTATATTTTAATCTCTACTATTGATGGATAAATTTCAATTTTCGATCTGATTGGAAACTTAATTGCTTTATATAATATTAATCATCCTTTGCCTATCAAATGGAACATCTAGTATTCAAAATAAGGAGAACTAAGAAAAAGAATCATTTATGGTTTTAAAGTCATCGACATTTTAAGAAAGTAATCTAAATCCGAAAAGGAAGCTGAATAATACAATTTAGTTGAATCTCTGGCAGTCACTGGTAGGATTCCATTAAAATCACCCAGATAATATATAACGACTGTCATGAGAGATGAATTCAGTCCTAGAGATCTTAAATTCAATAAAATTAGACATCTCTATTAAGCGGAAGTGTAAGGCCCAACTCTTAAATAGCTTGAGGCTTAGAGAAGACTAGTAGAAGTTTAGAATATGTTTAAAGATGATTCTAAAGATCCAAAGCTAGATCTTATGCTCAAATAAAAAGAGAGGGAAAGATAAAAGGTAATTGATAGAGCAAGCAATTTAAATTTCTTAGATCCTGAATTTAGAGACAAATCTTTATTAAATACTAAATTCTTCTAAAATAATTAATATCTTACTAATCTAAATTTAAGACTAGAAAATACAGAAAGATAAGATTATTCTTAACACACTAACAAGGAAATCAATAATAATAATACTAATAATAAATAAAACATATCTCTTCCTATCAATAATCGACATCATAAATCTATCACTAAAAAGAAATCAGTATCTGATTTTTATCAATATGCTGTCGAAAAAAACCTATTTAATAACGATCAAAACACTATAGATACATTTGCATCGCAAAGTAGTTTGAGACCTATTCAAATTAGCACTAATCGATAAATGAAATCCATTGGATCTTCCTTAATATCAAGTGACTTAACTTGGCATGGATAACATCGATAACAGCAAAAAGATTTATCTACAGTGCTTCATAACTTAAATCAAAAACTAAGACTTAGCAAAAACTCTTAAATTAATGAACCCATCTTAAAGGATATCTCCAAGTCAGACATTACATTTGAGGAATAAATCGACGATTTTACAAAGCGACACAAACTTAAATGAAATTTATATTTACATAAAATATATATATTAAATATTAAAAATTATATATATATTATGATATATTTTAATCTTATATTGTATGTCATTTCTGTGTCAAATTCATCGGACTTTGAAAGACTTGATTTGAATTAGATAGTAAAATTAGTTATTTTTGAATCCCTTCGCACCATTGTTAAATCAGACAGAAATTGTTGAGCTCTATTTCTTCAGTAAATTTCTCGTTTTAATTAGTTTTTTCTTTTTATCCTATATTTGAATTTTCTATACAATTTTCTGTTTTTTATGATGAAAGAACTGTTGACATCAAAGGATATATTGGATTTAATACAATTTCATATGTCCTTGTTAGTTTTCGAATTTTTCTGGTTCTACTTGGCTTTTTCCCCACTCTACCCTCTCTCTAAAAAGTGTTTATTATCGATTTACAAGTAGACTATAAGATGTTGTACTCTTATGCCACCTAAATCATTAATGCAGAATACTTCCATTAAGGATTTTTTTTCATTTAGAATCTTGTGAATAATTTATCCTCTTAACTCATTTTTGATTTTGCAATATTGTTTCTTAGAGTAATCCATTTTGATAAATATTTATATTTTATTTGATTGAATTTGCTAATCATTTTAATTATATAATAAGAATCTTTTTTTCAATTAAAATTATGTTCAAAGTCTCTTCTCAACCTTTAATTTTTGATCATTTGTTTAATTCTTATAAAATATCCATTATCATAAAAGTTTAGAAAAGAAGAGTTAAATCAATTTTTTGAAAATTCCATCATCTTATTTATCTTAAATAAATTTATCAAGAAATTTAATCTCATCCAAGTGGAATTTTACTTAATTCAAATAGCTAATGACATTTCTTTTATTTTGTTTAATGCCTCCATCATTCATTAGAAGATTGGAAAAATTATTATATTTCAAATTTTGATACTTTAGAAGATTTTTATCATTTTTATTTAGAAAAACCCTTCGCATATTAATGTATTCGAATATTAACATCTAATTATAATTATTATTCAAAATTATTAAATTATAATTATTATTAACAGTAAGATGGCTTACAGTATTTCTAAAGAAGCTCAATAACTTCTGTGTGAGATCATAAATTAAATAAGTCTGACCGAGAGGAGAGCAGAACAAATAAGAATATAATTATGCAGAAAAACTAGTTTCAATCCATACGCTAGCTTCAAAAGGTAATGCATGTAGCAAACCCTAGATTAGATTTAATGAACACTAATTAAATTAAACCTGAATAGGTAGTACAACTTTTGAAAGAGAATGATTTCTTCGTTTAAGAGCTAAACACATTGTTTAATAAAACATTTTTGAAGGAATTTCTTAATTATCAAGAGTATAATTAATAGTTGCTAATTTTTAAGCTTTTTAAACTTAATTTTACCAAAAACCGATAGTGAATTGAGAGAGATCACAGCTATGAAATAACCAACAAAATCTGCTGTAGAAAAATAGATAGATTACACATTAGCTTAATTATTCAATTTGTATTTCCAATACTAATTATAGAGAATATAATGAAGCTATAAATTTAGAAAGACTGAAAACTAGATTAAGTAATCAATATAATGCTGATCAAATGTTTTAAAGTTTGGATTCTCTAAATAACAATATCCTTAATTTTAAGGATTTCGATAGGTTCTTTAGAAGGAATGGGCTGCTGTTATATGAGGAAGAACTGGTAATTGAAACTATAATTGATAGATAGCATTTTTTTATAGAATAGATCTTCAAAGGACAGGATAGATTACTTTGAATGAGTTTAGAAGAATGTTAGAACCTCTCCAAAGATCTGAATAGCCAATTTCAACAAATACTCTATAAACTCCAAAATAGACAATTTCATAACCCAAATTTTCTAGTACCTTTAAAGACTAAGTTGGCAGTGGTAATAAAGCTGGACAAATAGTATAAACCAGAACCTTCTCAGCAAGCAATAAAAAAAAGTTTCAATCTACTAGAAGAACGTCATCTATTACAGAAAGTCTATAAACAACAAAATTAACAGAGAATTTTTTAAATGATGAATAAAGATTTATTGATTTAGGATTGGAAGTCTTAAAATTGGAAATGTATTTAGAAGAAATAAGATTAAAATTATAATAGTAAAAAGATTTCAACACTATGGATTTTTTTCATTTTATGGATTTGAAGAACAAAGGTAAAGTGAATCAACATGAATTTGCGTATTTTTTGGAACAAATATAACTCAAAAATATTGATGTTATTGACTTGTTTAATTATTTGGATACAGATTTAGATGGGTTTATTAGATATTCAGATGTTTCTGAATTTATTTCTCCTTCAAATATCAGCTCAACTTACATTTGTAAGAAACCAGCTAAAAATAGTCATCTCTCATATTCAATCTCCTAATTATTCTCAAAAACTACTATAGTATTGATTCAGTTGCTATTTAATTAGTGGAATGCAAATGAAAAAATCATTAGACAAAAAAAAAAATAATTCTTGAATGAATAAAGTCTATATTAAATATTCAATAAACTTGATCAATACAAAAAAGGGAAATTCAATCGATAAGATGTATTTTTATTATTAATTTAGCTTCAACGGTTTTTTGATCTTTATAATGTTAAAGACGATATTAAATTACTGTATAAACGATTGGGAAAACTCAACAAAGAGATTAATTATAAGGAATTTGAATTATTTTTTATCAACTGATACTCACAAATACAATTGATAAAATCTATCTATAGAATAGTGAATTTATCTATTCACTTTCGCCTTGTTCTATTGATGTAAATCATTAGGATTGTAAATTTATTAATCTTCTCTCTTATCCCAATATTAAGTATTCAGGTCTGCCAAAGTTTTATCCATTTAATTCTAAACTTCGTTATTTATAAATATGTCGATGTAATTTGTGAATTCTTCTGGTAGATTTAATTGGTATCCTATTAATTGAATGATGTCAGCAACCGTTGTGATTAGAGGAGCTTTGATGAAATTTTTATCAATTTGGTTGATCAACTAATTTTAAGCACAGAGTTAAATATTGCAAGATTGATTGGTATTGGTTTAAGCGACAAATTTTTAAAGCTTATCATTTTTCTATTTTTATTATCTAAAATTTTTAATCTCTTATTATATTAATAATTCTTCCTGCATTCGATATTATTTGATATCAGGAACTACAGTATTGAGTATTTTATTCACAACCTCATCAACACGTAAGTCTCTCCTAGTTGCTATTTTTTTTCTACATGTGGGACATGACTTTTCTCTTTAGAATCTTATGCTCTTTTCAATACATTCCTTACAAAACCTATGACTACAATCCTTAACTGAGTTCAATTAAATAAATACTATAGACTGGCTATTCAAATAAACTTAAACAGATGGGACATTAAAGTTCATCAAATATTTTCGCCACTTGATGATCTGTAGGTTCTTTGTCAGAATCTATTAATGCACGAACCTTGAATATTCCAATTAAATTATTTGTTTATTCATCTACTATATCTTCAGAGTCTGATTAGTCTGAGGCTTCTTTTAATGTTCCGAGCATAAATTTAAAAGAATATTATTGTTTATTTATAATTTTTTCAAGTGATTTTTGTTTTACTAATATATAATGCTATTTTAATTATCATGCCCTTTGTGATGAACTGCATCTTGGTTTTAATTTCGGTAATGTACATGTAGTCTTATTCTAAGTATTTATTTTCTTTATAGTCTGAAACTCTATTGCGTCACTAGTAGTATTCAATGCAGATTTAATATTTGTTATGTTTTAATGAATTTTTTGATTCTCTTAAAAAATTTCTGTCCATTTCTCATTTTCCAATCTTCGAAATTAAGATTGCACAGAATAATGAATTTCTTATTTTGGCTTTCTCAATTTTATTTTTTGTATTTAATTCGTCAAATGTTTCTAAGTTAGAGCTCTTCTTATTTTATCATTCAAAGATAGTGTATATTCAAATATCATATTCGTTAAAATTAATATAATTATAATATATGAATTTAATGAGTTTAGAAAACTATACTATGCTCATTAATATTATTCATTTTTACCTTAATGTTATTTGACCAAATATATATTATATGAGTGAAATCTATTTCCTAACTTATTTAATTATCATTAGTTTTGATTGTGTATTCAAACCAGCCATAGTAGTCTGGCATAGTATCAATATAAAACGAAAATGAAGAATAGTTCTCTAGTTAACGCCAAATTTAAATTAGATTTTCCTCTTTTTCTTATTATTGTTGAATTTATTAAATTGTAGAACACAAAATCAAAAAATAAGAAAATAATAACAAAAACTAAGAAGATAACGAATATAAATTCAATGACATATTCAAATACTTATTATTACTTGCTCTCTTTTTCATAAATCAATTAAAGTAATAATTTATGGTATCACTTTACTATCTGATGCAATTAGTCCTAAATTGAATAATCATGAAATCAAAATAAATTGTAACTAATGAAATAAATATATTTGTATGAATTGTTATCAGATAATAAATAAGAAGCAAATTTAGTCTTTGAGGTTTCCTAACTTTGATAATAATTAAGAAATATGAGAATATTATGTGTAAAAAATATTTAATCAATATATATCATCAATATTTACATCAATTAGCAATTATGATAAAACACTCCATAACATTGTATAATCTTAATGCCTATTAAAATTAACAATCATGATAAATTTTGTAGAAAATAATTATTAACAAGCAAAACTAATTATTATTTAGAAATAAATTCTATTGAATTTTTTTTTAGAAAAGAAAGAAATTATACTTAAATTAATTTCTAAGTATTCTCTGAAATACTAATGTCTTTATTAGTATTGACACATATGTTCACCTTTTGTAGAATTTTCTAAGTAAAATTGATCTATAGCCTTAAATAATTTATTGATTAACATAAATCAACAACTACAAAATAGATACTAATAAATTAACTTATATGTTGATTACTATTTAAATTATCTTTTAGTGATAATTTGTAATAAATTATATAAATTATTTTTAATAATGAAAATAATAATTGACGCCATAAATTATGAATCAGATTAGAATAATTATTAAGTAAAATTAAAATGTGGACCAACAGTGTTATAAACAGTGTTAGGAAACAATTGGAATCACAGGTTTGTTTTAGAACATAAAAAAACATCAGAAATCAGAGTTGAAGTTTGGCAGAAACCTAATGAGGAATACTAATTAATTGGAGATTCAATAGTTTAGAGAATAGAGGGTGCATAAAGATTGAAAATAAAATAAAATAACAAGGAATAGGGTTTTATCAATGTGTTTTATAAGGAAGTGAAGGACTCAGTTACACAATAAATTCTTAGTTAAGACTCATTGAATGTAAGTATTAAATGAACTTTAGTTATCCAAAATAGAAAAATAAGCTTAAGCCCTTTAGAAATTGAATGATTCATTATCGATGATGCCCAGTCCACGTCAAGATTTTGGATCCGTAAATGAATATTTCTCATAATAATTTTAAAATGAAGATATAGTAGGAAATTCGAAGTAAGTAGCTACTAAACTCGTAAAGGAATCATTTGATAGAGTATTACAAAACATCCAAATTGAAAAAGAAACTCATATTCAAGAGGATGATGAAATGGTGGAAAACGAAATAGAAAAAAAAAATATTGAGAAGGTGCAAAAGTAATTGATGAAAATTGATTGTAATAAATTGGAGAGAAAAAGAAAACAAATAAGTTCTGAGATTCTCTAATTAGATGAGATAGCTTAATCATTGAGAATAGATCAGATAGATTAAAAATAATAAATATAAAATCTAAGACAGGATTTGTTATAGAAATTGCTTTATCTTGAAGAATAGATTGAGCATTTAAAGAAGTAAATAAGAAAGTAGAAACATCATGTGTTTGGAACAAATCCTAATTTAGTAAATAGTGAAATAGAAATGAGTTCGATTAATTTATAAAAATAATTTGTTGAAAAATGGTAATAAGATCCTAATGTCGAAAAACAAAGACAAGATTTCATATAGAAGTAGATACAGGAATGGAATGACATTTAAATTTAAAGGAAAAAGAGGATTGAAGATCAATTTAAAAAGATTGAGTAAGAAGCAAAAATAATACTGTAAAAATAAAATGAACTATAATCAACAACAAATGCTAAAAAGAGGGAAGAGATAGAAAAGTATTTAAAGCTATTAGAAGAACAGTAAGCAAAAAGAAAAGTTGAATTAGAAGAAGCCAATAAGAGATTTGAAAAAAAGAAAAAAGAAAAATATCTTGCCTTAAAGTATGCAGAATAGGATGCTACATATATGATTTAATTGCAACAAGACAGAAAGAAAATACTGGCTTAAAATAAAAATCCAGATTTTGATGCAAAAGAAATCAAATAATTCGAAGATAAATTTAATTAAATTCATCTTGAAAAATAGAAAAAACGAAGGATCTAATGGGAAGAACGAGAAGCCTAATGGAATAAGTTTAAGGCTTAATATTATTCATCTTCATATCAAAAGGCTAAGGATTAATATTACAGAATTGAAAACGTGATTGAATAAGAAAAATAAGAACGATTAAATAAACTTTCATAATATATAAAGGAAGTAAAATAAAATCACAAACCTACTGTCTCTGAAGAACTTTAAGAGAAACTTATATTAATTAAAAACTCCATAAAGCATTAGAATGACTTTAAAAAATATTAATCTCTCTCCAAAATCGTTCAATCTAAGCATTAATATCATGGTGTTAGTAAAGAGAAATTATAAAAAAATATGAAAAAAAAACATAAACTTGTGCCTTTGGTGAATTTGCCAACCAAAATATCACCAAGAGACGTAGGAGATTTTTATTTAAAATAAAGCGCTACTTATAATATTAAAAATATTCCCCCTATACATCAGGTTTAGAAGAATGATAATGCAGCTAAAGAATCAGCAACATCTCTACCAAATCCTAAAGTATTTGATTATTTGAAACACTAAAGGATAATGAGAGCTTAATTTGAAAATGTAATAGTATAAATATTTTTAGACTTAAAAAAATGAAAATGAAGTCCTGTAAAAAGAAGATTAATAAATGCTTGATTAAATTAGGATAAATCTATTTTATTTAAAGTGAATGTTATTAATTTTTATTCAAATTATATTAATTTTGTTGATTAATTGATCATTCATATAAAATAAATTTAGGGCAATTTCATAAAATATATATTTTCATAACTCTCAGATCTCATATTATTATTGAACCTTGATATCAAGCCATGTAAATCCGACTTTTTAATATCAATTTGAATAATTCTAAACAAAATATAAGATGATATTAAATTAAATATGTTCAATTTTTTTAGATTATATTTTTAATTAATGTTTTAACCAAAATAATTGCATTTACCTACAGTTCCTCAGACATAAGAAATTGAATATTCGAAATAGTCCTTTGAAGACAGCGTCTTGAAAATTTAGAATGTTTCATTGGCAACTAGGTTGGACTATTTAAAAAAGACAATTAAGGAACAAAAATCTATTATTACAGAATTAGTGGAAAGAGATATCAGACATCAAAAGTTTTTTAGTTTTCTTGAAATAACTTGGAGAGGGTTTTTATAGAGAAGTCTGAGAATTGAAAGTATTGTAAAGAAAAAGGGACTTTTGGAGAACAAATATCTAAATGCTTTTTAATATTTGGATGATGTAAGTTAATTGAAATATGTTAGATCTTCAATAGTCAATACTTAATGTGTAATAATATAGAAGGACAATTCAAAAAGTAAATTAGCCATAAGTTTGAGTAATTTTTGAGAATAATAGAGAATATTTATTTTGAGATCTCTCTGGAATACAGTGAATTCATGGAGATGATTAAGGATAGAACAAATTAATTGTTAGATTTAGAGGAGCAAGATTATATGGAATATGTGAAAAAGCTAATCAGCACAAATAAAGAATTGACCAAAAGGAATCAGGATATGGAGTAAAATTTGAAATAGATATAAAAAATAAAGGAAAGGAAATTGAGCGATCTAGATGGTTAGATAGGATTCTAAACGATATATTAGTTATAATCTTTGATTGCTGAAAGCAAGAAACAAAACGAAACTTTGAGTAGAAGATTGAGAATATTAATGAATTACAGTGACAAATCAATAAATTAAAAATTAAATGAGGAGGAGGAAAATTATGAATGTATATGCGGTGGAGTCTAGATGAAGTAGATAGGATTTAATAATCAATTGGATTTTGTTAGATAATCGTATGACAATAGTGAAGACAGATAATTGTAATTAACCAAATTGGATAGAAAAAATTAATAGCAAAATAATATTACTTACTCAATTTAACAGTTATTGCTAAAAACCTTAAAGAGCAAACAGATAAAGGTGACAGCTATTGAGGATGATTAATTGAATGTCACATTTACTCAACCTGAAATTAAGGACTTGGAATACATATTAAATAACTATTCAATACTCTTAACTCAGAATAAAAAATACCAATAATAAGTGATCTTATAGCAAGTAAAGATTAAGGAGTTGGAAATTAGCAATGAATACAGAGAGGATCAATTTGTGGAATCTGAAACTTTTAGTATTTTACAGACATAGAACATGAATCTTATAGATGTGAATTCCTAATTAACTTAACAATTATAGGCTTTGCAGACTTAGTATTAAGAGTTAATCAACTCAAAACAGTTTGACATAAATTAATTGAAAAGTCTTTATGAAGTTGAGATATAAAAAATGGCATCAGAAAATTGTCAATTAAGGAAATTTTAACATGATTAACAAATTGGAATCAGGAATATACATCATGAAAGTGAGAGATACAATCAAAATCTGAATGAGAGATACGAATAAGCATAGAAGATTATAGATGCTTAAAGTGGGGAGAATAATGTATTGAAGTCTGCCAATAAGGAATTGAGAACTACCTTGGATGAGTTAACAAAATAACACTAAGAGCTTTAAAATAAATACAATGAAATAGAAATGGTATCAGTATATTTTTGATATTCTTAGAAAAATGTTGGATTGATGGCTAGAATTCCAGGTGAATTGAATATTGAGTAACTGACACTGAGACATAATAAACATAAGGAGTGTATATAAGAAGCACTGTAAATAATTATTCGACATTAACCATAATTTAAAGAGAAATTTTAAGAGTTGGTAGGGTATATCAAGACAAGAGATTAAAGAATTGAATAGTTTGAGAAGGAGATAAGCAAAAAAGATAAATAAATTCAAGATCAAAAAAGGCATTTGCAGATGATGATGGATGAAACTGATTACAATTCTAAAATCTACGAAGAAGTTATGGCTAAATCTAAGATGATTGAATAACAGTTATCAATTAAGGAGAAGAATGAGGCTATTTTAATTTAAGATAAATAAGCAGAAAAAACTAAATTTGAAAATGAAAGAATCTAATTCAAAGAAAAAGAAAGGTTGTAGTAAGAGTAAATCAATTAATTGCAATAATAAAGAGCAAATTAGCAATAACTATTTCAAAAATACACCCAAGAGAAGTTTTAAGTTAATTAAAATCATGGAGAATTAGTTAAACAATTAGAATTATATAAATCACAATATGAAAAATTATTATCTGAACAAAGTACAACTAAAATTGAGAGAGATTGTTATGCTTAAAAAATCTAAAAGTCTAAACTAATTAACGATGAATCGTTGCTAGAAATAGACAAATTGAAACAAAAGATAATCGAATTAGAAACAAATATAGATGCGTAATAGTCGTTACTCAATAATCCTGCCTAATTAGAATAAACTAAAGGCTATCTAATATTGAAGAAGGATGATTCCATTTTTGAATAGGCTTAATTACAAAAGGTTAAGACAACTGCTTGTTGTAGTGAATGCAAAATGCAACTTAAAGAAGTCATCATTTAAAAGTGTATGCATATGCTTTGCAAATCATGTGGGGAAATTGCTTAATTAAAAGAATCTTGTCCTATTTGTAAGGTCAGTATAAATTTAGTGGATATTTGGGCAACTAAAGTCTAGGAATGAATTATCGAGTATTAATTATTATTAATTTTTATAAAAATTATATCTCATGGTATACTATTTACTTTATATTATTTCTATGAAGTAACAATTGCTCATATGAAAATTCTATTGCGACAGAAGAATTCTTGTTACTATTTTATTATTTCATCTTTAAGGCAATTAGTAAATTGAAAATTCTTTGAGACAATTACTGACAGTCTTGTTTTAAATAATCAAAAAAAAAGATGTTCACAAGTACATATTAAATTATTTAAAATAAATATGAATTAAACATCATCAAGAGAATATGGTAACATTCAAAGTTCAAACTCTTCGAGAATCTAATCTAGCTCTCTTACAAAAGCACATTCGAAATTACAATAATAAATGCCATAAAATGAATTCGTAATGGAATATCCTTGTTAACCAAAAGACTCTATCACCTATGACATAAACGGAATCGACCTTGACATCAAAGAACATTAAATACTTGATTCATACTCGAATAGAAGTAAATAGTAACATTCTTAATCCATGATTATTTTGGCAGTATATTATTTAGTTTGATATAGGAAAGGAGAAAAATTACATCTCCATCGATTAAAAAAAACAAGAAAAAAATAAAAATGGAATAAATTATCAAAAAATTTATAGAGAAAATTAAGATTAGTAATAATTTATACACGAAATAACCTTATGTTAATACACTATTATAAACTTATTCCATCCCATTCGTTAAAGAAAAGGCAAACAATCTAAGTGTAATGGACAAGATAAAGCAATCTATAAGGCTTCCTATTCCAAGACAATGTAAGTTGAGATAATTTTGGAAATTATTAATGCAAATCACTTATTTAACTACTGTTATTTTTTCTCCACTAATTTTAATTTATCCAAGCAACATTTACATTTAAGCCCTATTATTTACATAATTAACATTATTAGTCTTTAATTCAATTTTAAATTTAAATACATGCTTTTACAAAAACGGAGTAGAAGTAACTCATTTACCCACAATTCAATTGAATTATTTAAGAAGATATGGGTTACAGGATATAATATAATACTTGTCATTTATCTTTATTTTATAATTTTGTGAATAGAATTAATAAATTTCGATAATTGCTTTAATTATATTGAATCTTCTCATTATTAGATTAATCAAATTAAATTCTCTAATATCGTAATAAAATAGTATTATTTTGGGTTGGCAATTTGTTAAAGGATTAGCTTATTGTCATTTTTTTTCTTTAATTTCAATTTCATACAATGAGGATATAGGTTTGGAATCGATTAACGTATAATTGAAATACTACTTGAGCTATCTACATGAATATATAAATGAATATTTGACTCTACAAAGTTGTTTAGTAAACAGTACAAATTTTGAATTGTTAATATCATTTTTGATCCAAATTATTTTTACATTCAATAGAGTAAAATTAATTTTAGATCTCTTATTTTACTTTCATTAAAATGTCCATAAGTATTTATTGAAGAAAAATTATCTTGATTTGAAATCTTACTTGCAGAACCATTAAGTTGATTAAAATCTAATGAAAAAAGCACTTAGTAATTACAAATTTGAGATGAAAAAAGATTATTAACAGTAAAATTTCATGATGGATTCCCAATCTATTAAGTATATAGATTATGAAATTTAGAAGGCAATTTAGAATACTGTGAATACTAAATACTTTAAGAAAATCTTGGTATTAGGTTAATTTTCATAAAATATCTAAGAAAAACTAGTTGAAAATATGTCCATACAGTATTTTCAACCTAATGAAATAATATTGAGATAAAATTGCAAAGATGATGATTCCATCTATTTAATTAAAAAAGGATAAGTAAAGGTATGTTATTAGAGTGGGAATAAGAAATAGTTTGGGATTAAATCATTGGGAGAAATGTAAACGTTTGGTGAGGTCTCCTTTTTTACTGGACTACCTAGAACAAGTACAATAGTCAGTCTAGGTCCTGTTGAAACATATAAAATTAGTAGAAGCGATTTCTTAGAGTCAATTAAAAATAACCGTCAAGATTTGGTATATTTAAGTAATAAAATAGGAAATAGCAACCTATATGAAAGATTAAATCCTATAGAATAATTAATATGGTTTAATTGGATTAAAATGCTTTTGTTGTAAATCGAAAGAGCATTTGATATTTTAATGCGACAAACTTCATTATAAGCCTGATAAAGAAAAGATTATTAGTAAATACTAATATGCTCACCTTTAATCAAGGAGATAATGTAACAATTTAACTATGAATAGATAAAAGGAGTCACAGGAGAACAAATAATACTAGAGAGCATCTATTCCAAATAGGAATGGCTGGGGAAGAGTTTCAGGAAAATAATTATTTTTTAGAAGATTAGTCTGAGATACTAAAAGAGTTAACATAAAATTATAATTTCTAATCTTCTACCAATATTTAACAAAATCAATCTTAAGCAGTTGGATTATTTCCAAGTAGGGAAAGAATTAAGTCAGTCGATAAAAATAGCATTTTATTGATAAGTGAAATAGATGATGTGAGAGAGTAGTTTTAAGAATTGGATCCAATGGTTTATAAAAAAGATAAAGGTCATTTCCCTTCAAATAATAATTTTCCAATAAAGGAAGTTATTTAAGAACTTGAAGGGGAAGACTCAAGTTCAAATTCAAATGATACTATACCTAATGATATTTGTATTACTCATTTGCAACCTAGTTCAGATAAACAAAAGTAAAATACTAATTTATTAACAATTCCTGATAAAGACAAACTTCAAGAAATGCTAATAATTAATCCCAACAGCCAAGGTCAACAAGTGAATAGTAGTTGCTAAATTCAACACTCTTAGGAAATGAAAAACTCTTCTATATAAAACAAAAAATCTTTAAGCTAAACTTTGTTACATGTTCAATAGAATGATTTCACTAAAAAAAATGATAATTTGAAATCACCTAGCAGGTAGGCTTATTATGATGAACTCGATTTAAATCCTTTGGATCGATCATCTCCTGGGATGAAAAAGATAAATAAAAGCCCATAATAAAACAAAGCTAAGATAGAAGAGAGTCCATAAATATTTATAGACCTAAATAATAATTCTGTAAATTAGAAATTATAATTTAGAGTCATTTTTTCTGTTTAGAAGATAAAGAAGAATTAGACAAAGCATAAAATTACATCTATTATTACCCGTACTTCAACCCTGAATTTTTAATTAATTAGTAATTAATTTGGACTAATATTAGATATAATCATTTTAAAATTCATAGAATCCAAAAATATGTTAAAAAAAGTCCTTATACTATCAGTTATGTTATTAGTGATAAAATTAAATAAAAAGCCATTTTAAAATGATCTAAATTAAATTATTCTACACGACAATTTTGTATCAAATAATTTATAATTTTGAGTATAACCAAGTATTCATGAAATTCTAAATTAACTTGGAGAGGTTATGCATTGTATTTTTCTATTATTTATTCCATTTTCTATTAATTTATGAAAAATGTTTTTAATAGTTTTTAATTTTATATATTAATAATAATTTTAAATTATAATCACATCGAAGGTTATTAAATCACTATACCTTTCTTTTAAAGAACAGATAGCTATTCTTTTAACACATTAGTTAACATCATAGTTTCTAAAAGAACCTTTTTTAATTCAGATTGTCTCTCCTTTTTATTAATTACTTTAGATTGATGTTAATTTTAAGAATCTTATTGGATCTCATCTTTTTGTGTTCCTAAGTGTTACAAGCTCTTCTGACTTTTTTTATTTTCTGAAAGAACTTCCCATATTTTTAGATTCCTTCCCTCATTGTATTTATTCTTTATCATATTATATTCTCTTTGAAATTCTTCCAGAGTCATGTCCTTATTGAATCGATCTAGTTCATACATATGGACCTTGAGATTGCCTTGTGCTGATTTATATGCCCTGTAAGTGATCTTGCTCTCCAACAACTGTGATAATTCATTGGCTTCTCCCATTTTTATAAGCATTTCATATTCAAATTCATTTTTTCCTTTAGATATTGTTAATTACAATAACCTATCCATTTCTTTTTCTTTCTCCTTAGCTTTTTATAGATAATATTTAGAGAGATTCTGCACAGGTCTTTCTTCACCTCTTTTATATTAATTGAATAGAGTTACATTTTGAATTCAGTAAATCCTGATTGTTTACTCTTGTAGGATATACCACTGATAGGTCTGAAATCTTTGGGAGCAGTCCTTGTTGCAGAAGCAGATTGTGGTTTACTTTTCTTTTGAGCAGAGAACTTCCTTTTGCTAGCCTAAGCCATGTGTAATGCCTTCTGTTTGATGAAATCAAGCATTGTATCTTTAAATATATGGTAGTGTTTTTACTTTCATTTGAATTCCAGGCTTATACTTTTTTGCAGATGTTCTCAATAGTGATTTTACCAAATTCATTTTCTAAATCACTCAACACTTGATTAATTTCTTCTTATGTAAAGGTGAAGCCTAATTAAATTGAGAAATATGGAAACCTGCCTAACCGAGAAATGATACAAACTCTTCTGGAGAGGCATTGACAGAATCTGATTTCCAAAATTATTCAATTTTAATATTGTTAAATGTAACTAGCTAGTTAAATTTCTGTAAAGCAATAGAAATAGGGATTGCGTTCTCGTTGATACTTTGCTTTTTTTATGTGAATTTAGAACTTTCAGGTCTTCCGTGTTTGGATTCAGGTCTTTTGTCTTACTTCTTGTGTAACATCTATTGTGTTGGGTGGATAATTACTTCGTATTATTTCTTCCAGGTTTCTTCAAATTTGTCATCTTCACTTCCATCGTCTTCTACAAAATTCTATTTATGTTGAATATGTGAAATACATCTTGATCTTCGTCCATTTTGAATAAATAAGTATTATAATTAATATCAACTTGTCGAATATAATGATTTTGTGTATAACTGAAGATTTTAACTGATAGTATATCATTTTTAATTCGAAAGTACTTACATACAGAAAAGAGTGAAAAATATGATGTTATATAACTAATTAATATAATGAATAATCTTCGATATGGCTAAATTGTCAGAATTCAGGGGGATTATGGAATGATAGTCACCAAAGGGTATAGTATTATGGTGATAATGTTAGATACACTCAGACGAATGTATATTACATGACCTTCACAAATTTGGCCAAGATAAGCAATTTTCGGGAGTCATTATTTTAAGTGCTTCCCAAAGGGAGCTTTGAAATTCATGATGAATTCATGAAATCTCACAAGAAGTAAGCCAGCAAGTATCATTAAATTAGAGCGAATCAGGATCTGCTTGATTAACGACTGAAGACAGAATTGAACTAATATTTTTCTTTTGTGGAAACCAAGATGGATGAAGAGGTTCTGTTTGGTCAGGAGATAGTATTGAAACATTTTGATTCCGAATACTTTTTGGTTGGATCTTACAAGTGCTCAGAATAGTCGATGGAGGCATTTCAGGTAAGTCTGAGTAGCAAGCCTTCGAGTCAAGCATTATTTAGAATAGAAGCATATTAAACCTATCAGAAGGATGGTCAGCAAATATACTTTGATGAACCCTTCTTATTGGTGAATACGAAGCAATAATTTTGTTTGGATTTTATTGAAAAACCAATACAATGGTTAGATGATGAAAGTTGTTTGGCCTACATCAAGCGATTAAATGACGTGCAAAGACACTAGGTGATAATTACTCATAACAGCAAGACTAGTTGGAAAATGAAGTTATTTATGCGGAATGATTAGCGAATCGAAAAGAAATCGATAAGGAATTACGAATTAATATATTTATAATACACTGAAGATGGAACGTATTTGAATGGAGAACAATAGATCATTTCATTATAACAAGCAGGATTGAATATTCCATTGACAGCCATTTGGGAATTGCAAGTGTTATAACCTACTAATGATTTCAAACGCAATCAACCGTAGATAAACAAGGATAATTAAAGAGGATCGGTTTTCTAAAATAACTTTGATTTTTTGAAGGAATTTTCAAGAGTTGCACCAAGACAGAAGAGCGTTGTCGAGTACTAATAGTAAGCCTAATCATAAGTCACTAAGAAAACTCCCCAGTAAGAATTCATCCTTAGAAACTACATCTCAGGTAAGGTGCTTACCTCTAGAGGTTAATTGCCCTAGTTGCATGATTATATTTAAGAACCCAACTAAGTTGTGGAAATCTTGCCTGCCAAGTAAGGGTAACAGGAGATTGTAGAGAATTCTTATATTCAATTGTCAGTCGATAAGGAATTGTTATAAAATGTTGAGATCGAAGACTAATGGAATGATAGTATCAAAGAAGATGAAGAGATAGAGTCTACGGTGATAAAGAAATAGTTGGCTTTTGAGGAGAAAGAACATCAACATGCTTTCCAAATCAAAAAAGTCAAAGGGAATATAAAAAACAATTTAATGTTTGTGTTATCAGCCTAAGAAGTGCTGTTCTAATTTGTTTTGATTTTGAATAAACAAGTTGATATTATTTGGAAATTGCTTCATGCTTAATAGTTATCATAAGTGGTGGAAGTTATTCAATAATTGATTCAATTCTTGTAATTCGAGGTGGCCAATCGTTAGTAATGTATCAAGGAAACCTACATCATTGATTTGGCTATGAAAATCTTGGTGCCTATATATGAGAAGAAGTTGTATGCCACTGATGTTAAGAATTTACAAAAAAAGATGAAAAAGATATTCAAATTAACCTATTAATTGATTAAGGAGTTAACGTAGAATAACAAACAACTTAAGTAAGATATGGGAAAGTATTTGAAAGATTTTTTAGAACAAGCCATGGATGACGAAGCAAGAGCTCAGGACAGTTTAAAAGAATTGTTAGAAGACAATTATGAGTCTATTTAGAAGTTTGTCACTGATGATCATATTCAGAAAGTATTTGAGAAAATGAAACAAAATCCCAATGAAAAATATTTATCAATTCTAAGCAGTATTTGTGTTTGCAAAGGAAGAGCCATTTTGAAGAATCAAATTTTAATTTTAAAATTAGTATTTCAAAGCAATGAATTGTTGAATTTCAAATTTAGATTGAATACTAAAAACAAGGTTGAAGTGCTCTGTAGGATCAATAAATTAAAACCTATGTGGCGAAGAATTCGTTAAATATACTAGGAAAGTCAGGAGTAAGATGGATTGTAGACTTGGAATTACCTCTAAGGCTATTTCAACCTCTTAGGAGATGTGTGTTATAACAGGAATAAATTAGCATAAGACTTTGTAAAAGAAAACATCTCAATTTCAATATTATTAGCCTTAGTAGAAGATAGTCATTCTCAATCTATAAATACATTTGAATCGTATTTAAAAGTAATTCATTTGGCATTTGTAGACACTCCTGGATATCAAACCCTTGTGATTAGCAAAGTCATAGATTGGGAGGAGAACGAATAAATTTCAATAGAGAAAAGAATGTCAATGAGAAGAATCAATAGTTTTGGTGGGTTTAGTAATCATTTGCCATTGTAAAATGTAAGCGATCTCAACAATATCATAAAGTATGTCTAACAGTTTATTGCCAAATTCACTCATTTTACTTATGATTAGAAATATAATTAGACTCTGCAAAGAGTGCTCATGATAATCAAAACCTTATTGACGATGAATCTAGAAATAGACACTATGCAATTATTATAAGATTTGTTGAGAATATGTTCATGCTAGAAGGATTTCTAAAATTTAGAATAATAAAAGGGAGAAGAGAATATCAAAAAGGCTAAACATAGGATGACTAAAGTATCATCAGAGAACAAACCAATAATGGAATGCAAGATGCTAGCCTCTAATATTATATTAAATATACTTGATCTTGAGAATGATATTAGGATTAATGAGATGGTAGCTTATTTTAGAAGTAAGAGAGGAAGTGATTATACTAATGATTCAGCAAATAACTCACCTCCTAAAAAGGGACTAATAAGTGGTATGGTGGACTTCGTCTAAAGATTTTCACATAAGCCTCCTGAAGAATAATAATAATTATTAGATAACAATAGTTCTGTCTTTAAAGATTTTGCTAAAAGTTTAAGTGGTTCTAAGGACAAAACTGAACAAGAATCCTATAACATTCCTTAATGGATTCAAGTCATAAAAGATTTACTAGATAATAGAAATTTATTCAAAAATTTCAATAATAATGTGATGTTGGTATTTGTAGAAATTTCTTTGATGTAGGAACCAAAAATGGTTGAAACAGCCTTATAATTATTTAATAGAATGCTTGGTTAGAGAAGAGAGTTAATTAAACATTTCTCTTAGATTGTTTTATTATCTAAAAATTGTTAAAAAAATGTCAAAGAACTGATTAGCAAATGCATTCAGATCAGACAACGTTTAGAATAATTGAGTGATAAAAATGTTTATACAATTACAAAAGAGAATTAAAGTACTTCAAACATATAAGTTGATGAAATAATTGAAGATCTCAATAAGCTGTGTGTTTCATTGAAATTGCAGAGGTTTACAAGTCAGGTTGTTCAAATTTCATTGGCTTTTAATGAGTGCGAAGAGAACGACAAAACAAATCAAACTTTATTTAAAGCATTGGATATGCATCAAACATTAGTTACTTACATTTCTGGAGCAGATGAAATCAATCCATATTTGTAGGGATTATTGAATTCTTGTTATAAATTCTTGACTCTTTTCATTTGGAATCATGCAACCAATAAGATTGAAATAAAATGGCCTTTAAAATAAATTTATTTTCATTTACAATACAATTCTTGTTGCATTGACTTTGTAAGAGAACTATATCATAACAATAAAGAGTTGCTCTACAATGAAAACGAAGTATCTGTGGCTATTAAGTCTATCATTCAATAGATGAATAAGGAAAAGCCAGATAGCATGTATAGGGTCAAACTGTTTGATTCCCTAAGAGTTTTCTTGTATGATCATAATAAGACAATCAAATTCAATCAATTGTAAATCCTAGCCTTGCTTCAGCAGAAGTAGAATAGGAATTTAATCTACGTTCTCAATGACTTATAGTCTGAATTTTCAATGGATTCCATCAGCAAGCCAGAAACTCCATTGATGAAATCAAAGGTGTGGGATGCTGAGAGTTTTCACGAATTAATTGATGACTATAGTGCTAATTATGAGAAGATGGAGGAAACAAAATTGTTGCATATCCAACCTCAATTATAATACATGGTGATACATTTTGAAATTTTCAGTTTGTTGGTTGAAGATCAGTATAAATATTCATATATTTAGTAATGTAATTAACTAAGAGAAATGTCGAGTCATGCATCCTTACCATTCCCTATTATATTTGATGAAAAACTCTTATCAAAGCAATTGTTGGCCATTGCAGCACTTCCTGAGAAGTTACATGAATCGTCTTTACTATAATAGTCAAATGGAATTAATAAGTTAACTGTGTATTTAGGAAGATTTGGAAGTAAGAGTCAAATTATAATTAGATTATCCGACATCAGCTGGATCAAATTCTATTACTGAAGGGCTGCAATTATATCAAGCAAGTTTAAATTGTTGATGGTGTTAGATTTTAGTTCATGTTCTCATATATCTTTGCTTGTATGCAGGAGATATTGTATTCGATCAACCTATTGTTTCTTAATGATAATTTTCTATCTGAGTTGGAAGCATAATTGGGCAAAGATGTCGAGAGTCTCAGAATCCATTAATTGCTATTCAAGATTGCAGGTCACTTAGTTCAGATTTAAAAAATGTGGTTTAAATCAAGTCACATAACTCATTTGTGTTAGGTTCTGATAAACATCATGAAAATAGTGTTTAGAACATTCGACATTAGTGTATTATTGAGATTGGAAAAGATGTTCAATGGAAATGTGAGTGAACCACAAACTCCTTTAAAATAGAACGAAATTTAAGAGCAGGAAAAGGAGAATCTTCAAACTGATTAGAACGAATAGAATGAACAAGATGGCATTATAAATAGATTGCTGATTGTAACTGAGACAAAGTTATCGCAAGATGAAAAGATTCAATCTAATCTTTAACAAACATTAAAGAGGATCTTCCATTTGAAATCCAAAAAGAGACTGTCCATAATCGAAGAACCTGACAATAATGCAGAACTAAACATTAGGTTGATGAAGTTGATTAAACTATTCAGTGAGAATGAAGAGTTTTAGGGATTCATTGAATAGGAGTTTAATTCATTATGTGGTGAATTCACAAAAATTGACGAGTTCTCTTTGACAGCCTATCAAACTTAATATCCAGCAATTACTTTGGAAGAGTTCTTAAAGAATTTAATATAGATGAATATCACTCATCAATTAAATGATGATTTAAGAAGCTACTTCTTAAAAGTATTAACAAGAATGATTAGTGAAAAGAACCCAAATATCAACAGTCAAGATGAATAGGCCAAGTTGGCAATAGATGAATGGGAACCTGAATTTTGGAGTGATTCCAGATAATAGATCTAGGAGATACAATGTTTTTTGGCGGGATGTGGAGCAGCTCAATTGATTTATGAAATGTTCAAGGAGAACTTTGATGATAGATGGGAGTTATTTAATTAGTTATTAATATTTTCAAATGCATTTCTATTGGGAGGCAATACCAAATGCTAAGATTCTCTGCTGTAATTATTGAAATAGGATTCCTCGAATTAGATGATGAGCAATTTGCAATAATCTATTCTTAAGTTTAGCAAATTTGTTAATACTAATTTCAAGATTTAGAAGACCAAATTTTAGAAAGACAAGCAAAACCCCTTTCTTTCAATCGTTTATGTGGATAATTTAACACAATTCAGTGAGAAGACTGAAACCTTAAAAAGGTCTTTGCCTTCTGCCATAGAGAGTTAAAATACAATTAAGAATAGATAATTATCAATTAAAGTGATGTGGAGAGCATTCAGAATGTTGCAATTGATGTGTGAGAATAATAATGTTCAGATGAAGAACTATCTACGAGAATAAACTGATAAGGAAGATTCAGTTCATATCAACAGTATTAATTTTATTGAGTTTGCTACCAAGGAGTTGAGAATATTGTTGAAGATATTGAATAAGAATGTAGTATCAATTACTTAACAAATAGTGGATTTTATAAATGAAGTCATTCAATTGCCATGCTTTTTAAATCAAGTCACTCTATGTAAATCAACATATATGGAAGATGTATGTTTTACATTTGAAACCTTTTAAAAAGAGGAAAGCCAATTAATTCAAAGGGAACTCCATACTCCAGAAGAACAGGATGAGTTATTTGAATTATAAGCAAAGATTATTCAATCAATTATGTTGGTTTTAGAAGGGAATAACCATAAAAACTATGAGGAATTATAATAGAAATTGGACTCTAGGTTTTTGGTTAATTTCATTAAATTGATTGTTTAGAAGGTGGGCATCGAGAAGATATTTGATTTTAAGAAGGAAGCTAGATTCTCTGATGAGATACAATAAATGTTGAATGTATTCATAATAAAGGAGAAAATAGAATATGTTAGTAAGGATCAAAAGTGGGTGAAGCATTTTAAGTAAGAATTTGAGAGCAATCCAACTTTAAAAGATATTTAGACTATGTGTTTGAATAATTTAAGAAAGATTGAAATTTTCTATGAGAATGAATATCAAATGGTGTTCTTCCCTGCTCATCCAGTATTTCAATTTTTGAGTGATGAAACCAGAGATAAAATAATGTTCAAAATACCAAGAGACACACAGAGAAAGAAGTTGATATCTCTTCTTGAGGAAATGGATATGATTTTTAGGGAAATCAGTTACAATTTTAGTTTATAAAATTGGATTTTACCAATAACCCATAAGACAATTCAACTATTAATAAATATCTCACAATTATTGTCATTATTTATTAATATTTTTATGATATATGCATATGCAGTTATGATAAAAGACAAGCAATCAACATTAGTAACAGATGACTACGAGGAGGCAACATTGTTTATTTTATCCTTATTGCAATTTAGTTTCAGTTTGTGTGCATGTACATTTTACATAATAAGCAGAGCATCATTGGAATTCAAGAAACTTAAATAAGAGTAATTCTCTTTGACTTAAATTCACTCTTATATAATTTAAAAGATATCCAATTTCATTATTGTTTTCAAAGGAGAAGATTTCCTGTCTCATATATCATTTACTGCAATTGCATTTTTAGGGTTAATTTCAAATACATATTACTTTTCGTTGCATTTGTTCTATTTATTTGGATAATTATCATTATTGCAAAGTGTGTTTTAGGCAATATCTCACAATGCAAAATAACTATCTTTGGTAGCTTTGCTTGGAGTGTTGTTTTAATTTGTATTCAGCATAGTGGGATTCAATAATTACGTGGATGACATATATCCTGAACAAGTGGAGGATCCTTGTCACAGTCTCATCAGCTGTATGATAACCTTGATGACTTCTGGAGTGATTGGTAGTTCGATGTCATAATGGGATCCCTTGAAGTTCATCTATGATACAGTTTACTTCGTGTTCTTTGCACTATTGTTCACCAATATAATCTCAGGTATAATGACTGACACATTTGCACAATTGAGAGATCAAAGAACCCAGATAGAAGATGATAAGAAAAACAAATGTTTCATTTGTGGAATTGATAGACAAACCCTCGAAAAGCAGCAAGAAGATTTTGAAGAGCACATAAAGAGTAAGCATTTCTTGTGGAATTACGTGTTCTACATTTATTGTCTCTAGAATAAGGATTCCACAGAATACACTGGATTAGAGTACTGGATAATGGATAAGGTGTAATCTGAAAGTGTTAGTTGGTTTCCGATTAGATCTGAGGATGAAGATGATCGTACTAAACAGATTGAGTTATTATAATAAAAGATAGAAGATCTGGCATAGTAATTAAAGACTTAGTTGTTGCAGCAATAGATTGAAGAATGAATAATTTTAGTATACAATTTTAAGAATGAATTCGAATATATAAACTTTGAAGGGAGTAAAAAAAATTATAAAATATTTTGATAATATTAAAATATAAAATGTTTCTGAAGAATATGTTTAAGAAACAATCTCGATTTGAGAAGCATCTATTCGAGGGTACGATTTATGATAATTCGGAAACAGTTGATTTAGATGATATCAAGAAAATGCTATAAGGTAAGTATTACTGATTAAAAAGGCTATCCATCAAAAGAAGAAGAGGATCAGTTAGTCTAGAGCATGACGATTGTTCAAGTGTTCAAGGAATTCATACGACTTATACCATCGCAATTAGAAACCCCTAAAAAATTGAAAGTATTATTGACAATCCATGTCTTAATGGGTGATATCAAACATGGCAGATTGTTTGTGTAATAATTCCTTGGATGGATTGGATGGCAACACACAGATTAGAAGGATGCTTTGAGTAAGTTCTCTTCTGTGTAGACAATGATCATCCAAAAATTAGCATTGATAAGTGAAATTATCCAAAGGAGTAAATTGAAATCCAACATTAATATTTTATGTAATTTCATGTGAATTATAATATTATAGTCAAGGATATCGATTCCAATGTAATGCAATTTTATAAAATGATCAATGCTCTCAATCTAATTTTAGGATAACAAGAAGTAAACAAATTATTTTGACATAAGTTTTACGCATAGGTATTTTCTACTTAAAGCAGAATTATAGTGATGGAAATCTATTTGTTATTGTGGAATGACGTTATTGCACTATTTTTAATGTTGGAAAGGTAATTCCATATCATATTCTAGTTCATAGGTTTGTACGATAATTCTTAGATTGTTATTAACAAATGGATTAACAGTAATCTATCCAAGTTTACGAACTATTCAATGAATATATCAAACTAACACCACAAGTCAAACGATTTGCCTAATTGTGTGTATTCTTTAAAAATTGCAATATCAATGAACCTAAGTGGTATCAACCAACAAAAAAAGAAATAGAAGAATTACAAATTTACTTTCAGAATGTCAAAATTTATCTGACTAGTAGATCTAAAAGACTGAAACTTGAGAAGTCAAGTCCTCAACCCAAAGGAAGTTGTCAAACAACTGGAAGAGATCTGAAAAAATCCTAATCCCAATCCTAAATAATTCCGAAAGGGGATTTAAAACAGCAATAGGATAATTATTTATCCAATACTACTATGGGTTATGCAAAAAGGATATATTAGGGAAATAATGCATCTTAAGCTATTTAATACACATTTGAGAGTGATTGCTTAACTGCAGATGTTATTAAATAATGAATGATTATATAATTATTCCATTTAATTTCGTCTAATCTAAACCTATCTATTTAATAATTTCTTAATTAAATATCATCATACGTAATTTTATTATAACATAATACTCGCCAAATTACTTGATCAGCTTAACAAACCAATTTAAGAGTATTATGATATTAATTTTACGAATTATAAATGTATATATAAATAATATGTATTATGCATTGCCATTACGACATGAATTTCAATTCATATTCTAAATTTGATAAAATAATTTAATTATTAATGGAATCTAGTACGAATCAAGCAAAAAAATACTCTTACAACCATCTCCTAGTTGGTTTAGTTGCTCTGCTTTTCTCACCACTCCTAACCATATTGTATTTGCTATTCTCCCCAATCACTATACCTACGACATTCATCCTCTATCACTTTTATAAAGTCCAAGTAATTTGCCTATTTATCCTTAGATTAAGCAACATTTAAGTGAACTTTATTAAAATGCAAATACCATTGTCCAAAATGGCTTGAAAGAGTATGTTGTTCCAGCTTACAATGCTGCCAAAACAAAAGTAACCTTAATTTTCATATAAATCAGATTAATGAGATTGTGGATCTTTTGTTCTCATGGATCTTAAAAAGAAAGGAATTTTTCTTCAAAGTCTTCAACGATGTTAACACCTATTTTTTGGATTACCTCAACGTTGTTACAACCTATTTGATGGATTACCAATATATCAAATCACTAGTTGAGTATCTATAGGCAGGAAAAGCAATTGTATAAGCAATTAATTTATATTAGATATGCGATTCCTAGAACATCATTTGGATTATTTTGAATCAAGCCCAAGTGAAAGTTTTAAACAATAAATTTGTGGTAATTCAATTACAATATATTTTAATAGAAATATATTATATCATTTTACACTACTTATCTAAATCCGATTTGCAGATATTTCCTATCCAAAACTGGTATGGTCTAAGTTTATGAATTGATCAAAACTGGTGTATTCTATATTTAGGAATTAATCAACTAAAATGTCTTACCAATTCCAAAGTACTTTAAATCTTTTATATTTTCTAGAAATAAAATTCAAATCATTGGATATGCGATTTTGAATGAATCAGGAAAAACAATTTAGAATTTAAATCCAGAACAAGAAATCGATAGATACAGAATCCAATTGCACCAATATGCAATTACTCAATTCTGGAAGATCAAAAACTTCAAGGGCTAATCGATTTTAGAACTTGAATGTGGAGATGCAGTTGGTCTATCCTATATCACTTAAGCATACGAACCTCAAAGATGTTTGGGTGTTGATTCCTCAGAATTCAGAATTTAAGAGAATCTCAAGTTGTACAGCGAATTAGAAAATTTGAAATTCGAAACTAGAAGTCCCCTTGAAATAGGAGCTCTGTGTGCTCCAAATACATTCGATGTGATTTTGGGTTTAGAATTAAAGAAAAAGGAAGCATTCAGAAACATCGATTTCAAGAGGTAGTCCAATTATCATAAATTGTTAGTTATATTAAAATAGTGAGTACATTGCTTAAGGATGATGGATACTTGATCATTGGAGATTATGACACACAAGAGGAAATTTAGAAGCTTCAAGAGGAGATCTCAGCGAATGGGTTGGTGATTACTGAGAAGAATGACTTTACTGTAGGAGTTACATAGGCTATGAAATTATAGATTAGGAACATTAAATAAACAGCTAGACAAAATGGAGGATATCGTATAATTATCAAATTATAAAATAGTTGCTAAATTCTTGAGTGAAAGATTGAGGCCAAATGAAAAATTATTGTAACAATTAAAGGATAGATAATAAATCTACATGGTGTATATTCTTAAAAAGGCAACACTCTGAATTATAAATTAAATTCATATACAAGCATAAATTTAAATTACCAATTTCTTATTCTTCCATAACTAATTGAGAATTATTAAAAGTATTAAATAAAATTAGAAGTATTAAGAAATTTAATTTGTTTACGAAATTCGATTATTATTCTTTTCATTAGTATATTATCATTTAGAATGGAGTCTTTCGATTGTATCTCTTCAGTAATTACTTCTAAACTTATATTTCTGATTATTCTCCATTTGCACAAAGAAACTGTGATTAGGATTTATCAAATTAACTTCAATTGATTGTCTTTGAATAATAATTATTATGAATCATATAGCAAAAGATAACTTGATTGATCTGAACTCAAAATTAACAGATGAAAATTAAAGACTTTCACTGCTTGTCTACAGTCTTCAACGATAACTAGAGAAAGCAGCAGTTTAAATTAACTATGTTTAATCATTAGAGGAAAAGTTCGAAATAGTCTCGTTTGAACTGACATAGCTAAGAAGAGACAATCAAAACTTATAAGAACAAATCTATCTTGTTAGTTAATCATCAATCTCAAAGGATAAAGAACAGGCTTTTCAACAAGAGATAGAAAGTGTGAAAACATAGTATGAATAGAAGTTATCGGTGTTGCTTAGAGAGAATAAGAGACTCAATCATATAAATAAGGATCTGTAGAATAAATAGATTAGCAATTTAGAGACCCAAACCTCAAAATTAATGGAATTGAGTGTTGAATTAAAAAATAAGTTGGAGAGTTTAGGATAACAACCTCAATCGTTGAATTCGTCAATAATGGCTCCAAAAGTGCTCACCAAGCAGATTTATGACAACCTAATATAATAATTGTCATAGAGTAGCGGAGAAGAGAAGACTTTTCGTACAACTCAGTACTTAATTTACTTAATATTAGACCAAAGAGATTGCCAGTTTTGTAATTCAAAGAAACTAAATAGCCAAGTAACATTAGCCAAAAAAATTTGGCAGCCATTCCTTTTATTTCGAATATAAATAGTGTTAAATGAAAATATAAATACACATACTATCTTAAATCTATAGATTGATTAATATTCATTAATTATTTTCAAAACGCACTACAATAAATTTTATTAATGTAAATGTAATAAGCCCCACCTGTATAATTTGAAAAATGCCCCAAACATCCTCAAAATGACATTGTGCTCTTCTGTTTATCAATTGAATGTAAAGAGGTATGTATTTGTGTTATACCAACTTTCTAGCCTCTATGCAAGGATTGTTGCAAACTACATGTTCATTGGCACAATCAATAGGGGACCTAAGCCAACTTAGATACAGTGGATAATGTTAGACAATAATTACTGACAGATGTACATGAAATGAAGCATCGATTTGAAGAGTAGAAATATCATATATATATATACATTAGAGAAAGAGCTATTCTTCATCATTTTAGTGATAGTGAGTAATCTGAAGCCGTGAAATAGTTGTAAAATAAACTGTAAAAAGTCAAATAAACTCTTCTTGCTGCAGTACATGAATACTGTCATTAATTGGAAGAATAAGTAAAGCAGCGTATCCACTTACATAGAGTAATAAATTGAATCTAATTTGTAGTAATCACATCCTGGAGAAAAGAAGGAACTTCATCAAAAATTGAATACAATCATCAATAACTTAGATCAATAGGAAAAGATGTTGTTACAACCTAAATATATAAGAGGTTGCTTGATGGTTATGAGTGAAGAATAGAATCACGACTTTGATTAGATTGCATTTGATGTTGACAATGCTCTAAAACATTACCTATCTAATGCATTCGATTTGGTTATTTCAGAAGATAAATTGGTTCGAATAGTCTAGTCATTCAATGAGTATGTAGAAATACAAGAAGTGAATCTAAGGGAAGAATTAGACCATTATACTAGAAAAATTAGGGATAATAAGAAAAACCCTCACGAACCTCTCAATAAATAATTCAATTCAACTTCTTAGAAATAATTATAACCAAAAGAGTCTAAATTAATGCAATCCATCTATGACGACAAATTCAGACCGACATTCCAACCAGGCGCATCATAATATAGACCCAATTTCAACGACAGCAAGGCTGATTAAATCATGTCAAAGTTTTATCATTGAAATAAAACACTAATTTTTATATTAACAGACATCTATAATTTAAAATATGTATATAAATACTTCGCACACTCCAGACAAAAAAAATTCTTATCTTACTAAATTTAATAAGAAGAGAATTCAAACAACAGACAAAGAAAACAAGTAGATCTAATCATTATTATATAAGAATTCAAAATCTGAGCAATCTAAGCAATCTAAGCACAAATGATGATTGCAAATCCTATTGCGATAATGTTGATTATTATCGGCATGAAAATCAGGAACTTAAGAAACTAGTATTTTAATTGAAATTCGAAATGTAAAGTGTTTACAAATTTTATAGGAAATCTCAATTGGAATCTTGTTTGATTGAGTAAAAACATAACTTAAAATCTGTTGTTTAAAAATATTAATCATTTATTGATGAGATGATGACACAGAAAAATCAAGTTAGTGCAGAATGTGATGATTGGAAGCAGAAATGCGAATAACAATAATAAATAATTGAATAATAGAGATTATAAATTTATAATCAATCTTACATTATACAATAGAATTTATTGACAATACAAAATATTTAACAAGAATTTCAATAGGAATCAATACAGAACCAAATGGAAGTTCAATAAATTATGAATTTAAAAGATTAAACAATTGATGAATTGCACTAAATTATTTAACATCATCAATAATAATAATAATGAAAATAGCAATATATAAGCCAAGTCAATTTACTTTATTGTCATTTGAAAACTCTCCAACATATTCTGAACCATCAGCTCCTTTAAATTTTCCTTTACCATTCATTTTATCAAACCTCCATTCTCCCTCATAATAATCACCTATGCTCCATGAATATTTACCAAATCCATGTCTCATTCCACCCAACCAATAACCTAAATTGTAAATCTAAAATCATTACCATCGTAAGTATCTCCATGTGCAAAATAGTAGATTCCCTTGCCAGACTTCTCACCTTCCTTCCATTCTCCAATATATTTATCTCCATTGGCCATGTAGAGTGTACCATTCCCCTACCTTTTATCATTAGCCCATTCACCTTCATATCGATCTCCATTTGAAGCAACATAAACTCCATATCCACTCTTCACATTTTTGCTATACATGCCTTCATATTTATCACCTGATGCATAGAGAAAGAGCCCTTACCCTTCCCTTTCATCATTCACCCAATTGCCCTCATATCTAGATCCATCAGCCATAGTATATACGCCATAACCATGCTTCAACCCATCATTCCATTGCCCTTCGTATTTGTCATTGTTAACATATATCATAGTTCCCTATCCGGTTGCTTTGTCACTTGCAAACTAACCCTCATATCTTGCTCCAGATGCAAACTCCACAGTTCCTCTACCCCATTTGAGTCCTCGCTCCCAAAGCCCATCATATCTATCTCCAAGAGAGTAGAGGTAGACTCCTCTTCCATGTCTTTCTCCATATTGCCATTCGCCATCGTAAGATTCCCCTTACAAGTAATAGGTATATTTGCCTTTTCCATGTTTCAAATCATTGATCCATTCTCCGTTATACATATTACCATTGGCATAATAATAGATTCCAACTCCATGCTTTTTGCCATTCAATAAATGCCCCTCATATCTTTCTCCATTATTGAACAGATAAACGCCTTCTCCATTGAACAGATCGTTAGACCACTGTCCAATGTACCTAAAAACAATCACCAATAAAATTACACATCTCCATTTGGGAATAAGTATTTTCCTACTCCCTATTTATTTTGCTTTTCATTCATCTATCCATTATAGGTTGCTTGGTCTGCATATTATGCTGAGCGTGCTTATTCTTCACCTAAGAATTTTTATTCAAACGAGGTTATCACTAAAAGTGGAATAGAGATTATATACATCTCTTGCGTTCCTCCATCAACTTCTCCTATATCGAGCTAGTAATATTTTAGGATGCTGTCGTTATCATGATTAAATAAATGGATAATTAAATTGAATAAAAGAGTTTATTCAAAACAAAGTTTAACCACTCCACACGTAACATCTTTCAACAAACTAAATTCACCAAACAACAATTCTTTAGGTATTCAAATAAATTCAAATATCATCCTAGAAGTTCAAGTCAAAATTATTCTCATGAAAAGCTGGAAGTTCTCGAAACGAATAAAGAAGATGAAAAAGATTAATTTGTGTCCTAGCCAATCAATTCCTGTTTTGAAAGAGTCCTGGATCGAAAGCATAGCATATAAAGCAATCTTGGTTCCATTAAAGAGCTCTCAGTTTCTGATTAAATAGCCGATCCTACCTAATAATAGGATATAAACAACGAGAATGCCGAGTAAAATACCCAATAAAACACACATTCAGTTAGTGGAGCACCTCAAAATACCCTTAGAAATAAGAGGAAGCTTAAGAGATTACCAAGATTTGATGAAGAACGAGAGCCACCAAAGGTTTAAGATGAATTCAAACTTATCATAATGCCGAATAACAAATACAAGTAATTTTGGGATGTGGGTTTGTTTCTAATTCTTATGTAAATTGAATTTATATTTATAGTTATGTGTCTATATTCACGCCCTTCAAGATTGGGTTCGTTTAAGATGGAGAGTATTTGGTCTGGGATTACTTGGATAATGCTATTGATTTCATTTTTATGACAGATATTGTACTTACATTCCTGAGTGCGGCATATGATGATGAAGGCAATTTGGTAACGGAGAGGAAAGCAATAATGCTTAACTACCTCAAAGGATGGTTCATTATTGACTTAATGGTAATTCGTCACTTAACACACAGTCGTCAATTCCGTTTTACTTTATTTTGAATGATACTTCTCAGAGATACAATAGCATCGCACGTATTTCCAAAGTTCCCAAAATATACAGAGTCATTAAAATGATCAAATTGGCAAGGATGTTCAGGTTAAAAGAAATATAATATGTTAAAGTTATCAATATCAACATCGGAAATGAGAGATTTATTCTTGCATTTCTCTTACTCATATTTTCATGTCATGTAGTGGGATGTATTTGGTTTTTTGTGGCAACCTTATCTGAAGAAGAGGATTGGGTGTACTTTGAGTCCCATACATTTGATTAATACATAGTCTCCATGTATTGGGCAGTATAAACAGTGTTGACAGTTGGCTATGGTGATATTAAATTCTACTCCTGGTCAACAAGAATTTTTGCGATTGTTTGGATGTTATCATCAGTTTACGTTTTTTCGTTTGCAGTTGGTTCTCTAGCCTCATTCCTAGACAGATTAGATTAAAATAATCAAATCTACTTAAATCGTTTGGCCACTCTTAAAAATATAAAACAGGAATTTAAAATATCCAAAAAAATGTTTTTGAAGGTGAAAAGAGAACTCAAACATGGCAAAAGGGATTTTTCATAACAATACCATATCCTATTAGATGAATTACCACCAATATTGAAAACAGAGTTGAGTTATATTATGAATAAGCATCTCAAAGAAGAGATAGGGTACTTTCACGATAAATCTCAATAATTTATATCAGCAATAGGCCCTTTACTCAAACCAATTAAGTTAGAAGCGAATGAGTTTGTATATTGCACGGGTGATTTAGCAGAGGAAATCTATTTTGTGAAAAGCGGAAAATTAGCTATTGTTTTACCTGATTAATAGAATTTTAAATTTATGATGATTAAACCAGGATCATATTTTGGAGAATTAGATATTCTATTTTATGGAGAAAAAAGAAAATATACTATAATGACAACTAAGCCTAGTGAATTTTATGTACTTTCTAGAAAAGATTTTAAATCAATTTACTTACATTAATTTAGAGATGAAGGCTAAGTCTTAGTGAATGAAGCTTTATAAAGAAAGGTTATGATAAAAAGTGCCTATGATGATGCTCTCAGTTTCTTAGGAGAAGATACGAATTTGTAATAACCTCGTGTGACAACTCATAAAACTAGTAAATTTAAAGTTGTTGACAACGCAACCAGTCCCTAAGTTGATCCAAAATTAGTAATTTAATAAAAGACAGAAGATTATAGTAACAATGACGATGGCTTAATTAATTTTGACAAAATATAATTTAAAAAAAAAATTAGTGCTCTTGAAAAATAAATTAAAATAAAGGATCAAATTATAGCTAATATCCAATAAGAATTGGATGAATTGATGAATCAAATTTAACATTAAGTTAGTGATGATATTATAGGTCGATTTAAAATTACAAAAAGTATGGAGGAAATGATGTAACTTAGAAGACAATTAAAAGCAACTAAAAAAATGGAAGAAACAATCAAATCGTAAAGGCAGATTTATCGTTCTGCGCATTAGTCTAAATAATTCTAGATTGATTGTCGTAAATATTCAAGCTCTGTTGAATAAGCAAAGTTGCTTAACAGTCTATGGGAAGAATGATGAAATTATTATAATATATATTCTATCTTAATTATCATGTAAGAAATCAATTTAAGTAACAATAATTTTGAATCTGTATCATATTCTAGAATTTTCAGAAATAAAATTTTGTGAGGATTTTATAAGAAGATTCAATTGGAGTTCAATCAAAATAAAGTTATAATCTAAATATCTAGTTTTAAATTCTTCTGGCAATAAAATTTAAATTTCCAAATATTAGACGAATTATATTTTGTTATTCAAATGAAAGAAAAAATCATTTTTGTAAGATTAAATTTTAACTCTTGATAAGCCTATAAAATTATTCAATGGTATTTTGTATTAATTTATTATCTGACACCTTCTTCTTTAAGTAAATTTTGATTTCATATATCTTAAATATAAATTTTAAGAATTTTTTTTTCTTCTTACAAGGCAAAATAAGCATAATTCATTTTTTAAATAGTCATTGTCTAAATTATTTTTACCTCGTAAACTAACATAATTAATTAAAAAATTCTTAATTCCTTTTTTTGTTATAAAAAAATAATTGTTAATTATTATATTTGTAATATCCAGAAATCAAATCATTTTTAATTATAATCATGAATCATCCAAAAGCTTATTTTACTACTCCTTTGTCAAGATTAGCCAAATAACCCTCTTTTGATACAAGTACTCAAGTGGATAAATGGGATGAAGAGTATTAAGGAGATGAAGGGGATGAAGTATAAACTTATAAGTCCCCTTTAACAATCATACAATCCCGACTAAATGCAACAATTATTGAAGAGTTTATATTTCAATAAGCTGGCTTATTGACTAAAAAACAGGATTGGAAAGATGAATTCATTTGGCTCTGATATATTTTAAATGTTCCTCTTTATATTATTATCATAAAAACAATCTCAATTCTGACAAACAATCAATTATCTATCGGACAAAATTTTTGGAAATAAGAGAAAATATTTAATTTATTATTATGCTTGGTCTTAAACAATATATAATACTTTTCATTAGGAAACTGCTCCTAATGTAAATTTAAATTATAAAAATGCAATGTTAAATATTTTTAAGATTGGGTTTACTTAAAATTCATACCCAAGTCCTGAATTGTATTTTCAAAGTGTTGGTATTTAGGAAGTATAAAATGTATGTAGTAAATTCATGTATAAACAAGCATAATAACAATTATAAGAAAAGATGTTCTAATCAGTTGAAGAAGAAATATTTGACTATCTGATAAAGAAAAATATTGCTTGAGAAATAAACATCAGTTTAATTTTGTATTATTTCAATATAGATGCAAAAATGCTTATGCAAAATTTGCTAGCAATAATAATTATACAAATTGTGATTTACAAACGATAAACTTATAGATGATCATTATGTGTTAATTGGCCTTGGGAAAAACTTATTACATAATATGATTTTAATTCAATAATTATATAAATTTAATACTGAATTTCTAATTCATTTTTATTTATTAGTGATTTTAATTTAATGAATTCAGATAATTCTAAATTAATAATCACCCCTTTAGGAGCTGGTAATGAAGTTGGCAGATCGTGCATTTTGCTCTAATTCTAAGAGAAATAAATTATGGTAGAAGTTATTTTATATCTAGTTTGATTGCGGTATTCACATGAATAAAGAAAACAAAGGTGTTATGGCATTACCCTATTTTAATAAAATAGATAAAATCGAGGACATAGATTTAATTCTCATAACACACTTTCATCTGGATCATTGTGGTGCTCTTCCTTATTTTCTCAAGAATTATAAATTTAAAGGGAAAATATATATGACTACTCCAACAAAGGAAATTTATGGTTTGGTTTTGAAAGATTCCATCAAAGTAAAGAGTGAAGATTTTAGTCAAGACCTAATAAATGAATAAAGCATTGAATAATCATTGAAAAATATTGATTGTATAGATTATGATTAAGAAATTCATTACTAAGGAATTAAATTGAAATGTTACAATGCTGGACATGTGTTAGGTGCTGCAATGTTTATGGTTGAAATTGATGGTGTTAGAGTTCTATATACTGGAGATTATAGCACAGAAAAAGAGAGGTAAAGTATAATATAAATTTTAAGACATTTAAGACCAGCCTAATTGCCACTTGAAAAAATTCATGTTTTGATAGTTGAAGCAACATACGGAGATACCTAGCATGAAACTAGAACAAAAAGAGAAGAAAACTTTTTGAAAGAAATTGTCTCAACCCTAAATGGTGGAGGAAATGTACTGCTTCCTGTTTTCGCTACTGGGAGATGCCATGAGTTGTTGATCATCTTAGATGAATATTGGTCCAAAAATCCATAAGTTCAATAGTTTCCAATTTATAGCACTTGTACATTAGCCATTAAATGTACACATATTTTTTAGAAACATTTTAATAAATTAGGAAATAAATATCATAAAGGAGAAAATCTATTCAAATTTAATCATATCAATACAAAGAAGCATTTATAAGATATTCTAAATAATCAAAAACCAAAGGTAGTAATGGCAAGTCCAGGATTACTTTAATCAGGACATTCAAAATAAATTTATGAATATTGGTGTAAGGATGAGAAGAATTAAGTAATAATTACAGGTCCAGCAGTACAAGGGACTATTGCTCATCAATTAATACATAATCCAGAGCCAGATATCAAAATTAGACCTGCTTAAATAAGCTTTTCTGCTCATGCTGATTATCTCCAAACTTCTTCATTTATAGATTCATTAAGACCATAACATGTTATTCTAGTTCATGGAACTTAACATAAATGCAGAGATTTATAAAAGAAGATTGAAATCAATTTTAAGGATATCGTGGAAAAAGTATGGGCACCAGAAAATTAAAAATAAGTGGAACTGAGTTTTTAAAGAAGCTCTGTTTCTTAAGCCGGATGTAAAGCAATAGGAGAATTAGGAAATTAGATTGAAAATTTTATAATCACTTTCTAAGAAAAGCATAATTAACATAAAATTGATGAAGAGATTGTCGAATCAATGGCTGATTGCATTTGTTGTTCTAATGATCTCTATTTCAATGGTGTGCTTTTGAATACTGAGCATGGTTTTATGCTAGTTGATGAAACTGACAAGGAAACCTTATAACAGTATGGCATAGAATAAAATTAAATTTATAACCAAATGTATATTCCTTTATAGTGCTCTCTTGAATAAGTATTTAATTATGTGCAAGAATTGAATCCTGAGGCTCAATTTCATCCAGATGATAGTTTAATAGTTGTTAAAGATTTAGAAATCAGAGTTCCTGTTTCAAGTGTCTTATTGTAATTTAAGTGGATATCCTCACCAAAAACTGATGATTTAGCTGATTCATTAGCATTTTTCTTAAGTAATGTCAATTAAAATAAATTGAATGATGAAGAATTGTTAAAAGGTACTCTCTAAATTGATATAATTAAATAGATAAACAAAAAGGATTAATAAAAGTACTCTAAAAGACTGAATTTCAAACAGAGATAATAGAAAATAAACTAAATGTGAAAAACAAGAATTAAGTTTTCATATAAGTTGATTTAAATACATTGAATCCTTCAGTTGTTGCTGAGGAAACTCAAGAAAACAAAAATATTATCAAAAGAGCCTAAACAATTATTGAATCATATTTGAGTTCATATTTATGATTATCAGTGTTTGTAAATTAAATGAATGCATTATTATTGTATTATTTTTGTATATCATTTTCAATAAAGAGCTTAAATTGCAAGTGTAACTTTTCTTAATGAACAAATAATATGAATTTAGGAATAATTAATTCTTTTAGAATACATTTAAAATTATGTACTTCAATTGTTAGAAAATTATTAAAAGTAATAAAAGTCAATGATTATTCTCTCAATCTTGCCAGTAAAAGAAAACTTAATAATAGGGTATATTTATTTGTATAATTGTGTCTAATTTATAAATTAATTATGAATTATAATTATTTAAATCAAAGGAGGATCTTCATTTTGGACAATTTTGAATTTAAATATGTCTCCGATAATAAAATTCAATAAAATGAAGAAATTTTGTGGATAAAATTGTATTCATTGCATTACAAAGAAAAAATAAGGCTAAATTAAAGAAACTTATTTTAAAATGTAAAATAAAATGAATTTTTCATCAAATTCTATGTGAGAGTGAAAACAAAATTAGTAATGATTTCTATTAAGTTTGATGTCTCACCTTTTTTTCCTTCATTTTTTATTTCACTTTTATTTTATTAATGATCGTGTCGCCTAGACAATTTTTCCAATATAATTAAATATGAAAGATGAAAGTTTTAGTCGAAAGATAGTGTCGACTTAAAATTGCGTTAATAATTAAGATCAGGATGAAAAAATCAAACCAGTAATTCTTCAAAATTTGAGCAATTTTGCTCATTTAGGATGTTTTTCCAAAGATAAATAGAATAAAACTTTATAATTGGTTTAAAAGAAAAAGAAAGCTGTTAATGGAAGAACTTAGAGATAAAAATAAAGAATATCAATATAAATGTTCAAAATACAATTATAACATTAGAGATTGTGTTCATTATTGAGTTTATTAACAATTTTGATGTTGAAGCATTCTAAATAGCTTCAATCTTAAATTGTGAAATTTATTTTTGATAAAAGTTTTGATTAGATTTCCCAAAAAATATTTATAAATATGATGTGAACAGACAAAATCATAGCTGAGTTTAGAGGAGAGCATTGATTGTGAACCATAAAACAATATATTATTAGAATTTAAAATAATAATCAAAACTTTTAATTAGAAATCTGCTTTTCATCACTCTTAATTAAATTTTAATTGAGATAGTTTTTAAATAGTTGGTCCTATAACCTCTCTTTATAATTTAAAAGTTAGTTAAGGATATTGAAATTGTAGCACACGACCAGAGAAATGATGCTTTATCAGTCATTTACCTTGAATGTAAAAAAATTATAATAATTTAAAATTTGTCATAGTTTATGAAAAAATTTCATCAAATTAAGTTAATTAGTTATTTCTTTTTATTGTATTAATTGATAATGAGATTAATTTAAATCCGTGTTAAAGATCAAAAAGAGTTTGTTCATTTTTCGAAAGTGGTATTTTCCAAAACTTTTAAAGTGATTGCTTAAAAGACATGTATCAAAATGTAAGTAATTTCCAATATATTTTTCGAGAATATTCTATTTTTAGTATTAATAATAAATCAACGGAATTTTATGGAAAATTTCTTGTTTGGAAACCATTAAAGTTTGTTGTATATTGAATCTGTTAATATTCTAACAATTAACATAACCTTGTAATTTCAATTTGAAACTCAGATTGGAAAATATAATATATAATTTGTACTTAAAAAGTTGTTCTCTTCAGATTCTTGACTTCTGATAACACTTTCTTATTATAACGATTTATTTGGTACTTTCTGATAATTTACAGACCTTTTTTTTGATTCTGTTTAAAAATTTTATAAATGCCCAAAAACTCTTAGCACTAATGACAGAAATCAGACATAGTCAGACGGAATTACCTTCTTAAGAAGCTAAAGATAGGCAAGAACCAAATCCATGAATGATGGGCTCGTTTAAGGCATTTTCCAACATTAGTATAGAGATAAATTTCTAAAATAAATGATAAAAATGCAATATTTATTAAGTTTCGAAGACTGTAGAGAAGAGTGAAGATTAAATATTAGCTTTTTCAATTCTACCCTTAGAATTCAACTAGTTTCAAAAATAAATGGTAATTATATTATTAATATGAATTAATGATTAATGTGAATTTTGAGGCTCAATTTATTTAAAAAAAATGAGGTAATTGAAAAAAAAAAAAAATTAACAAACTAAATATTTAAAAATTCATTCGATTCAAATTTAATTTTAATACTTTAATGAATTAGAAATTCTTCATACTTTCATTAATGCTTGCATTAGCGGCAAGCCAGACATACAGTCTAACATCATGCACATGTGCATAATTGTTATCAGAAGGTGATTGTACAAAAAATGCTTCACTTGGATGTTCATGGGATAGCACAAAGAAGGCATGTGCAGTTTCAACAACACCTGTCACTCCAGTAATGACTTATGCAGCTTATTGTGATACTTTTGCAGAAACTGATTGTCCAAAGGCAAAGCCATGTACCGATTGTGGTAGTTATGCTGCTTGTGCTTGGGTTGATAGCAAATGTACATACTTCACAGGATGTACAGCTTTTGCCAAAACAACAGACTCTGATTGTTAGGCAATTAGCAATAGATGTATTACAGATGGAACTCATTGCGTTGAAGTTGACGCATGTAATACATATAAGAAATAACTTCCTTGTGTCAAAAACACTGCTGGAAGCTTATGTTATTGGGATGCAACAAATAATACTTGCGTTGATGCTAATACTTGTGACAAATTACCAGTAAATTTAGCAACAGATTCAGATTGCAGAGCCTTGATTTCAACATGCACAACAAAAACAAGGTGGTGGATGTGTTGACAGTGGAAACAATTGCAGTGATTAAACATTAGAAATTTAATGTGTTTGGAATAAATTAAAAACTACTGCTTGTTATTGGGATGGAGCTGCATGCAAAGATAGAATTTGTGATAATGCACCAACAAGTTTGACTACAGATGATGCTTGTAAATTATTCAGAGTAGATGGATCATGCACAACTAAAGCAAATGGAGGATGTGTCACTAGAACAACTTGTTCAGCTGCCACCATTTAAGCATCTTGTGTTAAAAATAGTTCAGGCGGTGATTGCTATTGGAATGGTACTGCATGTGTTGATAAGAATTGTGCAAATGCACCAGTTACAATGACAACTAACTCTGCTTGCGCAGGATTTGTGACAGGATGTATTACAAAATCAGGCGGAGGATGTGTTGCAAATGGAGCATGTTCAGTTGCTAATGTTTAAGCAGCTTGTGTTAAGAACTCAAGCAATTAAGATTGTATTTGGGATACAACATGCAAAGAAAAGACATGTGCTAATGCACCAACCACAAATAATACTCACGATCTCTGTACATCGTATTTGTCAACATGCACCGTTAAAACAGGTGGAGGTTGTTAAAATAGAACTTGTGCTAATGCTCCAGTAACCTTAACAACTAATGATGCTTGTGAAGCTTATTTAACTGGAAATAACTGTATCACTAAGAGTGGAGGTGGATGTGTCACAAATACTACATGTGCAGCAATAACATTAGAGGCAGCTTGTGTTAAAAATTCATCAGGACAAACTTGCTTCTGGGATTCTGCTAGTTCAAGTTGCAAAGATAAAACTTGTTTAAATGCTCCATCAACTAACACCACACACGACCTTTGTTAAGCATTCTTAAATACTTGCACAGTTAATTCAACAAGTGCAGGTTGTGTCGAAAAAACATGTGAAAATTCATTAGTTCTTGCTATTTGTGATAAAGATACCAGCAATAGAGCATGTATTTGGAAAGGAAAGTGCTATAAGAAATAATGTGTGTTGGCTTCATCAGCTACAACCTCTCATGCTGATTGTTAAACTTATTCCTCAGGTTGTACTTTGAGTAATACAGGTTCAGGTTGCGTAACACTTCCTCTTAAATGTGAGGCTATCACAATTGAAGCCGCCTGTTAAATGAAGTCTAATGGATAACCTTGTGGATGGACTGGAACTTAATGTATTGATAAGGCTTGCTCTACAGCCTCAAAGACCTTTTCAACTACTACATAATGCTAAACTCATTTATCATCATGTGTTGCTAATAACCCTGCAACTGTAAATGGATCAGTAACTATTCAAGGATGTTAGGATTTACCAACTACTTGTGCTGGAAGAAAATCATCAGAAAATTGCGAGATTACTAGAAGTGGATTCCCTACTTGTCTCTGGGTTTCATCTTCCTCAACTTGTGTCGAAAAATCTTGTACTACTGCAAGCACTGTTGGTACAACAGGCGCACTCTCAACAGGATAATTCTCTTTTGCCAATTGTTAAAATTATATCAGTATTTGTACTACAACTAACGCATAAGGTGTTTGCACTGCAACTTCATATCCATGCATATCAAATAATGCAGGAGATGGATGTATAGCTAAGCCCTCAAGTTGCTCATCACTTATTTAATCAAATTGTTAAGCAGGTTCCAAATCAACAGGAGATTGCTACTGGAATGGAGCAGCTTGTGTAGATAAAACATGCGCCAACATTGCCTTAACTACACATAATAGTTGCAACACAACATTAAATACATGTACAGTTAATAATGGAGCAACTGCATGTTAACCCTTGGCAACTGCATGCACATCTTATACAACTTCAGAAAATTGTAAATTGACTTCAGCTAATAAAAAATGTGTTTGGACTGGTTTGGCATGTAGAAGTGCAACCTGTGCTGATGCTCCCGATGATAACACCTCTGATACTGATGGAGAATGCTTCAATTACTAAACACCAAGCGAAACATGCACAGTCGTTTATAAAGTTGGAGCACAAGGATGTGTACCACGATCAGCTAATTGTACAGACTATATGACACAAGCTTAATGCCATAAAACACTCACAAATTTAACAGCAAATGATGATTGTAAATGGATTGTTGATAAATGTTATGCTACATCTAGCTTTGCTTCTGGAGCTTGCACATCTTTCAAAGGAACTTAAACAATGTGCTAAGGATATAGAGTTGGATGCACAAATACTAATTCAGCAACTTCTTCTACTGCTTGTACTTTGGATTGTACATTAAAAACTGGAACGGGCTTAGCATTTTCAGATTGCTAAGCTGTAGATACTACATGCTCAGTAAATAGTACTGGAACTGGATGCATAGCTATATAATCTGCCTGCACAGGATATGGATAAACAGCTGCTAATTGCTTTAGATCTACAGCTGGATTATGTGCTATGAATGCTGCCTCTCCAGCAACCTGCTAAGCAGTAACTTAGGCATCTGAATGTGTATTAGTGACTGGAAAAACTGGTTTAGATCATGCAAAATGTTAAGCTTATCATACTTCATGTACTTCTTTAAATGATGGTACTGGATGTTAAGAGTTTAAGGCAACTTGTCCTGCTTTCACTGGAGACGCTGCACATTGCACTGCCTCATAATAAGGTAAATGCTACTTGAGTGGTTCCGATTGCGTACGTTTCTCTACTTGTGCTGCAATTTCTGGAATTGGATTAACTGATGCTAAATGCGCAGGATATAATGCAGATTGCACTGTTAATGCTGCTGGCACTGCATGCTAAGAGTAAAAGGCTACATGTGCTGTGTACTTAACTCAAGATTCTTGCACTACATCAAAAGATACAGCAACAGCCGATAAATGTGCTTGGAGTGGAACAGCTTGCGTTGCAGTAACAACTGTTGCAACTTAGTGTGCATTTGTTACAGGGTCTGGTTTGGATGATACATAATGTGCAACTTATAATGCTGGTTGTGTTGCTAATTCTACAGGAACAGCTTGTTAAGAGAAAAAGGCCACTTGTGCAGCTTATACAACCACTGCTGCATGTGGTACATCAACAGCTGGCAAATGCTATTGGAATAGTGCTGCATCACCAGCTGCTTGCATTTCTATTACTACAGTGGCAACTGATTGTTAATTAGTTTTGGGATCTGGTTTAGATGATGCTAAATGTGGAGCTTACCTAACAGGCTGTGTCGCACTTTCAACCGGAGCGGGTTGTTAAGAGAAAAAG